AAGTGTAAATATACGGAATCTCACTTTCGTATGGTTGTAATGATATAAAACATATAAAAATGTAAATGACAGTTGCTGGTTATAGAAATTGGTTGCTTTATGTTTTGTTTTTTGTTTTATTTTATTATTTTTAATTGGCCTTTTCAAAGACGTCCCAGTGCTCCAATCTAATAAAAAATAATCAGTCAAAACCTGTTGTAATTAATTCCGAATAAATAACTTACTCTGGGGTTACATATACATATGTTAAAAGAAATTTAAACAAGTTAATGGGGGGCTAAAATTAAAAATTAGAATATTGCGTATAGATTGTTATTAGATTACTTACAGGCACAAGTGGGGGAATGACCATGGGTTCCTTAAGGCTTAAATAAACCTCAAACACATGTAACATGATCTGTAATATAATAATTAAAAAACCAAAATCATCGTTAAAAAGACACTATATACTTACGTCAGCATCAGAAGGCATACCAGCCGACTTGGGGGTGAAGCGGAAGCCAGCCAACTTGTTGCTTTTAGATAAATCTATATTTTGGGATCCCGATCAGAAAAACATAATCCTTTTTTTACTGCGAACCTTTTAATTCAGCTTACCTAAGATACGGTTTTTCACGTACATCATAGTTTCTTCGTCCGTTTGACCTTGTAATGCCAGAAAATCCACAACTTCTGAGACTGTGAAATCCTCATTGTCCTAAAATATAAATGTTAATATGTAAAACTCTCTCAATCCATGTCATTATTCTTACGTTAAACCCGGGGATCATTAAGGAGAGGGCAATGGTAACCGAAGGTGCTTTTACCAGGCTTTGGTTTTTTTTAGCAAGAACAACATCAAAGTGTTCAATGGCTTTTGCCAAGGGCAAAAACATTTTTTCGTATAAGACCTTCAAAAAAAAGAGTTGATTAACATGTCTTTAAATAATTTACCCAATCACACTTACGAGAAGAAGTCTGTCATAGAAAATGATGGAGCAGCGATCGTTGAATTTGGTCCAGTTTTTCTTGAGTTCTAGAATCTAAGTATTGTATTGTTAATATATTATTGATCTATTCGAGTATCTATTCATTCTTGTGTTTACCTGTTCGATTCTAAAGTCTGTAATTACTTTTTCTGTTCTGTTCAAATACCACATGATGCGCTCTCTTTGGGCAGATGGTCGAAGAGGGGGCCTAATGCATGGTACATACTTAAGCTTCGGTACTGCAATGTTAAATGTATTGCTTCTGGGAACTAATGAATTGGATAAAACCGAAAAGACTCTCTGTGGTGAGATGTCAAAAGAAGAGTTAAATCCTGTCTTAAAGATGCTTGTAAGGCTTGGTGCACAAGAGGTTGTGCGACTGGAAACAGAAGTACTGGGAGCAGGAATACTGGGGGCGGCTGAAATAGGATTAATGGCTTTCTCCTTGACGAAGTTTAAGAAGTCCGCAAACATATGTTTTGATTGTTGTCCCTTTGCAGCGGGTGTGGGTGTATTGGGTCGAACAGGTTGTTTTCCCAATAAGAATTCTATACGTACATGAATATGTTAGTCTTTTTAATAAAGATATGTCTAATCATTCAACGTATATTACCATAAAATACTGAATGTGCTGTTTGAAAAAAGTTTTTTGAAAGAGGTCCAGGTTCTGAGCAGTGATGTTTAATAAAAAAAAGTTACTTTCTCAATGTTTCTACTTACTGAAAAAATAAATGTCATAAGGAACCTTAACTTTAGCAATGTACGGGTTGATCGTTCCTTTGTAAATTGACCAAATATTGTAAATGCAAAGAAGAGAAAGCAATATTTCTAAATGGGCTTTGATTAGAACCACGCTTTGGTAATTCAATTATTCATACTCTTACCTAAACATTGAATTAACATCGCGTCGAAGATATATTTGAGAGGCCAAATGTTAAAAGAGAAGATTAAATAATTGAGTATGACCATGGCCAGTAATACTGCACCATTAGTTTGCACAATACAAGCGTTATAGGACGTGTAAGGCATAACGAGTTATATGGATAAAAAAAAAGAAAAATTTCAAAGCGTGTTTATTCTATTTTTTTTAAAAAAAAAAAAACGTTACTGTTCATTTTTGCAGTGTGTGTGTAACGAGTACGATCTTGCATGGTCACACAAGAGTTACTTTGCTAAAATGTGGAAGAACTGTCATGCGTCCTGGCTTGGCCCTGTACATGGATCAAAAATTTCTGCTCACCAAAATGAGTTCTAATATCAATACCATTTTGAGAAAACGAGGAAATGCTGAAAGTGATGGTGTCCCTTTTACAGTTAAGGATGTTGCGAACGAAGATTATGTCACAAGGCTTTTAAACCGGGATCAAGCATTCAAGACATTTTTGGGAGTTCGTTCATCTTCTGAGTATTGGAAAAATGAAAAGAAAAATTGCATGGCTATGATCAGGCAGTGTAATGTTCCGACATAGTTTTTAACTGTTTCTGCAGCAGAGATCAAATGGAATGAGCCTCTTTGTGTTTTGAAAAAAAGTTGTAGATGATGATATTATGACGGAAGAGCAAGCTGAAGAACTAACGTATGAATAAAAGGCACGAGTATTACAAATTGACCCAATCACGGCTGCGAGATATTTTGACCATCGGTTTAGGGAATTGAAAAGAACATGGCTGGATAAAGAACGGCCTTTTGCTGGCTTTATGATCAAAGAGCACTTTTTCAGGGTCGAGTTTCAACACAGAGGTAAAAATTATTTTGACGATTGGGCGGGTATTTATTTACAGACTTTCTAAATAGGTTCCCCACATGTACACAAGTTAATATGGTTGAAGTATGCACCCGTATACGAAGACAAAGCATGCAGTAGTGAAGATGAAGTCGTGTCAATTAAAGAAAATATCTGTAGATTTGCTGACACTATGATCACTTGCAGCAAAAAAGTGGGACGGAACAGCTCACCATGATGATAAATCCAAAAGTTCAGATAGTACGTGGACATGGTCTTATTAAAACAAAACAAACCAGCACTTGTAGAAGAAAACGAGAAGGTAACACCATAATATGTAAATTTAATATTCCATTCCCTCCTATGTGCCAAACAGTAATTATGGAACCTTTGGAAGAGAATAAGCATACAGTAGATGATCTTAAAAATTTGCGTCTTCTAAACTCTCGTATTTCGGCCTATTTTAACGATAACTCAAAAACGTTATCCGAATCCAAAATGACAATACAAGATTTTCTAGATATAGTGGAAGCACCTTCCTACGAGAAATATCTTTTAGCTTTGAGAGTCTATTTGAAAATCAATAAAATCTACATTCAAAGGGCACCAAATGAAATCATGGTCAACAACTATAACAGAAAAATCTGTAGCATGTTTAGATCCAACATGGGCTTACCGTCCAGCTTGTTTTAAAAAAAAAACCTTTGAGGGGTTTAACAACCGCAAATGGTACCATAGTTTGGAAAGGACTAAAGTGTTGGTGACAGTGGTTCTTCCCCGAAAAGATGAACCCCGGTTAAAATGAGTATCGATCATTTCCAACAGTAGGGTTTCGACGTATTTATAGACTCGTTTGAAGATTGAATAATGAAGTACCCCAAGTATGTAATAGGCATCAATGAACGATGATCAAATATGTCAGTGATGGAATGATTCGCCAGTATATTAAGCCAATTTGACCCCCAGCGGTTTTCCGGTTACCGATAATACCTGCGTTTTGGAGGTGTTGAGCTTGCCGTTACTGGCTCTTTCATAAAATCCAACAAAAGAGCGACAGTTTCATTGTATCGGGGATCCAGATGAGCATAATCAATTAAGGATTTGAGGATGATACCGTTATCTCCAGTAAAGCGACCACACATAAAGCCGGTTTGGTGCAGGTTAATGATATGATCAGCTGCTAGTATCATACGAGAATTGATGATTCTAGTAAAGATTTTAGCGTCACAATTAGTCAATGAAATCGGTCGCCAGTTTTGCAATAGTGATTGATCCCCCCCCCCTTTTTTTTGGAAGGAGAGACATAATGGAGCTATGCCAAGAAGAAGGAAATATACCGTCTACCAGTGCCTCGTTATACAATCTGTCGATCAGTGGTTTATCTAAGCGGAAGTCGAAAAATGAATAAAATTATCCCGTAACTTAACCCATCCACCCTGTTCCATAATATCATGTTAATGATATAGGTGCAGAAAGAAGTTCTTGGTGAATGAGGTTTAATTTTCTTTTGCTTGGAATACTGTCAAGCAAAGTTTGGATTTGATCCATCTGTCGTATTTCGGGTACGATTCACTTATAAGAATAATTAAGCAAATCGTTTAAATAAATAAACTATGAAATTAAAACAACTTTTGATGCTGCATAATCAGCATACTCTTGTATACTGCTATACCACTTCTTCTACTACGAGTACATACTTCTATATTTGGGATCTTATGTTCATTACAAAGATAATGAATAAATAATCAACTATTACTATTATGTTCTACTGTCAATTACACTTGACAAACAAGTATGTATCTTTTACAATAGTAAACGTTGCATGATCTGATAAATAAGTGTCTCGTAATACTAAAGATTTACTAGATTACTTATTTTGGCAATTCTATCGTCACTTTTTCGCCTTTGAGCTCGTTTGATCTTAATCTTTACGCAGCAATATTAAGGTAAAATCCAAACGAGAAGCTGAAATGAAGCTGTAAAACATATATACTGGTTTACACTATGTTGGTTTTAATAAACTTGTATATATTTCAAGTTGTCAAGTTATATTGACCTCTTGATGTCTATTAAAGTATCATAATCCCAACAGTACGACTACGCGCACCCTGGCTGTCGCCAAGGCGGGAAACAAAATATAAAGTTCACTCAAAATGCAATCTGTTATTATTTTTCTCAGACTCTTCTATTTCGATATACTTTTTTATTTTTAGAGAAAATAAAAAGAACCTATCCCAAATTGTTACTACTAGAGTTGCTGAAATGTATCAAGTTTTATTTTGGACTCGTTGAAGATATCAGAATTATCATGGAATTAGACATTTCTGAACTTTACCGACAACAATGTCTCCACTACAGCATCCTCGATGTTGTCTGTTCCATCAGAACCAGAAGAGACGCTGCTAACGCTACTGAAAATACTTTTCTTCCTCCCACTGGGAGTTTTACGATCTGAACGATATTGTTCTTCCCTCCAGAGACCGTCCTGGAACGGACATGATCTCAAAGCTCATTCTTCAAGAAAGACCCATCGTTAATTTAATCGTCGAATATTTGAAAAAAAAAAAAATACAGAGGTCTTATTTATTGATCGAAATAGTTTTACAAGAAAACTTACAGAAGCCTTTTGATTCCCTTTGCGAGTATCTGTTTGTTCCTGATGCGACAAGATTCATCTCTTCTTCGCTCACGGTATAACTCTGATGAAACAATAGAGTTTCTATACCGTTTGGCACAACGTCATGTCGGCACTACAATTATTGAACACGAGCGTATTGTTGATGAGTTCCTCTCATTTTCGATTGAATTAAAGACTCGGCTGGAAGAAGCCATTAATTTACAAGAAAACGACAACAAAAATGCGGCCGTGTCTCAACTAAAGAACACAATTTCTTTAGTCAATTCATACCAAGAGAAGTGTAAAGTACTTTCTACTGCTGCTGACTCTGACCCTGTGTTATCAGGGTCAGCATCACTATCGTCATCGATTGATCCCTAGCCTGATCAACCGGAGTCATCCTCTCCCTCAATCACAAAGGGACGCGAACTGGGACTTTGTGCAAAGTTGCATTCAGAAGCTGGATGATGGTGAAAAAATCTCTTGGAAGATTGTATACGAGGAAGGAAAAGGGCCAAGGATTGTTCAAAATTTATTCTCTTGCAGCATCCATGAAACGTGCATATTACCGGGCAAGAAAATAAAAGTTTTTACATACATTTTTGGGGGGCCAACCTTTTTTTTCGTTGACTTTATTACATTATCTGCTTTTTTTAAGTTATTGATTCTCTATCTTAAATTAAAACGTCCCGATGTTAAGTCACTTGACGTGAAAGAAAACATTTAATGTTTTTTTTTTGTATATGTGTACGTGCGCGAATTAGAATTTACCCGTGGGAAAAAAAAAATTTAAAAATTTCATCATCATTTCATCGCCATGGTAAATTGCTTTTAGCAGACAGAAAAAAAAAAAAGTAGTTTTTCTTTTTCCCCCACAAAAAAGAATTTTGGAACGGAGATGATTCGTGTTACAATGTTAGAAAAGTTATGTGAGAGAGAAGCGTGTAACGCAATTCTATGACTAAGAGTTAATTTATCTTAAATTTCACTATACTTGAAATAAATATGTACATAAAAAGGTGATTCTTTTTGTTTTGGTAGTAGCTTTTTATGTGATAGTATCGTACTCTCGTGTTAAGAATCTAAACGTTTATCAGTCATCGTTTTTTTTATGTACCTGATGAAGAAAACGCTTTTCCAAAAAAAAAAAAAAAAAAAAATTTATGACAAAGTCTGACTCGAATATTTAATTCATCTATTTTTTTTTGTTTTTAGAGAAAAAAATGAATAACCCACACACAAAAAAAGGTACAGGACAATCCTAAATGCAATTGTTAAATAAAAAGTCTCTCTCTCTCGCAGGCTAATTGGCATTTATGGCTTTGATAATAAAATAAAAAAACACCCTAAAAGATCAGTTGATGCGTCAAATGCAATCCCTTTTTCCTACTAATACTTTTTTTCATGTGTTAAAAAAAATATAAATCATGTGGCTGTGACCAAGAAACTGGTTAGGAATTATGCAAACAGAAACAAGATTCTGCGACAAAAAAGCAATCTAATACTTCTTTGTAGAATTAAGTAATGTGTACACACTCACAAGGGACTTTTTTTTTATTATAAAGGAGATTTAAAACAAGTAATATTTACACTGACTAATACACTATCCACCCCCCACTACATGATCTTTTACTTTCAATGTATCATGGAAGGGGAGCAATTTTTCTTGTCATAGTGTGCCTTGTGCAATGGGATGAGGGGGGGGGGGCGCAAGTCAGTTCCCGTGCATCATAATAAACGTTCAAACAATGAAATTTAACAAAAGAGTAATTTTAATACAAAGATATGCACGCGTTCAACCATTTTGTTAATGGAAATGATGTAATTAGTCTCTGGTAGTATGCCACTAAACACATAAAATCGAATTTTTGTTGTTTATAAATGGAGCACTTTAGGGTTTGTGACACAATAAGTACGGGAGATCTCTCTTTTTAATTATATCTCAGCGTTATTGAAGGTGAATGTCATCGTATACACTTGATTGATGTACATGAAAGAGATAGGGGGTCCTCTTGGTAACCCATAATCAAGAAGATAAACGATATCACGTGCTGTAATGGTGTACGGGTGCGCCTTTTTTTTTTCTTTATCAATGTTTAAGATAGGTCTTTTGGTAGGATCTGTACGACGAATATAATAAAAAAAAACATGGGGCTCATTTTTTTTCTTTGGTTGCATGTAAGAAAAAGATGCAATATGATGCATTTTTCTGTCTGCGCAATTTGTTGTTTTTTTGCGGAGAAAGTGAGTAATAATAAATGCAGACGAAATGTAAATCAATATAAAATCTCACATGTAAGGATATGTATGCGCACAAGAAGGCTTGAGCGGTCATTTGGGTCAGGTGAACAAGAAATAAAACTCGGGCCATGTTTTTTTTTCTTGTTTCTAGACTATATATATATATTGATGTTGTGGCTCACGGGTGTGTTCAAGGCAAAATGTTGCTGTTTGGTTTTTTTTTTGTTTGGTGGGAAGAAGGCGGGATAGAACAGAAATGGAAAAGGAATGACAAACGAATTTTTTGACTCTGTAAAATGTACAGAGTGTGTTGTACAACCATCACCAATCACGGGTAAGATTTTAATGGTTCAAGAAACGATTCTTTTAAGAAAGATATAGCTCCGCAACTACTGCTGGGCATTAAAATAAAAAAAATAGCTATAATTGATTACAGGCACATGTAGTCATGGCTAATAGATTAAACTGTACTAAATAAATGGTGGGTTTTGTTAGATTTCATCTCAGCAGTGGAGGAAACCTTTCATCATTTCCTTCTTTTTTTAACCTTCCCCTCATAAAATAAGGTTGTTTCGTCAGTAGTGCGTGTACAATTGATTCAGCGAAATCCGGGGTAAAAGATGGGAAATGCGGGATGCTAAAATTAAACAGTGGCTAGTTTAAATCCTTTATTGGGTAATTAGAAATAACGCACCAGTGATATGATGGGTTATAATTTTTAAAGTGTGTAAAGATGTAAGAGAGGGACCCTCATTCCCCTTTTTTAACAGGCAACAGGACTCCGATCCAAGTTGTAATTGTGGGATAAACATTTTTGCTTTTTTTTTTATTTTTTTCTTTTAGAGTCTGGACTCTTCCCCCCCTTTTTTAATGTGAACAATAAAGAAAGGGACAGAGAGCAGTGAAACGTGGGGAAGCTTAAATTGGAAAGAATGACTCATGACCGGGCCTAAAAAGAGATTAAATCTCCCACGGTGTAAAAAGAAAAAAAGAAGTAGTAGTAGTGGATTTATCATAAATAATGAATCATTGAATTATTTCCTACCTTTTTTTTTTCTTCCTCCGCGGAATGGGTATTTTTTTGTGGGGAAAATAACTCAGTCAGGCCCTCATGTGAAACCTTATGAATCAGCAATAAAAAGGTACAACCAACTTGTAGCGGAGAAAACCGGGTGTAAGTTTAAGAAGGGTTCAAAGGGCCTTTTTTTTTTTTTTTTTGTTCAGGGTGACTATAAAAGCACCTCACTCTTCTTTTGCTTTCTGGACTCTTTTTTCAACTTGTAAACATTAAAAAACTAACAAAAGATATCTTCATTAAAGAAAAGACCTTTTATCTCACTCTAAACACACTGAATGATATAACAAGTATCAAGTATTTTCTCTTTTTCCCCCTTTTCTCTCTCTCTCTCTCTTTCTCTCTCTCTCTCTCTTGCTATCTCGCTTTCTTCTTTAATTATTTTATTGTATATCTATCAATTATGGAATACGACGCATCTCATAAAGCTTCTAGCGTGACTAGTACAACAAGTAATTCATCCATTTGGGACCCTTTGCCTTCACTCTACACTGGACGTGCAGACTCCGTTTCCAGTGCATACGATGAGCTTCCTGAGCCTGAGCCAATAGAAGGTAAGCCAACAAAAATTGATTTTTCTCTGGAATGTACACTAATCACTATTATTATCTTATATAGCCTATGTTCCTCAGCTTGAGAAAAAACAAGATGAAAAGACCTTTTCCGAATTCTTGAATTCATTTTTCAAGGAAGAAGTAAAGGTAAATTTCCCACACTTATTATTTTCTTCTTTCCTTCTGCGGAGTTGTAAATCTAACCGTTCAATTATAGGACAAAGTCCCCTCATCTCATGGGAAAAGACGTCTTGAAGAAGAAGAGAATCGAGAATTATTATCTGATGATCAGAAACGAGCCAATCATATTGCATCTGAGCAAAAACGACGTAATACCATCCGTGGTGGATTTAAAGAATTGACAGAAATCATTCCGACCTTAAAGAATATCAATAATTCCAAGAGTACCATTCTATTCAAGTCAGTTGATTATATTAAACAACTTGACAAACGAAATAAGTCTCTAAGAGAAAGATTATCGCTTTTACAGCAGCAACGAAAGAAGCCAATCACTCATAAGAAACAAGTTCAGTTGCTTCAAGAACAGTTACGAGCACAACAAGAATTATTAACAAGACATAATATTCATTCGATACCTCTTTACACTACCCATTCTTCTATTTCGATTCCTGCCATGGATGATACTCCCGTTACTTCAACAACAAATTCTCCTACTATGCCTCATGCATCATTACCAACTGTAAATATTCATCATCATCAATTTCATCAACAACAACAACAAAATACATATCAAACGTCTGCCGCTCTCGTCATCCCTGCAGATGATTGGTCTCATTCAAACGCTCCAAGTTTTAATATTCCGGCTGATGATCATCATCATCACCACCATTATCCTCAACACTCTTTTCGTGAAAGATTATTAAGTTCTGGTAAATTAAATCATTTAAGAAAAGACGTCTTGTAATAAAAATAACTATGTCTTTACCTCCCCCCCCTTCAATTTCTATTGGTTATGTCTAAATATATAAAACTTGCCAATTACGGAAATTCATGCAATCCATGCGGTTTGTTCCCTCAATAAAATAGTCACCTGCTATTTATAACTATCTCTCTCCCAATAATCTATAAAAGAAACCCTTTCTATATTTTTTTTTCTTTCTCTCTCTTTTTTTTTTTTTCCTCGCTCTTTTTCTTTTTTCAAATCAATCCTCTTCTTTAAACATAATGCTCCCTTTTGGCTCCATTTCTGTCTCTCTCTCTCGCTGGTATCCACTTTTAAAACTTGACTAAATCTTGTTTTCTCTTTTGTAACAGTTTAAATTCCCCGTCGTTTCCCTAATCCTGCTATGGGCTCTTCTGGTTCTCTCTCATCGCTGATGGTCTCTCTCTTCGCTGCTAGGTGTAGTGGTTGTCGATAAGTTTTCCAATTTTTAAAAAGAAACAAACACACACACACACACACACAGAAACAAAATTTAGGGAGGGATGTCTCCCCTATTTTTGATGCACTTATTTCTCTCCCCCCCTCATCAATCCAGAACAGAAATTTCAACTTTTTTAAACTGGTTTCTCTCTCTCCTCTTTTTGGTTGCTAAAGCAAAACGCTCCCTCTCTTTTTGGTCTGGGTTGCCAAGCTCTCTCTCTCTTTGTGGTTGCTAAGTAACACTCAAAAAGCAAAAAAATTACTGATTTGTCACACATTAGCTCCCAACAGCTTTCCACATGGTGTATACTCTTCTTTGGGGTTCTTCCAAGTAACTCGAACAAAGCAAAAAAAAAAGTACTGATTTGTCATCTAGCACTACCCCCTCCCAACATCGTTCCTCATTAGCCGCAACTGCAAAACTATTCTAAGGGTCAATATGTCTTCTATTTTTTTATTATTTTGAGGAATTGTTCTTTTTTATATTTTCTTGTCGTCGCCCTTCTGTCTCTTTTTGTATCTGGACGATCTATCTTCAGTCTCTCTCTGAGTGTTTCAATTTTTGTGTCTGTGCTAGTCTTTCTCAAGGAAAAAAAAAAAGCTTTCTGAGGGGTTTTTTTTTTTTGGATTTTTGGATTTTTTGTCTTACGGATTTGGAATTGGATTTGGAATTTTTTAATTTTTTTTTTAATTGGAGGGAATTTTTTTGTTTACACAAATCATTGCTTCTAACCTTTCTTTTCTGTAGGTCTTTCTTTAAAAAAAGACTTTTTTATATATATATTTTTTTTCCCTTCTATTGTTGCGGCTAACTTTGTTTGGTTGGGATTCCAAAAAGAAAAAGCTTCATTCTTTCATGCACCCTTAGAAATACATTTTAACTTTTTTTTATAAATAAAATTGTCCTCCCTTTTTGCCATCACCCTAAAAAAAAAAAAAAAAAAAAGCTATTTTTAAATTTAAGTCATCACCTGCTTTTTTTTTTTTCTTAATTAAATCATGAACAAAAAGATATATATATACAATCATTCTTTAAACCTTCATTACGAACGACATCTTTTGTTTCAAAAATTACTTTAGAACGATTAAGAAATTCAGAACACCGTAACAAGTAAACAATAGAGTGTCAATATATCATTGGTTTGAGAATAAGGTTGTGACAGGTGGTATGACCCTCACCACGTTTTTTTTTATTGTCTTTGTGTAGCACATTTTTACCGATTATATATATTCTCAACACCCCCCACATGTTTATTTTATTTTTCTTTATATCGCAATCGAATTGTCAACTGACATCTTTTTATGGGGGGTGACTCATACGCACACTAAAAAAAAAAGATGAGATTTCATGCGATCCCGATGCTATTACCGCCGTTCAAAATTAGCGATCTGATAATTACACTGCCTTCGATATTTCCTTGTTGTGGGAAGTCCAGTTGATTGAGCACAGTGGTAAAAGACTAGCGATTGAGGTATAAAATGTTGAATATAATTTCACAACTTACATTGTTTTGGGGTGCACTTTGTCCCTAAAAAGCGTTTCTTTTTCTCTCCCGAGTTTTATGAACAAGTAAAAATAAGACTTTGTTGTCAAAATGAAATTGTTTTATTAAACTGGCTATTTGTTTATTCAAATATAAGCTAAGGTTAATGGCTCTCCTAAAACTCGAGATTTAATCAAGTATTGGTTTGGATCACTAGATTTAGCCATTATTCTTAATGAATATTCTAGTGAATAATCATAAGTAAGATGCTTACACTCTAAGATGAGATCATATACTGAATTATCTTTTACGCCGAAATAAATTTCATAATCTGAGGCTTTTTTAACCGCATCTAAAATAACATGTTTTTTCAGATTGGTACGACAGGGATTTCTGGCTCGAATAATTACTAGAGTGGCATTTCTATCAAAAGTTAGGGTGTCTTCATTTATAACAGCAAAAAAAAAGAAAAAAAGTACCAGCAGCTGCATTTTCACAATTTCTTACTTTGATCATTGTTCCCGTTGTCGAAAGTTTTCTCCCTTTTTCAATCAAAATTAGGCAATCACCGGACCTCGAAAGATTGTGTTTGATATCACCATTACAGGCTACATGAACAAACGGGTGCCTCCTACGAAACTGATTATCATAAACCTGAATCCCATATGTATTGCCTGGTACTTGACACAATGTCCCTTTTGTAAACCTGTCAAACATATGCGGCTTGCTAATTTTAAACAAATCCAATAACTGGTCAAGTGAATCCTTCATCACAAATGCTTGGGTATCTTTTCCTTTTGACTTTATGCCATCATCCATTACTTTTTGAAGTATACTTGTATAAACATTATAGAAAGGTGAGCGGTAACTTAGATTAAAAGGATCTCCCGGTACAAAAAGATAATCCGTCTTATAATTTTCAAACAGATCGCAATTAGTCAATGTGGCGGCTATCGTTCTTACAATATTTTCTATAACTGGTTGAAGACCTTTCTCGATTACGAAACGAAGAGATATAACCATATGACAAGAACATTTTTTATTGACATTGAACTTCGTACATAACTTCATGTCCACATTATGACTATCGTTTTTTAGCTACTTGTAAAGAAGTTAATAAATAATCAATTGTTCTTGGTATCAACTTACAAGTTCAATAATGTGTTGCTTCAGATTTTGCCGGATGTCTCGATATGCTTGGAATGAGCCGAAATCATATTCTGTATTGTTTTTGTTTTTGTGTGTCATGCAATAAGTAAGCTGACAATTTGACTGCATTTTCTTCCAAATGTTTTTGCATAATTCATCATACACATCATCAAAGTAAACTATTTTATCTTCAATAATAATGCTAGCTGCATCTTCTCCAGGCGATGCTAACTTAACAGTTTGATGCAAAGTAAGCTGAACATGCTGTGGAAATATGTGTGAAACAACAAAGTATGATTTCATCTTCAATTTGAAATCCAAGATTTTCTGAATAGCTGGTAGAATTTCTTCGCCGCGAACGCTGAATTTTGCTCTCCTAAGATTGTTGTCCTTCAGAAGTATCCCACTTGCATAAAATAATTTTTCCAGCTTTTTTTTCGACACGAATACAGTTTCCAATAAATGCTTGTCAACAGATACACCGTACCATATGTTTTTGACACGCAAATCATTACCGAATTTCTCTTTTAGTTTTTTTTCCATGAACTTTTTTAAATTGTGCAGGTATGCTACAATAAAAAAGAAGATGTAACCAGGATTTGAAGTAACCAGTAAATCCACTTCGTCGTTATCGGAATTATCCCTTAACGCAAAAAGACTATCCATTTTAACATTTTTCGTAAGTCTTTCAAGTAGGTGTGGCCTTGAAGAGGCAAATAAATATCTAATTTTCTTTGACCGATTTTTACTGCTTTTTATTCTAAGGTAATTTCCAAAAGTACTCTTGGTTTCAACTTTTCGTAAAATTCGTTTGAAAAATTCTGATGCAGATTGAAGTAAACTCGCTGATTTTGTTTTTTGGTTTGACTTGGAGTACATTGTAAGATAGTCGGCAAACAGTTTTTCTAAATGTGTCTTAATTCTATAGATGTAGAAGTAAATAACTGGAACTACTTTTTTTTTTGCTCTTTGTTACCTATCATTTATATGAAGCTGCAATCTTTGATACAATTCTGATTGTTTGAAAAATGTATGCAAAGGTTGTATGTTACTGTAATGGAAATAAAAAATTAACATTCGTTTAGATCAACATATATAAACTTTGTATTACGATTATGACACACTTACAAGCGAATATCTTCTATTTGTTTGACTCGACTCTTCTCATCGACATATGTCAGAGTAATTTTGTTTTTTGTAGGTAGCAGGTCTATTTTAAGGCGAAAAGTCAGTACGTTAAAAAATCAAAATAAAATTTATCTACCTATATTTATAAAATAAACAGGCTTTGAACAGCTTCCATATTCTTCATTTGACGAGTCTCTAGGCAATATGATTGGGTCTCTACGGATATTGTAATCATTCATGTGTTTTCTTACAAACACACTAGCCATTTTCATTCTATGTGTGGCATCAAATTCATAAACGAAGTATTGGTCATCCCCGATTGATTCGCCGATTAATTCGTATGGGCTATCTTTCTGTTTGCTACGTGTCTTTGACCATTTTTTAACTAAACCGAGTACTGCTACCATCCTCTTGTCAATATTGACATCGTCCGTGTGAAAAATTACTAGAGATCTAGATTTGATATTGTCTGTACCCTGAAGTAATGTGCTTATTCCATTCATGCAGCTTTTAGCGACAGAGGGAATCAAGGCCTCATAAACATTTCCCATAGTAAATGATCTAATATTGTTGATCATGAGGTCAAATTCCTTTTTGCCGTATTTTGAATCATAAGCATATTCCAAATTTATACTAAAAAACGGCTGATACGATAAGGGACGTCCAAGTATAAAATCCGACATAGTTTCCCTAAATCTTTCTACGTATGTGCGTGATATTGTTTCTTCTAGAATTTGGAGCATCTGGTCAATAATTTTGAGTACCAGTTCGGAATCACAAAATTTCTCAAGACATGTTGTCAGTGACGACTTGACATTGTGAGACCTAAGAGAAATTGTAAAATGAAAATCCTTCAATAGTTGAGGAACATATCCGCTGTCCACTGTTTTGAAGCTTGGATATTGTGCTGAAACCAAATTTAGATTGACACGTATCTCTTGCTGAAAATACAAAGACATTATGATGTACTGATGACCTTGATTCATTGCTACATTGAACTCCCTAAACCTTCTAGATTGCAGATATCGAAAATTTAACTCCAAATCAGTGAAAAAAATTAATCTGCCTTGATCATCTTCTTCGTTAAGCACACCAGATTTTATGAAAAGTGGCCGGATAAGCTCCTCTTTGATGTTTTCATTCCAACCTGTAGGAATAGTAAAGACATAACATAACTCTGCTTCTGAACAATTTAATTCTTGTTTCCTAATGTTCGCATGCCCCTGTAAAACTTTTATTGCCATCTGTTGAACAACATAAAACCAATTTCGTTCACAATGATCTTCCTGATGTTTTTCATAGGTATTATAAAGTTCGGTAAAAACGTTGGGTATGTAAAGCCAATTTTCTGGGAGTTCCTCGGTTTCCGACATTGAATAATTAACATATTTATCATTAGATATTACGGTCTTACTGGTGGTGTCGTATATAATTGAAGCGGTAGATTTTCCTTTCCACCTTTTTTCAGGCACTATCTTAATGAGAACAAAGAGTCTTTTATGTTGTTACAATTTTAGTCTTACCACTCGTTAAGTCCGTCTTCGAAGTAACTGCCTATTTCATAGATGTTACTATGGAGGCAGTGATGGTCGAGAACTTATTCAAGTCAGTATCAATGTCATAAGTCACCAAATTGTTCCTCCTTTATTTATTACCGAAAGCAATACAGAATTTATACCGAGAGTAGTCATGCTCTTCATCCATTTTTTTTTTAAAAAATTAAGTTTCAGGCGAGTAAAAGCAGAAAACAAAACAAAAGCACACCAAAGCCCACGTTTTATACAGCTTACGTAGGGTGCACAATAGTGTATAGATGGCGCGTCTATACGTCTATTTGTACCACAAATAAAAAAAAAGGTTAAGCCTACGTATTTCTAAAACGCCAACACGCTTTACTGTCTGCTTTTTACCGTTTTGTGAATTAAGATTTTGTTTTTGAGAAGTGGGTCTTAGTGCAAGACACACAAGAAATTCGACCTTGCACTTTTCGGTCGAAAGATTTATTTCTCTATGATATAAAATAAAAATCGTCCGGAAGGCTTCGCCGAGAAGGCCTTATAATGTTACACATGCACACTGTAAAGAACAGCTAATATTTATCTTACTCGGTCTCTATGGGAAGAAGGAAATTATGGTGTCGCTTAAATGGTTATGATATCGTTAAATATGAGTTCCCAATACTTTCTTTGGGCTTGCAAGGGTGGGGTTTCTTAAGGACAGCCGATTTTAATTACACACAACTGTGTTACACACAGTTGTAACGCAGAATTTGATACTTTATGACACCAAGAGGTCAACTTGATTTCAAATTCCTGAAATCAAAACGAAAATTCATCACAATAAATATGTTGTTATTATGTTTTCGTGCTTTCTAGCTTACCTTCAACGTCTCATTCAGGCTTCACTCTAATATTAAAATGCAGTTTTAAGATCGAACAAGCGCAAGAGTAAGAGTTACAATTGGATTGGAAGAAGAGTTTAAATCCTTTGATATATACTCATAACTATTGACTTGTTTTGGGTTGTATCTTCTTGTTCTCAAATTGTAAGGACTGCTATTACACCCTGTTTTGCGTTGTAGGATTTTCCTAAAGAAAAATGAGCTGCCACTAACAGAAGCGTTTTTTTTTCCAAGTTTTGAAACTAGGCTTAAATTCAGCTAGGGAACCACCACAATAATGTTTTTATTAAACTTGCTAATTTTTTATTTACTCAAATATAAGCTAAGGTTAATGGCTCTCCTAAAACCCGAAATTTAGATAAATAATCATTTAAACTCTGAAATTTGTCCATTTTTTTTATGCTAAATTCTAGAGAATAATCATAGTTGCGGTGCTTACAGTCCAGAATAATATCATAGGCAAAATGCCCTTGGGAATCGCTTTCGGTTACAAACCTTTGGAAGTCTGTGCGCTCATCTAACAGATCATATTTTTTTATTTTGGTCCTTAATGACTGTCTGGATTTAATAACCACTAGAGTGGGATTTGTATCAAAAGTTAGGATGTTTTTCTTTAGAACCGCGTAAAAAAGAACGTACCAACGTAAGAGTCTTGTTTACCAGGCCCTACACATGAAGTTATTTTGAAAATCATTCCCGTTTTTGACAGTGGTTTCCCTTCTTCAATAAAAATTAGGTAATGACCCCGCCCTACTACGAAGTTTTTGATAACACCATTACTGTTCAATCGAACAAAGTCATGGTTCTCACGATGATAGAAACGCAATCCGTAAGTGCTGCTTGGTACCTGGCACAACGTTCCATTGATAAACCTGTCAAACATATGCGGCTTGATACTTTTAAACAAATGCAATAACTGGTCAAGTGAATCCTTCATCACGAATGCCTGCGCATCTTTTCTTTTCGAATGTATGCCATCATCCATTGCTCTTTGAAGTATTGTGGTGTACACCGCATAAAGAGGTGAGCCATAAGAAAGATTAAAAGGATCTCCCAACACAAAAACATAATCCGTCTTGTAATTACCAAATATGTCATAATTAGTCAATGTGGCAGCTATCGTTTTTACAATACTTTCTATAACTGGTTGCAGACCTTTCTCGATCGCGAGACGGAGAGATATAACCATATGACAAGAGCATTTTTTATTGACATTCGACTTTGTACATAAATTCATGTCCACATTTTGACTATCGTTTTTTAGCTACTTGTAAAACAGTTAAAAAAATAATAAATTGTTCTCGGCATCAACTTACAAGTTCAACAATCCGTTGCTTAAAAGTTTGGCGGATGTCTCGATATGCTTGGAATGAGCCAAAATCATATTCTGTATATTTTTTGTCTTTGTGTGTGATGCAATAATCAATCTGACAATTGGACTGCATTTTCTTCCAAATGTTCTTGCATAAATCATCATACACATCATCAAAGTACACTATTTTATCTTCAATAATAATGCTAGCCGCATCTTCTCCAGGCGATCCTAGTTTAACTGTTTGATGCAAAGTAAGCTGAACATGCTGTGGAAATATTTGTGAAACAACAAAGCATGATTTCATCTTCAACTTCAAGTCCAAGGTTTGCTGAATAGCTGGTAGAATATCCTCGCCGCGAACACAGAATTTTGCCCTCCTAAGATTGTTGTCCTTTAGGAGTATCCCACTTGCATAGAATAATTTTTCCAGCTTCTTTTTCGACACGAAGACAGTTTCCAATAAATGCTTATCAACAGATACACCGTACCATATGTTTTTGCCTCGCCAGTCATTCCAAAATTTTTTGTCTAGTTCTTTGTTTAACAGCATGTTTAAATTGTGCAGGTATGCTAAGATGAAAAATAGAATGTAACCAGGATCAGAGGTGTCCAGTAAATTTGTATCGTCACTACAAGAGCTATCATTCTTCATAAAAAGATCATCTGTTTTAACGTTCTGCATAACTTGCTCGAGAAGGCTTGGGCTTGAGGAGGCAAAGAAATTTCTGATTTCCTTTGGCCAATTTTTGCTAGTTTTTATCCCAAAGCAACTGCTAAAGGTAGTTTTATTTTCAAGCTGAGGTAAACTCGACGAGGTTTTTTGATGGTCGGATTTTGAGTATATTATAAGATACTCAGCAAACATTTTCTCTAATAATATCTTGGTGCTATACATAGAAAAAGTCAATAGTTTGAACCACTTTTTCTTGCTCATTATTACCTATTATCAATATGAAGCTGTGGTCTTCGACACAATTTTGTTCGCTTAAAAAATGCATGCAAAGATTGTATGTTACTGTAATGGAAATAATAAATTAACATCCGTTTAAATTAGCATATAGAAACTTTGTATCACGATTATGGCACACGTACCAGTCAATACTTTCCTTCTGTTCGATCCGACTCTTCTCATCTACGTATGTCAGAGTAATTTTGTTTTGTGTTGGTAGCAAGTCTATTTCTCGAATAAAAAGTCAGTATGTAACAAAATATTAAAGTAAAATTTATTTACCTATATTTATAAAATAAGCAGGCTTTAAACAGCTTCCATATTCCTCATTTGACGAGTCTCTAGGCAATATGATTGGGTCTCTACGGGTATTGAAATCTTTCATTCGATTTCTTACAAACACACCAATCATTTTCATTTTATATTCGACATGAAATTGATAAAGGGAGTACAGTTCACTCGGTGTTTCTTTGGCGATTAATTCGTATGGGATATCTTGCTCTTTTCTACGTGTCAATACCCATTTTTCAACTAAACCGAGTACTATTACCATGCTCTTGTTAATGGAAGTTTCCTCCGTGTAAAGAAGTACTAAAGATCTAGCTTTGATATTGTCTGTACCCTGAAACAAAATGTTCATTCCGTCCATGAAGGTTCTCACAACAGAATGAAACCAGTCCTCAAAAACATTTTCCACAGTTAATAGTCTGATGTTGTCGATCATGAGGTCAAATTCCTCTTTACTGTACTTTGAATCATAAGAATATTCCAAATCCATTCGAGAAAACGGTTTCGTTGATAAGTCACAAGTTCGAGGTCCAGGTCCTGTACTAAACAAGGTATTCCCAAAGTTTTGTGAATACATGCATTCTATTTCTTTTATTAGAGTTTCAAGCATCTGGTCAATAATTTTGAGTACCAGTTCGTAATCACAAATTTTTTCAAGACATGTTGTCAGTGATGACTTGATATTGTGAGACCCAAAAGGAATAGTAAAATGAACATCCTTTAATAGTTGAGGAACATATCCGCTATCCACTGTTTTGAAGCCTGGATATTGTGCGGACACCAAATTTAAATTGACATGTATCTCTTGCTGAACATCCAAAGACATTATGATGTACTGATGCCCTTGATTCATGGCTACAATGGGCCCCTTATGACTTTCATATTGCAGATATCGGAAAGCTAACTCTAATTGGGTGAAAATATTCAATCTGCATATATCATCTTCTTCGTTAATCAGACCACATTTTACGAAAAGTGGCCGGATAAGTTCCTCTTTGGTCTTATCATCCCAATTTGCAGGAATAGTAAATGCATAACAAAACTCTGCTTCTGAACAACCGATTGCTTCTCTATGATCAGCCACTAGCATTTGTAAAATTTCTATAACTCCCTGGAGAACAATTTCACTGAATCCATTACCTTCAGAATGCGCTTCCTGTTGTTTCAAATAAGTATTATAGAGTTCGGTAAAACTGTTGGGTATGTAAAGCCAATTTTCTGGGAGTTTCACGTTTTCCGACGCTAATTCATCAAGTGAGTTACATTTAGCAAAAATGGTCTTAGTGGTGGTGTCGTACAGAAATGAAGGGATAAATGTTGATATACTCCTTTTTTTTCAGGCACTATATTGAGAACAAAGAGTCTTTTATGTCACTACAATATTAGTCTTACCATTCGCTAAATTTGTCTTCGAAGTAACTGCCCATTTCAAAGATATTTATATAGAGGTTTTGATGTTCGAGAACTTATTCAAGTTAGTATTAGTGTCATAAGTTGCCATATTGTTCCTCCTTTATTTATTACCAAAACAAATACGGTATTTATACCGAGAGTAGTCATACTCTGCATCCATTTTTTTAAATCAAGTTTCAGGCGAGTAAAAGCAGAAAACAAAACAAAAGCAAACCAAAGCCCATGATTTATATAGCTTACGTAGGTTGCACAACAGTGTATAGATGACGCATCCATAGGGAGAATTTTCAACTTTAAATTCATGGCGAGACCGTCCAAACAGTTTTTTGACGTCCAGACGGTGTTTGTTCCAAAAACGATTTTAGTAATTAACGTCCATTTGTACCACAAATAAAAAAAAAGTTCAGCCGACGTATTATTAAAACGTCAACACGCTTAACTGTATGCTTTTTACGGTTTTATGGATTAAGATTTCCTTTTTGACAAGATGGCCTTAGTGAAAGACACACAAGAGAGCCGATCCTGCACTTTTTCGGTCGAACAATTGATTTATCTATGATAGAAAATAAAAATCGTCCGGAAGACTTCGCCGTGAAAGCCTTATAGTGTTACACGTGCACACTGTAGAGAGCAGCTAATCATTATCTTACACGGTTTACATGGGAAGAAGGAACTTAAGGTGACGCTTAAATGGTCATGGTGTTGTTAAATATAAGTTCCCAATACCTTCTTTGGGTTTGGCTTTCTAGGATGAAGTCTCTTAAAGACAGCCAATTTTAATTAAACACAACTATGATTCACGCATTTGTAATGCAGGATCTGATGTCTTTACGGACACCAACAGAACGTTAACTTAACTTGAAATTTCTTAAACTAAATCGAGATTTATCACAATAAATTTGTTGTTATTATGTTGTGGTGCTTTCTAGCGTGCTTTCAACGTCTCATTTAGGCTTGACTCTGATATTAAAATGCAGTTTTAAGATCGAGCATGCGCAAGAGTAAGAGCTACGATCGGATTGGAAGAAGAGTTAAAGTCCTTTGATATATACTCATAACTTTCAAATTGTTGTTGGTTGTATATTCTGTCTCTCAAGTTGTAAGGACAGCTATTACACTTTGTTTTGCGTTGTAGGTTTTTCCTAAAGAAAAATGGGCCGCCACTATGAGAAGTGTTTCCTTTCTTCCACGTATTTCAATAGGCCTAAATTCAGCTAGGGTACCACCACAATAATGTTTTTATTAAACTTGCTACTCAAATATAAGCTAAGGTTAATGGCTCTCCTAAAACCCAAAATTTAGTTGGATTTCCACCATAGTCATAATCAATCATTCTTCTCATAGTAAATTCTAAAGAATGATCATAGTTGAGGTGCTTATACTCTACGATGAGATCATAGGCTGAAGGTGTTTGACCGCCGGAATAAATATCTTCCCATGAGCCGTTCGCGGTTGCATCTAAAGTATCATATTTTTTCAGTTTGCTACTACCGAGATGTCTGGTTCGAATAATGTCTAAAGTGGCATTAGTATCAAAAGTTAGAATGTCGTCGTTTAAAACAGTAATAACAAAATAAAAAAAAACACACAAGCAAATGTAGAACTTATTTTTTCTCCCTTAATTTTGATCATCGTTCCTGTTGTCGAGAGTGGCTTCCCTTTTTCAATAAAAATTAGGTAATCACCCTGCCCTTCTACATCATTTTTTATGTCACCATTACGGTTTACACGAGAAAACGGATAACATCTTTGTGAATAAAGCCGCACCCCATATGTATTATTTGGAACCTGACACAAAGTTCCATTGATGAACCTGCCAAACATATGAGGCTTGATCATTTTGAACATATCCAATAACTGGCTAAGGGAATCTTTCATTACGAATGCCTGGGTATCTTTTCCTTTTGATTGTATGCCATCATCCATTGCTCTTTGAATTATTGTGGTGTACACAGTATAAAAAGGTGAGTTGTAAGAGAGATTAAAAGGATCTCCCAGCACAAAAAGATAATCCGTCTTGTAATTTCCAAATAGATCGTAGTTAGTCAATGAGCCCGCTATCGTTGTTACAATTCTTTTTATGACTGGCTGTAGACTTATCTCAGTTATGAGACGAAGAGAAATCCGCACAAGACAAGTACAATTGTTGTTGATGTTTAATTTTGTACATAAATCCATGTCTAAATTACTACCATCGTTTTTTAGCTGATAGTAAAAAAAAGTCAATAAATAGTCAACGGTTTTTGGTATTAGCTTACAAGCTCGGCAATCTGTTGCATTAGAGTTTGGCGAATGACTCGGTATGCTTGGAATGAGCCGAAATCAAATTCTTCATTTTTTTTACCCTTGTGTGTGATACAGTAATCGATCTGACAATTGTACTGCATGTTCTTCCAAATGTTCTGGCATAATTCATCATACACATCATCAAAGTACACTATTTTATCCTCAATAAGAATAGTGGCCGCATCTTCTTCAGACGATGCCAACTTAACGGTTTGATGCAAAGTAAGCTGTACATACTGTGGAAATATTTGTGCAACAACAAAGTATGATTTCATCTTCAAGTTCATGTCCAACGTTTCCTGGATAGCTGGTAAAATATCTTCGCCGTGAACGCTGAATTTTGCTCTCCTAAGATTGTCGTCCTTCAGAAGTATCCCACTTGCATAAAATAATTTTTCCAGCTTTTTTTTTGACACGAAGACAGTTTCCAATAAATGCTTGTCAACAGATACACCGTACCATATGTTTTTGCCTCGCCAGTCATTCCCAAATTTTACATTTAGTTCTTTGTTCAGCAATATGTTTAAACTGTGCAGGTATGCTAAGATAAAAAAGAGAATGTAGCCAGGATCAGAGGTAATCACTACATCTGTTTTATCACTACGGGAGCTATTGTTCTTCATAAAAAGATTATCCATTTTGACGTTTTGCATAACTTGCTCGAGAAGGCGTGGGCTTGAGGAGGCAAAGAAATTTCTGATTTCCTTTGGCCAATTTTTGCTAGTTTTTATCCCAAAGCAACTGCCAGAAGTAGTTTTAATTTCAGGCTGAGTTAGTCGGGACGAGGTCTTTTCTCGGTTGAGCTTCGAGTAAATTATAAGATACTCAGCGAACATTTTCTCTAATTGTATCTTGAGTCTATACATAAACAAAGTCAATAGTTTGAACCACTTTCTCTTGCTTATTGTTACCTATTGCTGATATGAAGATGCGGTCTTTGATAGGATTCTGATTGCTTGAAAAATGTATCCAAGGGTTTTATGTCACTGCAGTTAAAATGGTAGATTTACATCAGTTAACATTCACATATAGAAACTTTATATTAAGTTTACATCACACTTACCAGTCAATTGCGTTAGTCTGTTTGACCTTATTTTTCTCGTTCATGTACGTGAGTGTTACTTTATTTCGTGTCGCCAGCAAGTCTATTTCACGAAGAAAAGGTCAGTACACGGAAAATATTCAAATAATAATTATTTACCTATATTAAAAAAATAGACAGGTTTTGAAGAGCTTCCTGATTGTTCGGTTGTCAAGTCTCTAGGCAATATGATTGGGTCTCTGCTCCTGTTGTACTCTTCCATTTGGTTTTTTACAAGTGCAGAAAACGTATCCAGTTTCTCTTGTACCGAAAAACAATAACTGTAGCATTCGTTATTCGCGTTTAATTCGTATGAGCTATCTTGCTCTTCGCTACTTGCTTTCGCCCATTTTTCAACTAATTTAAGTACAGCTACTGAACCCCTATTTTTTTGAATACACTCCGCGCAAGAAATTATTAAAGATCTAGCTTTGACATTGTCTGTACCCAGAAGCAAAGTGTACATTCCATTCATGAATGTTTTCTCAACGGAATGAAACCAGCCTTCCAAAATGTCTTCCAGAGTCAATGATCTAACAATGTCGAAATTGAATTTATTTTTACTGTATTGCGGATCATAAACATATTCAAAATTTTCAAACGGCTGAAGTGATAAGACGGACTCGAATGAATGATCATACCTCTCCTAAGGAAGAAGAAAAAGGAAAAAAGTTAGTTTTTTTTCATTTATACCTAGTTTTCCCCGAATGTTTTTTTACTATCATTCTTTCAAATTGTTCATTTATAGTTTCAAGCATCTGGTCAATGATTTCGAGCGTTAATATGGGATCACAAAGCTTTTCAAGACATGCTGTAAGTGACGACTTGACGTTTTGAAACCCAAAAGGAATCGTAAAACGAAAATTCTTCAATAGTTGAGGAATATATCTGCTGTCCACTGTTTTTAAGCCTGGATACTGTGCTGATACCAACTGTAGGTCGACATGTAATTCTTGCTGGAATTCTAAAGACATTATGACATACTGATGACCTTGGTTCATTTCTACACTGCGCCTGTAATGATCTTCAGACTGCAGGTATCTGAATGTTAACTCTAACTCGGTGAAAAAAATCAATCTTCCTCCAACATCATCTTTGTTAATTAAACCAGACTTTAAGAAAAGTGGCTGGATTAACTCTTCTCTAGTATTATCACTCCAATGTGAAGGTATACTAAATGCATAACAGAACTCTGTTGTCGAACAATCTAGCTCTTTTATCCAATAATTTACTTGCAGTTTTAAGAGATCTATTGCCTCTTGCTGAACAAGATCATCAAACGCATTTTTTTCAGAAGGCTTTTCCTGTAATCTTAAATAATTATTGTAAAGTTCGGCGAAAACGTTATGTACATAAAATAAATTTTCTTGTGCTTCCTTGGTTTCACATATCAGCTGATCATATGAGCCATCTCTGGCTATCACGGTTTTGCTGATAGTGTTATATAAAAATGAAGGGACTTGGGTTTTTTCCCTGTATCTTTTCAAGTAATGTCTCTGTCAGAACAAAAAAAAAAAAAACTTTTGTGTTGTTATAATATTGGTCTTACCTTGCATCTTGGCTGGATGCAAAGTAACCATCAGTATCATTTGTTTTAGACGTGAGGGTGTTATAGTCGAAAACTTATTCAAATCAGTATCAATGTCATATGTAATTAAACCGCTCCTGTTTTCTATTTACCCAAACTAATACAAAATTTATGCCGAGAGTAATCATACTGTTTATCCATTTGTTTATTTATTTGACCAAGTTGTACGAAGTGAAAGCAAAAAACAAAACAAAACAAAACAAAATCATGGCCGTGCTATATATAGTTTGCGTAGGTAGTTACACGACAATGTATAAGTTACACACCTAGGTAGTATTCTTGACATATATGGTAAAATGTTCTATAATGTTGCACATACGCTTCAAAGCTCAGCCACGCTTTATCTTACCTGGTTTACGTCAATGGTAGCCATACTGCTGCATGTAAAAAATGGAAATCTTTGGTGTTGTTGGAACGGCTTTAGTATCTTTAGAATTTAGTTCTCGATAACCTCTTTGAGCCCGGCTTTTAAGGACGGGTTATATGGCTTAATTTTGATCTAGTTGGGTGGGTGGAAGGAAGTAGTACGTTAGATACTATATGTCTAAAGACTAAAAAAAAGGGATGTATATGTATTTTTACAATGATGCATATTTTTATTCTAAATTATAAATGGGTTTTGTGTCTTTTATTTTCGTTCTTCTTTTATCGCATCTCATTGTTTACTCGATTTCCTTTATTCACTATTACTTTATGTATTCCCTTCACCTCCCCGGTATATATTGGTACAAACAGTAAACAAAAATCGAAACAGCTTTTGCGAGGATTCACTTTCCCTGTTTTTTTTTATTTGATTTTGTGTTGAACTGATGATTTCTACAGTTTCTGTAGCAGTAATTTCAGTAAAGCATGATTTTTTACATTGATTTTAGCTTTTTAGACAAACTTATAGATGGTATATCAGTGATAGACAGAGAATCCTTAATTGGCATATGTGAATTTGGTTTTTACTATATGCGCACTTCAATGGGAGGTGCTCCCCACATGCTTTTTAAATAAATACCCCCGAGGTTATAAAAGAGGACTTTTAAAGAACGATCGTGTCAGGAACGATGGAAATAGCCAAAAAAAAAAAAAAAAAAAAAAAAAAAAAATATAGTTGTACTCGAGGTCTAGATGAAAACAATTTTTAAAAATAGACAGCACATGAGCCTATACGTTTCTAATGCAAATTTAATTTATTTCTGATGTTTGGCAATGGAACTACGGTCTCTGGGCATTCGATATGCCTTTATCCCGCCAGATAACATGTGTGTACGTTCAACATCGATATCTGTAATGATACATTGGCATACACATAATTGACGAGAAAAAGTAAAACTTCGCACAAAATGCCCTTTATTCATGCATTTGTCTAAAGATTCTGGTTACACTGCGCTACTGATAAAATAAAGCCGACTCGATGTTTTTAAGCCCAACGCAAGGTATTTAAAATATGGTTTAATCGCAGACAAACAAGAAGCCAGTGTCCATATAGAAAGCTGCTTTAAGCTCAAGTATATAATAAGCGTACTGTCTACTATACAAGCTTGCCTTTTTTGTTATCGTTAATCCCTTTTTACACGAATCAAAAAAAAAAAAAAAATCAGTGAAACCCGAGATTTCAATACCCGTAGCATGAAAAATAAAAACGTCAGGAGCACATACTGTATTCTACCTAAAGATCTTTTAATAAGTCATCCAAGCGGCAGATCAAACAGTGGGGTTATAAAGTGACGGATAGTGCGCTATGGGCATAACAATGACCCAAACTGTTTACCATTTATAAAAATTTTAGGCGTTCTTTGGTACACAAGGTCTCTCATAAAAAAAAAAAAAAAAAAAAAAGTACATACACACAAGTTGAAAAAAAACAGATCTTTTTTTGAAATAATACAAATAACAATTCAAATAGGACATGATGATCCTGTTAATTATGTTATGAACCCATTATTTTCATGAGGTATATAAAAAGAATCAACATTTAAAATCACTCAACTCACATGTCCAATAAGGCTTCAGGATCTTACTGCACTGAGACTACGTAAATTCTAGTATGCATGGATATAGCTCGGAACAGGTAAGACATTAAGAAAAGCCTTAGGCTGTAAATCATATATTGGCTTTTTTAATACCGCTTGCACTTCACGCTGACGGGATCGCGATTGCCTTAGTCAGCTTCGGTTGCCTTAGTTTACGCGGCTGCATCTCTAAGGATAAGAGGTCGAACATCCCTGAGGATTCTAAATGTCATGCCATGGTCTGATTACCGAAATGCGTGGGGGGTGTTGGGAGTTATCTCATCTTAAGGTGGAGTGGGCCTGATACAAAGTGATTTTCTTAGGCCACTATGTTTATGGAGACGAAGGGGCTTGTAGGATCCAGCGACTTCATACAAGGCAGCTCCAACACCAGAGAGATTCTGAGCAAGTAGATGCAGACAGTTTTTGAGGGTGCCGCCAGTATTTGCTGTTCCTTTTTCACATAAAAATACCGATAGTATCCAATGTAAGTTGATCATGTTGGATGGATTGTGTGACTAATCTCATCGTTTGATTTTGTGGACAATTTTCGATTTTTCCCATGTTTCGTCCCAATATATATTCCATAGTTATTGCTTAACCAGATCAAATAAACATGAACGTATATATGTTACCACTTGGGGCATGGGAGACTTTTTCATATTCCCTCAGGCGTTGGAAGTCTGTTCAATCGTTAGCTATGGAGAAACCAAAAAAGAAAATAACGCATTATACTCATACACTTTCATCCATTTCTTTTTGTAGACCAAGTCAGACTACTCTATGAAATCGTATGGTATTAGTCTGCCATTGTTGAAGTTTGGACTCTTGTGGATCAGATAGTGGATGACTTACACCTGTCACTGCAGATATGAAAAATAATGCACTATTGTTACTCTTCCAGTTTATGGTCATATACATGAGTTGTCTGGATGGAGTGCTGCAATGGGTTGTTTTAGAGGTGTTGTACTACCTTACGGTTTGTCATTGTCGAAATGGTTAAATGAAATATATGACGGTACCGCTGCTTCCAACTGCCAGCGTTGTTTTAGAGGTGTAGTTTCACCTTAATGTTTGTCATTGTTGAAAAGGTTCTATGGACTCAATGATGGCGCTGTTGATTGCAACTGTCGGCGTGATTTATACTGCTGGTGGTGGTGGCTTAGTTGACTCTTTTGCGAATACAGGATATTTCAAATAGCTACGACTATTCATCTCTTTTCCGGATTGGGATGTGCGTGTCCCTTCTCGTGGTATAACCTCTTAGTCAAACTATGTCTGGAAGTAAGAAAAGCGCGATTAGAACTTGTTTTTTATCTTTTTTTTTACAACTGAATAGAACAAAAGCAGTCCTCAGGGATTGAAAGTGTTCAAACAATACTTCAATTATGGAAGTTTAAATTAAATAAAAATAGATTTCATCCCTTTACATGATCCAAATACTACTATTCGACTCTTTATCAAATAATGATTTAGTCCGTGTGCTCAATATTTTTGGATCATTTCAATCATGTGTGTGAATAGACACAGGTTACACACACATCAAGGAGAGCAGATAACCCTAATTTATCAAGCCGATGGAGTTGATCATGCCTTGTCATTGTTCCTCTCCACTTCGTTTGTGTGATTGACGCATTACAAACCAAATAACACAGCTGAAGGTGTTATAAATATAATGACAAAATAAAAGAAACTTGACGTTGTATTTCTGTGTCCTTAGGGTGTCAAGTTCTTAGATGACCCCGTTATATGTAACACTCAAAAAGCAAAAAAAAAAAAAAAAAAAAAAAATGTCACACAAGTAACTCAAACAGAGCAAAGAAAAAAAGTATCTAGCACTCCTCAAAATTGTCCTCAATAGCCGCAACTGCAAAACTTTTCTAGGGTCAAAATGTCTTTTTTTATTTTTAATTTGAGGAATTGTTCGTTTTTTTCACATTTACTTGTATCGTCGCCCTTCTCTCTCTCTCTCTCTCTCTCTCTCTCTCTCTCTCTCTCTCTCTCTCTCTCTCTCTCTCTCTCTCTCTCTCTCTCTCTCTCTCTCTCTCTCTCTCTTTGTATCTGCTGAACGATCTATCTTCAGTCTCTCTTTCTAAATGTTCAATTGTGTCTATGCTAGTGTTCTCATGCTCAAAGGAAAAGAAAAGAAAAGCTTTCTGAGGGGGGTTTTTTTTTAAATAAACTGGAGGGAATTTATTTTTTGTTTACACAAATCACTACTTCTACTTTGTTTTCTGTAGGTCTTAATATGAGAGACTTTATATTTTTCGCTCTCTATTGTTGCGGCTAACTTTGTTTGGTGGGATCCAAAGAGAAAAAACTTTATTTTCATGCACCCTTAGTAGAAAAATACATCTTTAATTTGTTTTTATAAATAAAATTATCCTCCTTTTTTGCCATCTGCTTTTTTTTTTCTTAATTATTTCAGGAACAAAGAGATATATACAATCATTCTTTAACCCTTCTTACGCACGACATCTTTGTTTCAAAAACTACTTTAGAAAGATTTCGCAATTCAGAACATGGTAACAAGTAAACAATAGAAGCAGTGTCAGCATATCATTGGCTTGGGAATAAGGTTGTGACAGTTCGTATGACTTTTACCACGTTTTTTTTTATTGTCTTTGTGTAGCACATTTCTACCGACTATAAATATTCTCAACACCCCCCACATGTTTATTTTTTTTCTTTATATCGCAATTGAATCTATTAATTGTCAACTGATATCATTTATGGGGGGTGACTCATACACACACTGAAAAAAAAGTATGAGATTTCATGCGATCCCGATGTGATTACCGCCGTTCAAAATTAGCGATCTGATATTTACACTGTCTTCGATATTTCGTTGTTGTGAGATGTCCAGTTGATTGAGCACAACAGCCAAAAACTAGCAATTGAGGTATAAATTGTTAAATATAATTTCATAACTTACATTGTTTTTGATTGTTTTTGGGGTGCACTTTGTCCCTAAAAAGCGTTTCTTTTTCTCTCCCAAGTTTAATGAAGAGGTAAAATCAAGACTTGGGCGTCAAAATGAAATTGTTTTATTAAACTAGCTAATTGTTTATTTAAATATAAGCTAAGGTTAATGGCTCTCCTAAAACCAAAATTTTAAAAGCATATTCACCTGGGTACATACAATCTGCCATAGTTTTAAATGTTAATTCTAGAGAATAATTATAGTTGAGGTGCTTAGACTCTAAGATGAAATCATAAGCTGAATGTGTTCGGCTATAGGTTAACATCTTTAAACTTAAGCCTTTTGCGGACCCGTCTAACAGCTCGTCTCTTTTCAGTTTGGCACCAGATGACCGTGTGGTTCTAATAATGTCTAGAGTGGCATTCGTATCTAAGATTAGGATGTCTTAACCTGAACCAAAAAAAAAAAAAAAAAAAAAAAAAAAAAAAAAAAAAAAAAAACTAAAAAAAAAAGAAAAAAAAAATACGTACGAGCATCTAAACCAAATTCATAATCTGTCACCTCATGCGTTATTTTGATTATTGCTCCCGTGGTTGAAAGTGGCTTCCCTTTTTCAATAAAAATTAAGAAATTTTCGCTGCACCCATTCACACTTTTTTTGATATCACCACTACCATTTACACGAATGAATGGAAAGCACAACCCTGATTTCAATTCAAACCGCACTCCGTAAGTGTTGCTTGGTACCTGACACAAAGTTCCATAAATGAATCTGTCGAACATATTCGGCCTGATGGGTTTAGACAAATATATTAACTGGCTAAGTGAATCCTGCATCACAAATGCCTGCGTATCTCTTCCATTTGCCTGTATGCCATCATCCATCGCTTTTTGAAGTATCGTGGTGTATACAGTATAAAAAGGCGAGCCATAAGATAGATTAAATGGATCTCCCAACACAAAAATATAATCTGTCTTGTAATTTCCGAACTGATCGTAATTAGTTAAAGAGGCTGCTAGCATTGTTACAATACGTTTTATAATTAGTTCTAGACCTAACTCAATCACAAGACGAAAAGAAATAACCATATGGCAAGAACATGTGTCGCCGATGTTCAACTTTGTATGTAGATTCATGTCTACATTATGACTATCGTCTTTTAGCTACTTGTAAAAAAGTTAATAAATAATCAATTTTTCTCGGTATCAACTTACAAGTTCCAAAATCCGTTGTTTAAGAGTTTGGCGGATGTCTCGATATGCTTGAAATGAGCCGAAATCATATTCCTTATTATTTTTGTCCTTGTGTGTGATGCAATAATTAATCTGACAGTTGGACTTCATGTTCTTCCAAACGGTCTTACATAATTCATCGTACACATCATCGAAATACACTATTTTATCTTCAATAATAATGGTAGCCGCATCTTCTCCAGTCGATGCTAGTTTAACTGTTTGATGTAAAGTAAGCTGGACATGCTGTGGAAATATTTGTGCAACGACAAAATATGATTTCATCCTCAAGTTCAAATCCAAAGTTTGCTGGATAGCTGGTAGAATATCTTCGCCACAAACGCAGAATTTTGCTCTCTTAAGATTTTTGTCTTTTAGGAGTATCCCACTTGCATAGAATAATTTTTCCAATTTTTTTTTCGACACAAATACGGTTTCCAACAAATGCTTGTTAACAGTTACACCGTACCATATGTTTTTGCCTCGCCAGTCATTCCCAAATTTTTTATCTAGTTCTTTGTTTAACAGCATGTTTAAATTGTGCAGGTATGCTAAGATGAAAAATAGAATGTAACCAGGATCAGAGGTATTCAGTAAATTTGTATCGTCACTACAAGAGCTATCATTCTTCATAAAAAGATCATCCGTTTTAACTTTCTGCATAACTTGCTCGAGAAAGCGTGGGCTTGAGGAGGCAAAGAAGTTTCTGATTTCTTTTGGTAAATTTTTGCTAGTTTTTATCCCACAGCAACTATTAAAGGTAGTTTTATTTTCAAGCTGAGGTAAACTCGACGAGGTTTTTTGATGGTCCGATTTTGTGTGTATCATAAGATACTCAGCAAACATTTTCTCTAATAGTATCTTGATACTATACATAGAAAAAGTCAATAGTTTGAACCACTTTTTCTTACTCATTGTTACCTATTGCTTATATGAAGCTGCGGTCTTTGATAGGATTCTGATTGTTTGAAAAATGTATCCAAGGGTTCTATGTTACTACAGTTGAAACAGTATATTTACATCAATTAACATTCGCATATAGAGACTTAAAATTACGTTTATATCACACTTACCAATCCATTTTTTGTGTCTGTTTAGCACTAATTTTCTCGTCTACGTAAGTGAGAGTAATTTTATTTTGTGTAGGCAGCAAGTCTATTTTACAAATAAAAGATCAGCACGTAAAAAATATATTAAGACAAAAATCATTTACCTATATTCATAAAATAATCAGGCTTTAAACAGCTTTCATATTCCTCATTTGACGAGTTTCTAGGCAATATAAATGGGTCTCTGCGGATATCAAAATCTTGCATTTGTTTTCTTACAAGCACATCAACCATTTCGATTTTTGTTGTTACAAAAAATCCGTAACTGAAGAATTGGTTCTTTCCGATTAATTTGTACGGGCTATCTTGCTCTTCACTACATGCCTTTACCCATTTTTCAACTAATTTGAGTACTACTGCCAAGCTACCGTTATATGCGATATACTCCGTGAAAAAAATTACTAAAGATCTAGCTTTGATATTGTCTGTGCCCTGAAACAAAATTTTCATTCCGTTCATGAAGTATCTCACGACAGAATGAAACCAGTCCTCAAAAACATTTTCTACAGTTAATTGTCTGATATTGTCAATCATAAGGTCAAATTCTTTTTTACTGTATTTTGAATCATAAGAATTTTCCAAATTCATATCAAAAAACGGCTGATATGATAAGCTGAAAAATGAATTATCAACCTTGAATCAAGAAAAAACGGAGAAAAATTAGCTTTTGTGAATTTCATGTAGTTTCCTCCCGAATGCTCTTACATTTATCGTTTCAAGTTTCTCATTTATAATTTTAAGCATTTTTTCAATAATTTCGGGCACCCGCAGGGGATCACAAAGTCTTTCAAGACATGTTGTCAATGATGATTTTACATTATGAAACCCAAAAGGAATTTTGAAATGAAAATCCTTCAATAGTTGAGGAATATATCTGCTGTCCACTGTTTTTAAGCCTGGATACTGTGCTGATACCAACCTTAGACTGACATTTAATTCTTGCTGAAAGTCTAAAGACATTATGACGTACTGATGGCCTTGATTCATTACCACACTGGGCCTATATTGATCTTCTGATTGCATATATCGGAATGCTAATTCTAGTTCCGTGAAGAAAATCAATCGACCTACATCAACCTCTTCGTGAATTAGACCAGATTTTACGAAAAGAGGCCGGATAAGCTCCTCTTTGGTTTTTTCATTCCAGCCTGTAGGAATAGTAAATGTGTAACATAATTCTGCTTCTGAACAATCTATTTCTTTTTTCCAATGGTCCACTTGCATTTGTAGAATTTTTATCGCCTGTTGGAGAACAATATCATTAAATTTATTTCCTCCAGAATGATTTTCCTGTTGTTTCGAATAGGTATAATAAAGTTCGGTAAAAGCGTTGGGTATGCAAAGCATATTTTCTTGGGGTTCCTCGGTTTCCGACATTAATTTATCGGCTGAGTTACCTTCAGCTATGAGGGTTTTGCTGGTGGTGTCGTATACAAATGCAGGGACATATCTTTTTTCATCCCTTTTTTTTCAGGCACTGCCTTTATGAGAAAAAAAAGCCTCTTATATTGTTACAATATTAGCCATACCCATTGTTATGTCCTAATTCAAAGTAAGCTTTCACATCATAGGCCTTAGTCTGGAGTAAGCGATGGTCGAGAACTTATTCAAGTCAGTATCAACGTCATATGTGACCAAATCTTTCCTTCTTTTTTTAGTACCAAAAACGATACAGTATTCATACCGAGAGTAGTCATACTCTTCATCCATTTTTTTATCAATTTTTACAAAAGAAAAAGCAGAAAACAAAACGAAAGCAGACAAAAGCACATGTTTTGTGTAGCTTACGTAGGTTACACCACAGTGTATAATTTACATGTCACACATACAAAGTTTCCTCAACTTATGTACGTACTGTATGGTCTCATCTAAAGGTGAACTTGTTTTTTAAAATTCTGCGGGTTGATTTGTTTCTCTATGACATAAAATCAACGGTCTTGCCGTGAAGGCCTTATAGTGCTACACATGAACTATAGAGAGCAGCCAATCCTTATCTTACGCGGTCTACATGGGAAGTAGAAAATTATGATGCCGCTTGAATGGTTATAATACTGTTATACATAAGCTCCCTATACCTTCTTTGACTTTGACTTTCAAGGAAGGGGTCTTTTAGTGAAAGCTAATTTTCCTCAGGGACAGTTAACTTTAATTAGGGACAGCCGGGGTGCGCGTAGTTTCATTGTAGGATTGGATACTTTAACTGACACCAAGAGGTCAATTTAAGCCATTGTCTTGAAGATAATGCAAGGTTTTAGAGACATACACTATTTCGGTTCCTCTGTTATTTGAACGTAAACTGCAAATGTGTTACAAAAAACATATGTCAGTTGTGTTTACGTGTTTTATAGCCTGCTTTCAACTAGTCGTTTCGACTTTACCCTAATATCTCTACCCAGGTTTAAGATTAAATGAGCGCAAGAGTGAAAGAATTGTCAGGATAGGTACACATTGTTCAAAATATACTTATTTACAGCTTTGGCATTGTTTAATATTTTATATTCTTTGTTCCAAATCTCTAGGAAAGCTAAGACACCTGATTGTATGTTGTCTTCAAAATAAGAGTTTATTTTTCTTTCAGGTTTTAAAAAAGGTACAATTTAACTCAAGTGTTTTTATAAATTTTTTTTTTATTAAACTGGCCATTTGTTTATTCAAAGATAAGCCAAAGTTAACGGTTCTCCTGAAGTCCTAAATTTAGTTGGATATCCATTTGGATAATGATAATCGTTCATTCTTCTCATTGTAAATTCTAGAGAATAATTATAGTTGAGATGCTTACACTCTATGATGATATCGTAGCATGAAGGAGTTTGGCCACCGGAATAGATACTATCCCATGTTCCTTTTGCAGACCAGTCCAACAGATCATATTTTTTCAGTTTGGTAGTACTTGACTGTCTGGTTCTAATAATTTCTAAAGTAGCATTATTATCAAAAGTTAAAATGTCTTCATATACAACAGTAAAAAAAAAAAAAAAAAAAAAAGAAAGAAAGATAAAAGAAAAACGTACCAGCAAATATAAAGTTTTGCTTCTCTTCCTTAAGTTTGATCATTGTTCCTATGGTTGAGAGTGGCTTCCCTTTTTCAATAAATATCAAGTAATTTCCGCTGCTCCCATTCACACTTTTTTTGATAACGCCACTACCATTTACATGAATAAAAGGAAAGCACCACCCTGGCTTCAAATAAAACCGCACTCCATAAGTGTTGCTTGGTACCTGACACAAAGTTCCATTGATGAACCTGTCAAACATATGCGGCTTGATGCTTTTAGACAAATCCCGCAACTGATCAAGTGGATTCTTCATCACAAATGCCTGGGTATCTTTTCCTTTTGACTGTATGCTATCATTCATCGCTTTTTGAAATATCGTGGTGTATACAGTATAGAAACGTGAGCCGCAAGATAGTTGAAAAGGATCTCCCGATACAAAAAGATGATCCGTCTTATAATTTCCAAACAGATCGTAATTAGCCAATGTGGATGCTATCGTTCTTGCAATACTTTCTATAACTGGTTGTAGACCTATCTCGATTATAAAACGAAGAGAAATAACCACAAGACAAGAACATGTGTCGCCGATGTTCAACTTTGTACATACATTCATGTCTACATTATGACTATCGTTTTTTAGCTACTTGTAAAAAAGTTAATAAATAATCAATTGTTCTCGGAATCAACTTACAAGTTCAACAATCCTTTGCTTCAAAGTTTGGTGGATGTCTCGATATGCTTGGAATGAGCCGAAATCATAACCTGTATTTTGGTTGTCTTTGTGTGCGATGCAATAATCAATCTGACAGTTGGACTTCATGTTCTTCCAAACGGTCTTACATAATGCATCATACACATCATCAAAGTACACTATTTTATCTTCAATAATAATACTAGCCGCATCTTCTCCAGGCGATGCTAGTTTAACTGTTTGATGCAAAGTAAGCTGAACATGCTGTGGAAATATTTGTGCAACAACAAAGTATGATTTCATCTTCATGTTTAAGTCCAAGGTTTGTTGAATAGCTGGTAGAATTTCTTCACCACGAACGCAGAATTTTGCCCTCCTAAGATTTTTGTCTTTTAGGAGTATCCCACTTGCATAAAATAATTTTTCCAGCTTTTTTTTCGACACAAATACCGTTTCCAATATATCTTTGTCAACAGATACACCGTACCATATGTTTTTGCCTCGCAAATCATTCCCGAATTTCTCCTTTAGTTCTTTTTCCATGAGCAATTTTAAATTGTGCAGGTATGCTACCATAAAAAAGAAGATGTATCCAGGATCTGAAGTAACCAGTAAATCCTCTTCACCATTGTCAGAATTGTCATTCAACGCAAAAAGACCATCCATTTTAACATTTTTCATAAGTCCTTCAAGTGGGTGTGGCCTTGAGGAGGCAAATAAATGTCTAATTTCCTTAGACCAATTTCTGCTAGTGTGTATTCTAAGGTAATCGCCAAAAGTACTTTTTGTTTCAACTTTTCCGAAAATTCGTTTGAAAAATTCTGATGCAGGTTGGAGTAGACTCGCCGATTTTGTTTTTTGGTTTGACTTGGAGTACATTGTAAGATAGTCGGCAAACAGTGTTTCTAAATATGTCTTAATTCTATAGATGTAGAAGTAAATAACTGGGACTACTTTTTGTTTTCGCTCTTTGTTACTTATTATTTATATGAAGCTGCAATCTTTGATACAATTCGGATTGTTTGAAAAATATATACAAAGGTTGTATATTGCTGTAATGGAAATAATAAATTTACATCCTTTTAAATTGACATATAGAAACTTTGTATTACGATTATGACACACTTACCAGTCAATACTTTCTATTTGTTTGACTCGATTCTTCTCATTTACATATGTCAGAGTAATTTTGTTTTCTGTAGGTAGCAAGTCTATTTTAAGGCGAAAAGGTCAGTACGTAAGTGATATTTAAATAAAACGTATTTACCTATATTAAAAAAAATCACAGATTTTGGAGGGCTTCCACATTCAGTTGTCGAGTTTTTATTTAATATGACTGGGTCTCTACTCATGTTAAATTCTTGCATTTGTTTTCTCACAAGCTCAGCAAGCATTTCCAATTTTTCCTGTACGCAAAATTTGTAACTGAAGGGTTCATTATTCGCGATTAAATGGTAGTAACCAGATTGTTCTTCGCTGTACATCTTTGCCCATTTCTCGACTAATTTGAGTACTGCTACTGAGCCATTATTATTTTCGATACAATCCGTGTAAGAAATTATTAATGATTTAGTTTTGATATTGTCTGTGCCCTGGAGCAAAGTGTTTATTCCATCCATAAAGTTCTTCTTGACGGTATGAAACCAGTCGTCCAAAACATCTTCCAGGGTTAATGTTTTAATATAGTAGTGATCGACTTTCTTATTAATAAATTGTGGATCACAGGTATATTTAAACTTTTTAAACGGTCGAAATGATAATACGGCTTCGAACGGCTCGCTATACTTGTACTAAAGTAAAAAGAAAACGCAGAAAAATTAGTTTGTCTAAATTTCACACAGTATCACCAAATCCTCTTACAGCTATATATCCAGATTGCCCTTTCATATATTCAAGCATCGGGTCAATAAGTTTCAGCACCAGTACGGGATCATAAAACCTTTCAAGATATGTTGTCAGTGACAATTTTACATTATCAAACCCAAAAGGAATTTTGAAATGAAAGTCCTTTAATAGTTGAGGAATATATATGCTGTCCACTGTTTTTAAGCCCGGATACTGTGCTGATACCAACCTTAGACTGACATGTAATTCTTGCTGAAAGTCTAAAGACATTATGACGTACTGATGGCCTTGATTCATTATCAAACTGGGCCTGTATTGATCTTCTGATTGCATATATCGGAATGCTAATTCTAGCTCCGTGAAGACAAGCAATCGACCTACATCGTCTTCTTCGTGAATAAGACCAGATTTTACGAAAAGAGGCCGGATCAACTCTTCTCTAGTGTTATTACTCCAATGTGTAGGGATAGTAAATGCGTAACAGAACTCTGTTTTTGAGCAATCCAGATCTTTTATCCAATGATTCAACTGTTGTTGTAGAATTTGTATCGTCTCCTGGAGAACAAGATCATCAAGCGCATTTTCTTCATAGTGATCACCCTGTTGTTTTAAATAGGTATTATAAAGTTCGATAAAAACGTTACGTACGTAAAATAAATTCGTTGGGGATTCCTTGGTTTCACATATTAATTTATCAGCCGAGCCACCTCTAGCTATTATTGTTTTGCTGGTAAGGTTATATAAAAATGAAGGGACTTGGATTTTTTCCTGGTATCTTTTCAAGTACTATCTCTGTCAGAAAAAAAAAGTCGTTTGATTTGTTACAATAGTAGTCTTACCTCGTATCTTGGCTGGATACAAAGTTACCATCAGTATCATTTGCTTTAGACTTGAGGGCGCTATAATCGAAAGCTTATTCAAGTCATTATCATGTCCTAGGTAACCGCCCCCCCTTTTTACTTATTTACCCAGACTTATACAAATTTTGTGCCTAGAGTAGTCATAGTGCGTATTCATTTTTATCTAACAAAGTTTCACGAGAGAGAAAGCAAAAAAATAAAACAAAACCAAGCCAAAAGCCGTGCTTTATTTGGTTTGCGTAGGTAGTTACACGATCATGTATAAGTTACACAATTAGGTAGTATTTTTGACGTATATGGTAAAATTTTATATAGCGTTGCACGTACGCTTCAGAGCTCAGCCAAGCTTTATCTTACCTGGTTTACGTCAATGATAGCCATACTGCTGCATGTAAAAGCTAGATAAACGTTGGTGCTTTTGGAAAGGCTTTAATGTTTTTAGAAATTAGTTCTCGACATCCTCTTTGAGCCTGAATTTTAAGGACGGAATTCATAGCTTAATTCTATTTTTGGGTAGAAGGAAAGTAGTACTTTCGATATTATATGTCTAAAGAATATTCTTTACAATGATGCATGTTTTTGCATTAAATTATGAATGGATTTTGTATTTTCCATTTTCGTTTTTCTTTTATCGCATATTGTTTGTTCAAATTCCTTTCAACAATATTACTATTGTGTACATTCTACCCCTCCTGGGTATATATTGCTACGGAAATAACTAAAAGCCGTAACAGCTCTTGCGGAATTTACTTTATTTTCTAAAATTGGATTCTGTGTCGAACTGATAATTTCTACGGTTTCTGTAGTAGTAATTTTAGTAAATTATGTTTATTTACATTGCTTTTGGCCTCGAGACAAACTTATAGATGGTACGTTGATGAATTATTTTTAGGCAGGATCTAAATAATTAGCGTATCTTAATTCGATTCTTATCAAACGTGCACTTCAATGGAAGGCGCTTTTCACATGACACTTTAAAACAACTATTGTGTCAGGAACAGTGCGGAAAGACAAAAAGCATTCAATCCCAGGTACAACCAAAAGTAAATTTAGAATAAAAGCTTAAACGTTTTTCACGTAAAACTCAATTTATTTCTGATGTATTGCACTGAAACTAAGGTCTCTGGACATTTGATATGCATTGATACTTATATTGGTACATTGACATAAACCTAATGGACAAGAACAATGGAAGGTTAGCAACCCCTACTATACAAAGCGTCCTTCATTCATGCATTTATCTAAAAATGCTGGTTACACGTATGTATGCGGATAGACACAGGTTACACACTTTTCAAGAGCTTAATTTAACAAGCAGATGGACCTGGTCATGGCATCTCATTGCTCCTCTCCGATTCTTTTGTGTACTTAATTTACTACAAACTGAGATAGCCAGCATAACCGATTGTCGTTTTGAACAGGACAAAAAAACATGACGGCCCATTTCTGTGTCTTACGGATGTCGTGGTTTTTAATTGTCCATGAAAATCGGAACACATAATTTGTAAGTCCTGCTCTTCTCGACTAAAATTTATAAAGCCATGTTTTCTATTTGCAAAATAATTAGTTATTGAAACTTCATGAAATAACAGTAGTGTCAGCATCAAAAACTTCTCGCTCACAAAGAAGCCTATTAGAAAAAAGTCTCTTTTGTTGCAAGAAATGTAACAATGGCTAACATTTTGCATAATGTTGCTGAGTTGTACAAATGTCGGAGGAGGCCTTTTATTCTTTTAGTGTTTCCTAATGTTAAAGTCGATAAGGTCATAAGCGCCCTTTCTCACTTTTTTTTCCTCTCTTCGCTTTTTTTTTTGTTGCGCATTTCTGCTCTATTTTTCAATGTCACACAATTTTTCGAAAAAAACCAGTCATAGAACAGAAAAATCATTTGTGTGGTATATATCCGTGTGTTCAGTTTGCATGAAAGCAAAATTATTCGGACGTGTCATTATTTTAGACATAATTGTCAGTGAAGAGTATTTTGACAGAAAAGAGTCTTATTTTGGCATATTTCTGAAGCTCACGTACTTGAGTGCAACTTGTTCGATTGCATTCATTACCATATAGCTAGTAAAGCTGCAACTGTATGGTGCAACTTGAGTTGTGCATCATGACCAGTAAATGTGTTTGATGAGTATATATGCTTCCTAGTAAAAAGATCATATGGTGATGCGTGCGGACATTCAACCACATGCGAAAAAAAAAAGTACGAAGCAGACGTACAGCTAGTGAAAATACACAGAATCCAGAGGATTTATCACAAAAAATTTCGGTGTGAGTAATAAGGAGATTGTTGTATGTTATCCATTGAATTTTTATCAAGTGTCAAATTTGAAGTCCATCACATAAAAAAAAATAATGAAATCACCAGCAATTACAATGAATATGTATGGATGTTGAATTATAAATTCTAATGCTTCTAGCAGTAGGTCAGGGTTTTGGCAAGGATCTGGAGACGCATAAATGATACAGTAGAGAGTATAATTAAACGTGACAGTTGACACACTTACAGAGGAGGAGGAGGAGGAGTTATTACTGTTAAAAGCCTTGTTGAAAAAGTACAGTGCATCTATTTTACAATGAACAATTTTCGTTAAAACGGACATTTTCAGAACTTAAAAGTCGGATTTTTAGACTGGTGATTTTCATATTTTTTGACAGAGAAGTCTAATTTATCGCGGGAAAATGTTTAACCGGGATATATCCGTTGGATTTTTATGAATTTTTGCACTGTAAAACACCTCCCGGACATCTTTGGGTCTCCCCACTGTAAATGGCCAATTTTGTTTTGCCATCTGTAAAAAATTTTGTGTGAAAAAAAAAATTCCGGCTCTATTAGTTTGTGGAGAACTCTCTAATAAAGAATGTAATAGAGCCGGATTTTGGATTCTTATTGAATTCATCGAGGAGATAGAGTTTTTATTTTTTTTTGAAAAATCGGAGCCAAAAATTGTTCATTGTAAAATAGATGCACTGTATGATCTCCTAATATAGAGCTACAGACGTAACAGCAGCTGCCTATGGGCTTACGTACAACATCTATACAATTAACAGCCGAAACCAGTTTAGAACTGGGAGTTTCAAAATTATCTGTTGGTAATGTCCATGTCTCATTGAGGAGGATTACATCAGATGATAGATATACGGGGTCATTGACGATCCGATCCAAGTGAACCTGGAGACTTTGTACATTATGTGAGATAACTTGAAAATGCTCCTTTTTTGTAAGATTTAAAAAAGTTGGTTGGAGTGTAATGTTAGGCTGACGTTGGATTTCTAGATATAAATCACTTTGTTTTTCTTTTGATAAAGGTCTGGGTGGTTTAAAAACATTATCTTTACATATATCAATGACTTCTGCATTTTGTGCTTACCAACATCATATACTACAACTTTTTTATATGTGCCACCCTGGGATTTGTGTATTGTTAGGGCTTCGGCTGGTACAACAGGGAATTGCTTGCGATTTACTTTCAATGCTTCCAAATCCGATGCGCTTACTTGAAGGACTCTGCTTTGAAACAAGTGAATATCAGCCGGAGTCATTTCATCAATGGCCACACTATTAAGAGCTATTGCAAAGCGTAAATCATCTCTTTGTCTCATAATCTGAACTAGTTTATGGACCACAAAAAAGTTCCATATGCGTGAACCAAATGCTACAAGATATGGATTTGTCGAGTACAAAGGTGATACTGCTACTGGAGAAAGTTGATAGAAATCACCAAGTACAATCACTGATATACCACCAAAGGGAAGTGATCCATCAAATATATCTCTTAATCTTTTATCAATCCAAAAAATATGATGTCTCCAACCATACTAAACTCATCAATTATCAGGACCTTCAAATCTTTAAGAGACACGGACATTGAATGACTGACATCGGCTGACAATCGGTTAAAATCACCGTTTCCATACTGACTGATTGTGTGTTGAAATGCTCCATGGAGTGTTTGACCCTGAATGTTGAAGACAGCTTTCCCGGTAGGTGCTCTTAAAAGAACAGACGGAGTATTCATATCAAAATCTCTATCGATACACAAAGCTTCGTACAAAGCCTTAATGAGCATACTTTTACCGACGCCTGCACCACCAGTTACAAAATGAAAAAATGGATCAAATGTTCTGATTGATTCATTATCACTGCTAAACATACGAATTATAGCTCTGTTGCCATTATAACGGATATGGTCGACAACATGCACTAGGTATTCACGCTGTTTATAATTTAGCTGAGATAGCAGACTGTAAAAACTAGATTTACTAAGCCTATCAGGTCGGGAGATTCTTTTCAAATATGTCTTCTGATTATTGTTGTTACGAGAGGTTTTATTATTTAAATCATCAAATATGTTGCTGCTACAGTAATAATTTTTTTCGCTCGAATCATCAATGTCAGTGGTGTATCTGCCAAAGTCGTAGAATTCACCAGCTCCGTTGCTAGGACTCTCCTCGCCCTCCTCACCTTCATCATTATAACTGGATTGTTCATTGATGAGTTGCTCCATGTAATTGCCAAGTGTATCATCTTCGATCGAACAAAACTCTTTTTTGTTTTTAGAAATTTCTTATGTGAGTCAAATTTTTCCTTGCAATCCACGTTTAGCAAATCTTCTTCTTCATTATTCCAAGGAAAATAAAGCATGACCAATGTTCTGAGATAATCATCTGGGTCGTTGTCAATATTTAATTTATAGTATCTTATAACTTTGGATTTTGATTGTCGACGAAGAAAGCCAGAATCCTTTTCTAATCGAAAGACTTTACCAGCGGGGCCAGCAAGTAGTTGGTCTGATTGTAAAGTTTTGCCATTATCGAGGTTTAAAACCGGTTCCTTTTCGCTATCGTCTCCATCATCATCATTATTTTCACTGCGTTGACGTTTTTTGGTTGGGTCTTTAAGACTTATCTCAAAATAGGCAGAAAATTGAGGCAAATTAATTGCTTGTAATGAGTCTGGTCTATGAACATAGTGTTCAATCAATCCATGTACAAAAGTATCAGTAGAATCAGGGGGGAAGTTTGATCAATTCGTCTTTTTTCTTTCAAGATATGCGTTCGTTTTTCAGGCCTTGAAGTGGGAATGAAGACAGTAACGGTGCTCGCTTCAACCATTCTTATACCAAGTAAACAGTATGCTGCTTCTTGAGCAGATACTTTACTTGAATTATAGTACGTCAAAGCTAATGATCGTAGAGTAGCAAAAGAAGTTGCATCTGGCTTTTCCTTTTCTCTGATATATAATTGTTCCATTGATTCACTCATCCCACGGTTTGCCTTACTTTTATATTCCAATACGTAAGTACAACAAGCATATGGATCGAGAACAAACTGTACATCCATGTTGGATCTAAACATGCTCAAGATTTTTCTGTTATAGTTGTTGACCATGATTTCATTTGGTGCCCTTTGAATGTAGATTTTGTTGATTTTCAAATAGACTCTCAAAGCTAAAAGATATTTTTCGTAGGAAGGTGCTTCCACTACATCTAAAAAATCTTGAATTGTCATTTCGGATTCGGATAACGTTTTTGAGTTATCGTTTAAATAGGCCGAAATACGAGAGTTTAGAAGGCGCAAATTTTTAAGATCATCTACTGTATGCTTATTCTCTTCCAAAGGTTCCATAATTACTGTTTGGTGCATAGGAGAAAATGGAATATTAAATCTACATACTATGGTGTTACTTCCTCGTTTTCTTCTACAAGTGATGGTATGTTTGTGGTGTTTGTCTTGTTTTAATATGACCATGTCCACGTACTATCTGAACTTTTGGATTTATCATCATGGTGAGCTGTTCCGTCCGACGTTTTGCTGCAAGTGATCATAGTGTAAGCAAATCTACAGATATATTCTTTAATCGACGCAACTTCATCTTCACTACTGCATGCTTTGTCTTCGTATACGGGTGCATCCTTCAACCATATTAACATGTGTACATGTGGGGAGCCTATTTAGAAAGTCTGTAAATAAATACCCCCCAATCGACCCTGAAAAAGTGCTCTTTGATCATAAAGCCAGCAAAAGGCCCTTCTTTATCCACCCATGTTCTTTTCCATTCCCTAAACCGATGGTCAAAATATTTCGCAGCCGTGATTGGATCAGATTGTAATACTCGTGCCTTTTATTCATACGATAGTTCTTCAGCTTGCTCTTCCGTCATAATATCATCATCTACAACTTTTTTTTTTCAAAACACAAAGAAGCTCATTCCATTTGGTCTCTGCTGCAAAAACAGTTAAAAACAATATCGGAACATTAAACTGCCTGATCATAGCCATACAATTTTGCTTTTGATTTTTTCCAATACCCAAAAGACGAAAATGTCTTGAATGTTTGATCCCGGTTTAAAAGCCTTGTGACATAATCATCGTTCGCAACATCCTTAGCTGTAAAAGGGACACCATCACTTGCAGCATTGCCTCGTTTTCTCCAAATGGTATTAATATTAGAACTCATTTTGGTGAGCAGAACTTTTCGATCCATGTACAGGATCAAGTCAGGACGCATGACAGCTCTTCCAAATTTTCGCAAAGTAACTCTTGTGCGACCATGCAAGAACGTACTCGTTACACACACACTGCAAAAATGAACAGTAACGTTTTTTTTTTTTTTTTTTTTTTTTTTTTTAAAAAAAAATAGAATAAACACGCTTTGAAATTTTTCTTTTTTTTTTATACATATAACTCGTTATGCCTTACACATCCTATAACGCTTGTATTGTGCAAACTAATGGTGCAGTATTACTGGCCATGGTCATACTCAATTATTTGATCTTCTCTTTTAACATTTGGTGTCTCACATATATCTTCGACGCGATGTTAACTCAATGTTTAGGTAAGAGTATGAATAATTGAATTACTAAAGCGTGGTTCTAATCAAAGCCCATTCAGAAATATTGCTTTCTCTTCTTTGCATTTACAATATTTGGTCAATTTACAAAGGAACGATCAACTCATTCATTGCTAAAGTTAAGGTTCCTTATGATGTTTATTTTTTCAGTAAGTAGAAACATTGTGAAAGTAACTTTTTTTTATTAAACATTACTGCCTCAGAACCTGGACCTCTCGCGAAAAACTTTTGTAAAGCAGCACATTCAGTATTATATGGTAATATACGTTGAATGATTAGACATATCTTTATTAAAAAGACTAAAATATACGTTTTCGTATAGAATTCTTACTTGGAAGACAACCTGTTGTACCCAATACGCGCACACCCGCACCAAAGGGACAAAAATCGAATCATATGTTTGCGGGCTTTCTAAACTTCATCAAGGAGAAAACCATCAGTCCCATTTCAGCCGCCCCCAGTATTCCTGCTTCCACTACTTCTGTTCCCGGTCCTAGAACCTTTTGTGCACCAAGCCTTACCAGAATATTTAATACAGGATTCAACTCTTCTTTTGACATCTCACCGCAGAGAGTCTTTTCGATTTTATCCGATTCATTAGTTCCCAGAAACAATGCATTTAACAGCTCAGTGCCCAAACTTAAGTTTGCACCATGCATTAAGCCCCCTCTTCAGCCATCTGCCCATAGACACCGCATTATGTGGTATATGCACAGAACAGAAGAAATAATTGCCGACTTTAGAATCGAACAGGTAAACACGAGAATGAATAGATACTCGAGTAGATCAATAATATATTAACAATACAGTACTTAGATTCTCGAAATGAAGAAAAGCTGGACCAAATTCAACGATCGCTGCTTCAGTATTTTCTATGACAGACTTCTTCTCGTAAGTGTGATTGTATAAATTATTTGGAGACATGTTAATCAACTCTTTTTTTTTTTGAAGGTCTTGCATGAAAAAATGTTCTCACCCTTGGCGAAAGCCATTGAACATTTTGATGTCATGCTTGCTAATAAAAACCAAAGTCTGGTAAAGTCACCTTCTGTCACTATTGCCCTCTCCTTGGTGATCCCTGGGTTTAACGTAAGAATAATGACATGGATTGAGAGATTTTGACATATTAACATTTATATTTTAGAACAATGCTGATTTCACAATTTCAGAAGTTATAGATTTTATGGCATTGCAAGGTCACACGGACGAAAAAAGTATGACTTACGTGAAAAACCGTATCTTGGGTAAGTTGAATTAAAAGGTTCACAGTAAAGGAAGGATTATGTTTTTCTGACCGGGTTCCCAAAATATAGAATTATCCAAAAGCAACAAGTTGGCTGGCTTCCGCTACACCCCCAAGTCGGCTGGTATGCCTTCTGATGCTGACGTAAGTATATAGTGTCTTTTTAATGATGATTTTGGTTTTTTAATTATTATATTACAGATCTTGTTGCATGTGTTAGAGGTTTACTTAACCCTTAAGGAGCCCATGGCCATTCCCCCACTTGTGCCTGTAAGTGATCTAATAATAATCTATACGCAATATTCTAATTTTCAATTTTAGCCCCCCATCAACATCTTTAAGTACCTTCTAACATACGTATATCTAACCCCAGAGTAAGTTATTTATTCGGTATGAAGTACAAAATGTTTTGACTGATTATTTTTTATTAGGTTGGAACACTGGGATGTCTTCGAAAAGGCCAATTAAAAATAATCAAATAAAGCCAAAAACAAAACAAAAAGCAACCAATTTCTATAACCAGCTACTGTCATTTACATTTTTATATCTTTGATATCATTACAGCCATACGAAAGTGAGAGTCCGTATATTTACACTTCAGAGACATACGCGAAAGATGCTAGATGCGTTTTAGATTGCCTTGAATCAAACCTTCTTTCGATATCAATTTGCATAATCGCCTAGCAAAAATCACGCATTGCATTTGATAGATAGAATAGTTTTGGGTTTGTAGCAGTCAGAAAGAATGGGCCACTTTATCTAGTGAAGCTGCAAATATATGGTGCAACTTGAGTTGTGGATCATGACCAGTAAATGTGTATGATGAGTATGTATGCTTCCTAGTAAAAAGATCATATGGAGATGCGTGCGGACATTCAACCACATGCGAAAAAAAAAAAAAAAAAAAAAGTACGAAGCAGACGTACAGCTAGTGAAAATACACATTTGTGAGCGTAATTTTGTTTTGTGTAGATAGTCAATCTATATTACACAAAAAAGGTCAGTACTTTGATAATATTGAAATAGAACCTGTTTATCTATATTAAAAAAATAAACGGGTTTTGAAGAGCTTTCATTTTCTTCATTTGACAAGTCTCTAGGCAATATGATTGGGTCTTGACTTATAACAAATTCTTGAATTTGGGTTTTTACCAGCTCACCAGATTTTTTAAGTTTATTGTGTAGAAAAAAACTGTAACTAAAGCAGTTGTGATTCGCTATCAACACATTGATCCTATCTTGCTCTTCGCTATATGCTTTTGCCCATTTTTCAACTAATTTGAGTACTGCTATTAAGCCGCTCTTTCTTTTATCCTCCTTGCAAATAATTATTAATGATCCAGCTTTGATTTTGTCTGTTCCCTGTAGAAAAGTGTTGATTTCGTCCATCAAAGTTTTCTCAACAAAATGAAAACAATCCTTAAAAACGTCCTCCAGGGTTAATGATCTAATAGATTCGAGGTCAAGTATCTTTTTACTGAATTGTGGATCACTAGGACATTCAAACTTTGAAAACGGACATGGTGTTAAAGCGGTTTCGAATGGCTTGTCATAATCGTACTACAGAAAAAAAAACAGAGAAAGTTTAGGTTGTAAGAATTCCATCCAGTACTTCCAAATGTTCTTACATATCGATATTTGAATTGTTCTTTTATAGATTCAAGCATCGAGTCAATGAAATGGAGCACCAGACAGGGATCGCAAAGCGTTATCAGTGACGATTTTACATCGTGAAACCCAAAAGGAATTGTAAAATGAAAATACTTCAATAGTTGAGGAATAAATCTGCTGTCCGTTGTTTTTAAGCCTGGATATTGAGCTGATACCAACTCTAGGTCGACAAGCAATTCTTGCTGAAGATCTAAAGACATGATGACATACTGATGGCCTTGGTTCATTTCTACACTGCGTTTGTAATGGTGTTCAGACTGCAGATATCGGAATGTTAACTCTAGATCGGTGAAAAAAATCAATCTTTCTCCATCATCATCTTCGTTAATTAGACCAGATTTCATAAAAAGAGGCCGGATCAATTCCTCTCTTGTATTATCATTCCAATGTGTAGGAATACTGAATGCATAAAAGAGCTCTGATTTTGAACAATCCAGTTTTTTTATCCAATGATCCACGTGAAGTTATAAAAGGTATATTGCCTCCTGGGGAACAAGATCTTCTGCAGGAAATTTTGCTTCTGATTAAGCACGAATTATAAAGTTCGGCAAAAATGTTATGTACATAAAGTAAGCTACTTTGTGTTTCCTCAGTTAGTAATTGATCATATGAGCCACCTCTAGCTATTATGTTTTTGCTGATGGTGTTATATAAAAATGAAGAGACTTGGGATTTTTCACCCCTTATTTTAAGCGCTATCTTTGTCAGAACAAAAAAAGTCTCACTTGTGTTATTACCATACTGGTCTTACCTCGTATCGAGGCCATCTTCGAAGTAGCCGTCAATATCATTTGCTTCAGATATGAGGGTGGTAGGGTTGAAAACTTTTTCAAATCAAAATCAACGCCATATGTAACCAAACTGTCCCTTTTTCTATTTACCCAAATTGATAAAGTATTCATGCCGAGAGTAATCATACTGTTTATCCATTTATTTATTTATTCAACCAAGTTGCACGAGAGCAAAAGAAAAATATAAAAACCAAGCCAAAGGCCATTCTTTATGTAGCTTACGTAGATGGTTACACGCTTAGGGAGTCTTCTCAACTTATGTACAATGTTGCACCGACTGTAAAGCATAAATGGGTCATCTTCCGGTCGGACTACAAATATAGTGCCTTTTTGCATTGAGTCCACAGCGGTCAAAATAAACGACATTGATCTTTTCATGTCCTCAGCCTTCGAGAGTTTTTTTTTGACTCTTTAACAGGTACTCCGAGACGTTTTTGCGATGAGCATTATCATAAATTTTGTTGTCCATTGCAGTTGATGTGAGGCTACGACTGGAAATGACAGTTTGGGTCTTCATTTAGTATAAAATGTTTAGAAAAGATCAATGAAATGATCCTGACATAAGAGTGCTGATTAAATAGGCAATTAAGTCATCCTAACACAATCCAGATTTTGAATCAATTTAAGTTTTCTCACGCACTTTATTCTTCCCTTTTTTTCTTTTCCTAACAAATGATAAGTAATCGAGTCTTTCTTACTTGATTTTTTTTTGTAAGAAAGCACTCAATATTTGAAAGGGTTAGTTATGAATGGCTTGTTTTAACAATTAACGCTAAAATATTACCTCCTTCTTTTTTTTAAAAAATAAAAAAGGAATATTGCAATGTATGCGATATTACCGTAGACTGGTCGTCGCTTCACTGCGAAGAACACCCAGGTTGGGCTTTGGATATTCTTTCGGGTTTTTTGTATGTCATATTATTACCCAAAATGCGTAAGAAAAAAAAAAGATCACTAAAGTCAAAGCAAAGTTATCGTCTACTTATTTAACCCGTTTAAAACCCGGGTTTATAAGTAGATCACATAGAGTCATGATCGGTGTACTAAAATCGCACTATTTAGCATATAAAATCGCATATAAAATCATTCCATCGATCCTTGATCGACAGGTACATAATATCATAACACTCATAAAAAAATAATAGCATATAAAATATCCTGAGTTACACATTTACAACTCAGGATTACTAGATAATCCAATAGACGATCCCATTTCGAATAATAGATTGGCTACACTGACAAGGCTCATCATTCATTAGTAAATACAGCCAATAATACTAAGTGAACACAAACTAGCCCATATTTTACCTACGCTTTAAATAACTATAAATACTCCACTTTCTTTCAGAAGGAGTCTCCGACCTTATGAAGGATAATAGTTATTTAAGTTCGTAGCATAGCTGACGAACTCAACTTATTATCCGAAGGGGAGGAGACTCTTGTTGTCCCACCCTTTTATCCCACCCTATCTTATATTTATATTTTAGCTTATTATTTTATTTCTGTATGGATACGATCATTTTATTATATTTTTGTTTCTGAATTTCGCATTAATAAAGAAAAAATGGTAACACAACAAGAGTCTCCTCTCATTCGGATAATAAGTTGAGTTCATCAGATATGCTTCGACTTAATTACCTACATAATAGATTAATTTCATATAAAAAATATTTGAGATTTACAGAATGAGATACACATTTTGGCAAAGTAACTCTTGTGTGACCATGCAAGAATGTACTCGTTACACACACACTGCAAAAATGAACAGTAACGTTTCTTTTTTTTTTTTTTTTTTTTTAAAAAAAATAGAATAAACACGCTTTGAATTTTTTCTTTTTTTTTATACTATGTATAACTCGTTATGCCTTACACGTCCTATAACGCTTGTATTGTTCAAACTAATGGTGCAGTATTACTGGCCATGGTGCATACTCAATTATTTGATCTTCTCTTTAACATTTGGCCTCTCACAATATCTTCGACGCGATGTTAACTCAATGTTTAGGTAAGAGTATGAATAATTGAATTACTAAAGCGTGGTTCTAATCAAAGCCCATTCAGAATATGCCTTTCTCTTCTATGCTTTCATAACATTTGGTCAATTTACAAGGGACAATCAACCCATACATTGCTAAGGTTAAGGTTCCTTATGGCGTTTATTTCTTCAGTAAGTAGAAACATTGAGAAAGTAACTTTTTTTATTAAGCATTACTGCCTCAGGACCAGGACCTCTCTCAGCAAACTTTTTTAAAACAGTACACTCAGTAGTATATGGTAATATACGTTGAATGATTAGACATATCTTTATTAAAAAGACTAAATATTCATGTACGAATAGAATTCTTACTTGGAAAACAACCTGTTCGACCCAATACACCCACACCCGCTCCAAAGGGACAACAATCAAACCATATGTTTGCCGACTTCTTAAATTTCAAAAAGGAGAAAGTCATTAATCCCATTGCAGCCGCCCCCAGTATTCCTGCTCCCAGTACTTCTGTTTCCAACACTTCTGTTTCCAACACTTCTGTTTCCAACACTTCTGTTCCCAGTCCCACGACCTCTTCTGCGCCAAGCCTTACCAGCATCTTTGATACAGGATCCACTTCTTCTTTCGACATCTCACCTCAGAGAGTCTTTTCCACTTTATCCAATTCAGTAGCTCCCAGAAACAGTACATTTAACAGCGCAGTACCCAAGCTTAAGTTTGCACCATGCATTAAGCCCCCTCTTCGACCATCTGCCCATAGAGAGCGCATTATGTGGTATATGAACAGAACAGAAGAAGTAGTTGCCGACTTTCGAATCGAACAGGTAAACACAAGAATGAATAGATACTCGAGTAGATCACTAATATATTAACAATACAATACTTAGATTCTCGAACTCAAGAAAAATTGGACCAAATTTAACGATCGCTACTCCAGCCTCTTCTATGACAGACTTCTTCTCGTAAGTGTGAATGTATAAATTATTTGGACATGTTAATCAACTCTTTTTTAAAACAAAAAAAGGTCTTGTACGAAAAGATATTCTCACCCTTGGCGAGAGCCATTGAACATTTTGATGTTATCCTTGCTAAAAATAACCAAAGTCTGGTAAAATCACCTTCTGTCACTATTGCCCTCTCCTTGGTGATCCCTGGGTTTAACGTAAGAATAATGACATGGATTGAGAGAGTTTGACATATTAACATTTATATTTTAGAACAATGCCGATTTCACAGTTTCAGAAGTTGTGGATTTTCTGGCATTACAAGGTCACACCGACGAAGAAAGTATGATTTATGTGAAAAACCGTATCTTGGGTAAGCTGAATTAAAAGGTTCGCAGTAAAGGAAGGATTATATTTTTCTGATCGGGTTCCCGAAATATAGATTTATCCAAAAGCAACAAGTTGGCTGGCTTTCGCTACACTCCCAAGTCGGCTGGTATGCCCTCGGATGCTGATGTAAGTATATAGTGTCTTTTTAATGATGATTTTGGTTTTTTAATTATTATATTACAGATCATGTTGCATGTGTTGAAGGTGTACTTAAGCCTCAAGGAACCCATGGCTATTCCCCCACTTGTGCCTGTAAGTAATCTAATAACAATCTATACGCAATATTCTAATTTTCAATTTTAGCCCCCCGTCAACTTCTTCAAATTTCTTTTAACATATGTATATGTGACCCCAGAGTAAGTTATTTATTCGGTATTAAGTACAACATGTTTTGACTGATTATTTTTTATTAGGTTGGACCACTGGAACATCTTTGAAAAGGCCAGTCCTAAATAATCAAATAAAACAAAAAACAAAATAAAAAGCAATCAATCTCTATAACCAGCTACTGTCATTTACATTTTTATATGTTTTATATCATTGCAGCCATACGAAAGTGAGAGTCCGTATATTTACACTTCAGAGGTATACGCGAAAGATCCTAGATGCGGTTTAGATTGCCTTGAATCAAACCTTCTATCGATATCAATTCGCATACTAGCAAAAATCACGCATTGCATTTGATAGGTAGAATAGTTTTGGGTTTGTAGCAGTCAGAAAGAATTGGCCACTTAATCTAGTGAAGCTGCAACTGTATGGTGCAACTTGAGTTGTGGATCATCACCAGTAAATGTGTTTGATGAGTATGTATGCTTCCTAGGAAAAAGATCATATGGTGATGCGTGCGGTCATTCAACCACATGCGAAAAAAAAAAAAGTACGAAGCAGACGAACAGCTAGTGAAAATACACGGAATCCAGAGAATTTATCACAAAAAATCTCAGTATGAGTAATAAGGATATTGTTGTATGTTATCCATTGAATTTTCATCAAGTGTCAAATTTGAGGTCCATCACATAAAAAAAAAAAAAAAAAAAAAAAAAAAAAAAAAAAAAATTGAAATCACCAGCAATTACAATGAATATGTATTGATGTTGAATTATAAATTCTAATGCTTCCAGCAGTAGGTCAGGGTTTTGGCAAGGATCTGGAGACGCATAAATGCTACAGTAGAGAGTAGAATTAAATGTGACAGTTGACACACTTACAGAAGAGGACGAGGAGGAGTTGTTACTGTTAAAAAGTTTTGTTGAAAAAGTATGATCTCCTAATATCGAGCTAGAGACGTAACAGCAATTGCCTATGGGTTCACTTACACCATCTATACAATCAACAGCCGAAACAAATTTAAAACCTGGGATTTCAAAATTATCTGTTGGTAATGTCCATGTTTCATTGAGGAGGATTACATCAGATGATAGATATACGGGGTCGTTGACGATCTGATCCAAGTGTGCCTGGAGACTTTGTACATTATGTGAGATAACTTGAAAATGCTCCTTTTTTGTAAGATTCAAAAAAGTTGGTTGGAGTGTAATGCTAGGCTGACGTTGGATTTCTAGATATAAATCACTTTGTTTTTCTTTTAATAAAGGTCTGGGTGGTTTAAAAACATTATCTTTACATATCAAAGTGAGACGAGCGGCTGTTGTTGCTCTTGAGCATGCGACATGTACCAATGACCTCTGCATTTTGTGCTTACCAACATCATATGTATACTACAACTTTTTTATATGTGCCACCCTGTGATTTGTGTATGGTTAGGGCTTCGGCTGGTACAACAGGGAATTGCTTGGATTTACTTTCAAATGCTCTTTACGATTGATGATAATTTTTAGTGAGACTAATTCAATCATGGTCCAGTCATCACACAAAATGTTGCCCATTTCTCTTAATCGCACTTGCTTCTTTCTCAAAGACAAACCACTGGTCACATCATCGAATTTTATCCAAATTTGTAAAGGCTTTTTTTCAGTATCTGTTGTGGCTTCAGACGGATTTTTTAACTTGCCATAATCGATTTTTTTAAAATACCCAGTTGTTCCGTTTACGAGACCGTCTGAAGTATATAGGTTTGACGTGACTATGTACCGAGCTTCTTATTTGAGCCTTAAATGTTTCATCAGACCAAGATTAGTAACCTAATGCACTGAGTCATTAGCAACAAAGGCAAGCAAATGTTCAACAGCAGATCGATTAGAACATACACCGATGATACGGTCAAATCCCACAGAAATAGCTCCTTCGGTAGTCATGTTTTCTAAAATTGCTGAATTCATATTTCGGACCATGTTGTTTGTGTAAAACAAACAAATAGCTCTATACTCCATGTTAATGTCACCGCCTGAACCATCTTCGTCCAAATGAGAGAAAACAGCTTCTTCTCTTATCAAAGCTTTCAAATCCGAAGCGCTTACTTGAAGGACTCTGCTTTGAAACAATTGCATATCAGCTGGAGTCATTTCACCAATGGCCATATTATTAGTTAAGAGCTATTGCAAAGCTTAAATCATCTCTTTGTCTCGAAATCTGAACTGGTTTATTGACCACAAAAATGTTCCATATGCGTGAACCAAACGCTACAAGGTATTGATTTGTAGGTGGTTTTGTCGAGTACAAAGGTGATGCTGCTACTGGAGAAAGTTGATAGAAATATCTCTATGTAGAAATATACGATGTTTATAAATTTAATAAAGTTTATCTAGGGTATTTCACACCAGGCATCGAAGGAAAAATAAAACCAAGATTAACCGCTTCACTAGAACATATTGGTCTTTTAAAAAAACAAAATTAGATACACAGACGTGCGATTTATAGTGATCTCGATCTTACTTTGACCTGTTTATCATAAAGCAGACATAGCGTTAGTCCTAAAAAATGGTTGAAAGATATGTGACCGATTGCTAAAAGGATATGTAAGTTTAAAAGACATACCATAGCCTCTTCAAATAAAGAGTGTACTAATTTAGAATAACAATTGATGTGGTCCACATTGGTCTTTTGATCTAAGCAAGTAAGCAATAAACAAATTGAAGCAATATTTAAAGTATACTTTTAAAATTACCCAAAGATTTTTTTGTATGTCAAGCCCAAAATTTTTCTAATCCACCCGAAAGAGAAGCAATGTTAGCAATTTAGGTAAAAATAAGAGTTTAAAACGATTAAGTCACCATGCTTACAGCTCTGTGTCAAGTACTTCACACAGAAGCAAAAAGTATTGAAAAGGCAAGTCGATATTTAAATATAATTTCCTCTTTATTCTTAATAAGAAGCCCCCACTGTTAGAAGAGACAAGCTTTACGTTTTGACTAATACCATCGCATTGCTCAAAAAATAAAGGAAAAAGAAAATGCAAGTGAATTTTCAAAGTTAATATGTCTGGCCGAGAATAAAAATATTTGATACACTAAGTGGCACAGGACTTGAAAACCAACAGCAGTTGTTAAATAAGTTCCCAAAGTTGTTTGCCTAAAAAAAATATTATCGGTCTTGAATTTCTGTAACTTTCTGTAAGTTGGTGCTCCGAGCCAATGATATCTCCTTACGAACTTTTATTCCTGCCATGAGGGCCATAAGAATTAATCGCTGTAAATGTTGATTGAACTGCTGTATACAACACACTATTATTTCCTTTGGTTTTACTACCCATTCCTCCCTAACAGAAGTTAAAAAAAAATCTAATATTTTTTTGAGAAAGTGGTAAATGAGCAAAGAAGAGAAAGAAAACAAAGGAAAAAGGGAGGTGCGGCATTAGACACAATAAACTTGATTAATGCGGAGGTTGAGCTGATTTTCTATGGGTTTTTACATCTCATAACTAGTCTGTAACAATGAAAGTTGTGATTGCTTTAATCTGCTGCTAATCCTCTAGAAATTATTGAGCTAGTGATAATAAAAAAAAACTTTAAGTTAAGCTTAGTGGGGATGACTAAACTATCAGAAAAAAAGAGGGATTAGTTATTACGACTATGCCGCTCTTATCGATTAAGGATTAGTTAGAGGATTTACAGTAAAATGTTTAACTGATGGTAGTATATAACTATCTACACATTTAAAAAAATTGCAATAATGGAGAAAGGTTTTCCAAGAGGTGGTATAAGTGAGTTAACACACACACACACACACAAATATTTACTTCCACTAGTTCGAATTTGATAGTATGCCAATTAAATAAACTGAGATAAAACCCAATGACATAGTACAATGTATAGAGAGATTGGATGATTGCAATATCAGCATTGATTAATTTCGGGGCGTATTGTGGAGTAAGATACGAAGGGGGTTACTATTATCATTATGTAGTAATTATTTTTTAAAAAGGACGTTTTTGTTTATTAGTTATTTAAAACCCCAGCTGGGCAAGAATCTTCTATCTGAAGGAGATACATCCTGCAGGATCTCCTCGTGGACTCTCTTTTTGCACAGGCCTGTTCTGGGATTATTATTGAGGCGGACCTCATCAAGTTTGGCAAAAAGCTGGTTAAGCTAAACAAAGAACATATTAATTTTTGTTTTTATTTTATTTTATCTCATAGCTACTAAATGAATTTACCTTAATGCTTCTCCAAGATGGGGTCTTGACAACAATCGTTCTGGCTTGATTGCTGCCGTTACGGTATTCACCGTCCTCCTCTTCAGACATGTATGCCAGCTGTATAAAGCTCTCCGCCTCCAGAATAGGCACGCTAAACTCTTTGGCAATAGTGCAGCCAAAGGTTGACCAAGTTTGTACCCGGTTCTCAAATTTCTGAAAAAATGTATGGTTGGTTAGCTATTGTTCGATCTGCATTTTCAAATTATTATACTGACTCTAGCCTTTCGGCTCTCAACACGGCGGGCACTGGCATCTGCTTGTTTTTCCTTAGCTGGCTTCTGGTCACGGAAGTACTTCTTACGCAAAGTGGTGTAGCGGCTACTACACAAACTTTTGAACCAAGAATACTTACCAGGAAGGAAATTACCTTGCTGATCCAGCATATTATCAATGAAGTATTGTGACCTACACATATTCTCCTTGATTCGGTCAAAAACGGCTTTGTTGTCACCATCATAGAGACCCTGCAATGTAAAATCGAAATTATACATAGGTAAACTAGTATAACTTCTCAACAGATCCTAATTTATTTTTAATTTCTTTGTCAGTATTCACATCTCAGTCAAACAAACAAAAAGGTACGCATACATTTAAATCTTTGTTTTTTGCACTCACTTGACGGCGAGTCAATTTTACTTCTTGTTTAACATCTTCCTCTTTGACACGAACTTCCCAAGTGCTGCCGCTGGTAACGTGTTTAACCATTGCTAAGTAACTGATAGAAAATCACTTCTTCGTTGGGACCCTTCACAAAGAAGGATATTTATTGTATTTACTTTTATAAACAAAAAAAAAAAGAAGAGAAAACAGTGAAAAAGTAAGATGAGTCCTGGTTATTTATTAAGAGTCAGTTTCGAAAAGAGAAGGAATTTCTTCTCGTGGTACTACTACGGACGGGTTTGTCACACCCGTGATAAAAAGTTTATAATTGCATAAATCGAAAGAGTCTATTATCTAAAGCTTATGTATAAGCATCAAGATAAGCATTTTAGTGATTATGTACAGTGGAAAAAAACACTGATTCTCAATCACCGTCTTTCATTGCAATCAAAAAGAAAAAGGGTACGGAATAATCATTTTAAACTTTAAAAGCTATCGTAAGACCAAACAATAAAAAAAAAGTTAAAATTGGACTGTGTATGTTTATTATGATGAGGGTGAGCTATTTGAAAACAAAAGAATGGAAAGTGTTTGTTTTTTTTTTAATCGTAGATCATTTTTAATTTAGGGGTAAAAAAAGGGGGGGGGCGGAAAGACAGTAAAAGGAGGACGGGATCAGTGTAACAACACATGCCGTTTAGAGCTTCTTTATTATCATGACCGCAAATAAATATAAAACCAGTGAAGCCTATTTAACTTGTTTACGGCATAGAATTGTTGGTTATTAGTAATAAAAGCAATTAGCATATTGTACATGTTAAAGTATTGCTAGGTAATTATGAAACAACTTAATATAATACAAGTAACCATTCTAATTCTGGTAATGTCTTCGCTGTCAGTACCGTCATTGGTAACTATTATTTCATTGTCTGTTTTTTTTGCGGTACAACGGGGCCTTTTTATTGGAGTATGTCATATGTGGATAGCACTTCTTATCAAAAATAGGCTATCCAATATATTGGATTAGCAAAAGCAAGTCCAATGATGATTCTAGACTGACAGCGGTCTCTGCGGTGAAAACGCATCATCACTAAAAATAATAAGCTGGATGAAATGAACGCTTTACTTGTTGAAAAAGAACTAAGTATAAATATTCAGTATTCATCACCTTTGTGGTAGATCATGCTCTCATTTACACTGATAAAGAAAAGTCGTGTATTCCCAATCAATTATGCTATAAAAAGCTGGAAAGAGGAAGGCTAAAAATGCAATGTCCTTTTAATAGTGAGAACCTTATTTCTTTTCGGTTATTAACAAGGGCCAAGTAGGTACTTTCCTCCTATTTTTGGTCTATCATCATCATTTTTTTTTTACTTGTATAGAATTCTTCAGTCAAATTTCTATTTGTCAGTAAGAATTACCCTTTGGAGCCTAATTTTTTTTTTTTTTTTTTTGGACAAAAACTGAGGCCAATTATTGGAGTACATACCTTTCTCCCCTTTGTAACCATTACAAAATATTAATAACCGCAACCTATTCTTTTATTCAATGGAACCAGCAAAGACAAAGCATGAACATGAGGTTGATGAATTGCTAGAGGAGTTCGATGAGAAGGTTAAACTTCATGCAGATGATGTTCCAGATGAGTTGTAAGCATTTCTCTCCTTCTTTTCGTTGTTGTCTTCTTCTTTTTTTTTTTTTTTTTAATTAATTCATATCTGTCTAGTCAAAACAAAGATAAAGATAACGAAAAGATGATATCTACACCTATTCATACTGAAGAAATGGACCATATTTTCAATCAGTTTAATGGTAAAATAAAAAAAAAAAAGGTACAGAAACATAATCGACTCAATGTAATATTAGAAGAAACGAATTCGTCCAACACGCATGTGAGACGTCCTTCTCTTTCCAACAACGATTTGCACATAGTAACCGATATACCTCAACAAGAAATACCCTTTGATTTTAATCGATTTTTAGAACAAATGAGAAGTCGTAACTCCAAGCCCATTACTCGTTATTTTAAGAGGTAGGTTATTTAATATTTAACAAACATTCTTTGTCTTATATCTGCAAAATAGTTTTCTGCAAGCATTTGATCGTAGACCGTGGACGGCCAATGAACAAATCAAAATTATTCAAGACTTTTTGGACGCAAGTATAATAGATTACATAGAGTAATAATAATAGATCCATGCTGATCTTCTTTTAATTTCTAGTTTATATTTATAAAAATGAGAGAGTGCGATGTTTGGAAAGATATGTCTGAACAAGAATTTGGAAACGCAAAGGAAGGAATGGAGAAATTAGTGATGAATCGATTATACCATGTGTAAGGAGAGAGAAAAGGGTGAAAGAACTCTATCCATTGCGTTTTCATTATACTTATTTGTTTAACTATAGTACATTCTGTCCAAATACAACGGATGATAAAGAAAGAGATGAGATTTTGCATCAAAAGATAAGCATATTTCGATGGATCCGTGAAAAGCACTTAGACATACCAGAGACTGAACACAATGAATCATTTTTATCCTTTGCGGAATCTGGTAAAGTAGATCAATCTCATGTTGATTCGCACCACTAATTAAACTATGATAGAAATTTTAAAAATTAACAATTATAAGGCACCTCGAGATAAATTAATTTGCATTTTAAACTGTTGTAAAGTCATATTTGGATTAATCAAGCATGTGGAAGGTGATGCTGGTGCAGACAAATTCTTACCGATTTTAATTTATGTCGTAATCAGAGCAAATCCACCCAGATTAGTATCCAATGTTCAGCAAGTATTTTGGATTTATCTATTCATTTATTCTTCTTTACTTACTCATCTGTATACAACAGATATATCTATCGCTTTCGAAATCCAGAGCAACTTCAAGCAGAATCTGGTTATTATTTAACCAATTTGGTAACCATGAAAAATTAATTTTCAAAAGGAGAGGAAACTGACATCTTCAAGCTAACCCAAAATTAGATGGGCGCTATCTCATTTATCGAAACAATGGAGGCTAATTCATTATCCATCACCAAGGAAGAATTCGACTTGTAAGCTACAAAAAATCAATTGATGGACTCCTTCTTATTAAAATTTTTTAAATAGGAATATCGAAAGAACAATGAGTGAATTACAGCAAGAAAGACCTTCAATTATGCTGGATAAACAACAGATTAATTATGAAAATGCAGTTCATCCATCCCGTATACAATCCCAACCTTTATTGGATCCTGCAAAAGCATCGGCGTTATTAGAACGAGGAAGTTTATTTGCACAAAAGACGATGCAGAGACCTCTAAGTTTTGTTGGCAAGATATTTCAAGGATTGAGTGATACATCGGGTACAAGTAGTAGAGCAGAAAGTCCTGTGGAAGAGCATCAGGAAACACCACTGCTTCCTCCCCGACCCATGATGCCAGATCAGCAATTGATGATGATGCAACGACAACAATTTGATTCTAACCTTGAAACATTGAGTAATATGTTTACCAATGTGGATATCAGTGTATGTAAACTCATCTTGAATACAAATCATGGTGATTTGGCCAAATCCGTTGACCAGTAAGTTGGGAACAATCACTAGTGCCTTTTTTTTGATTTTTTAAATATGTCATTTTTTTTTTTAGTCTGTTGGATATTTCCGGTACTCAGGATACCAATGCAGCAATTCACAATGCCTTATTTTTACAAGCCTCAATTCCAACCACAGTCCCTAACGATACTCGCTAATAATTTTCTAAAGGGAAGGGGAAGAAATCTTTTTTTAAATCATAATGCTTGGCATTGGGGGATGATGGAGAAATTCTCAAAATGTCTTGAGTGACGTAATTTACGAATATTTTTAGGTCTCACAAACTATAAAAACCCTTTTTTAATTTCATGATTTCATTTTCATAACTCTTTTTTCTTTCTTTTCTTTTTAACCTTGAAAAAAATAATACCTAAATACAATGTCTGCACCTGATAACGACGAAGTCAATAACGTTGACAAGATTCCCACTGAGCAAAAAGGAGCTTTTCACTCATTCTTAAAATCTTTGGCATCCTTCTCTGGTGATCTCTCCTCTTTAACTTGTCCAGCTTTTCTTTTAGCACCCGTATCCTTGATTGAATATTCGTAAGTGTGTGTGTGTGTGTGTGTGTGTGTGTGTGTTCGTGATAAGAATACTAGGATTTCTCAGTATTCTAACTTGTTTTTTTTGTGCAGTGAATATTGGACACAACAACCGGAGCTGTTCACCGCCATTACGCAATCAGATGATGAGGTGGAACGCATGGTGTCTTTTGTGAGATGGTTTATATCCTCTTTAAATGCATCATATTCCCGTCGTGTACCTAAAGGAGAATGGGAAAAGAAGCCTTATAATCCCGTGTTAGGAGAACAATATAAAATGGTTTGGGGTGACGTTGGAGGCACTGGTGAAACAGATGTCATTGTTGAACAGGTGTCTCATCATCCTCCCGTGACTGGATTCCGTATCGTGAATGAAAAGTCTGGTTTGACCTTGAATGGTCATACTGGTCAAAAGACCCGTTTCTCTGGCACTTCTTTAATCGTGGATCAAGTCGGTCAAAGTTTAGTCACTTTGCATCAACGTGATAACGAGAAATACATGTACACATGTCCCTCCATTACCGTGAATGGTATTTGGTACGCAGGTAAATTTCTTTCGCTTGATATTTTGCACATTAAGCTAACTTGTATATAAAAAAAAAAAGCTCCCTATGTTGAATTGACTGGTACTTCTTATATTCAATCATCCACTGGTTTGTATTGCTCAATTGAATACTCTTCTCGCGGTTGGATCTCTGGAGAACGTAACCATTTTAAATGTTATCTTCGTCGTAATGGAGGTAGCTCTAAAGAATATATCTACAAGATGGAAGGACAATGGAGCGGTAAATCTACTATTACACCTTACGGTTCCAAAACATCTTCACCTTTCCTTGATGTTACCTCTTTAACACCTGCTCCCATGTTTGTCAAGGATATCCAAGAACAAGGTGAATTAGAAAGTCGCAAGATTTGGCAAAAAGTATCCGAAGCCATTAAAGCCAATGATACCAACTTGGCTGGACTTGAAAAAACAAAGCTTGAAAATAAACAACGTGAAGAACGAACAGCTCGTCAAGAAGCTGGTCAAGAATGGGAGCCTCAATATTTCCAATGGGTTGAAGATGAGCCTAATGTTTCTACACTTCAACGTATGTTAACTTCAACCGTTAAATCCAAATATGCCCCTGCTACCACTGGTAACTGGGTGTTTAAAGGATAAATAACTATTTTTGAAAATGCGTGCATAATAATAATAATAATGATAATAAAAAAATGTTACGTAAAAATACCTACACATTAAAAATATTCCTTCTGTAAAACACAATCATAAAATTAGCATTACTTCAAACCTTTTTACTGCTAAACAAGAACAATTAAAAAGCGTCGTATTGACGTAACCTTTTCATTTTTCTTTTGTAGTAGAAAATATTACAACCTCAGCAGGTGACACAAGATGCGCATGTAAGCGGAGTTTACCTAAACGCGAAAACGTAATTTTACTTTTTACCGTCTTTCCCCATTTTTTATGCGGATTTCCTTGGTCCCACAATATTTAATATACAAGCAGAAGAAAAAGTGTCTGACGTGTTCATTATTATTACAGCAGAGTTTTTCAGACTAACGGAGGATGAAGGTGGGATATCCGTAGCATATTTTTCAAGCCGAGAAACTTTACAACTTGTAAACGCGTATCATTAATTGTTTTATAGTTTTGCATAACCAATGGCCGCTTATCAATACTAGGTTATTCTGCAGACTTTGCTTTCTTTTTAATTATTTACAGCTTTATATCTTAAAACTATGGCGAAATATGATGTTATGAACAAGAAAACAGAGCGCACAACTACTATTTTGAATAATGATATCATTCAAAGTATTTTGATTGGTCGATAAACCACCTATTACATCATCTTTCACAAAGCTCTGACAAAGATACTGGTAAGCAAAAATAAGCATCTCACTGGGAAGTGATCTTTTTTATTTGGGATTCTGATCTTTGGTAAAGATAAGTAATAGTATTTATTTCAACGCGATAGTTATCTGTAAAGCAAAAACCAAAAAAAAAAGATCATGGGACGAGAGAAAATGTTCCTTTCAGGTTATTTCTATCCACCCGGGAAGATTTCTATAAAAACCTTATCCAGACAATCAGGCCGTTTTTTACCAGATTTTTCTCTTTTTTATTGGTTGCTTTCTCGGAGGTCAAAATTAATCAAGATAAAGGCAATTTTTTTTATTTTTTTTACTGTTTTTTCCCTTTCTTTTTTCAATTATAACAACACAAACAAAAAACAGAAAAAATGTCCCAACCAAGAAGATCATTCTCTAAAGGCCCTATGACGGGTTCAGACGCACAAATCGAAGCTATCGAAGAGCTGAGACATCACTTCAAATTATCCACAGACGAACTCAAGAAATTTCGTGATGATTTACGTGCCGAAATGGAACTTGGTTTGAAATCCGATAAATCCAATATGGGCATGTTGCCTTCTTGGGTGTTTAAGCATCCCACGGGTCAAGAAACAGGTGAATACATTGGTCTCGAATTAAGTGGTAAGTTTTCCAATGCATAAAAAAAAATCACCGCTTCAACCCCGAGTCAGATAAAACTGACGTACTTATCGTGTAACTTACTAGGTTCCAATATTCGTATTTACCTTGTAAATTTGCATGGTCAAGGTCGTATTAGTACGCGTCAACAAAAGTATGTTATTGCCGATCATTTAAAGAAGGGTTCTATTACACATATGATGGATTTCTTGGTAGAATGTGTGGACTCTTTCTTGTCATTTGTTGGAAAATATGATATCAAAACTCCCTTGGCATTGGGCTTTGTATTATCTTTCCCTTTGGAACAGTCTGCTATTAACAAGGCTGTGGTGATTCAATGGACAAAAGATTTTGAAGTGACGGGTGCTGATAATAAGAATATCGCAGAACTCTTACAAATTGGATTCAGACGTCGTCATATCAATGTAAATGTAGAGGCTGTGGTCAATGGTGCGGTAGGTTGTCTCTTGGCTCATTCTTACCGTAGTTTAGATACCTTGATGGCTTGTACAATTAGTACAGGAACAAATGCTGCTTATTGGGAAAAGGTGGAGAATTTCGAAAGGGTCAATTTCGAACTTCCTGCCAAAGCTGACGGATATACACCTATTAATACTGAATGGGGAGCTTTTGCTGATTCTAACCTTGCTTTATTGCCTCGTACCTTCTATGATAACCGTGTGAACCGTCAATCTGTCAACCCCGGTGTGCATGTATTCGAAAAGATGGTGTCTGGACTTTATTTAGGTGAAATTGCACGTATTATTCTCGTGGATTTCCTTGATCGTCGACTTATCTTTGACGGACAATATACCAACGAGTTAAACACACCTTATCGATTCGAAGCTTCTTACATGAGTGCCATTGGTGCTGATGATACACCTGATTTGGAAGCCACCAAGCACATTCTTGAATCCATCATGAACTTTCCTTCCACAACCCTTTCTGATCGTCAGATCACAAGAACTATTTGTGAGTTGGTTTCTCAACGTGCTGCTCGTCTTGTTGCTGCTGCCATGAGTGCCATTATTGATAAGACCAATGCTTTGGATCAAGGTTTAACCATTAGTAAGTATTCTCGTTCATTTGTGTATCTTGAGAGTGTGTACTGACCATTTTCTCCCCTGGTCATTATTAGGTATGGAAGGTGCTGTTTATGAACATTTCCCCAATTTCCCTAGACGTGTCAATGATGCTTTGAAGGGTATCTATGGTGACCGTGTTGATCACATTAACGTCGGCGTAAGTATTCTGATTATGATTTATAAAAGAGTGGTACGCTAAATTTATACGATTTTAGATCACGCGTGATGGTAATGGTATTGGTGCTGCTTTGGCTGCTATGCTTGCTAGTACCCAAAAATAATCTACTCATTTATTTAAGTTGACATGTATAAAACATCCCCCTTTTTTCTCTTAATTACATAATAAATACGGATGGCATCTCTTGGTATTGTTATCAAGCAGATCCATGTCGTGTAACTATAAAACTAAATCTGACATTTTGTTACCGGGCCGTAAATGTGTGTGTAACATGGGATTGTGTATTCATTTTCCCGTCTCTTGTATCAACACAAATAACAAGTATTGAGCTGCAAGGGAGATCGAATTAGTTATGCACTGTTACGCTATTAAAAAAGAGTGGATGTTAACTTCCAACTAAATCTGTGCCGTTAAATTAGACTTCAAGACGTTGATAAACACGGAGCAACATTAAATACATGTTGCAATTATAAATGCAAAACAATCTTTTTACTGTAGCAATTTTTATCTGACTATCAATGTAAAGACTTATTTAAATCATAGTAAAGCGTTACTTATCTAAAAACAGAACTATTTTGTGTATCAGTGCCATTAAAAAGTGCCACTATTTCGTCTCAAATGTTAAAGAAAATATTTATGTTCTACTGTGATCAAGATTATTTTGCTTACTATATAAAAAAACAAAAAACAAAAAAAAATACCCAAGAAAGGATAAATAAACTCGCTACTGTACAAGATATGATGGTCTGTTTACTATTAAGTATTAAGAGTAAAAGAATTAGGCGCCATCAGGTTTTTCTATTGTTTGATCTCTGTTTGTAGAACCAGATGATTCTGCCTTTTCAATAACATCGGGACGCTGCAGCTTTGAATCCTTTTGTGCAATCAGAATAGGAGATACGACATCCGGTACTAAAATTTCATTTGTCAATGTGTTACTTTCATCTGAATGAGGTATATAACCAACGGGTTGCAAATTATTGCCAGTATATTTCTGTTCAATCTCATCCCAATTAACTTCCATCATGTATTCCTCCTTTTTCTTCGAAAGCTTTCTTTTTCTGATGATCCAGAAAATTACACAACCAATAGCAATCAATCCCTTTAACAAATAAGCAAGTTTTAATTCAACTTTATCTGGATTTTTGGAACAAAATTGTTACTTACTGCCACTGTAACACCAACGGCGATACCAATAGTTTTCTCCTGAGAACCTGGTTTTATTTCGTGAATTTCTTGAGAGAATTCTGGGATCTCCGCAAGCTTTTCATACTTTTCGTTTAACGTAATATTTAAAGGATCTGTAACATTCAACATTAATAATGAAAGCGTTGCTTTCATTGTTTTATCGACTATTCCAAAAATAATAAAAACAGTGTTATTATTTGTAGGCACGGCTATACAATAAAAAAAAAAGAGTGGGCGAGGCGAAGTTAGCGACTCAATGTGATGCTTTCTGTTTTGAATTAGAACTTTTTTCCAAACCTGAATGCTGTGATCTGACAAGTTCTACATCAGCTGGAGCTGAAATATTTTGCTGATTCCATTGATACGTTTCAAGATCCAATGTGTGACAATAATCGGGTAAAACTAATATAATAGTGGTTGCTTTTGCTGTTAATGCCACAAAAAATAGAGTCAATCCTGTTCTACTAACCTTTTGTTGTACTGCCTAAACTTTGACCTCCATATATTAGAACATAACGCTGATCATTTTCCACTGTTATAAATTTTTTAAAAAGGCTACCATTAACATGTGTTGTGAACACAAGAATTAAATATAAACGCTTACATAGTGTAGCCGTATGACCAAATCTTGGTGTTGGTCCTTGTCCGTTTAAGAGTTGGGAGCCCCATTCACCCTTTGCAAAATCAAATGTTATTGAACTTGCAAAAGATATATCCGGATCAGTACTGTCCAAGCCGTCATTCAGTGTACCGCCAAAGTAGAAAATGCGATTAGTTTTAAAATCAAATATAGACTCTTGATGATATGAAAATCCATAAGGCTTATTGTTTTGAATGGGGTACGCAGACCAGGGCTGTTTGAACAAGTCGACATAGTTAATAACTCTTCTTTTTTTTTTTCTTTTTTTTTTTTTTTTTTTTTTCTGTGTCGACTGGCAAAAAAAATGAAACTTACATTTAAAGTGTTTGTAATATCAAAGAAGGTCAATCCAGTATAGCCGATGTTTCTTCTTTTGATACTTGGATCTTCAAATCCAGATAAATTGCTTACTGGTGGGTAAGACCAACTATCATTATATCCACTAAATATGAAATTGTATTTTCAATATTAAATTATCAACTTTAATAATAGACTTACGTTTCGATACCACCATAAAATCCGACTCCATATCCAGGAACATAAACAGAAGATGACCGGAAGCTAAATTATACGTATATATGTTAAATGGCAGAGGATTAATAAGTCCCGTCTTTTGTTTCATGGCAACTCACATTTGTCTGTTTCCAAATGGTGCTTCCTCATAATTAGGATATACCTCCCAAGAAAGCGTTTCTGCGTTAAAAGCGATTGTTTGATCTTTTAAGGCCGGTTTAGTGTAAACGGTATATCCACCACTTATCAATAAAGTCTTTCCATCTGCAAGTTGCATAGACTGCTGATTGGTTCGATGATTCATACCAATATCAGTTTGTGCTGTATTGACTGTCACCCATTTATTTTCCAAGTCTGCTGCTGTACTTCCGGCATAGGATGATATATCGAGCATGCTTAAATAATCGATATCTTTATCCGAATCGGCTGGTGATCCCCCGTAACAATATAGTTTGCCGATTAGGTATGCACAAGCTTTGAAAGTATGCATGAATACTTGAATGAATGTACGTATATATATTAAAAGTTGCTATTATACCTGCATTTGATCTCGCTTTAAGAACAATTTGACCATTCACATAGTTTAAAAATGTAACGATAAAAGTTGTAGCTGCGAAGACAAAAATCCTCATGGCAAATGTGTACGATTTTTCGATTTTGTTTTTCTTTTTCTTTTTTTTAGACGGCTTTATATTAATGACTGTATATGGTGTAACATACTGATCAATGACTTGACACAAAGCCTAACAATTCTTCTGAGAAGATCTATTGACTTTTTGATTGGGGAGACGAGTTGTGATACCTTTGTTTGTTGCTTTTGGAAGTGCCACTGGAATTACATACCAGCCTATAATATGTTATTTGGTACAACAAAAACATTTGACTGATAGAGGTCCATTTATTTCTAATATCTTTTTTTAACATATCAATAGAACTCCAATGTGCTAAAGTATTACACCGTAAGGTAAAATATGTTGTATGACAACTATAGCGTTAAATGAAAACGCATCGACCTTTTTGACACTATTGAAGTATCGTATATCTTAACCGCACTTCCCATAGCACAGATTGAGTCAAGTGTCTTTGTATTTAAATATAGAGGGAAAAGGTATACATAATTGATTGCTAAAATATTTTTTTTTCACAATTTATTTTGGGTAATACCTGATCAATTAAAAACCATGTAACTTTACATATTAGCGTGCTAAAGTATAATATATAATCTCACTCAATTAAGCAGAAAAAAAAAGACATAGGCTTCATGATCGCGGCACCGTAATTGCCCAAAGTTAGCTTTTATTTTCATTTTTTATTTTTATTATTATTTTGCTCAAAATAATATATTTTCTAGATATAAAATAACAATGTTTTATTTACAAATATATTGTCCTAATATATAACTGTCGCATGACTTAAGAAACATTGGGCTTCTGCAAAGGATTTTTGTGCATGGTAGATTCGTCACTTTCGTCTATGGCATCAGGGCGTTGTAACTTTGTTTCACTGTCATGCACTATTTTGGGAAGAATAGCGTCTGGGACTAGTACCTCATTTACTACAGTAACATCTTCAGTCAACTGAGGGGAATATCCCGCAGGTGGCTTTTCAGCGCACGTTTGATCGATTTCATCCCAATTAACTTCCATTAAAATGTCTTCCTTTCTCTTTGCAGCTTTTCTTCTTCTTATAATTAAGAAAATAATGACTGCCACTAAAATCAATCCCTTTAATTTAAAAAAAAAGTGAGCTTCTACTTTTATAATGACTTTTGAAGTTACTTACAGCAGCTGTAACACCAACAGCGATACCTATAGTTTTTCCTACAGAGTTTTGTTTGATTCCTTGGGCTTCTGCAGGAAGTGCTGCCCGTACCTTGGGTATTTCATACCTCTCGTTTAATGTTACATTGTAAGGATCACTTACGTTAAGCATGAGTATGGAAAGAGTTGCTTCCTTTGTCTTTTCTATAATTCCGAAAATAATAAAGACCGTATCATTGTCTACAGCCACAGCTTTTTTTTTAAAAAAAATTAAGGTTTCCGACATTTAATACTCAGTCTCGTTGATCCACAATTTGTTTATTTTGATACCTGAATGTTGTGTTCTAACTAGTGAAACGTCTGGTGGGGCCGAAATGTTTTGTTGATGCCAGCTGTATGAATCAAGATCCAGGGTATAACAATAGTCCGAGCGAACTGGATGACGATATTTGAAGTTAATACGCACATTCTTTGTTCATCGTCAAAAATATTACCGCTATCCGTAGGTGACACACCCTGACCTCCGTACACAAGCACATGTCTTTGTTTAGCTCCAACTACAAAAATATCGAGACGTTTTTAGAAATCTATATATGTCAAATAAGGTGGATGGTTTTTTTTTGCCATTAAATTTCTTACTTAGGGTAACAGAATGACCAAATCTCGTAGTTGGACCCTGTCCAGTCAATGGTTGCGATCCCCATTCACCCTTCACAAAATCAAATACCATTGAGCTTGAAAAGAGAGTAGCATACTTTGTAGTCGCAACCGTATCTTTGACAACACCTCCAAAAAAAAATATGCGATTGCTTTTAGCATCGAAGATTGATTTTTGATGGTATGCAAAACCAGAAGGCATGTTTTTTTGGATCGGATAAACTGACCAAGGCTAAAGACTATAGTTAGTAAACATCAATGTCAAAGTAGAGCGAAAAAAAAAATGCGCACATTTGTTTCATTTCTTATATCAAAAAAGGTTAAGCTAGTATAACCAATATACCGACTACGAGCTGCGACGTTATTGTAAACTGACATATCAACTCCCGGGTAGCTCCAACTGCTGTTGGTGTTACTATAAAAATATACTGTAAATACGGTCTTCCAAAAAAAACAGTGCAAAAATGTAACTAGGTAAATTTACGCTTCAGATCCACCATAGAACCCGACTCCAAATTCAGGGACAAAGACTGACGATGCTCGGAAGCTAAGAATAAAATCAATATTTAGCCATTGCCAATTTATGGTACCTTACATTTGTCTTGTGCCAAAAGGTGGTTCCTGATAACTCGGGTACGCTTTCCATGATAGGGTTGTTACGTTAAAAGCAAGAGTCTGAGTTTCTAGGGCAGGAAGTGTGTAATTTACATCACCGCCATTGATCAAAAGCGTGTTTTCATTTGATAGTTGCATATACTGTTGATGGCTTCTATGCTGCGTAGTATTAAGATCATTCTCGGCTGTATTGACGGTTACCCATTTATTTTCTAATTCCTCTGGTTTACTCCCATCGTAGGCTAATAAATCGAGCATACTCACATAGTCCGGGTCGTCGGGTGCGTTAGTTGGTGTTCCTCCGTAGCAGTAAATTTTGTTCGAAAAATAACCACACGCTAAAAGAGAGAGTTTTTATTTCTTTTAGAAATCAAATTGAATAAGTCGAACACAATTTTTATAGCTGCACTTACAAGCATCTGATCTGGATTTGAGATGAATTTGTGCCGCTGTATAATTGGCCGTCGACACAATGAGAAGTACTAGTACTAAACAGAACGTGTACATTAATGTCTGCAGCAGAAGAGAAAAAAGGAGGCAAAAAATCTTGTGTTGATTTCTATTGATATTTATAAGATATGCAACGTTACACGATGAGTGCAATCAAAAAATTGCCCGAACCTTATTTTTCGAGGACGATTTGCCTGTTAAACGTGTTTAATATATGATCACAGAGTGTAAATTCACCTAGAAATAAAAGTAAATACCACAGGAAGCAACACCATAATTTTAGCAGGCATAATTTACATTGTTTTGGATAATAGGCAATCCATAAACGTAAAAAAACAGTACGACGGTTAGCCCGGTTTGTACTACAATGGCCAGTTAAGCCATTCTGTAAGACACTGTGCATTCGCAACAAATAAAAGACGACCAGAATATTTGACATAGACTTATATTATAATGTACTTTAATTTTTATATCACTTGCAGTAAAAATTGTCTACAGTTTGAAATGCACTTTAAAGATAAAGTAAACGAGAAACTAAATATAATATGCGTCTCGCTTTCCTGTATAATTATGGAATAAATAATCAAACTAACTACTCAAAATCCGTCAGGTTTCTGTATCGAGTATGTCTTGCTTTCGGCAGTTGTATCTTCGATAGAACCGGGAACTTGGGTATCCGATTTTGAATCTCTGAAAACATCTGGTTTTTCTGGCCCAGCAGAAGAGTTGTTCGAAAGCTCGAGCGGTGTCCCGGCATATTTCTGATCAATTTCATCCCAATCAACTTCCATCAGCTCCATTTGGTGTTTACTTCTTTTTTTATGGATCCATAATAAAAGCGCTGCAATGGAAATACAACCCTAATAAAAGCTATTTCAAAATTTTCGTGTAAACCGAATAAAATGTTCGTAATAATCCCTTACCATGGCTGTACATCCTACTGAGATACCAATAATTACCCCGGAACTTAGTTTCGGTTCAGGTTCAGGTACTGAGTTTTGTGGGTCGCTGATAGACTCTTCTGGTGCGATATAAGGTGCAGTATATTTATCTAGTAAGCTAATGCGCGTAGGATCAGTCACGTTAAGCATAATAGGTACCAGTGTTGCGTTTTTAGTGCTATCTCTACCAGAAACAATAAAAACCGTATCATTATTTATAGAAAGCGCTATTTATTGCTGCTAATTTTAGTCTGTATGTAATTTATTATTTCGCTATTGGATTTTACCAGAGTGTTGTGTTCTGAACATTGAAACTTCAGAGTCAGCTTGTAAATCGTGTCTAGTCCACTGATATATATCCAGATCCAAGGTAAAACAGTAATCAGAAACAAGTGTATCTATAAAGTGTTAGCTATCTGCCGTGATTTTCTAAGGGTTGATTATAGCTATATACCTATGTCATTATACGTAATATGACCGCCGTAGAGGAGAACGTGGTTTCGATTGGAATTGACAGAAGTTACTATTTTGCAAGCAGTTAGTATTCTAAGTATTCATGTAATTAAAGTATACAAACTTGCTCAATGTGACTGAATGACCAATTCTGGGACTGGGTGGTATTCCCAGCAATTCCTGATCACCCCAATGGCCATTTTGCATATTGAATACCATGGAAATTTCGAGGGTATAAAGCGTTTCGTCTGTCAAATTACGTTCACTCAGGTAAGATCCCCCAAAAAATAGAATAGTATTGGTTTTGGGATTGAAGATAGCTTGCTGATACTTTATAAAACCGGGTAGGTATATTTGGGTCGGGAAGGCGGACCAAGGCTAATTTAAAAAGAGCGTTTAATGACAAACTGTCTTTTCAACATTACTATTTATACTACCTGATCTTTATTATCACGATTAAAAAATGTAAGGTTGGTATACCCGATATACTGGTTACTTTCATTTGGGGAACCCATCTCTGGTAAAGGCTCTCCCTGATAGATATATCGTGCACTAACATTGGTGCCACTACTAAAAATAGCTCAATTGAAAACTCTAAGAGTCAAAAATAAACGAAAATAATATGAATAGCTAACCCTCCCATGCCACCAAAAAACCCAACTCCTTGTCCAGGAACATATACGGAAGCAGCATGATATCTAAAACAAATGAGAAAAGAAAAGTTGATACACGCGTTCCTTATTCTCTCAGTATACACGACTCACATTTGTCTGATTCCATACGGATATTCCTCGTAATGTTCAAAATGGCTCCATGATCTAGTCTTGCCGTTGAAAACAACAGTTGGATCCTTTAAAGGTAAGTTTGTCGAACTAAGACCCCCACTTATCAACATTGATTCTCCATCAGGGTATTGTATGTTTTGAGTGAACCTTCTGGGTTCCAAATTTACCGTTGTTACATCGTCAGTGATCGTCTCCCATTGCGTGGAAAAATCTTTGGCCGTACTTCCATTATATTTAATTATATCAAGTATATTCATCTTAGCCTCAGAAGGTGTGATACCAGCTGTGGATAGTCCTCCCACACAATATATTTTTTTGGCTAAATATCCGCACGCTTCGAAATATAATGATAAGCGTTTTTTATTTAGCGGATGTTACTTTTTAATGTCTTTCTTATAATATATCATTTACCAGCGGCATATATAGGTATAACATCTTCTGATGCTACATAATCGACTATTATTGCCAAGAAAAAAATAGAAATGGTCAGAAAATCAAACTTCATCCTTTTATTTTTTGGAAGGAAATCAGCATAAATCCTAAATTTATAACACGGTTATTTATAACAAATCAGAAGAACGCGAGCGTAGCATATGCACTAACCACTAACCTAGATAATCAATAAAAAAAACTTTATCGTTTCTTGCAGTATGTCATTTAGAATTTCAAAAAAATTACAATAACTATTTACTGACAGCCGACATTTGATGATTAAATATGTCGGTATAAATATATAATTTGTAATGCACACATTCTTATTTTGTACATTAGTGTAAAAAAAAAAATGAGGTTATCATTAATCGATTTTGCCTCAGTGTCCAATATAGAAAATTGTACTGTTTTTTTTATTTACAGCAACGAGGCATGCACACACATGTTTGTTTTGACTTTGCCAAACACCAAATAGAGATTTTCGGAATGCTATTTTTCCTTCTTTTTGTAGAAAAGAAACATGTACATCGAAGTTGTAAACAATTAGCAGATGGCAAAAACCGTAATTAACGGTCACAAAGTTTTTTCTGTATAACACTAGGAAAAAAGATAATTATCATAACCGGCTTTAATAATTAATATCGGTCACCAAGGACAACGTTGTTTTAAGAAACTTTTTGTACATAATATAACGTAATATATTGTAGACTAGACTCAAATGAATATGATCAAAAATTACCAAGAAACACTATTTTTATCCCCTGAAGAAACGGGGACATAAGTAACTTTGATCGTAGAAGAGAAATTTAAGAACCATTAATGAAGTGGGTTTGGGTCGCGATCAAGTCGTGTTATTAGTGAAAGACAATGTCTGAGGAGTACCTGATAGATTGCCATATATATTGCTGCCAACTATCAACAAAGTTTTCCCATCAGGGAGTTAAGTATTATATACATTTTATGCATGACAAACTGTTAATTACATGCACCAAATCTAGTATCATCAGAAGCGTCTTGTGCTACTTCGAAGCTGGCACCAGTATAAAAAACAATCATTTATTTTAATTTGAGTCATTGAAATTGAATTATAAAATTGCAAAGCCAATGTCTTTTCCCCTCTGTATTTATAATAAAATAATATGTCAAGGTGTCGCACGAATTGTACGTTGTGGAATTCAAACGGAAAACCAGAAACAACAAGTTTCTTGATTAACCTTTCTAAACGTATGTTTTGACATGTAGACGTGTAAAGAAATAAAGGAAAAGAGACGGTATACTCAAAGTTTCTGTTGTTACACCACCTTTTTCTTCTTCTGTTGGTCCTTTAGACTTCAGATCCCTATATTTTTTTTGACTGCTTTTTGGTCCTTTTCTTATAAAAGGACCATAAAATTATTTAATAAAATCTTTAGTTTGTTCTTTACTATAATCTGATTTAGTCTTATTCACATAAGCCTGGTTTCATTATAAATATATATAACTACTATAATTGTACGAAAGCCCTTCTTATAAATCAGCACTGAATAGTCTTAACAGTTGTATTTTACTATACTCCTTCGAAGACACAGATAACTGATTCGTCGTAGCATTTCCCTTTTATATCTTTATATTTTATTTTATCTTAGTTGACAACTTATAGTCTGGTGCTCACTTTTTAAGAACTTTTATCTTAATCTCTATTCTTTTTCTTTATTTCACGTTACCGCTTTTACACTTAAACAAGCCAGTAACACTGTTCATGCCTTAAATTTATACATTTTTTTAAATTTACTCAACTAATGTGTTTTCATTGCAGTCGGATATAAGTATCCGAAATTTTTGTGTACGATCTTCTTCGAATATTTGCCAACTGGTCAAGAAAGTCCAGGGTTTCATCGGATATCAAAAATCAACTTGGACACATTTTGTGGGAACAGAAGACGGGCTAATTTGTGGTATGTGCCTACCAATACCAAATCAAAAAGTCATTAAATATCCACTCGGCCTTGTATCGGATAAAGTTCTTGATGTTCAGAAACTGTCAGAATTGGGTCTAACCGACATATATTTGTTTGTAATCAAAAAATTTATAAAAATCCATCTAGTAAATATCCATTGAGTTCAATATTGAAATACCTTATATCCGGAAAGACTCTTTATGTTTTATAAAAGACTAATGATATTAAGAGATTAAGCTGGGATGAAGTATATTATCAACCGGTATATGTCCTTCATGTATCTCCAGTATGTATACTATATCATATAACAGCTTTGTATTTCAGAATATAATTTATTCGAATACATCAGTTGTTTTTAAACTAGAAAACCATTCAATATCAGGCTTTAAAACTTGGCCTTTATCGGCCGACTCTACTATAACGTGGTCGATAGCGCTAGGTCGCTGGAATCTCTTTGGCGATAATTTTGAATTTGAAAGATCTTGTAAACGTGCAATTCCTGTGATAGCATCTGGCGCCTGAGGATTGTAATTGAAATGACCTTTGGAAGGGTGTATATTGGGATCTTCAACGTATTTATTTTCGGCTTTATCCCAATCGACCTCCATTAACGACTCATTTTCCTTTTCCGTTTCTTTTATCTTTTCCTTATTCTTCCTTTTTTTGAGGACCAAAAAAATTATGATGGCAATAACAATTAAACACTAGAAAAGGCATACAATTTAAAAAGGGTTTAACAAGAACAGCATCTAAATCAAATAGTATCATATTTACGAAAACTGAGATACCGACAGCCATGCCTATAATAGCACCAGAAGTCAATCTATTTTTTGGATCATAAGCGTCGTTTGTACCTTTGGAATCTGAAGTAGGTTCTATCGGTAGCAAATTATCAAATGTATTGCGTAAAGTGATGTTCAATGGGTTAGTGACGTTTAGAATGACTACTTTTTCAGCCAATTTCTGCTCATTTTCAATTCCAAATACCATAAATACTGTTGCGGTATTTATGATTACGGCTAAACAGGATATTTATTCACGGTATTATACACATTAGTGATGCTGATATTGTTATTTATATTTACGCAAACTATACCTGAATGCCGCGTTCTGGCTAATACTACACCGTTTGCAGCTGGAATTATTTGCTGACTCCATTGAAAAGAGTCAAGATCCAAAGTATAACAGTAATCTGGTAGAGCTATTCAACAATTCTATCTGTCAGCTAATTATTGTAAGTGAGAATTGCTTAACCCTACGTCTGTCTATGTCGTTGCTTTGACCACCAAATATGAGAACATGTCTTTGACTGGGTCCCACTAATTTGAAGCTATATTAGATACATATTATCTACAATCTATTATAACAGTAAAAAGCTTCTTTCTGATTTATATGCGTACCCACTGTAGCTGAGTGTCCGTATCGTGGAGACGGACCCTGCCCCTTTAAAGTTTGCTCCCCCCAACTCAGGCTTGTTAAATTAAATGTTATAGCTGTCTTAAATGGAAATGGATATTGATAAGAGTTTGAATAATTAGGAAGTGAGCCTCCAAAGAAAAAAATTGTGTTATGGGTAGCATCAAAAATCGCTGCTTGACGATAAGGAAAAGCATTTGGTGCATTGTTTTCCAAAATATGAGTTCTCCAAGGCTGTTACAACAGTATACTTGTTAAATTTTATTGGGGATTTCATTTCATAATAATGAGGACTTACATTTGTTGTATTTCTGATGTCTAACATTTCTAGTTTTGTATAACCTATAAGTCGTTTGTACCCATTGGAGTCTAAAAGTAGCGTTGCATTTAAATCTGGGTAGGAAACGTTATTATTATTGCCATACCTGTTTAAATTAGCAATACTGTTTATCATAGATCATAGCTATAAATTGAATATACCCTTCCATGCCTCCATAGAGTACAAAACCATATTCGGGGACGTAAACTGATGCTGCATCAAAACTGAAGGTTACATATTTTAGTTTCAAAATATTTTGTGGAGAAAATAATTTCCCACTCTCACATTTGTCTATTTCCATAAGGTGGATCTTCAAAGTTTTTATAAAAGTCCCAAGACAAAGTTTCACCATTGAAAGATAATACCTGAGGACTCCCGGATAATTTTTCAGGGACTTCGCCACCAACGATCAATAAAGTTTTTCCGTCCGGGAGTTGCGTGGATTGAGAATACCTCCTTGGCTGTATGGTTTGGTTTTTTGTATCTATGTCGACTAGTTTCCATTTAGCTACGAACTCGTCGGTACTGTTCTCATTATACGCCGCAAGATCAAGCATATGCATTGAGTCTAAAGAAGTACTGGATAAAATCTTTTCTTCTCCTCCAAAGCAAAATATTTTTTGTGTTAAATAACCACACGCTAAGCGCTATGTGAGTATTATCAATTTAAAAATTTAACTAGCAGACTCTATCTTACATGCCGATAATTTAAGAACAGAAGGCTCTTGCGCCATCACATAGTTGCTAGCTATAATTAATAAAACCCATAGAAATTTATCCATTGGCCTCATAGAACCCTATTTGATTAAAATGGCAATAACAATAATTTTTTCTTTGTATTTATAGTAAAATAATAAATTACGGTGTGACATGTACACCGGAAAAGTGAAAAAGGATTTATATCATCCGTTACAGACTTTAATACAGCCAAGTCAGCTTTAAGCTTTTACTTTAACGCTACATATTTGCCAATCTGACTTATATTTGGTGATGAGTTGGGTAAATCACAGTAAAGCTCATAGGATGTGTCCGTTTTGAATTTTATGAAACAAAAAAAAAATGTAAGACCTTAAAAAAAGTATATGTGTATGTCTATTTACGTGACATTTTATTGCTGTAACAGAATCACGGGAGTTACGTATATAAAAAAGAAAAAGAGAAAAAGAAAGGGAAAGAGAGAGAAATTATATTTAAGGTGATACATAATTAATCTAAGAGTATCCCTAGCAGTCGCGCTTGAAGTACAGTCGACTAAAAAAAAAAAAAAAAAAAAAAATTGGGTGGGCCTGAAAAAAAACACGAAATATGATGGTTTCTTCTACTCAATCTGTTTTCGTCATTGTCACGATTGCTAATATCGATTATTTCTTTAAAGAGGAAAAGGACTCAATTTTTTTTGTCAAAGATCGACTTTTTTTTAAACTTTTAAAAAACTTGTACTCTACCGAGAAAAAAAAAACTTTAAGGCCACTGCTGGGGGTGAAAAAACTTTTATTTTGCGCTTATTTAATCGAAAAACGGATATTAAGCGCCACTGCTGGGGATGCTCTTAGCTTTGTTTACTTAATTCTTTTATCTCATAAACCGAACTTCAGCCTATACATAATAAAAGCGACTTCTTAAAGAGTCCATAATATGTTTATATATGGCCATTTGTTGAGTAGAATAATAAGAGGAAGAACATTATTCTTAAAGCAGGCTGGACCAAGTATGAACGCGATGCTTTTCAATATTGGGCATATAATTAGAATACAAAGGAAGGCTTAAAATCTGTCATTTGAGGATTGAACATCTTTTCATTACTTTTTTAAATTGCTATAATCTCAATATAAAGCTGAATTGTAACTTACAAAGAAGAATGATTACTACTGAATACGAAACAAATGATAAGCAGCTATCCATTCGTTATGATCCCGATACTTCTAGTTGATAATGATGATTGTCCAGGAACGTATTGATCATACTATATTTTTGTTTTATAGTAAACTTGCTAGGATGAATACATCGTTGATGAACTAAACAATAATTCTTTAAATCCAGAGTTGTATCAGATTGCCGAGCAATTCACCACTTTAAAGAAATGGAAATGTGTAATGCTGTGTAACCTAGACGTTGAGAATAAATGTGTATCCCAAAGTTACCGGCTTAATGATTTAGCCCTCATCTGGTCACGACGCATAAACATTCCAAAATGGGTCACGCATCAATGTTCATTTAATGTGATAAATGACAATCATTCCCGAAAGTAAAAAAAAAAAAAAAAAAAAAAGTTGCTGATTTTGAGTTTAGTGTTTTGCGTTCAACAATGATCTACACCTTTGTGGATTTTCAAGATACGCCCTTAGATATTCATCACTAGTGATAAATTATGCTAAATCACTAATAAACAATTTGAAAATGTAGCATAACTGCATAAAGAGTGTTCTGTATTGATTTTGACCATGACGATAGAAATAAAGATGCTTAAAAAGAATACTGTTCACAGCGTTTCCTCGATTAAAATATGCCTCGGTTTAGATAGCTATCCGGAAATACTCAATCCAATTCAGCTCAAGGTAACACGAGGGAAGATGTCTTTGTGAGATTAATAGTTATAATTTAATAGTATCTGCAGAGCAGAGCTATGAATAGGAGGATTATACATGGCAAGATAGTAACCGATCATTCTGGGATAATTTGCGTTGAGACTCAGCCTTTCCAAGGCTTTAATATGATTACCTAATTGTCTTGCAACAACAGTAACAGACACTTTCGAGCATTACCAAAATAAAGTGTATAACGTCGCATAACTCCATAAACCGATGCATGACAGGGCTAGGTTTTTTCTTAAAGGTTTTTAATTGGATAGATTCAACGAAATATGACACGTGAGGATGACTATAAACTTAATAAAATCAACGTTTTTGAAATGTGTGTGTTGAAAGGAGATTATTATTTTTTTCCCACGAGAGATAGGGTCAAAGACGGATAGATCGGACTGAGCGGGGGGAGTTGTATGTGTGATGAAACGATACAAAAAAGAAGGTCATTCAAAAGGTCACGCATGAACGATAAGTTTCTCCTTCCTAAATCGGGATTTTTTTTTTTTGTATTGTGTATATAAAAAAGTCCTATTGTTTTCAGAATAATTTTCCCCTTTTTTTACAAGTACGTTTTCTTTTCTTTTTTAAATGAAATTTCTACGTAAACATGATCATGAAGAGAGTACACGATTATTAGAAACCGTCAAGGATGAAGGAGACCATGACAAGTACAAAATGGTCTATTGGGTAAGTAAAGAACCATGAAAGGGCATGCAATGGTAATTGACGATGCATCTGTAGATCTACTTTATATATGGTATCGCCATGTTGTTGCCTTGGAACGGTAAGTCTTTAAGAAGAGTCTACTGAGATATACGTTATTAAAGAGTGAGAGGAATCCAGTGTTTATTACGGCCTCCGAATACTTTGCCAAACGATTTGCCAATAGTCCTTACGAAGAAACCTTTCAAAACTATTTCTCCACATATTTTACAATTACCAATCTATTCACCTTTGTCTTTATACTATGGATGCAGAACAGGGTATGTAATTGTGTTGTGTGTTGTCTCGATGATATTCACTCATTTTGCTTTTATAAAGTCTGCGTTTAGTTTGAATTCGTTTATCCCCATTTTCATCAATACAGTAATCTTTGGAGTGTTGGCAGTGACGGTAGAGACAGATATTGGTGGTTCGGGTTATTTCTGGTTTATCATGGTCTTGATTGTTTTGACGGGTGCTACCACAAGTTTCTTTCAGAATTCCGTTTTTAGCGAGGCCAGTCAGTTGCCTCCCATGTACATGCAGGCTGTACTCAGGTAAATTTAAAGATGTTTAATCTATTAAATCCCTTTCTAATCTTTTTTTATTTAAATAGTGGACAAGGTACACAAAAGATAAGAGAAAAGGAGGTATGGGGGATGCATTCTAATCACAGTTTTTTTTGTTGTTGATAGGCATTGCAGGAGTGATTGTAGCGGTATCATCTATCCTCAGTGCAATTGCAGCCAACAGCAATGACGTACCGGATGAATCTTCCATCAGCCGATCCGCATTTTTATATTTTTTATCGGCATTTTTGATCACTACGGCAGCATTAGTGGGTCGTCTAGTGGTAGTCAAGTTACCCTTTTATCGTCGACAGATGAACCTTAAATCATTATTGGTGGAAGAAATCTTGCAAGAAGAACAAGAAGAAGAGGATGAAGTAGAGGAAGCACCTGCCAAGGTAATGGATGTTGTACGTAAATCGTATGGACTTGTGTTTACAGTAGGATATATCTTTATTATCACCTTGATGTTATTCCCATCCATCACTTCTTTGATCAAATCCGTACGACGTAATACGCAATCCAATCGATTCTTTGATGATGATATCTTTGTTGCCTTTCATTTCTTGTTATTTAATGTTGGAGATTGGGTGGGGCGTATGATGCCTATTTCTCGCTACTTTCAAATATTCCAGGTGAAATACCTAGTGTTATTATCGACTGCGCGTAGTGTATTTTTACCATTGTTCTTGTTATGTAATGTGATTGTTTCGGATGAACGTAAATTACCTGTACTTATCGGGAGTGATTTTATGTACTTTGTGCTGATCTGGATATTTGCGGTCACGAACGGTTGGATCTGCAGTTTAGCCATGATGGCTGCACCTCAATTAAAGACGATCCGGGCACCTGAGAAGGCCATGGTAGGTAGTGTCATGAGTTTCTCATTGATTGTAGGTTTAGCCATTGGTGGTTCGCTCAGTTTTATTGCTCGGTGGATGGTTTAAATAGAAATAAAAATTTACAATGCGTCCCTGTTTGTTTAATTCTTTTTTTACGGCGCAAAACCCCTCTTTTTTAAGCTTTATATTTTATTTTATTTTCGTTTGTTTATTCCTTTCTTTTCTTTTTTTTCTTCTCTTCATACTTTTTTTTTATATATAATGAGCCAAGTACCGTTTACTAGCCACTTGGAGATGTGGTCACCTTCTCCTTCAGTCAGCAATTTCAGTGTAATTACACCTACTTCTATTGTAGTCCGAGATAGTTACTATCATGAACCAGTATTTTATCCATCGGATTGTATGCTTTGTGGACTTCCTCATACTCGTATGCAACCAAATTCAACCCATTTACCAGCCATCAGTACACCTGCTCCCTTCTACAAGAAGAGAAGGACAAGAAATGTACAAAAGAAACCCAAAAAGTTTATTTACTCGGTTCGTCTGGTCATTCATAAATTAATACGCATCTGTACTGTGGCTCTAAAAGCTCCTTTAACAAAAAGACATGTCTACCCAATTAAGAGGGCGGAGTGAATCTTTATTATACAAACAAAGGAGTTGGAAACTAACCTTTTTTCTTGTTCCTGATTAGACACAATTGCCCAATGTAATATTACTTTTTAAATAAACACTCATTCTACATACCATCAAACACAGGCAATAATAATCATCATTGCTTCTGTTCACTTTTAATATTTTATTGAACACATACGCATGAAAAACAAGCAAAAAAAAAAAAAAAAAATCATGCTAAAATTGAATCTCGGTCGGGAATTGAATGGTTAACTTTTTAAACGAATGACAAAAAAAAAAAAACTAAAATACGCCTTCTTTTCATCTTTTTTTCTCACACATAATGCCACTTCGACGTAGCTCTACTTGCTCCTCTATCAACTCTTGTAAATCTGTTTCGTTTGATGAGATGGAACATACAGTGTATTATACACACAGTGCTAATGAATACGATCGTACGATCGAACCCCGATGCGAACTTCTTGTAGGTGCGGTTGAGGATGAACAAGATCCATTGGTTGAAAGAAACACGTTTGCCAATGGAAGAAGAAGTACTTCTGGCTATGCTGTTATCTTAACCCTCCGTAACAAACATGTATAAATTACAATGTATATATCTATATATCTATAAATAAAATATTCTCTCTTTCTTTTCCGTTTTTTTTTTATTATTATTATTATTATTATGATGTATATGTCTGTACAGAAAAGAACCTGCTTTACTTTTAATGTGTTTCAACAAATTTCACTAAGTAGAAAAAGAGTTAGTTAGGGAATAAGAAGGGTGTGATGAAGATAACCTACTCTTAAATAACTTGGTTTGTCGTTTTTGAAGTGGTTTCTTTTTATAAACATAGGATGATGAATTCAACAATTCCTGATCAATATCTGCTATTGCCGACTCAAATGACTATTTCATTCAAAGAGTTAGTTTACATACATATATACATAACAAACTAAAAAAAAAAGCTTACGTTGGGATCAAGTTGACTGTGCTGTGTAATAAATTGTCGCATATCTTCATCCAAATCTTCTTCCATTGATTGATTCTCCGGTAAGACTTCACCCAGTGTACCTTTTTCTAATTTACGCAATACACGATCCCTTCGAGAAGGTTCATTTAACATGGGCAACAAGTAGCACGACGAGGCTTTGGCAAAAAATCCAGGTCCCACCGAAAAACTAGGATCCTCCCATTGAAATAAAGAAGGATCGTAATTCCTAAACGGATTCACTTCATGATTCACAATCTGTATATGTTCGTCTTCATCGTCTGTTTCCATATCCAATGGCTGTTGCTCTTGTGATTGTTGTTGTTGTTGTTGCTGCTTTTGTTTTTGTGGTTGTTGTGGTTGACTGCTGCTAAATGATGTGGATGTTGTGGCTTTCGCTGTGGCTCGCTGGAAAGGATTTCGGCCAAAGGATTGCTTGATTTTACGTTTGGTTTGAGAGCTACCCAAGATCAAGCGACTGGGTTGTTGTGTAGAGGACATGCGGGGTATTTCTGTCTCGGTAAAGTTGAAGGATGTGGTGATGGGTTGAGAGAAGCTTGTGAATTCAGATTGGGAGGTTGGGGGTACGCCTAACCAAAAGGCCTCATCCTCTGCCAACATTTTTTTGTTGTTAGAAGAAGGAGGAGGAGGAGGAGGAGGAGAAGGACGAGGTGAGGCGACAAACTCTACATTGGGTCGTCGATCAGGTGAGGATGCATTGGAGGTTTGATGAGAAGAAGTGGTGGTATCAGGAGGAGAAACACTGGACGTAAATAAGCCTGCTTCTAACTCTTGTTTCAATGTCTTTTTTAATTGGTTATATTTCTTGTATACTTTCTCTGTGTGTGAATTTCAGTATAATGAAAGGGGATATTTCCATTAAATATATAAATACCAATGTTGGGTCTGTCACTGACGTCTTGTACAGTAGGTGGACGTCCATGTTTCTTTGCAAATACGGCTTCCCAATCCTTTAAATCTTTCTTTGTCTTGAATACTTTTCGTTGTAATGCTTTAATATCCATTATTTTTATTGTTATACAGATAAAAAAAAAGAAAAAAAGGGGGGTTGGAAAGCAAAGAATGAAAAAGGACAAAAAAAAAATTAATTGTTTTAAACGTGACTTTGGGATCATTGGTACGCGTCGTTCCATTTTTTTAATTTGAGACGTGTCGTGTTTATAAATACTCGCTAATTTTACCCGAATCGATCAAAGTCTCTACCAGTTGCTCACTAATAATAACAATGAATTGTCAGTCCCCTTGTTTCTCTAAAAAATAAAAAAGAATATGCTTACTGTGGAAGATAGGTTCGGTTAGGATAAAAGACATAATCTTGAGAAATTGACTCTAAATTCGTCACATTCGCCATATAGATATCAGCAAATTTTCGAATCTTATTGGCAAAGAATGAAGGATTTTGATATGTTCTAAATACGCTACCAAAGGAATGATTAAACGCGCGTTTTAACCTTAATCGGGTCTCGCGTCTTTCTTTTCGCCATTCGGCAATCAACCCATCTAATTCTTGAACGCGATAGCCTTCCTTCTTTTGCCACGACTGGGCTTGATTTAATAAATTCTCTAAATGCAGCAACCATGACAACGCGTTGCGGTAAGCAGGCTCGTTTCGAATCTCAATTTCTTTCGCAAGTTCATGGATAATCGCACCCGTATGCCATCCATGTTGAATAGACGCGTCTGCTAAATCGGAAAACACATGGTCACCAAAATACAATACTTTTTGTCTACTCCCGTTTCCCAACAAGTATAGTTTTTAGTTATCAAGTACCAAAAAAAAAAAATTCTAATGTTAAAAAATTCTTACCCAGACCAGCCAGTGAGTTTGGCAAAATCCTTCATGTTTCCACCTTGATACACCTCACCTTTTATAAACTGGTCTACTTTATCCCAATTCGGTTCACTGGCTCTTCGAAAGGGTCTATACGATCGATAAAATTCGGGTTTACGTGCATTGACAATCACAACATCAAACAGATCCATCCAATCATTGGTTGATGTCAGGTAGCTCATCCCTTTAGCGATAAATGGTAAAGTACTATTCGTAAGTAAAAAAGTACTTTGACCGTTCTTCCGAAGAGTTTCTAAATAGCGTACTAAATGAGGGGATCTTTTCAAATAAGCCGAAATATCTTTCATGATGGTTTCATGTAAAGTGCCACCAATACCATAGGTGCCAGTATGTAAAATCGTGGCTGCATGATGGATATCGTCGGACAAATAACGTGGATGAAAGCTATTCTTATTTTTTTTTTTAAAAAAAAGACACGTTTTTTTTTATATACATATACATATATTAAATTACCTCATGTTGTGGTCACGAAAGTATTGGACAATATCACTTAGAAGAGTGGCTTGAGGGATAGAGAACAAGTCGCTTAATTGAAACATGTTGGTTCTGAGATAATCGGGTGGGATATGACGACCTTTATGCAAATCAATAACAGCATTGATATCATGGATAGGTTCACGTCCAACTATTTTTTTTTTTTTAGTAAATTCTATCAAATAGTCAAGTAGAACGTACCATGCACAGTATTGAGTTGGATATTGGCCATATTATCAATCTTCATTAACCATCCATGATCAAAATCTATATTTTACAGAGAGAGAAAGAAAAAAGGTAAGGTTTTTTCTTCAAGGCGAGTCTTTTGGTTTTTTTTTTTTTTTTGGATACCGTAGTGTAATCCACGGATAGCAAAATTGGGATCAAAGGAAAAGTCTACGATGTCACGGTTTCAAATCTTAGATAAAATTTTGGTATTAGTGCATGTATGAAATACCTTTGATATGTTTTGGGTAACGAAACACATCGACCATAATATCACGTAAGGAATCATAAATGGTAAAAGACAAGTTATCTGTGTAACTTGCTAATGTATACTATCATAATACACACTTCAGTCCTTTTTTTTTAAAAAAAAATATATAGATACGACATCCATCAACATACATCATAATCAAATCCGTATACTTTGATCTTGTTCAGGTTTAACTCATTATTGATAAAACTATGAAGAGGACATATATATAAGAGAGCCATTTTTTTTTTTTTCTTTTTGTTGTTTAATTACATTTCATTCGGTGAGGTATAACCCAAACGAGAATGGCCTTCCTTGGAATTAAGAGGCTGTGTCTTTTTTTGTTGATATTGTCGTCGTAAACTCTCTACAATACGACAACCCTCTGTAGAATAACCTCGTTTTATTATTATTCGGAACATTCTTTTTAAATTGTAAAAGTAAAAGAAAAAAAATAAAAACTATATACTTGTCGAAAAAAAAAAAAAACTGTTATTTTATTCCCTTGTCTTTTTCTGTTGTTGCTGAGATGATGACGAAGAAGAAGGATCCTCTGATTGTTTTCTCTTTGATGACGATGCTGGTGATGATGATGACGAGCCGGTAGAAGGAGGAGGAGGTGGAGGAGGTCTTTGAATCGGTGACCAAGTCTCTGGCACGTTTGTTGCTGCTGCAGAAGTAGCAGTAGTACTGGGTGAAGGTTGTAATTCTGCCGTGGCTAAAACCGAACCCAGGAAATGATGAATTAAACTCAATATTTGAACAATACGTGCAGTTCTCAAGACATGAGCTAATTGTTGACTACTTGTCCTTCCATTTTCCTCCGTGCGTAATGAATGCCCCATTTCTCGTAACCATGGTATCAATAAGTACATCAGGTCCGCTAATTCTTCTACTACAAGTCCTACTTGACCCGCATGATTCTCTTCTTGTCGTAATAATTCGCGCGATTCTCGTATAGCTCCTATGGATGCATGACGTGTACTTCGATTCGTTGTATCCGCTAAAATAAAGATGATAATTAGTTCGAATTCCTCTCATACAGCTATATAAAAAAAAAGAGAGAGTCTTACATTCGACAATCGGTGTATTTAACAAGGTTCTGATTTCACGGATATAAGACATTGTTCTAGATAATCGCATTTCCACAGAAGACTATAAAGGAGATTTTCTTTTAGTATTCTAATGTCCCTTTTTTTTCCCATGCATTTCGTTTTTGTTTTTGCTTTACAGGCACAGGGAGTGTAATGGATGAAGTTCTTGCATCTTCCATAAGATCTATGGGTGGTGCTCGTCGTCTGGAAGATTCGGTTCGAGCAGCTCTTAATGCATGCAATAATCCAGTCTATGATAATAAACCGTTCAGGATGAATAATGTTTAAAAAAAAAACGCCAACTTACAGCTCTTCCGAGTCGAGGTGATGTATCGCCGCCTTGTGGTAATAGACTGTTCATAATCGTTGACATGAGCTATTTTAAATGAAGAGAAAAATGAGCTCATTATACACAGGTGATATGTGTATGGGGGTTGTTGTTGTTGTTTTACGTACAGAATTGCCATCTTCTAGATCAGATAAGGTTGCATCCAATGTAATCACAGCATATCCTTCATGTCTTGTAGATGTACGTCGTTGTGAGTTTCTTGAAGGTTCATCTATCAATATGCATTATCAATCACTGTCGTAATATATGTTATCTAATTCCTTTCTTACCGTTTTCAGGGTTATGAGCTACGCCAATAGGACGAACAACCAAATGAATCACTTTTCCGTCATCCAAATTATCTATGGGTGGATTTTTTTGGTTAAACAAAGTTTATCATGAACAGGTTCTTTTATGGGTTACCATAGTCTGATAAATTCTTGCCATCCCGAAGCACTTTTCCTTGAAATATCAAACGTTGTCGAGTTCCATCAATGTCAAATTCCAATTGAATCTTTTGCTTTAGTTCTAAAACGGAAGCAGAGCGAGGTAATGTCACACTTTTCGTTTGTTGTTCAAGCGATTTTATCGATAATGCAATAATGTCCATAATGTAAATATTTTTCTTTGGGAGAAAAAAAAAAAAGAAAGAAAAGAAGAAAAAAAAATTCAACTTGCTATTTCCATACAGATGGGAGAGGGAGGGAGAGAGAATTAATATCCCGCTTCTAAATATTTCTCTTGTGTGTGTAGCACAAACACCCTGAAAGCGACGTCATGTTTTATGATCTGTCAATATTAGATGATGTGGAAATCAGTAAACTGTATGATAAACTAGCATATGGATCATTTTTACATCGCTGATTAAACAAGCAGTCTGGATTCAAAGTTAAAAACTGGAGTCTCATTCTTTTTTTCTTTTTTTCCGTGAAAATGTCTAATCACTCATTGAAGAGTTAGCGTGCTTTGCCTTTCCAGCCAAAGATGTTTTAGCGGTAAAAACAGTGCTGTAATTTTTTAACTTTTAAACAATAGTAGCTGAAATCAATAATAGATGTATTTTTTCTCCTTCTGATTATATCATACTAAGACCAAGCTTCTATAAATAACATTTTAAAGTAAGCTTTTACCCATTCCAATTTCTTGTCATCTGCTTTGGGAAATGTTAAAGTTATAGACACTTGATTTACCAATATATCACATTTCTGTTATCGTCTTTTGGCTATAAAGGCACTTTGCTAGTCAGTTACCGAAAGTCGTTCAGTTCCGCCCAAAGAGAATTCAATGTTTAGTAGTAAAATGCCATTGAGATATATCATCTCGAGCTGGCCGCAACTTGTACGATTGAATTGACAAGAGGCTTCCAAAAATATAAAACATCTTTAAATAAAATGACCCCTCGTATTCGCAATGTAGGCATTAAACTTTTTTTTTTGTTATTTGTGATATATCCTGAATCACTTCGTGTTAATCAGTATGAAGACGAGTGTCTATAGAAAATCTCAATGATTGGGTTGTTCTTCCTCCTATTGTATGGATTTTGTCTGACGCATAAATACTACGCCGATTTTTCAGTGGATAAATGATTATGAAAAGAGCGGAGAAGTTCAATTACATGGATTTTGGGTAAAATGTCCTAGTAATTAAAACGTTGATGAAGGTAAAATTGTGATTTTTTTTCTGGTTTTAATATGCCTATACATAGCGCAATTAGACAAGGTAAAACTGTGAATAGCTTCTCGGGTAATGTGCAAATCTTTGGCAATGATCTCCCTTAAATAAATCCAAAAACGTAAAGCATTTTGCTGTTTTTAGTATAATATGTGGACTAAATTTTTGTTGTACAACTTTATTGTGACAATTGTGTCACTATTTTATGGCTGTTATAGTATCCCCCTTTTTTTCTCATTTTTTTGACATGTTTTAAATGAACATAGAAACCCCATTTTCTTTAAAACGACATTCTGTGAGTGCATGTGGCAAATTTATAACAATTAAGAATGAAATATACAACAGATGAAGTAAATTCACTTGTGGAATACACTTTTCCATTCTTATATACAAGTCTCACAACTTAGATTACATGTGACACATTGGCTTTGCCATTTTACTATAAATACTATGAAAAAAAAAAAGACATCGAAAGCGCCATTCTTAAAAATTATCTACATTTTTGTTGCATATGAAGCGACTCAATATAAAATTTTGGCTTTTATTATTAGCTACCACCAACTCTGTAATAGCACAGGTAGCTTCTGACGCTAGATTTAGTGCATGTAAGAATTTATTTCTTTTTTTATAAAAGCCAAGGTATTCACATATAATGCTTCACTAGCATGTGGTTACTTGGTAAAAAAAATATTTTGTTTTGGGGGTGCTGTAAAGATCTCAACAGGTATTCCGTCAGACGCAATGTCTATCCTTGATCTTACAATGTACAGCGGGAAGACCACCGATGAGTTAGCTACAAAGTGGGTGAGACTCTACACAAATACAGAAAATCAAAATATACTTCCCAGAAGTAATCCTCAGTCTACGCAACTTCCGGATGGAAAAACCTTGTTGATAGTCGGTGGCGACATTTCAGGAAACGCATCTGGCATACCTCAGACTTTATCCTTCAATGGTGAGACTCTGTCTTGGGACTTTTATCCAAATTTTGAAGATTCCTCTTTTGGCAATAGGCAAATGTGAGTACTGTTTTTCTATCTGCTATTGTCCACAAAAAAAAAAACTGACATTAAAATCCCATTTCTCAGCTCAAATGCGGCTTCAGTGTATGTTCCCGAATACGGTTTTGTGCTTTATGGAGGCCTAGAAGTGTGAGTTTTTAAACTATAATTATTGATTTATCAAAAGACAACTAAATTTGATATGAACAGGAATTACAATAATAATTTTACTTATCCTGGCATAAATGCAACAAACTATATAGACGATGGTCTGCAACAACGGTTCATTGGATACACAAAGCTAGAAGCGTTGGACATTAGAAACACAGGAAATGTAAAAAGAAAACCAAAATTGATATAATATAAGCAACATTGAAATATTAATTACTATTAAGATTAGCCTTGGAGACCTAGTATTTCAGGAAATAACGTACCCAACATTTTCCCTAACCGTCAAGCAGCAATATTTGATGCTAAAAACAACGCTGTCTTTTTCTTTGGCGGCTCACATCCTGACGCTACAAATACTTTGCAAAGTCTATTTACTTTTGATACAGCAATTACATTCAATTTTACGACCAAAAACTGGGGGGTACAAAACTTAAACGGACAAGGACCATCTCCACGATATGGACACTCGGCCAATGTGGGTGAGTACCTATTTGTTTTTGTAGAGCCACACACTTTTGATTTTAAAAGTAGAATGTTAACCTGTTTTATCAATTCAGTGGGCCCAGATAAAAGACATGTTCTCATATACGGTGGACAAAATGAGGACTCAAAGAGACGTAATTAGCATATCAATATCTCACTTGATGACGATCATAAATCAACTAACGGCTCTAAAAAACCGCATATTAGCTTTATCCGATTACTGCTATGTTTTAGATCTTGACACTTATCAATGGACCCAGCAGACAATTCCAGCATCAACTGGTGTGGTTTTGGCCAGAACCAAGCATTCAGGTACAAAGTACAGACAATCGATAAAGCACGCATGACTTATATGTATTCTGTATTTAACTGTTTTTTTTTAAAAAAAAACAAAAGCTGTTACTATAACCGACAACATGTTGTTTATAGTGTATGGTGTAGAAACCGAAATTAAGTTGGCCGAAAAACTATTCATACTGAACGTTACAGATCCTTTAAACATCACTTTATTTGATACATTTATTGATCCCGCTTCTGTTGTACCAGCAAATACAACATCTCAACCCACTTCTGAAACAACCCCAAATTCTAACAGTACAACATACCTCGCTGATGCTTCAAAAAAAGGGTTGACCTCTGGTGCTATAATTGGCATCGCTGTTGGTATCTCTGTTGCAGTAAGTATTAAGGAGCATGAGGTGTTAAAGTCGTCGGATTTTAATTATTTCCTATTTTCTTATTCAAGGGTTTGATAGCTATTGCTACCATAATTTTTTGTATCATAAAGAAAAAGAACAAGAAAAGAGTTGAAAAGGAAAGAGAAAAAGAAAAGTTAAAAGAGGACTCTCTTATGGAGGTTAACTGGGATGAGTTAGAAAACAAATACGCGGAAGCACCTCCTACACACTATCCCGAAGGTCATTTCAGATACTCCTCTCAGCTACCAGATGGTATATCCGAAAATGAAACTACACAAACACCAGATTCCTCAAGTGCCTTAAGAACACAGAGTGAGACAAAGGTACAGCGCCCAGACGTTCCTGATAATTACAAGGCAAGTCGTGTGAACTGAGACCAATGTATAAAAAACCAGCTATGTTAAACAATCTTCAGATCGTTGGATAGACTATTAATAAAAGTTAGTTTATTCGCGACATACATATAAAATATTCCATTAATTGAGGGACGCAAAATAACATGATCCCAATACGTCAGATAATTAAAATTTATTTCGAGAATTAAATTGATTCTCTAATTGGTACACTTATGGCAGGTTAGAGAGCGTGATTCAAGTTTCTACATGTCGATAGCCCTCGATTCTTTCATTTGGTCTAATGAATCAGAAGCGACCAAGTTTAACTAATTTAGAAACTCCTGTTTGTTTGCCGCTATTATAGCACATCAAAGGCAATAAATAGCACACTGTTTAATAAGAAATTAAATTATGCTTTGTCAGAAACGCCATATATTTTTAAGAATACGATGCTTAAACCACCTTAATCAAACGGGCAAACAAATTACAACTGTATTTTTATTAACTACTTTATTGAAACTGAAACGCAATGATGCTTCCTGATAGGTGGAATAGGCATAATAGAAGTTTTTCGTTTATAAAACGGTATACACGCCTTCCTCCAACACATAACGCAGTTCCTGTTGTGTTTCGTACCCCCCTTTTTCTTTGGCATCACAACATGACGATTCAGATACTTTCTGTTTTTACATCTCCTTGAAAGAGTCAATGCGAATTTATCTAGGGTATTATTTCATCTCCTTTCTCTTATTACAGCAGCCAATGCACAATCATTCCATATCAAAGGTCGTTCATTCTTTCAAAATGCCAGCTAGATAGCGTTCTGTCTAAGATCATTTCCGATTTAATGCTACAATTTTTTTCTTATATTTCAAACATTAGTTAGATACAAATGTTTTCTTCGCACTAATATGTGCTAAAATATTTCACTTAAGACTTGTTTAATTGAAAAGTGATTAATTTAAGAAAAAAGTGTGCTGTAAATTGAAAAAAAAAAAATGACCCGCATAGGAGAGAAATTAACGGTTTTTATACAACTGGGAAAACAAAGAAAAAAATACACAAAGAAGTCACCCCAAGCTTTTTGGATTATGGATAATAAAGCAACCGAATAAAGAATGTGGAAGATAGCCTGATCCTTCGGTTCTGAAATTGAATTTACATTTTCGTTTTACATATTTCTCAATAAACAATCATACGGCACAATGATTAAAGAAAGAAAATAGAGAAAAAAACTGCTCCTTTTTATAGCCAACATAATGAAGATGGCAACATTGAACATAGAGCCAATAGAAACAACTCTTAGCTTCCTCCCTCTTTGGCATTGCATATCATATAGTGTTGGGCTAATAATTGTATACCACTTCTATATGATGTATCTGTTTTCCTCGTTTACTAAACTAAAAGTCAAATTTGTATATATCTGATCAAAAGCTGTTCTACATAAGACTGAATGAAGCAGAGCCTCCATATTAAAATTATTAACATATAGCATTTCTTTTAAATACAAAATAATTGCCCGCATATCAAGTATAAGTAGCTGCAAACATCGGTGGGTATACTTGAAAAGGAATCACCTCTCGCCAGAAATAAGGTAGTTATAGACAGGCTATCAAATACGCAGAAATTTATAATCAGTCATATTGAATGAAGACGGCGTAAAATAAAAGAGTTAACAAGATTAAACTATGAGAATCTGCACACTTAAAAAAATTAATCATGAGATGATGTAACATGGTACAAAAACATTTACCATTTTACAGGTGCCCAAAGTCATTTAAACAAAAGCATTTTCTCAATTGAGTATTGATTAATAATGTATGACATATTTATTAAGCATAACGTTAAACTTATTTTTATGCTCATTGACAAAAACGTGAAGTGGATTTCTACATTATTTTAACATGCTCCGGGAACAAAATGCGTTTCAAGACGTGTGCAACATGAATGTGAGAGGTAACAGAAAGAGATATGTAGACACTAAGTTTAACTTGATGTGTAATTCTCAGATGATATACCTGTATTCGAGTAACACAATACGTATGTATAAGATCTCTACTTTCAGATATTATTAAATAGATAAATAGCCAGCAAACTATAGAAAACTATAATAAAATATAAAGTTTTCATCTATAAAAGGACTGGTAATACATATGTTACACTTGTACTCTTTTCACTTTACTATAAATACTTGAGGAAAAAAGATATTACGATCGCCTGTTTCCTTTCTACCCCAAAAAAAGTATGAAGTTTAATCTTGCAGTCGTTTCAATATTTTTCTTGACAACGGCTGTTAAATATACGTCATCCCAAGCTGTTGTTCCTAAATATGCTGCATGTAAGTAGTAATTTCGTTTTGAAAAAAAATAAAACATTTATTTTAAAAAAAAACAAAAAATGCACACCATTGCATATCAAAAGCATGCGGTTATTTAGCCAAAAAAATCTATTGCTTGGGAGGGCTGTCAACTATCGATGTTCTTACCACTGAGGCCACGATGAACGTACTTGATATCGCTAATTATAATGGAAGCACATCCAAGGAATTAACCAGCCAATGGGAGATGATCGTAACCGATACAACAACAGTTACATTAGAATCGAGAAGAAACACTCAAACCATGCAATATCCTGACGGAAAATCTATGTTAATTAGCGGGGGCTTTAGTTCCACAGATGTTGCCTTAAAGGATCAAACTCTTATCTTTAACGGCGAGACTAGATCATGGAACCGTTCCGAAAATTATGTAGAATATCCATATGGAAGTAGACAGATGTAAGCCACGTACACAAAAGGAATTTTTTTTTAAAAAAAGGGCAAAACATTGATCTTTCTATTTTATCATAGCTATTACGCTGCCTCTGTATACGTCCCTGGATACGGAGTTGGGTTTTTTGGTGGCACTGAAGCGTAACGTTGTTTGATTTATTTTGTGATGCACAGAGTATTGAATTACACTCTTTTTAGGCTCGGCAATAACAATCACACCATACCGTATGTTTATAAGGGAGTTACTATTCCAGACATGGGTTTTCCAGGAGCAAGTTTTCAGTTTATCGGTTATTCCAATCTTACATTTTTGGATATCAACCGACCAGAACAGGTAATATGTCAGATATAATGACAGGACATTAAAAAGTTTGTAACTGAAGATCCCTCTTAAACATTATTGTTATTAGCCTTGGTCATCTTTTCCCAACCAAAAAAACTTGCCAGATGGATTCACAAGTTATCAACAACCCATTTTTGATCCCAAAACCAACATCATTTTATTTTTTGGAGGTGCTTATCTGAACACAACAACATTTGATGAAAAATTTTATGACCTCCAGAATGTCATGACCTTCGATATGCAAAATAGCCAGTGGGGTCAACAGCTTTTGCAAGGAACACCACCGACGCCAAGATCCGGTCATTCTGTAACATTGCGTAAGCCCTTTTTCTTTTTTATTCATGTACTACACATGCATGTACGTAGAATAATGACTTTTTGCATTAAAAAATTATTACAGTCAATCCTAGTCAACGACATGTTCTTCTCTATGGAGGTCAGGGTGCTGGTACAACAGCAGGTATAGGTTATTATTAAGTCTAAATATATACACTGATATTAATAATTAGTTTAAAATAGCTGTTTCGGATTACTGCTTTACGTTAGATCTGGATACGTTTCAGTGGACAAAACATGATTTACAAGCCGAACCTGGAGTTCTGCTATTGAGGACAGAACATTCTGGTAAATATTCTAATGATTAATTGATAATCGACATGCTAAGATAAATAACACTGTGTAGCGCTTACTATAAACAACGACACGGTTTTTATTGTTTTTGGAAGAGACGACACTAAAAATGCAACATTGGTACCCATCATGCTTAATGTTACCGATCCTGCACGTATTACCTTATTGGATAAATATATTATACCACCAGATATTGTCAGTAACTCAACGGATTCGAACCCTGTTAAACCCTCCAACACAAATTCTACTGAAACCCCAGATACACCAAAGCCAAAATTGAGCTCTGGTGCAACCATCGGCATTTCTGTTGGATGTACCGCTGCAGTAAGTATTGCTACCATTCCATTGTATTTTTATCGTATTTTTAAAAAACGTCTTTTATTATTAGGGTTTAATTGCAATTGCAGCTCTCGTGTTGTGGATCCGTAAAAGAAATAAGGCCAAAAAGCAAATGGAGACTATGGAGGTTGATTGGGACGCGATTGATTTAAATTATGCTGATACGCCTACTGTCAAACCAGCTGAAGAATTTTCTTCGATTCCGCAAGAAAAACCAAATGTTGCTAACAATCCGCCTTTAAAACCCCAAATTCCTGATTTTGTTGATGAGTCACCTGTCGTGAATAAGGATCACTCGATACAAAAGCCTGATGGATCATAATTCATCCTCCTCCTCCTCCTCCTCCTTCCACCTATATTACAATTCAAACATTCCATCGATGAATCCAAAGCTTCAGCTCTCTAATTTATCAATCTTTTTTAAAAATATAATAATTTTATTGTTTCCAAAACGAAATAGTCAATTTTGTTTAATTTCTTATAAAAGCGTTTGTTACTGTCAGACATTGTCTAATACACATAAATATTAGATGTTCGAAAAAAGTTTTTGGAGAAAAGCCAAATTCAAGAGAGATATGGGCAGTTGTCAGACAAAATAAGAAATATTACCTTTTTACGCTAACTAGAATTATACTAAACGCCTGTGTTACATGAGCCTAGCTACTTTTGATAAAGTTGTCCTTTAAAGAGAGTTTATCAATGAGCAAAAGAATTATAATGTATTAAAATATTTATAACATCCACGTAGTTTTGAAACTGCTTAGATGGTTCAGTGTAAAAAGGATATGTAGCGGTAAGGTAAATTTGGAGTCATATAATGCCCTCATTTCAAGAACGTCATAACTACTAATGGACATTAAAAATTAGTAAAAAGTTGATTGATAACATTTAAATCAAGAGGATTTAACGCAAATGAAATAACGGACTGCATTTGCAGCCGAAACTTATGACATCTTTCAGTATTTATGGTGCATCGATTAAATAATATAAATAAATCTATCTTTGGTATACTCCTTAAACTTCTTCAGAGTTAGACCTGCGTAGTATTTTCTATAACACAATTTTTCTTATACTTTTATAAAATGGTATTTAAATCTGTTTCGTAATGTCAAATACGAACGACAAGATATGACCAATGTGCCCCTGTTTATTTTACTCAGTATTTGTGCTTTTCATACCTTATTTAGAAGTATAGTGGCTGAGGGCTTTTCACACACTAAAATGATCTTCTGATTACACTCAGCTTTTGCAAAAAAAGTTTAGGATACGTACACACATATGCCGTCAAACATTTTCAAACTTTAGGTAAGCAACTTTTTTATATTTGTAAGCTTCTTAATATAGGAAGCTGCGGCCGAAGTGAAATTCATAAGACCATTTATTGTTCTTCAAAAAGAACAAGTAATACATATGTTACACTTATATCTTAAAAAACTAATATAAATAGCTGTAAAAAATAGAGAAGAAAAAAATTATAATATTTTTTTTTCCAAAATATACACAGATGAGGCTTAATTTTACAGCCTGTTCGTTTCTTGTATTTATAACAGCCATCAATCATGCATCATCGCAAGCTGTTGTCCCTCGATTCTCCGCATGTAAGATATTTTTGAAGTATTAGATAAGATCATCCATTTAAAAAATGTATATCATTGTATATCACAGCATGCGGATATTTAGCCAAGAAAATATATTGTTTTGGAGGATCGACTGAGGACGATGTCCTTACCACTGAAGTTAGAATAGACGTACTTGATATTTTAAAATATAAAGGGAGCACTTCTAAGGACTTATCCACACAATGGGAGAGCATCAGCACTGATACAGGAGGATTAAATTTAGAATCCCGACGGTTTGCTCAAACCTTACAGCTTCCTGATGGAAACTCCATGTTAATAAGTGGGGGTTCTGGTCCGGGAGATATTATGTTGAAAGATCAAACACTGATATTTAACGGTGAGACTAGAACGTGGAACCGTTCTATAAACTACGCGGAGTATCCATATGGCAACAGACAAATGTAAGTGGTTCATTCCAATGTTCCTTTTTCTCCTTTTTTCTTTTTGGAAAAATAATAAAACTTTATCTTTATCATTAAGATATAACGCTGCTTCTGTATACGTACCTGGGTTTGGGGTTGGTTTTTTCGGTGGTGAGGAATCGTATGTTTTTTATGTATTTTTTGTTTATTTTGTGGTGTATGGATAATTGAATCATACTATTTGTAGGACGGTATATAACAATCACTCGGTACCTTACGTATACAAAGGTGTCGACATTACTATAGGACATGATGAATATCCAGGCAACATGTTCAAGTATATCGGTTATACTAACCTTACCTTTTTTAATATCAACCATCCTGAACAGGTAAGATAAAGTAACTACTCCTTCCCTTAGGTGAGCGTAACTATTTTCCTTTCATTAAATTCCTTCTCAATAATTAGCCATGGTCATATTTTCCCAACCAAAGAAATTTGCCAAACGCTTTCACGAGCTTTCAAGAATCCATTTTTGATTACAAAACAAGCCGTATTCTATATTTCGGAGGCAATTATTGGGACACAATAAACCTTCGTGATATTAGCTACGACTTTAAAAACATCACTACGTTTGATATAAAAAATAGTCAGTGGGGTCAGCAGATCTTACAAGGAAATGCTCCAAGTGTAAGACAAGGCCATTCTGTGACACTACGTAAGCTTTTAGTTTGTTTGTTTTGCTTCTATGTCTTATGCCTTAGTGATTAGAATATTAACTTTGTAGCATAATTATTTTAGTTGATCCAGATCAAAGGCATGTTCTCTTGTATGGAGGTCAGACTGGTAGTTATAGTCCAGGTACATACATTTATTTATGTACGATCTGATAATATGCGCAGTAAATATTCACTGTTTATCATAGTTGTTGCGGATTATTGCTTTACGTTGGATCTGGATACATATCAATGGAAACAACATTATTTATCAGTTACGGATACAATTCCGCTGTTGAGAGCACAGCACTCTGGTAAAAAACCACGCTAGTTTATCATCGATATGCTAAAATATATAACATTGTATAGCGCTCAATATAGACAATGATACTGTTTTTATTGTTTTTGGAAGAGATAGTCTTAAGACTGCAACACTGGAACCAATTATGCTTAACGTGACTGATCCTTCACGCATTACTTTACTGGATAGATTTAATGTAATAGCAGGATCTACCAGTAACTCAACATATGCAAATTCGGATGAATCCTCTGAAACGGGAAATTCAAAATTGAGCTCCGGAGCCACCATTGGCATTTCTGTAGGGTGCGCATTCATAGTAAGGGTTAAAAAAACTATTGTATCAGATTTTTACATTGTTTCTCAAAAGGAATATATTCAGGGGTTAATTGCTATTGCGGCTCTCGTATTCTGGTTACGTAAAAGGAACAAGACCAAAACGCAAATGGACTCGACGGAAGTCCATTTGGGTTTCTATAGTCGTTATACGATTAATAGACCTATCAAACCTGACAGCGAGTCTACTGTCTTATATCAAAAGCCAGACACTGTTAGAAATCCAAAAGCAAAAACCTGGGTTTCTGGTTTTCCCGATTATGATAGATCCGCCTTAAAGGACGAACAATCAATATTACAGAAGCCAGAGGGAGCCTAAATTCTTATGTCCCTTCAACTATATTATAACCTAAACATTCCGTTTTCAGCAGTCTAATTTATGAGAAATAATAAATCTACTATTGTAAAATTGATTTGAATGCAAGCTCATCCAAAGCAAATAGAACTTGGTTTAATTCGAAAAATGTAATATTATGAACCCACTTCGTGCGCGTCATTCACATAACTCCGCTTTACATAAAAAAATATTTTTTTTCTTTTGATTTTTGATTAGCACCACATCATGTTGAAATTCAAGAAGCACGAAGGTAAAAATGGACTAAACATAATAAAAGATTCGCTTACACTAAAGCCAAATTAGAAAAGGAAGAAAAGGAGGTAGCACAGGAAGAACGTAAAGAAAGACGTAAAGATGAGTCACCACCAGCTCGTCGTACCCATCGTTCACCTCGTCGTCGCAGCAGAGATCGCTCACCTCCACGTCGTAGCAGAGACGATCGCTCACCTCCTCGTCGTCGTAGCAGAGATCGCTCACCTCTCCGTCGTAGCAGAGATGATCGCTCTCCTCGTAGATACGACCGTCGTGATCGTTCTAAATCTCCCGCCAAAAGAAGATCCCGCAGTCCACCCAAAGAAAAAACTAGACTTAGTGAAAAGGTAAAGAACGATAGAATGGGTGCTGCATAGAAATTCTAACTTGTTTGTGTTTAGCCAGGTGTGAAGAAAGTGATAAGAACACAACCTAGTTATACTCTAATCGAGTTGGAGGTAAATGATCGATTGGGTAAGAAGGTGCGTGTAAAGTGTGCACCCAACGATCTCGTAGGTGATTTTAAGAAATTGGTTGCTGCCCAGATTGGAACAGAGCCTGGAAAAATCGTATTGAAAAAGTGGTACAAAGAGTTTAAAGATCACATTACACTTGCTGATTGTAAGTTGATATTGATTGGAAAGGAATGTAAAAAGTGATTTTAAACATGTCTTTCGTAGATGAACTGCATGATGGTATGAATCTTGAATTATATTATAGATAACTCTTGGATCGCTCAGAGGTAGCTCCAGGGTCGTACGGGTTTTCCTGCTTGTCAAATAAATCAAAAAAAAAAAAAAAAAAAAAAAAAAAACCCTGGCCCTTTTTTATAACACACAACATTTATTATCCCGCCCTTTTTCCCTTTTTCTTTCCCTTGCACCAATTTTTTATTCTTTAAATAAAATGTCAAACGATGATAGAACCGAATTACAGCTGTTACGACAAGAAAACGAACTAATGAAGATGCAGCATAATGCCATGGAGCAACAAATTGTTGAATTACAAAGCCAAGTAGCAAATTTACAAAAAGTCATGACGCAAGTGCTTAAAGATTTAACAGGTCATGATGAGCGTCATGCGACCATGCTTGGTGAATTAAATGGACTCAAGGAATCAGTAATGGATTCCAACAGTCTAAACATGACAACAGAGGATTCTGGGTCTTCTATGCGCAGCATTCCTGCACCTTCCAAAGTGCTTGTCAACAACCAAAAGAAAAAAGACAATAGACTGTTTGAACTACGACGCATTACCAAAGATTGTATGCATGTCGATGATGAAGAAGCAGGTTTACGACTGTATAAATTACAAAAGACAATGGTCCATGTAGTTTCCGATTTAAAAAATTACATGAAGGATAAAAATGAAGATGTTTGTAAATCATGGAAATCGATTGATATTAGTACGCAACGTATTGCCTTTGAAATGGTCGAACGAGAGGCGGTTAGTTTGGGTGTACCGCTGAATCTTTGCATAGGATATTGGGGTGCAAGAAGGCTCATCAGTAAATCTTGGGCAAATGCTCTAAGGACAACTAAAAAACACGTTGGATCAGGAGGTTGCTTTTGTAATTCCGTTTTGTTTATTTCTTGATAATAACTGACTAAAAAAAATTAAACGCTCTCCCTCCCTCCTTCCAATAGATCCCGAGAAAGATGCTGATGATAGTTCATGTGCTGAGAATCACAAGAGATCCAAATTGCAATAAGAGCTTTATTGTAGTCGGAGTAACATCAAGCATTTTTATGCTTTGTTTGTGAAACCTATTTACACTTCAAATCCAGACATGTTGACAAAAAAGAAAGGTCTTAATGAATACACAACATGTGCTCTATGTTCTTTAAAGTATTCGCAACTCATACACTCGCCAATCAAGAAGCAATGTCTCTTTTTTCATAGTCCCATGATAATAAAATCACATCGTTTCATTTTTGTATTATCAATACTCCTGAATTTTTTTAAGCGTACAGCATTCGTTTTACTTACAATATGAACACAGAACTTAATGTACTTTGTACAGATAGGATCTTTTTATAATGCACAAACGTAAGGCTGCTGCAAGTCTTTGAGGAACGTGTGACCAAATTTTTAAAACTCCATTGTCAACCGTATATGTTCTTCAATGGCAGTTTATTCTTCTTTGTATAAAAAAGTACTGATATGATTTTTATTTGAAATTATATATAGAATTGTGCATAAAGTTTCAGTGAAAGACATATTTTTATACAGATACAAAAACATGACGCTACAGTCAAACCTATCTACTAATGTACCAGATCACCACGTATTTCACCTTCATCACTAAATGTTGAAAGGGATTTACGTCTCTTGTTTAAAAAAAGCGGTTATAAAATTTTTTAATTTTAATATGTACGTTTGAAAGACCCACGCAAGTTTTCAAACAATTTACAAGCTTTAGACCAGCGACCTCCTATACATTTTTTACGTACGCTATACGTATCGGGCAACAATCAGTGCCCTCTGTTGTTTTCTCTGATATTGGCTTAAATTAAACATTTCAGAAATTAATCGTTGGACCAGCAGTTATTGACTGCTTTGATATCCACATAAATCACATAAACAGGTACTTAGTCTTCGTCTATATAGAGTATGCATTGATCCATTGTCCAAATCTTCAAGCCTGTAAATTTTTATTTGATGCTGTTGCTAATAAAACCATCTAATTATTGACGAGAGTTTGAAGAAACTGCAGCTACAAAAATACTCGCCATAGAACTTAAAAATATGACAGAGAGGATTTGACGGTGTTTATGTCCAAATTTTGGTTCGTGACGCAAAAATCATGTACGGAATGAAGATGGACACAAAAGATAACCGAGATTAATTTGAGAGCTTTAAAACTATGTAGCTATTTCAGTTTGATGATTATAATATTTGTGGGAATGATACAAATTTTATATCTATTCAATAACAAGCGGATAAAAGAGACCTAGCTTATTATTGCTGAAGTAGCAAAACATCAAGTGTGTGCGAAGATACTACCTAATAGCTATTTTAAGAATCCCAAGATAAGGGTATACTAAGAACCTTCATCAGGAAGCCGAAATAAATTTAGGATTTATACTGAGTTAAGCCTCGGTGACAAAGTTCAAGGAATAATTCCAAATAAAGTAAGGATTCACCTAAACATAAACGCAAACGTAGACATGTGTACTAAGGTGTCTGGATTTTTTTATGTGAGTTGGTTCATATTTTTAATGCTTGTGCAACCACAGACTTTAGTATTATGTCAAATTTAAAAGTATTTGTTGTACTAAATTAATTTAAATATTTACATCAATCCAACAGTAGGTAAGCAAATTAAATTAGACTGGACATTTCAAAGAAATAACCCTTTGACGACACTGCAATATTTCTTAACTCCGATAGAGAACACTCTAAAATGTACAGGGCATGAGTTACACATCGTGTGAACTAACTGGTCGCAGTTGGGGGCTCATTGCGTTTTTTTTTTTTTTTTTTTTTTTTTTTTTGACGATTTTAGAATAGTCTGTACCTGGGTTATTTCTGTTTTCTTTGGTCTAATAATAGGCTTTTTTTTTTTTTTTTTTTTTTTTCTCGTGTACGATACCAGATCTTATAAGCGTAATATATGAACCTCAAACTTAAAACTAGTATGAAAGTGAACAAAATAACTTTTCAATCTCATAAATTGTAATACTTTCAACAAACTGTCGTTTTTTACTTTTTATATATGTACAAGTCTCACTCCATCTACACCGTGTCACCTAACACGTAAGTGCAACTTAAAGTTCATGTGACTCCAGCCGTATTACTATTTTACTATATAAATCGAGAAAAAATTGCCATTGCAATTAAAAAAACCTGGTTTAGATGAAACAAACAAATATTAAATTTTGGATTTTATTCTTTGCTTCTGCCAGCTACGTGATTGCGCAGAGCTCGAACGAACAAAGAATTAGCGCATGTGAGATATAGAAATAATGTAAAAATTTGTGGTACTTATTCAGCGCTTAGCATGTGGATACTTAGCCAAAAAAATATTTTGCTTTGGTGGTTCTGTGAAGGTTCCAAGATATACCACGAATAGCATGCATGTTCTTGATCTTACTACACTTAATGGGAAGACTCCTGAGGAATTATCTAGTAAATGGGCAGGTATCGAAGCAAATACAGAAAGTCAAAATATAGAATCAAGAGTCAATCCTCAGTCTACACCACTCCCAGATGGAAAAACCTTGTTAATAGTTGGTGGTGGAATTGGTGGGGCTTCTCAAACTGTATCTTTCAACGGGGAAACTATGTCTTGGGATTTCTATCAAAATTATAAAGATCCCTCTATTGGAAATAGAAATATGTGAGTAGCAATCTGGAGCGCAACAGAATATCTCAAAACTAAAATATGTGCCACTATAGCTCAAGTGCAGCATCGGTATATATTCCGGAATATGGTTTCGTACTTTATGGGGGCATAGAAGAGTAAGCTTAACTGACGAATATTGTTTCGCTTGATATTAAATCTAGTTTAAACAGTGTTGACAGTGGTGGTAATAATTTTACCTATCCTGGTGTAAATACAGCTAGCTATATGAATAATTATGGAGTTCGGTATATCGGTTATCCAGAACTAGAAATATTAGACATCAATAACACAGAAAACGTACGTTAATTTATATGGTATAAATTGTATTCACTGATTATTGATATGCTACCATTATAGCCTTGGAAACCTCACATTTCAGAAAAAAACAGAACAAATATTTTTCCTAACAATCAAGCTGCTATATTTGATTCTAAAAACAATATTGTTTTTTTCTTTGGGGGTTCACGTTATAACCCTACAACTGGTCGTCAAGTTCCATTTCTTTTTGATAAAGTTATGACATTCAATCTCACTACGAAAAGCTGGGGGGAACAAACGTTAAAAGGTCAAGGACCATCTCCGCGATATGCACACTCGGCTACAGTGGGTAAGTTGATTTAAAATCAAAACCCTCTAATAGCAATGCAATGTAAAACGTATTAACTCATAGAGTAAAACTAGTGGGACCTAAACAAAGACATGTTTTGATATATGGTGGACAAAACGGGAGTGCAGATAGGCGTAATAGCGAATCAATCATTTAACTAAAACAAACTGACTAATGCATATAAATATTAAATAGCCGTATCAGACTACTGTTACACTTTGGATCTTGACATGTATCAATGGACTCAGCAGACAATTCCAGCACCCAACGGCATAATATTAGCCAGAACAATGCATTCAGGTACGAAACCCTAGTAGCATATAAACAAAACGTCAATGTCTTACGTCATTCGTAAAAAAAATTAGCTGTTACAATAACAGATAGCATGTTATTTATTGTGTTTGGTAGAGCGGCCGACCTTGAACTTGCTGTAACATTACTCATCCTAAACGTTGCGAACCCTTCAAGCATCACTTTATTCGATAAATTTATTGATCCCGCTACCATAGGACCAACAAATACAGCTTCAGATTCTTTTAATGATACTTCAAGCAAAGGATTAACTTCCGGTGCTATAGTTGGCATAGCTGTTGGTGTCTCGATCGCAGTAAGTATTTGATCGTGCGGATTCGTAGTTGTTTTATTCATAAAATACTGTTTTCTTGCCTCAGGGTATAATAGGTATTGCTTTAATACTTTTCTATGCAATCAAAAAGAGAAAAAACAATAAAACAGAGAAAGCAGAATCTCTTATGGAGGTTGACTGGGAAGAAGTCGAAAATGAATACCCAGATGCTCCTGCAGACTATCCTGAAACTCATTTTAAACATTCCTCCCAAACACCAGATGATATGTCTGTGAATCAAAGTACACAAGTACCGGATTCTTCAAGCCCGTTTTTAACAAAAAATACAGACACCATGTCTGAGACTCAAACTACACAAGCACCGAATTCCTTCAGCCCAACAGCAACAAAAAATCCGGATGCTCAAGGTATCCAGGTGCCGGATTCCTCAAGCCCAACTTTAGCAAAAAAAACAGCGCCCTAATGGTATCTGTCAAATTCAGCCACAAGCAATAAACATTTTTTCCAATTCAGGAACATTTCTCGATTAAATTTTTGTTACCAGATAAATGTCCCATTTATTAGGCTTTCTATATTTTTTAAATATACATACCAAGCCAAACTTTTTACTTTTGATAACTATTTGGCGGTAAATCACAGGCCCTCACTATCTCGGCTTGTATTAGGTGATTAATACAGTGTTTTTGAAAAGGTTTATTTTTAGGTTTCCCTATTACGTGTGATACAATAGCATTAGTTTAACAATAATATCTATAATCATTTTTTATGTCTAAAGGGCTGAGTGTTTTGAATTTTCGGTCTCCAAGTGTGATAATAGTTTTTGCCGTTCTTCGGGTAAATTAACGGATCAATGAAGCCTAAGGAGTAGGTGTAAAAAAAACAATTCATGTTCACAAAAATAGCTATCATTTTTAAGTTCACAGCCACAACAAAACTTTCGAATTAGTCATATTAGTAAAAAACTGTGATGACTGCAGTCCCAAACAGCCAAACTTGGGATAAGTCATGGTCGCATGTCAGTCTTTCGTGTTAAACGACCGCCACTAATATTCATCAAGTACGCTCTTTTCGTTTAAAATATGTGGATACTCAGTATTTTAGGTTCTGATATCAATTTCGAGAAATCTTTTATTATTTGCTCTGTATTTGATGAGTATATACAAATTGACGTCCCGTGAACATTTTTTGTATCAAAATTATATTTTTTTCTGCTACGGTTTTTTAATATTACGTTTAAGTTCTTGCTTTTGGTCCCCTAGTAGAATTTAGCGTCAACATCAGCAGCTACAGCTTCTTTGCAGGGAGGAGGCTTTAAGAAATTAACGTTCTGCTATATCTTCAAATAAAGCCATCAGCGATATTGGCATTGTCGCTGTTTTTAGATACTTCGATTCTTCGGTATAGTACAGCATAAGTGAAACTTGGATTAATGCAGAGTGAGTTCAACTATAATTTTCTCATGATGGTTATCACCATGTCGGTCTTAATTTCTCATAGTGTTTTATCAACATATTCTCTTTTGGCCATATTAACATGATGATCAAAAGTGCATCTCTCAAGATCTTTAAGACTACACATAAAAAATATCACAGAACATGTGGCTTTCAATTTTACAGCTTCAAGCAGCAGCACAAAGCATTTTTCTGTAACAAAGACGTTTTTAGCATAATAGCCATAGTAAGCTAAAACTCGGTTGTACAACCCCATCTATTCTTTGTCTAACAGATCTAATAATAGCTTCTTCTCATTCTATCTACATGTATACATAAGTTTTTGTTGCGTAGAATTCTTGCTTTTACTAGCCATGCTAGGCCAACCTACTAAATGGGACATAGCTCCTTTAATCAGCAGCATTGACATGTTAGCCCAGTTATAAAAGAAGTCGATCAGCTTTGCTTATAATTATACTTCCCATTATTGTGTAAAAGTCTCACAACTTACATTACATGTGACACCTGGATTTATTATTTTACTATAAATAATGGGAAAAAGCCATTTGTCTTGTAACTTTCAAAATTTTGTTTTTATGAAGCAACTTAATATACATTTTTGGCTTTTTTTGGTTACAGGCATCAACCATGTAATGGCTCAAAATTCTTCCGGTGATGCCAGGTTTGGTGCATGTAAGACCATAATTCATGATTTTTAAAATATGCATTTCACTCATCTTCCTGCTTAGCATGTGGCTATTTGGCTAAAAAAATATTTTGTTTTGGAGGTTCTGATAGTATTTCGACAAGTGTTCCTTCAGACGCAATGCACATGCTTGATCTCTCAAATTTTAGTGCAGACAAGCCAGAAGAATTCGAAAGTATATGGGTTAAAGTCGACACAGATACAAAAACACAAAATATATTACCAAGACGATATCCGCAGTCTACGCAATTACCTGATGGAAAAACATTGCTAGTTGTCGGTGGGGAAATTTATGGAAACTCATCAGGCGTTCCTCAGACTTTATCTTTCAACGCCGAAACTTTATCTTGGACCACATATCAAAATTTTGAAGATCCTCCTGCAAAAAGTAGGCAGATGTGAGTTGTAATTTTCAGACAAAGTTTTTGAGACTAAAATATGAAATTTAAGTTTTGATGCAGCCTCAGTGTATATTCCTAAATACGGTTTTGTGCTTTATGGAGGTCTTGGAATGTAGGTTTAATACCAGGTTAACGTTTTATTTGACATGTTAACTTAAAAAGGATTTACAGTGACAACCTTACACCTTATAACGAGACTGCAGAGAATTATATAAACGGTTATACTGAAATAGAGGTGCTAGATATAGGGAATACGGAAAACGTTTGTGACAAAATATTTTCAATTAACAACAACTACTTTTTACTGACATGGTTTTTGATAGCCTTGGAGACCTAACATATCAGCAAGTGAAGATGTAGATAGAGTTGATTATCGTCAAGCGGCAATTTTTGATGATAAAATGAACATTATTTTTTTTTTTGGCGGTAGAAGACCCGGTTTTACAGATCCTTACGATGATTTGCCTGGCTTTAAGACCATCGACTTATATAACTTCACAAGCCAAAGCTGGGGAAGAAAAACAATGTGGGGGCAGGGACCTGCTCCTCGATACGGACATTCCGCTACCTTGGGTATGTTTTTTTTAAAAAAAAAGATGATATTCTAATTATAATAGAGTGTCATACATACTAACCTAAATTGAAAATATAGTGGGCCCCAATCAGAGGCATGTTCTCATATACGGTGGACAGAACGACGACTCAGATAGACGTAATGGCAAAACAATACTTCCATTTGAATAAATCAACTAACGAATCTTGACCTTTCTAGCTCTAGCAGATTATTGCTACATTTTGGATCTTGACTCTTACCAATGGACTCCACAAGTTATTCCAGTAGATGCAGGTGTTAATTTAGCCAGAAGCCGACATTCAGGTACAGAACACAAATACTGCAAAATATGTAAAGCACAAATGGCTTACATTAAATGTATTTAGCTATTGCAATAACCAACAGCACGTTATTTATTGTATATGGAACCGAGACTGAGACTAAACTGGCTGAAAATATACTCATACTAGACGTTACAGAGCCTTTAATGATCACTTTATTAAATAAATTGAACAGTTCAGCCGCTTCACCAACAGACACAGTTCCCGGATCTTCAGATACTGATGCTGACAACCCAAGAAAAGGTCTGACTTCTGCTGCTACTATTGGTATTGGTGTCGGTGTCTCAGTTGCAGTAAATACGACACTACATCGTTGTTAGTTGGCTGTATAAAATTAACTTCTTATTTCCATTTTATTTTAGGGACTAATGATATTGGCCGTCATAATATTCTGCATAATTAAAAAGAGAAGAAACAAGAAAAAAGAAAAGACAGGGGTGGATTGGGATAAAATCCAAGATAATTACGCAGAAGAAGCCGATATGTACCTTCCTAAAGATCATTTTACTCATGCACCTCATATCCCAAATAATACTTCTGCTCCCGGAGCCACAAGCGTACTAGATTCTTCGGCTCAGATGTCGTCAAAAGGGAAGTTGGAACGTCCTGATACAGTTGATCCCCGTTCCGCAGACTCTGTTCACGGGGATGAAGCACAAAAACCTAACACCAAGACCGCAAGAAGAGACCAAGTACAGAAACCTGACATTCACTAGATAAGACGTATATATTTATACTTTTATAAAAATTAATATCGTAATAAAATGTTTCTTACTCCAATAAAAGTCATTAATAAAAGACCACAGTTTACTGAAAGATTCCAAAAAAATTTTACCAATCGACAGTAGGATGGAATCCTATTCGATCTGGTAATGTGGATAAGATATATGTCGAAACGGTGGATGTTATTTATCAATGGGTGTCTAATTTTATTGAGTGTTCGTTATCTCAAATAAATGGACTAGCTGTGATTAGGGTGTATAGTAATAAATAGAGTCGAATGTTGTCATGTTTGAGACAAATTGATTGCCTAAGCTGAAGTTATGGCCAAAGTTTTGCCGAATAGATGTTTTTAGAAATATAATGTCAGTTAAAGTTTTCACAATTACTCGCAACGTTGGTATAATGCGCAATAATAAACCAGGTGCAAAACTAGTTTATCATAGTTTTTGATGTGCGGCAGATGACAATGTTTGTGGGTTGAAATGTTTACTGCGGTCTTGTCAAACTTTTAAAAGTTACACAACTATGATGTAAATTAAAATAGCGTGATCTGTATCGGATCTTTAAAACCCAAAAGAATGTTGCATGACACAAACTGCGGTAATCATAAAAATAGACGGTCACCGCTCGTACTAAAATAAATAACTTTTAGGGTTTCAATTCATTTTTTCTTCTTTATTTTATCGCTTTAAACAATGGCACCAAAGAAAAGTAGTAAAACGAAACAGGAAGAGCCTGTAGAAGAAGTAAAAATTACAGGTCCTGGCTGGACTGAAAAGATGAATCAAGCCATTGACGATCTTTCCGAAAGTCGAACAAGGTAAAAAAAAAAAAAAAGCAGAAAAATTTAGTTGACAGCAGTACAACTAACAGAAAAGCAGTACTCGAGAAGAGTCATTGGAAATTATTACAAATATCTTCTCAAATCATCATGTATTTTCTCAAATCGAAAATCGATTGGAAGAGATTTTGGGATTATTAAAGAAATCCGTTGCCAAGAATAATAGTACAAAAGAAGCTTGCCTCGCTGCGCGGGCTATCGCATTAACCTTTATCAACTTGGATGATATCTCGGAAGGTGAAGCGGATGATCTATACAGACGTATTTTATCATGTCTCAGAAGTGCTATCAAGAATAGCCCAGATGTAGAAATCAAAATGAGTGTAACGTTTCTATTCATTTTTATTTTCAATGTATGTATATCCTAAATCTCTCCAATTTTAGTGTCTCCAAACCTTGGCATTGATCACGTATACTGCGGCTTCGGATATTGATAAACAACTCGTACGAGAATATCTGTTCGATCTGATCGAAACTGACGGTGCAGATTTTAACGTTGATGAATTATCCCCTCAAGAATGTGATCAATTATTTGCAGAGTCTCTTAGAGCCTACGGTATTTTGTATGCATCTTCCTTTTCAACTGGATTCGTCGATTTCGATATATTATGGGAAGAGCTTGAAAAGTAAGTCTCGACTATGATAACTTAGAATGGAGATAAAAACTAACTTTTTTATTCGTAGAGTGATGCCAATGCACGAAATGTTATTAGAGTCCTCAGATAAAGACGTTCGTATTGCAGCAGGAGAAAATATTGGCCTCATGTTTGAAAGTGCCAATGTATTTTTAAATGCAGATGCAGAGGATGATGAAGAAGAGGATGAGGATGCAGTAAAACCGGAATATGATAATATGGACGGTTTAATTCACACATTAAAGGATTTATCCGTCGATAGCAGCCGTCGTCGAGCTAAGAGTGATCGTGTTGAACAAAAATCTGTTTTTCGTGACATTGTGAGAACCGTGGAGGATAATGAAAAACCAGTGGAAGAGCTCAAGATTGGGGGCAAAGTTTTATCTTTCCGTGGCTGGTCTAAGATCTTGCCCTTGAACTCGTTTAGGAGATGTTTAGGACCAGGATTTCAGCATCATTTAAAGGTAACTTTATGGCAATGACAAAACAAAATGAAATGCATGCTAAATAAATAAATAAATATGTATAGACAAACTCAATGATGAAGGATATCTTCCGTTATTCGACAGGTTTCGTAGGTCGTCCACAAGATGATTCAGATGACTCCGATGAGGAAGGAGGAGGCATCAGCACAGCTGGTTTAAGTAACGTGGATAAGAAATACCTGTACGACGAAAACAAGAAATCCAGATCAAAACAAATCAGAAGCGCCAGAATAGGAAAAGAATCAAACCCTGACTATTAAACTAATCGTGTAACATCATATAATATAAAAAAGTATAGCATAAATAAAAAATTTATATAGAGTTAAAAAAAAAAAATATCTATGTACATAAACAAAAATAATTTTTGCCTAAGCTTGGATAGTACGGGTGGTGCTCATTTCTTCTTGGGTATTTTCATCCACTACAGAGTTATGAATAAAGCCATCACGTAATTGTTCAAGTTCAAGTCGTTCTTTTTCTTCCAACTCTTTCATGGTTTCTGGTCCCCATTCAGCTGGCACAACCAAGTTCAAAAAGATGGCCATTAAAGACCCAATACAGTAACCTGTATCCACAATCGTTTCAATTGCACTCAAAAAACCTTGTAAGGCCTCATTATCACCTGTATAATTAAATACATGCGTGAACCAAGAAGGCACCAAGGTCACACCCAAACCAAGCGCTAAAGAGCATGTTACAATGAATCGATCTCGTCTTGTCCATTCAAGGTAAGCAAGAATACGGATGCCTGATACAGTAACTGAAGCAAACAAAAAAGCGTTCATTCCACCCAAGACAGAGGAAGGGATGGCTAAAAATACAGCGGAAATCTTGCCAAAGACTCCATAAATCAAGATAAAAAAGCAACAGCAATAACCTGCAATACGATTAGCACAACGCGTCATGGCCACCACACCATTGTTTTGTGCAAACGTTACTACAGGACTGATGGTCATACAGGCTGCTAAAAATGAATTAATACCATCGGCAAGTAGTCCACCTTGGATACGACTCTGGAATACTTGTCCTTCTACTTCTACACCGGATACGTCACATGAGGCGGTAATATCACCAATACTTTCCAACATATTATCCAGGTACACAATTAGGAACGGTATGATGGCCGGACCATACACTTGAATAGGAAAAGTACGTGTCCACACAAATGTAATAGCAGGGGCAGTATCGATTGCACTATGATCTACATAACCGCACGCTGCTGCCACGATCAAGCCTAAAATCAATCCAATCACAATTTGAGAACTCTTCATGAATGGCGAACCTAAGTTCTCAATCAAGACAATAGTGGCAAATACAACAAAACCAAGCCCCAAAAATTGTGGGCTACCCCAAGAGAGTGCATTGGGTGCATCGATGTTGGGACATTTACTGTAAAATCCAGAGGCAGGCATAGAGGCACAACCACCAGATCCACCTGCCCAATCCTTTAAGGCTGTACTGATCACGGAGCATCCAATCAATAAAATTGTGGTGCCAGATACAATAGGTGGGAAAAGTCGTTTGATTGTCTTTGGTGGTAAGAAACTCATGCCCATCTCAAAAAACGAGCATACCATGGCTAATTCTATTTGTTAGAAAAAGAGATTTTCGCCACAAAAAAGTAATGAGCCTTACATGTTCCTAAAATGGCTCCCCATGCATTAGGACAAGGCAAGTTTTGAATAGTGCCATCTTCCAAGACGTTGGTAGGACAAAATCCACTAGCATACATATTTTTAATTACGGCACTGGCAGCAGGAATACTAGCGAAATTTGGACCGACTACACTGAGTAAACCAGTACCCACATAAAAGCCTAATATGTATGTGAATATGATTTTTCTACTTTTCATCTATGATGAGTATGCGCTTACTTGTTCTCCAGATTTTAAAACGTGTAATTTGAATCAATGATAAAAGTGCAGAGGTGATCAAAGCTGCGGATAAAAGATATTGTTGATCAGCCGTTGTTAAATTCAAAGCAGTAGGACCTGAGCCCGTCATGATCAAGATTGGTGTAACCACACCACTGACCTGTCAAAAAAAAAAAAAAAAAAAAAAAATCGAATAAACAAACAAATAACGACAAAGGCAAACAAACAAAATATTACCATGGCTAATGAATGCTGAAAGCCCATAACGAGTGCTAAACCCAAAGGCAAACGACTGTTTAAACCCCAAAAGGGAGTATGCTTCTTATCCTTAACAAAGACGGAAGGCATACACATGGTATTCCAATCAAATTCACCCCACCAACCTTCTTTGGTGCCTACTTGTGACTTGAAGACTTTCCAAAGGTTAGGTACATCGGCTGGTGCATACGCTTCAAACTGATTTTGAGCCTGAGACGGAATCGATTCAGCATCATGAATCGTCGGGTTTTCTACTTTCGTATCCATGATTGTTTTGTATTTTTTTTAGCAAGGTGGGGGATAGTCTTTCTTATCAAAAAAATAAAATCCCGGTTTGATGTGCAAAGAAAAAAATTTAAAAAGAATGAAACAAACAAAGAAACATTCAAAAAAAAGTTTTTTTCAGAATACATACCCAAAAACAAAAAAAGGTGACTGGTTCGAGGTGTTTGAAAAAAAAAGCAGATATAGAAATTCTGGGTTTCCATCTAGTTTTCGGTAAGAGTCATACATTGGCCTTAACTAAGTTTCAATTGTCCCAAGCACACACACGGAAACAGACAAAAATGTACGCATAGACATCCCAATAATTAAACATTATTTTTCGCTAAGCTATATTGAAACTTTGACTATACATCATGCTATAATTAACTAGCATCAGGTGATATATTTTGCAATATTAGTTAGAAGGCTGCTGGGTTTTCTCGGTGCGGGGAAAACAGCAGTTCCACGTTTTTTAAACACACACAAAGATAGACGGTATATTGTATTTTCCACAGATAAAATCTTTGAAAAGTCTCGAAAAATTAAAAGATGTTGTTTAGATAGACATTTATAACCCAAAAATCTAGGAAATTAGTTTTTAAGCAGTATATGGGAACAAAGGAAGTTAGACACAAAATTAAGGTTGACTCACGGAGATATTCCACAATGTGATGCCTTTTGCCGTTTTTTATCTACACAGCAGAAATATTCCTTTTTGGTTTTAGTGCGACTCACAACAATTACACGAATTAACTAATAAACACTGCTCCAAAATTTTAAAAGATGTAAAAATAGAATATTATTGAGAGCTCAAAAGAAATAGCTTATTAAAATGATAAAAAGCTTGTGCTGGCAAAATTTGATGAGCGTATTGCGGCGAACGCCAGTAAAGACAAAGCAGATTTGCTTCTAAAAGCATTTGATAATCAAGCGCTAACTACACATAATACACGGTTAATACTTAAGCTGAATGAATAATGATTTTGGATGCCTCTCTTCTCTTTTAGACATAAAACAAACTTGTGGTCAAATGTTATTTTAATTTTCTCAATTGCACTATGATTAAAAATGTTGTTATCAAGAAAAGAGATGTTCTATCTAAAATAAATACAAGAGAAGATGACGATTGTTTCAAAGGTAGAGCTTTACAAATAAAGGACTAACGTATACTCAACGTATATATATTTTACAAAAATGACCTGAATACATAGATTGCCATGACGAAGGGAATGTGAACAAAAACCATTTTAATTGCTTGTTCTACAGAGAATCTTCTGCAAATGATGGTAATTTTGTGATAACATTTACTGTTTATAGTGCTATATTTTAACATGTTTAAAGTGGGCTCTTACTCTATCAAAAAAAAGAAAGCAAAGTTTTACTGTTAAATCTAAAAAAAGTTAGGTAAAAGAAAGATTGACTTGGGTCCGACAGCCGAAGTTTGTAGAAGATGCTAACAAACAGGCCATAAACAAAGGTCCAAAGATTACCCCAATTACAATTTTTCTAAAAAGGAGGTGAGTTGATCGATATAAAACATCCAAAGTATGCATTTGATGTTATTTTGATGACCTAAAGGTGATTAAAATCCCCAGATTTAAGGGTAGTGGAGTTCTTTGCTGCCAAAAATGTGAAAAGGTGTGGCAAAGGGACGTGAATGCTGCCAGAAATATAATGATAATCTCAAAGGCGATTTGGTCAGACGAAGGAAGACCAGAGGCTTTTAAACTCAAGAAAACTTAACAATAAGCCTAACAAGTTCTCATTATCGTATCGCCGTATCAAACGCGGTTTCCTTTTAAGTGAGGATTAAGATCATTACAGGTAAAAAAAAGCAATTTTTGTCCGAAAATTCATTTTCTTACGTTTTGTCCACTGGTTGTGTATTCTTTTCATACACGACACTTTAAAAAAGAGCGCATATCACTTCATTTTGTTACACAAAAAAATGCTTATACTTTTGTTATAGTTTATTAATCGCTTTTCTTAGGGACAGCCAAAGTACACGTAGTCGCAACGTAAGATCTATGGTTTGGATGTTCTGTAGACATGGGAGCAAGGATATACAATCAAAAACAATGTAAAAATTACAAATAAATGTACATCAAACGATTTATACTTATTTTGACAATTCTATTATCACTCTTTCGCCTTTGAGCTCGTTTGAATTAAATCTTACGCAGAAATATTAATGTTAAGTCCAAACGAGAAGCTAAAAGTTAGCTTTAAAATACATATACTGGTTTAAACTATGTTAGTTGTGATAAATGTGTATAAATTTCAAGTTATTAAGTTCTATTGACCTCTCGATATCTATTAAAGTATCATAATCCCAACATTACGACTACGTGCACCCTGGCTGTCCCTAAGAAAAATGGCTGTCCCTAAGAAAAATGGCTGTCCCTAAGAAAAATGGCTGTCCCTAAGAAAAATGGCTGTCCCTAAGAAAAATGGCTGTCCCTAAGAAAATTTGGCTGTCCCTAAGAAAATTTGGCTGTCCCTAAGAGACCCGTTTATTAATTCCAAGCGGAAGTCTACATTTGTATCGTGTGAATTATTGGTCAAACATCCTACTGCCAATTAATAAATTGAAATTTTTATTCGTTTAAATAGTAGAACACTGTACAAAATATGAGAATTGAGCTATTACATTCAATAAGGAACATTGTTCAAAAGCAAACATTAACCGTGGAGGCCAGAAAATATTTAGTTTTAAGTAGAACGGACATTGTCAAAGGAGCTATGGGGGTATACCAAATGATTTTCATCTGTATTTAAACGCGATCCGAGATTTTGATACACAGTCTCCAACAGGCTTCTGTCGTCGCTAACAGCATCTGCGCTCAACTCCCAGAACATGGCACCACCTAATTGTCTTTCCCTGATATAATCACATTTTAACTGTGCAACTGCAGGAGAATCATACGTGACGAACTCTCGTTTATCCTCGTCATATGACCAGGAGGCACCCAGCTCTTCATCAAAGTGCTCTTTTGCTCCTTTTCTAGGCAAATCTTTGTAGTCAAAAGAGCCCTTATCCCAAGAACCATCGGGTATACCATGATAGGACGAACCAGGTCTTCCGATAGTATTTGAAAAGCCTCTTCCGTACATGGGTAATCCCATCACAATCTTTTTGGATGGAACACCTGCTTTTTCAAAGTGTTTTACTGCTTGATCCACATTTAACGGACCACCGAAAAGATTGGATTGATGTCCCGTCTTTTTATCCCAATCACCGGCGAAATCATATGCCATCATATAGAATATGTCTACGTACTGGGACATTTCCTCTAGCTTCAGTATATTGTAATTCTCGGGTCCGCATGGCATAGCTACTGACAATAAAAAGGGACTATTGGTTGGGTCATTAGTGGATTGATAATTATCCAAGGCAACGCGTACTTCTTTTAAGAGCAATACATAATTTTCAGCATCGGTGGTATCTTGAGGAAACTCCCAATCAATATCAATGCCATCCAATCCGAGGTTTTCAAGATGTTCAATCGCTGTTTTTGTAAATGTTGCTCGAGATTCTGTACTGGAAGCAATAGCTGAAAAATTAGAACTCCATGAATAGCCACCCACACTAAGTGACACTTTTACATGTCGATATTTTTTTTTTAATAAGGAAAGTTGCTTGAAATTGCCGTGTAAATCTTGATCATTTTCTTTCCAAGGATCTTGTACGCCATCCAATGTTTTATCTAGTTGTACACCACTCAGGATAAGTTTTCTATTTTCATGCATTTTTTATATATGTACCTTTTGGGAATTTAATATCAGTATCAGCCCAAGGGTCCTAAAATAGCAAGTTTCTTAAAAATAAGCAGTAGAATCATCGATATAGACTTACACCGAGAATAATGGTGCCATCAAGATTGACATTGGCAAATGCATACAAGATGTGAGATAATTTCTCGGCCTTCAGGTCCACAACGTTATATTTGCGGTCATAAATGCCCCAGTTGATATAATATCCTGCAACAATAAACGATGGTTCTTTTTCTTTATAATCTGGAAGGTTGACATGACGAATGGCTTGTTGGTACCAACCAATTGTCAATAGAATGACAAGAATAGGTGTGAGTATTGCAAACCTTGCGATATTTCCAACCGAAAACGTTCTCATTACAATAATAATAATAATAAAAAAAAAGAATAAAAATTGAGAGAGAGCTTCAGATATACAATTTATATTATTATACACACTGCACTTTTTTTTTATTTTGGTTTATATTTTAGGGATATTTTTTATGCTTTCAAATAAAAAAAAATGAAGAGGTAAAAAAACATTTAGTTGGCAACCTCCTCGGGCTCGGCATCGTAAGCAGCCAATTGTTGAGTCAAATCAGCATCAACTTGAGGAACCTTAAAATACATATAAATTCAGTTATGTTTCTTTTTTTTACCCCACACTAATTCACTTCCTATCACTTACAGCAGGGGCAGCAGGGAGCTTTAATTCCTTAGCAGAAGACTCGTCAGAGGCAGACTATACATGACAAAAATAAAACAATTAATACAATGACCCTCTCCATTGAATTAAGAAAACTTACGACGGGTTGAGGCTTGTATGCCTTCAATTCCTTGATGAACAAATCTTGAATGACATCTATAATAGCAGATAGCATATGAGCTTCTTTATCCTCTTTTCGATACACTTTGTCGTTCCTGTCTTACCCTTTTGCATAACAGCAGCACCGGCGAAGCTACGAGCGGCCATAGTGGGGACAGCAGCACGAGCAGACTATGATAATAATAAAATAGATGTTGAGTTGACCATGTCGTGTTTTTTTTGGGTGCTCATTTTACCTTGAAGGCAACGGAGCGAATGGCAATACGAGCAATTGACATTTTTAGAGGAAAAATATTAAATTTGTTAAGAAAATAAAAACGAGGACGGGGGGTTTGCTCTTTTTTGTCCTGTACAAAAAAAAAATAGCAAAAAAATTAAAAAAGTGACGCAATCATTTTTATTTTTAACCGTCACCCCCCTTTCATGTTTTTCAATGGGGGAGGTCAAAAAGTACATTGTAACACATTAATGCAACGTTCGTGACAGAAGTCGACAATGATTGACAGAAAATATAGAAATATTTAGTACATATATACTTTGATTCTTAAAACAGATGAAATTTCCATATTTTAGTCTTTATCTGAAGAATTACTACCCTGAGAGAGGTGCCATGCCCGAACAATTGTCAACCGCAGCCCGTGTCTTTATATGTTCATTTAACGCTTTTCTTAGGGACAGCCAAATTTTCCTTAGGGTCAGCCAAAGTGCACGTAGTCGCAACGTAAGATCTGTGATTTGGATGTTCTGTAGACCTGGGAACAAGGATATACAATCAAAAACAATGTAAAAATTACGAATAAATGTATATTAAACAATTTGTACTTATTTTGACAATTCTATCATCATTCTTTCACCTTTGAGCTCGTTTGATCTTAATCTTACGCAGAAATATTAAGTTAACGTCCAAACGAGAAGCTGAAAGTAAGCTGTAAAACACATATACTGGTTTACAATATGTTCGTTGTAATAATTGTGTATATATTTCGAGCTGTTAAGTTATATTGACCTCTTGATGTCTACAAAAGTATCATAATCCCAACATTACGACTACGCGCACCCTGTCTGTCCCTAAGAAAAATGGCTGTTCCTAAGAAAATTTGGCTGTCCCTAAGAGACCCGTTTATTTAAAAGCAATTTCAATTAGCCTCTTGTACACTATTTTCAGAAAATATAAGATCAAAATGTAAAAAAAAAAAAATCGTTGACGAACATTTCTAATGTTTGCTTGGTCATTTTGGGTCCTTGCTCTTCTTCGTTGGTCCTGGAGCCTCTCCACGTCGAAATCTTGGGGGGATACCGTTTCCAGCACGAATTGAACGAACAATATTAACCATGATCAAGCAAGCAGCCATACCACAGTTCCATAGACGAGGAGCAATCCTATTTGTGTTATTAGTCCTGGCTCTACAATTTGATTTCTATATCTTTTAAAAGAAGGCACATAACTACCTCATATTCATTATAGAAGAATTCGGATTGCCCGAAAATATATACGAAAGCAAACGTAAAATAAGTGTGTCTGAAACATCACAAATTTTGACGTACATGCACAGTGTTATAATGACATACGTATTCCTTGGCATAGATTCGATTAATAAAGCAGACGCCATTTCGAAAGAATCTCCAGTAACCACACTTCTAGACACAACAGTTTCGTGATCAGATGGCATTGTTTTTTTATCAGAATAACAATCTTGATGCACTAAGACTGATATTAGTAGATATTTTGAAGTCCTATGAATTCAGCTTATACAAAAAATTTGGTGTCGTAAATTGAGTGAAGTATTGCTCTCGCCGCATTATTTGAAGTTTCTTTTTTCATGTTGGTATTAAAAGCAGGTTGGTCCTACCAATGGTATCAATCTTTCTCGTCGGGACCCAAAATAAAATCGGAATGACACATGCAGACATGTCATAATCCATATTTGCGCAACCTTTTCAAGTTGATGTACAATTTGAAGTCTTACGGTTTACTACTGTATTATCTTTGTAAGAAATACCAAATAAGCGACGCTGCCTGAGCTCAGATTACAATCTGCCGTCATAAAATTCATCAGAGAATTTTCCTTTAATCCATGAAACCCTAAGCTGGCATTCTAGACCAAGATTGGGGGGGTTTATATGGAGAAATTAAACGCTGATTGGTACCTTTTTAATGAAAATTATATATTTGATGTTTTCGTTTATCTTCATTATTTGGATCGCAGCAATAACGCTAGCGATTTTACGGGCAGTCCATACGAGAAAAAAGAGAAACGATTTTACTCCGATATCCCGGACATAAAAGATGGTTTATTTACGTGTAAATCATAATCAAACCCATTTACGGAAACATAAACAAAAGGCATTTATGCATTTCATCCTACATTGAGTATGACTAATCATCTGTCAAAAAGAAAGAAAAAAAATCTGGTTCCAATAAATCGCACTTCTAAACCAATCAGTTGCATCAATTAGATTGACGTAGATTATCTCTTTTTTTTTCTTGCGGTTGGACCGTATCTTTATTCGGGATGAAGAACTGGATTTGAATTGGCAGATAAGATGGAAGAACATAAAAGGGCAAAAACAATAGATTGTTTTCTCTTTTATTTTTTATAACTATTAGAATCTAGAAAATTAAACAGAAGCATGGACTACTCAAAGCACATTAGCAAAACTAGCAAGGCTAGAAACCCTTCAGCCAGTAAGTAGAATTAAACATAGATATTATCAGCGGGTTTTAATTCATCTTTTCACTTTTCTCTCAATAGTTCGTGCTTTGATGCCTTACATGAATTGTAAATCAATGGTAATATCATTTGAAATATGAACTGTCATAATTCTATGTACTAACTTGCTAATCAGATCTCTCTTGGCGCTGGCCAACCTAACCCTGCAACTTTTCCATTTGCAAGTATGACTCTTACTCTCAAGACAGGCGAAAAGATTGAAATTGACGACGAATTGTTTAGTAGAGCCTTATCTTATGATTTGACGGTAAATTTTTTTTGTGTACCATGAATTTTTTTGAAAGGTTTTTCCCACGATTGTTTTCTAACTTTTTCTATTTGTTTATAAACATTTAGGCCGGCCAACCTCTTTTAAACGAATGGCTTTGCGAACTTCAAAGAATTGAACATAATCCTCCTGTAAAATTTGATCTTTCCATCGGTGCAGGAAGTCAAGATCTTTTGACAAAGGTAAGAAAAGCCAAAAAAAATCAGGATGCAAGAAATAAAAACTAACCATTTATGTTAAAAAAGGCACTTGAAATGATGATCAATGACGGTGATTCAATTCTTGTAGAAAATCCTACCTACACTGGTGCCTTATCTTTCCTTGAAAATTTAAATTGTGATCTTGCTGATATCCCCACTGATGAATTTGGACTTGTTCCTGAAGCTTTAGACCGTATGCTTGCTAACTGGCCTGAGAGTAACCCGAATGGCAAGAAAGATCAACCTCGTCCTCATTGTCTCTACACAATCCCTAGCGGTGGTAATCCTACAGGTATCAGTGCTACTTTGGAACGTAAGCAAGCTGTTTATAAGATCTGCTCCAAGTATGATATTCTCATCCTTGAAGATGACCCTTATTACTTCTTGCAGTATACCAGAGATCGTACTCCATCTTACTTTTCCATGGATGTCGACGCTCGTGTTCTCCGCTGTGACAGTATGAGTAAGATCTTATCTTCCGGTTTAAGAATTGGTTGGGTTACTGGTCCTCACGCTCTTATTGAACGTATCAACATGCATACCATGGTCACCAACTTGCAGCCTTCCGGTATTCCTCAAGCTATGACCTTTGGACTTTTAGAAAAGTGGGGACATCAAGGATTTTTGGACCACGTTGACCGTGTTGCTGATTTCTATCGTGAGAAACGCGATGAATTTGTTGAATGTCTTAATCATCGTATGAAGGGTCGCGCAGAATGGGTTGTTCCTAATGCTGGTATGTTTGTCTGGCTTCGTTTGTTGGGTGGTATCACAGACTCCTATGATTTGATTATGACAAAAGCACTTAAAGAAAATGTCTTGGCTATCCCAGGTTTGGCCTTTATGCCTCAAGGTAACATGAACAACTATGTTCGTGTCTCTTTCAGCAATGTAACAAAGACGAACATGGATGAAGCTCTCCGCAGATTAGCTTCCGTCATTGATAAAGAAGCAGCTATCAATGGTGTCAAGATTGAGGTTTAAATCCAATTTATTTTAGCCTCTTACCTAATATTCCCCCCCTATTTTCATTATAAGCATATAATAGATTGCATGTAATAAATATCTTCACTTTTTAATTTTCATCGTCATTTAAAACCTTTGTCAAATATTCAAATAAAGCATCGTCCTATCAAAGTTCCACAGTTCACTGCATCAACTCGGGTAACCTGCTCACATTAACCACATGATCGTGCATGAAATATTAATTGTTTATAGGGACAGAAATGTATTTCCAAACGGTGTGTCCAAATTGTGACATTTCAATTTATCAAGATAGCAGACGACGTGTTAAATGAACGTAAGCCGGGATCATAAATTAATTTTTTTTTTTATGAATTAACCCTTTTAGTTTAAATGTATTATCGGGTCAGTACTTAATAGTAATACCGTTTATGTTTACTAATGCATTCATACAAACATTTATTTTTTGTAGTTGGCGTAGGTTTTTTTTCGTATTATTATTGTTATTATTTCTGCCCTCCAGAAATCGATAAGATAGCATAATGTAAAGACAATTATTACATAATAACCTCTGCATTAGGAACCCTCATCACAAAAAGAATGTCCAGAATATGATTGGTCTTGTACCTTTTTTTTTCATATAGTCAAGTCACACTTGGACTAACGTTGCACGATCTGTCTTTGCTATCATATTCTCAATTCGTCCCTCTCCGCAGAAGAATGTCAAATAGGGAAATAAATGAAAACTTTCTATTTCCCATGGTAGTAAAAAAAAAAAGGCAACCACATGTTGTGATCCAGCTAAAACCTGAACTTTCGTGGGATTTAAAATATGATCTTTCAATCGTTTCTTTATATGTTACCGTGTCATTATAGCTCGGCGCATTTCGCACGGCCTCCAAAAAAACCAGGGTGGACGGGCTGACCTCTTCTTGGAGATTTAAGTCTGAATAGATCTATCTTTACAATTAATAAACGTCTATTACCCCCACCCTGCCTAAATCCCAGGGTTTCAATTTTGACTAGATTAACCTATCCTTTTATTTTAAAACGAATGATTTTATTTTCGTCGCTTATAAGGGAACTTCTTAAAGTTTTAGGGGCATGTGCTATATTTTTTTTTTTTTATGAATTTCCTAGTAAAGGATATGCGTTCTCGTTTGTACTCAATAAGCGGAAAAACCATATGTTAAGATACTATATTAATGAAAAGTGCTACGTGATCGTTTTATTTAATCAAGTTTTTTTTGTAAACATTTATATTGTACACAGATGAATGTAATGTCTAATTTGTGAAATTTGACAAATTGTGTATAATATTTTATGCTTATCCTAAAAAAACACACAAAAAAAAAAATCTTATTCATCATATCTAAAAAGTGGGATTTATGGCGCGAGTTTTTATTTGGAATTGCGTAACGTGGGCCGAGAAAGATTTCTTTCCGAGACAGCATAAATGTACAATAAACGATTAGAAATCCTTGTGTATGACAAGAAACTAAGGCTCGGTCCTATTATCTTTTATTTTAATTTTTTCGATAAGGAATTGAGATAAATAATTCTAGAGTCAGATTGGGGGGAGAGAGACATTTACAAGATTAAGATAGAACTGTTATTTCTATAATCGTCATTAGAGTTAAAGATGCTTTAAGAATTGGCGATCTGTATTAAATTGATTGAAAAAATAAATTACAGTAGTCGTATTGTTCCAATTGACGCACCCGGCGCTCTTATTGTTACTAGTCTGATGCTATTTATGTGCCCAAGCCGTACAAACGCATTCTTCTTTCATCATTAAAGCACGGGAGATATCAGTTGATTCTATCAGTTCTGTATACAGTGGTCTAACGGATATAAAATGGAGAGACATACCCCATAGTAACGAATAAGCATAAATTTTGAAGCTTCTGGTTATATTATCAGTGCTCCCCCGTAAAAATTCTAAACAAGCAGACAAACAAACCTGGGCAGTACAATTTAAGAATAAGGGACTTATATTATAACACGATAATTTTGAAATTTATTGGAGACAGTTACGCGCTTCACACTGACAGTGACTCTATTCTGCCTTGGGGTTAATGATAAAAGAGGAACGAGTGTCTTGTGTAACGGATCAATTTGAATTCCGGGTCATAAGATAAAGTCTGTGCAACATTCTCGAAAAAAAAAATATTATAGATCTCCATTAAAGTTTCGATGTAAGGATAACTCATATTCTTTACATATAACATAAAGATAAATTTATGGTGTTACATCTTATTGAAAACCATTTTCAAGATCAAAACATGATATAGAGACTAACCAAAGGGTAAAAAAAAAACAATATTTGGGTCACATTTTTTTTTTATGCAAAAGTATTTTTAAAACCGCAGACGCCACATTGGATCAAAAAAAAAAAAGGTTTTTTAAATTCCTTCACGTAAAAAGTATACAATCACCTATTTTAATGAGGTCCCACTTTTTAAGAAAGATGCGTAACATAGTATTGATAGTCGCTTTACATATTTTGTTTTACTACTTTTTTTTTCATATAATTATTTCGGATACACCAATTACTTTATTAGAACTAGTTTTTATTATATTTATTATGCCTAAAAAATTACAAGACTGCTTAGTCCATCTTTGTGTTCGTTACATCATAAGAGTGAGGCAATTTTATATGTGTATTTGGAAGTAACTACCCGTGTTTACTTTTTTAATAAAACATTTAACACAGCCCGTTGATAGTACAACAATAGATTATATATATGTTGAAAATTTTACTCACCATGAATTCTTCTTCTTTTTTTTTCTTTTTTAATGGGAAAAATGGCTTAATATCTATTAAACGCTTTGCATACCCTGGGATTACTACGCCCAATTGCAACCCACGTTATTTTTGTCTCGTACTCTCACACACTTGAAATCAAGAATAGATCCTGCTTTTAACTAGATCAGAAGTTTAAATGTGTAAAAATTTATTTTCATAAAATATAACGATTTTAGAGTTCAATATCTCCTCTATAAAAATTATAGTGGTATACCATACTCCAAAATGTTTCAATAACACGCCATACTTAATGAAAATGACCTCAGCTAAAGGTAATAACACAATTATTACCATAAATCACACGTGTAACCATAAATACTTCTGTAGAGGCTATAAACACATCTCTAAAATGGGGCTTAACAGTATTAAATGCGCAGTTTTTATAGCATTTAGGTCAGGATTTTTTTCTTGTATTTACATTATACACGTAAGTATCAACATGGGATACGCGTGAATGTATAATAATAGATGCATAAATAAAAAAAAAGAAACATGACTGTACTATTTTCGAACCAATACATGAGTCGATGTAACTATCATATGTGATACACAGAAAATCCAGTGAATTGAACCAATTATTTCTGAGTCTTGCACTAGCATAAAGTAAATTATTCATGATTTTTACTCTATTTTGATTACTCGGCTCCATTTTTTTTTTTGACAACGCAATGTGTTGGTGGGTGACCCCACTCTATAGTGTTATTAGAGACTTAATCAAGAAACATATCGTACGTTAATAGCAATGTAATAAACGCATGCATGATAAGATATCATAGAAGCATGTCCTTTATGTATATAATTAAACATACATTATGGTCGCTCTCCTATCATGTATTTTTCAAATGGAGAGAATATTATATTTTTTATCTAGCTAAAAGCTTTCAAAATATTGAAACATTATCTGCAGAATAATAAACTTTTCGTTTGGCTTATCTCAAAGATAATACACGCTAGTAGAATTTTTTTTTTTTTTAAAAAAATAACCACAATAGTTTTTAACAACAATATTGTACTCCCAAAGTTATTACGATTTCTTGTTGTAACATCGGGTGCTATAGTATTGCATACAAAAATACTATACTATGGATCAGAAATACTTTAGCTTTTGTGATTGGAAGTGAGATCAAAATTAGCAACTTCACGATAAGGTTCCCACGAATGAATACTGATGATTAGTGTGACAAGATATGGTGAGACAGCAATACCCCCTTTTGATCAATAGTGCACATGACAGAGGTAGGCGATTGTAGGTCCAAATAGGGAAGGTAGCAACCCTTAAATTTGTGCGCTCTATGTGTGTGTGTGTGATTTTATATCACTCTTGTCTTATCAAGTTTTTGTGGAAGTATCAGAAGAAAAATAAATCAATGATTCATTGATTCCTTCAATTAGTAGCACAGAGTCACACTATTCCCATGTAGTACCTTTTTTTTTCCTTAGTCAATAGGCGGTGGCGTCTAAATTTATTTGCCAATATAAATAAAAGATAAAACAAGTGTTTATCTTTTCTTTTTCATCTTTTTTATCAACCTCTTCTTTTTTTTTCCCTGGAAAAATATAAACAGTCATGTCGTTTAGAGAAAAGACTGAAACAAAAACAACTGAGCACGTTACGGTGCATCAGTTCCAAGGTCACTCCGATCGCTATAATAAAGTCACTGCAGAATCATATCTTCGTAAAGATAATGAAAGCAGCAGTAGCTACTGGGCCCGTCGTCTTTGGCAAATTAAGCCTGTCGAATTATTATGGGGAGATGCGGAAAATTCAGAGTTAAGTCGTGCCTTGTCAGCCTTCCAACTTGTCTTTGTAGGTATCGGTGCTATTATTGGTACTGGTATTTTTGTTCTTTCCGGTTTGGCTGCTGCCAACAATGCAGGACCTGCTGTTACACTCTCCTTCGTTATTGCTGCTATTGCTGCTGGTAATTTTTATATATATAGGATGAAAAGGGGTTAAAATTTGGCTAACATTATTCCATCATCATTTTTCAGCCTTCGCTGCTCTTAGTTACTCTGAAATGGCTTCCATGATTCCTGTTGCTGGTTCTGCTTATACTTATGCTTATGCTACCATGGGTGAGTTTATTGCTTGGACTATTGGTTGGGATTTAATTCTTGAATACATGGTCGGTGCTGCCACTGTTGGTGTTGGATGGTCTGGTTACTTTGTCAAGTTCTTTGCTGTCGCATCCAACGGAAGAATTCATTTTGCTGATAGTTGGACCAAGCCTACTGTCGCATGGATTGAAGATCCTGCTTCTATCTCATACTCTGGTAACTACTTTAACGTCCCCGGTTTTGTGATCATTATGTTGGTTACTATTATTTTAATTATTGGGTAAGACATATACGCGTGATACATGTATTTTAATTTTTTTCACTGACGCTTTTTGTATATAGTATCCGTCAATCTGCAATGTTCAACACTATTGTTGTCTCAATCAAGCTTGTCGTTATTCTTATCTTTATCTTTGGTCTTGCTGGTTACATGTACACTCCCAACTATCATCCCTATATCCCTCCTAACACCACCGGTAACTGGCATTTCTTTGGTGTACCTGGTATTTTTGCAGCTGCAACAACCGTCTTCTTCAGGTATAAACAAATGTATAGGAATTATTTTGGAAGCAAAGTTTATTAACATGGGTATATTTCTGCTTATTAGTTATATTGGTTTTGATGCTGTTACTACCGCTGCTCTTGAAGCCAAGCGTCCTCAACGTGATCTTCCTATTGGTATTATTGGTAGTTTGGTTATCAGTACTGTCCTTTACCTTGCTTTCTGTACCATCATGACAGGTGCTGCTCATTACTTAGACTTCAAGGGATCCCCTGTTCCTGCTTCCGTTGCTGTTGAAGCTGTTATGAAACGTACCGGAAAGGATTTCAGATGGCTTAACATTCTTGTTGCTATTGGTGCCGTCTGTGGTTTGACCTCCGTTTTACTCATTAATTTGCTCGGTCAATCTCGTGTCTTTTATGCCATGGCCAAGGATGGTCTTTTACCCCCTATGTTCTCCAAGATTCACCCCAAATTCAAGACTCCTCATTTAGCTACTCTCACAGTTGGTTTCATTACCGCTGTTATGGCTGCAGTTTTACCTGTTGATTTACTTGGTAACATGACATCTGTTGGTACCTTGTTGGCTTTCTTCATTGTTCATCTTGGTGTTATTATCTTGAGATTCACTCGTCCTGATATTGAGCGTCGTTTCAAAATCCCCGGTGGTAAGTGGCTCTCCTTATTATTCCCTATTATTGGTATGGGTATCTCTGTTGCTTTGATTGCTGTCGCTGAAGTTACTACCACCATTTGGCGTCTCTTTGTTTGGATGGGTATTGGTTGGGTCATTTACTTCAGTTATGGTATCCGTCACTCTAGATTCAACAGAGATCCTTTAGCTCGTTTTGCCGAAGCTGAGGTTAAGCCTCCTCCTACGTACGCAGTTGGTTCTGACGATAATGCTGGTTATAAAACTGAGGAATATAACTATGTTCCCGACACTCACCAAGCTGATCCTTCTTCGCACCGTGCTTAAATGTCAAAAATCTCTTTGTCCTTTAATTTCGTTTTTTTTTATCCCCCGCCCCTTTCCCAATTATTATCCCTATTATTGTACTTTTAACTAATACTTACTAAAACAACTCTATCATATTATGAATATATAAAATGTTTTTTACTTCATTTTTTTTATTATCCTTCTAAAAATACATCTTGTGATATCGCATAATTCTCAGCCTCGTTTGATTTAATTTAGTTTAGTTTCAAGTTAAAAGCATAAATACAGTCGTTCCAGCGCCAAAGGGCGGTTTTTGAAAAAGAAAAAAAAAAAGTATTTTTGAGTCTCCTAGAATGTACACACATGAAAATACCTGTTTTTGCTTCTATTTCCAGATGAGAGCATGCGCTTATACAGTATAACGGGCGCAGGAAAGTGCAGGTGATACAGTTCATGTCTTTAATTTTAAACTCCAGTATATTATGTAAAGTAAACAAATCAGGTTTGTTTTCTTTCAAGGGTTCAGAGGACTAAGAAAAATTGTTTAACAAGCAATATTTATTTGCATATATGTAAAAAAAAAAAGTGGGTGCGAGGGGAAATATTTAAAATTGAAAGGTTAATATATATAATGGTGCGATTGTTGTAAACAACATAGACTTAGTCAACTTCTTCCATCTTTGAAACTCCAGCATCTTCTTGAGCAGGGGTTTCGGTAGCAGCAGCAGGTTCATTGGCTTGATCAATTTCGTCCTCGTCAATACTGAGACCAAGAGAAACCATGCGGTTAATACGAGTGGCAAATGATGATGGATCATCCAAGGAGAAACCTGAGGTCAACAGTGAAGTCTCATAGAGTAATGTGACAAGATCCTTAACAGTACGATCATTGGCATCAGCATCAGCCTTTGCCTTGAGAGCCTTAATAATAGGATGCTTAGGATTAAGTTCTAGTGTCTTCTTTGAAGCCATATAACTTGACATGGATGAGTCACGAAGCGCTTGTGCCTTCATAATACGTTCCATATTAGCAGACCAACCGAATTGACCAGTAGTTAAAACGCATGGTGAGTCAGTCAAGATATGTGAAAGAATGACCTTTTCAACCTTATCACCGAGAATGTCCTTGATGGTCTTGAGAAGGCCCTCAAATTCCTTTTGTTCCTCTTCATGAGACTTCTTCGATTCTTCGTCATCCTCGATTTCGGCACCTTCTTTAGTGATACAAACCAACTTGTGATCTTCGTAATCCTTCAATTGAGTGGTGGCGTATTCATCAATAGGATCGGTCATCAATAAGACTTCGATACCCTTCTTCTTAAAACCTTCGAGGAAGGGAGAATTCTCAACAGCAGCACGAGACTCGCCAGTAATGTAGTAGATATTCTTTTGCTTCTCGGGCATACGAGTAACGTAATCCTTGAAGGAAGTCATTTCGTCGCCAGACTTTGTGGAATAGTAACGGAGAAGATCAGCAAGCTTAGAACGGTTTTGAGCATCTTCGTGAATACCAAGCTTGATGTTCTTTCCGAAAGCTTCATAAAATTTGTCGAATTGTTCCTTGTCTTCGGCAATTTCTTGAAACATTTCAATACACTTCTTAACCAAGTTCTTACGGATGACCTTCAAGATCTTGTTTTGTTGAAGCATCTCACGAGAGATATTGAGAGGAAGATCCTCAGAGTCCACAACACCCTTAATGAAGCCCAACCATTCAGGAATTAACTCGTCGCAGTCATCCATAATAAAGACACGACGAACATAGAGCTTGATGTTGTTTCTCTTCTTCTTGGCTTCAAACATATCAAAGGGAGCACGCTTGGGAACAAAGAGGATAGCACGGAATTCAAGTTGACCCTCAACTGAAAAGTGCTTCACAGCCAAATGATCTTCCCAATCATTTGAAAGAGCCTTATAGAATTCAGAGTATTCTTCAGGCTTAACATCTTCAGGATTACGCGTCCAAAGAGGCTTAGTCTTGTTCAACTCTTCATTTTCAATGACAGTTTCCTTTACAGTTTTCTTCTTTGGTTCCTCCTTTTTATCTTCCTCATCGTCAACTTCTTCAATCTTAGCACCTTCGGCGGGAGCTTCAGCGGGAGTATCATCTTCGACCTCCTTTTCAACTTCCTTTTCAACAACAAGTTGGATAGGGTAAGAGATGAATTCAGAATGCTTCTTGACAATTTCCTTGATCTTCTTTTCCTCAAGATATTCAAGTTGATCTTCCTTCATGTGGAGACGAATCTCAGTACCACGACCAATGGAAGGATTGATAGTATCATGAGCAATGGTGAAGGAGCCACCAGCGGCAGATTCCCAGATATATTGCTCGTCATCATTATGTTTAGTAATGACTTGGACTTTATCGGCCACAAGGTAAGCAGAGTAAAAACCAACACCAAATTGACCAATCATGGAGATATCAGCACCAGCAGAGAGAGCTTCCATGAAGGATTTGGTACCAGATTTAGCAATGGTACCCAAATTGTTGACCAAATCCGCCTTGGTCATACCGATACCAGTATCACGAATAGACAAAATCTTATTTTCCTTGTCAGGCGTGATGCGAATAAAGAGATCCTTTTCTGAATCAAGTACGGAGGGATCCGTCAAAGATTGATAGCGGACCTTATCCAAGGCATCAGAAGAGTTAGAAATCAATTCACGTAAAAAGATCTCCTTGTTGGAATAAAACGTGTTGATGATCAAACTCATCAACTGAGAGATCTCAGCTTGGAAAGAAAAGGTTTCGACTTCAGACATTATACGTATGTATTAATTAGAAAGAATGTTCAATACAAAAGAATTAAAATAATCGAAAGAGAGGCGGAAAAGGGGATTTATGCCTTTTTATATTTATGCATAAAAGAAAAAAAAAAAGCGTTAAAACTCAGTGGTATGGGTTTGCATTTTTTCCCTTGTACTTGCTAGAAGTTGCGAGAAATCTGACTTATGATTACAATTGCATATTTTTGAGTCTATTTCGTATATCAGCTATTAGCATTACCTTATACAAATCTGATTGAATAAATCCTAACGGTAGAGACAAACTTCTGGAAAGTTCTAGCTAACAATATTACGGTATGCATTCGCGGTCACAAGTTAATTAGATCTGTTAAGGAAACGTTCTTCCGGTAATAACAATAATGCTGCAAATATAAGCTTAAACTTGGTTTGAGCGTAATTATAGGTTGTTTTCAGGAAATACTTTGTATTGTAAAATTAGAATGCCACAGCCTGGAATCATTAGGTCTAAGAGTATACGGGTGCGTGTAGCATGGAGGGTATGTGAACAAGCTGTGTATTTCCAATGACCGTCTTGACAGTAAAGTAATTAGGCTTTATTGAAGTGATGGATCCAGTAAACCTATCTGAAAGTGAAGTACTTATTTTTCATGTCGAGATATTTCCCATGCAGAGATGTGCTTCGTATTATCATTGAGATAGGTCGTACGAATATTCAATGTCCCAAGGACGAAATTTGATCTATTTGACATTAGATAAACACCCGACTCATAGTTTGATTTAAAAAAAAAGTGTTTAATGCTGTGTAGTGTTTTGAAAGGTACGTTTAATAAAAACTAAACTTTTTTTAATTTATGTAGAAGAAAAAAAGATTTAGGCCTTGACGGCGTACTTGCGAAGAGGGAAATGGGCCAACTTCTTTTGTTCACGGACAGTCTTCTTGGACTTCTCGAAAGGAGTCAAAGCTCTGCGCATGGCACGGGTCTTCTTGACACGGAGATCCAAAGGAGTGAAAGCCTTCTTTTGGTAGAAAAGACGGAGTTGTTCACGTTGGGTTTGGTTGATGACAGTCAAGACACGGGCAACGTTCTTACGAGCCTCACCACTATAACGACATGACAGATTAATAACCATGTCCCAGTATTTAATTATAGATTTGTACTTACACTTCTTGGGACTTACCACCAGCGACCTTTTGGACACGGATGTTGGCAAGTTGTTGCTTTTGTTCGTCAAGGATCTTGACGAGCTCGGCCTTGTTCTTGTTACGGAGTTCGTGAGCTTTGACGGCAACCTATGATTAATGTCAGTCTGGTTACAAAATAAATAATAAACATGAATGAATGAGATTGACAAGTTGCTGGATAATGAGCTGATTTGACAATGGTCTATCCCCAATTCTACTCTAATCGAAATAAATCTCCCAATGAACAGACAAAAAAAAAAGTATATAAATATATATTTTTCCTGGCCTAGTTGTATCTCTATCTCCATTATCCAATTTTCCATCCATTGTCAATCTGATTCAATTCATGGTATATGATGTGATTTCGGATGCTTTTCAACTAACCATTTGAATTTATGGACGATTATTAAGAGGGGGATCTTTTGATATGGCCCTCCTACAATTCTATAGTCATTCACTTTTTTTTTGGACCCACAAAAAAAAAAAAAAAAAAAAGAATGGTCCGGACATTTTCAAGAGTCCGGTCCCATAGCTTTTACTTTTTATTTCATTACTTTTTATTTTTCGTTATGCTTCCATATCTTCATCTTCTTCCTCCTCCTCGTCTTCGTTTTCTATATCTGATGTGTCGTTCTGTTGTATTTGATCTTTTTGAGGGCCCACAATTGCTGCGTTACTTGGCATATCATCCCATATTTGAAACAGTATATGTCTAGGTAGCTGTCGGAATCCCACAGTATGGGAAATAGCTCCAAAGTGTTGAAAGATATATTGTAACGAGGCCTGTTGAAGCCCCCTTTGCTCCGATAAACTAGCACTGTGGTATATTTTACTCACAGTTTCTGTTGTCATCGCATTGAATAATCTCCGTACACATAGTGCTAACAACCGTGGTAATAAATAGATATGTGCCATCACCATCAAATCCGCAATTAAATCCGTAGTAAAACTAGCATCGTCCAAAGTATCTGTGTACAGGTACCGGATGAAACTTTTTAATGTAGAGATAGGTTCTCCCATAGTAATGGTGTTTGATATGGATTCAGACATACCAGACTCCACTAGGTGAACGAAATGAGGCCAACGAGCTAATAACACAAGTCGGTGTACATAGATGGGTGGGGCTTCAGGTTCAATGGATGATTTTATAGCAAAGTCTGTTCCTTGTTGCTGCTTTAATAATAAGGCGATTAAGTCTGTACCCAGTTGAGGTGGAGGTATAGCAACGATGCCTAATTCTTCCAGTTCAACACGTAGTACCATGGCGTAAAATTCATCCGGTTCATCATCATTTGTACCAAAGAGATAGAAGCTAGTATCGTTTTCTGTCATCGAAAAGGAGTGCCAACTACATGTTTCGTATCTAGTACCCATTTCTTTACACTGCCATTGCATAGAAGGTAAATCTAGGGACCAAAGACCAGTAAAAGGGGTTTCCATCATAGCTTCTCTGAAGGGTAATGTAACCAAGACGACTAATTGGTCGCCACAGATTTGGGCAAATCTTTGTCCAAAAAGAGAGGGGGCTGAAGGGGAAGAGATATCTAATTGGGTGATATCATCTGTTCTATTTAAATCAATAAACGCTAGATGATTTGATCGACTCATGTCTTCTCTGAGACCACCAAATATGTACAATCTTGAATTATAAATAAAACTAGTATGTTGAGCACGACTGATAAATGGTATAGGCTGCTCCCATTCCCAACTTATTAAATCCAATACCAAGATGGTATTTGCAAAGGATGCAGTGGGCGTCACATTCATACCACCCGCAATATATAGTTTGTTTTTGTGGATAGAAGCTGAATGTCGAATACGTCCTTCTGGTATAAATCCAGTTGGTTCTGGATGCCACCAAGTCATATTACTTAAATCTAACACGGCAACATCATTAAAATGTATGTCTTCTTCCGAGTTACCACCAAAAATAACGAGTTTATCGCTATTCCATAAAGTGGCCGAATGGTCATTACGTTTGGCGGGCGGTTCTCCTTTTGTATAGATCACCTGGGTCCACTTACACGCATCATTATAATCCAATTTATACAGCTTATTATATATTTCATCCGTGTACTGATCGAATCCGCCAAAGACGTACACTGTATCTTCAACTGTAGTCAAAGAAGCTCCCACAAGTGAAGCAAGGCTTTCTCCTGTCGTTCGAACTGCTTTGGAATACGGAAGCACAGGCGCTCCATTCGAAGATGGCGTTCTGTCTCTTGATGGAGTGTTCGCATTCGTACGTGGTGAATTAGGATTCGAATGATTATTATTATTCATTAAGTATTAAAGGCAAAAAAAAAGTCTATTGGGTTATGCATTACTCATAAAATGTTAGGTTAATAAAACTGGCTAAACACGTCACTTGAGCACACACACACAAAGAAAATAAGCATATAAAATTCCGGCCCGGACGTTACCGGAAAGTTAAATTATCAGATCCCCCATCCAAATTATGAGCCCCGGGGGGAAAGGGCAACCCAAAAGTAGAGTCCAAATGCCATAATCATATACTTCCTCCTCTTTGGTACTTAATCTAACATGGTAAAAATAAAGAAAACATAAGACATCCATCCATCCATTGTGTTAATCCCAATTGTGTTGTTAGGCCAAGCGCACTAAGAAGGTCGGAATCACCGGTAAATACGGTACCCGTTATGGTGCCTCTCTCAGAAAGACTGTCAAGAAGATGGAAATCACTCAACATAGTAAGTACACCTGTACTTTCTGTGGTAAGGATGCTGTTAAGCGTACTGCTGTCGGTATCTGGAAGTGTAAGGGTTGTAAGAAGACCATGGCCGGTGGTGCTTACACCGTCTCGTAAGTGTTTTGCTATTTTCATGGGCGTAGACTTTGAACTAATTTTTTTTCTCTTTAACTTAGCACTACTGCTGCTGCCACTGTCCGTTCCACCGTTCGTCGTCTCCGTGAGTTGGCTGAGATCTAAGGATTGGGATCGTTTATTTTCTTATTTCCAATAAAATAAATCTGTCTCCAAACTGGAGAAGTGGATAAAAATATACATACAAACATCAATTTTTTTTTCGTGTGTATTACATAAGGTTGCTATTGTTTTGTCTTAGACTGTAAATTTGACAGCTTTACTTCGGGATTTTGTTTTATTTTTTTACGCTAATTTTATGAAGTAACTTTATACAATGAAGTTTATATTTATTATTAAATGTGATTTTCTGTTTTACATATCATCCAATTGCTTGTTGATTTCCTCCAATTGTTCAGCCAATTCCTTGTTCTTGTGTTCAAGGGACTCGACCTTCTCTTCCTCTTCGGTGAGTTTAGTGGACAATTGACCCACCTGCTTCTCAAGCTGTTCAACCTTGACATCAGCGTCACGGAAGCTATTTTAAATAAAATTGTTAACCAAAGGGATAGGGGAGCTACTTAGCAATAAACTTACTTGGTGGTGGTTTCTTTAAGTGACTTGTCTGAATCCTCCAACTCGGTTTGAAGTAAAGAAATTCTACGAAGGGCGTCTTCTAAATCTCTCTTGTAGTCATTTCCTTCAGTTTCACTGTCTTTGTACTCTTTGATTTTCTCATGAGCAAACTCGAGCTCTTCTTCCAAGTGTTTGTTCTTGTTGGTTAAAGAAACAACCTCTCTCTCTTGTTGAGTTTGCTCTTGTTCCAACTCCTTTACTTTGGCTTCTAATTCCTCTACTTTGGCATTAGCAGCATCAGCTTCAGCGCGAATAGTATGAATTTTCTTTATTTAGGAGTCGATTTTTAAGGTTAATACGCCTGTGTTACATGTGTAACGTCGATCACAAAAAATAGTATACCTCACGAATCTTGTCCATATTGGTTCTTTTCTTTAAAAATGACAAAAAGTAGGGAAGGGAAAATATATAAATTTTGTTGGTGATAAAATGTGAGAATTATAAATAGAACTATTAAAGTGACGTGCAAATATCAACAAGGGGATCTTGTCTAAACTCCACACAAACAGGTCTAATGTAATCTATGAATCACCCTCCTTTCCAACATACATAGCAGCCTCTAGTCTTCAACTACACCTTTGCATCATGAACAGATTACAGTTTTGTTATAATTTAGTACAAAAGCATCGATATATGGGAATTTTCAGCAGTTTAAAAAGAGTATGTTTGCCCTGTTTCATATTAAATCAATTGCCCGATCACGAGGAATTAAAAAAACAAGGAAAGTTTAAGGCCAACTACAAACAATGGATTAAACAGAGTACTTTGCTATCACAGATTTAAAGGCTTTTCGGGCAACAATAAATATATATTCGTTAGTTATCACCAAATTATTTGTCTGGAAACGAATTCCATGGCCCATAAAATATTTATCTAAACTCAAATGCTAAAGAGATACCAGAGTTTTATAGATAGTAGAAATGACAATAAATTTATTATAAGAGTGGTGTAGTGGGGATCTGACTATTCGAATGGTTATTATTAGGCGATTGCACCTTATTGACATCGAATTCCGCATACAACTGAAGCAACAATTGCCATTCACCCGAGATTTTCGAAATCGCTTCTCGACTATGCCAAGGCTTCAATTGGTGACGAGATTTCGAGGCCATCCAAGGTAACGCAGGTTTAAATCCCATACAAAGCTGGACTTGCACGATCGAAGTAATTGATTCCGCATGCAGTACATGCAATACCGTCGATGATGCTTCTCGAATACCCGAGTTAAATAATCCTTGTGGTCCCACATAAATTGATGAGGAAGGGCGACTCAAATCTTTCTTTTGTTTAATCGATGAAGATAATTTTGGTGAATTTAAGCTGGGATTGTTAACTCCACTATCGGCATCGGATAATTCAGAAGCGAGGTTATATGATAACGAAGGTGAGCTAGGACTAGGTGGCACCCGGATTGATGTGCTGCTGTAATTAGAAGGTAATCTAGCGGATGGATTCGTACTATTGAAAATAGGTTGTCCCGGAATATGTAAACCTAACCCGTTTGGTGGCGATGAGCTAGTAGGTTTTGTAGATAGAGAATCAGTGTCTTGCACATTGACTTGAGGAATATTACTATGGTGGCTTGGGTGATGATGTAAAGTAGGTGGAGATCCGCCTCCCCAGCTCTTCCATCGCGTCGATCCAGTCTCCTTATAAGGCGAAGGTGGTCCTCCAAAATTCATACCGGGACCAGGACTTGCCAGAGGCGAATATAATGAAGAGCGGTTATGACCATGTGAACCTCCCATATCGATCAATTTTTCCTGAATAAAATCTTTTAAAAACAATAGTAACGGACTCTTGTAACAAGAAACAAATTCTAAAAATCGCCATGTTGTAAAGTCATAGATGGTGCCCGTACTGAGTGGTGCGCTAAACGAAAACCCGGTACGGCCTTCGTTGGAGTTGGTCCAAGCACCAATACCAGGTGAAAGTACTCCAGGCGATAATCCTCCTCCTCCTGACCCACTTCCCATAGCAGGAGACGTGACATTAATTGGCGTAGAGCGTCCCGACTTGGGTTTTAAGAACTTCAGGGTCTGTCCAAAAACAAGTGCTGTTTTGATAAAGTATGCAATTTGGACCCAAGAACCTCTGAGCTTGTGAAATGAAGTAGATCCTCTAACTAGAATGATCTTCATGGCAACAAAACTCAGGGAAAACAATAATGCCACTGATTGTGGTGTTTGCTTGCTATCCTTAATATCTGGGAATTCTGTCGCATCAATATCGTCCAAGGTCGACTGTCCCATACCAGCTGCTAGCTGCGCCAACGAAAAACCGGAAGATTTACTTTTGAGCAAAGAGGCTTGACTGCAAGCACGCGATATATAGTTCAATAAACGTGTCCAATTACTCGTCGGATCCGGCCTAAATTTACCAGACATGGGCATATTACTATAATCCCATTGTAAATTGTATTGGAAACAGATTGGTATAATGATGTTACCAATCAATCCAGAAGTAGGTGGCTGTTGTTCAATGTTTCCCAACACATCTTGTGTGGAGTTCTCCATAATTGCAATAATTAAACGAACTAATGCGGTACAAAACTTGGTATGACCTTTAGTATCCCCTTCCCAGTTATGTAATGTCGCGGTTGTCATTCCAAAAGAAACAAACTTCTCGTTCAGAACCCCAGAAATTTCATGCATAGTTACTGGATTACCTTGTCCCTGTTCCAAAACAATAGCTAAACCGTCGTACAAATCTGACGCATCCATCGTCTTCCACTGCACGCGATATTGCGTGAAAATCAGGTTGAGGATCTTTCTAAACGACTTTGAGGCATTTCTTGCTTCAGCCATGGAATGTAAACTATCAATAAGGTAATGCTTGATCCAATCGGTAGGACATACATATCCTTTAATCAAACTATAATTCTGCATCACAATCTTGATAATATGTGCCATCTTCTCATGAGCGAATTCAGACAATACACCCTCGTGCTTTAAATATTCATGGACCAATATCACAAACTCTTTCTTGACAGTCAATCGATCATTTTGTTGCCATTGCTTACCATATGCGTGTTGTGCAGATTCAGTACGTGCTCCACTACCCGCTCCACCGATACCAGACATTCTTATATCATCGACTGACACACCATGATAACCGTTGGCTGATGTATTAACGGAGGTCACCGTAGGCTTTGCATTTTTACTAAATTTCGCAAACACATCAACTAGAGCGGCCATGCCTTCATCAATTAAATCTTTCAACGCAGGTATTTCGTTAAATTTAGGAATCATGTGACGGAATATTTTTACAAATTGTTCGGCACGTAAAGATCCAGGATCGTAGGCAATAATGGTCAAAAATAACTTGATGAAGTTCGATAATTCAAACGATCTATTATTATAGTTATTGATTTCCAAGGGAGTGATAGGCGCTGTAACACTTCGAGAGAGAGGTTTCAGAATAGCTGTGGATAGTGGCATAGCCATAGGATTACTGGCTGCATCAATACGTTCTTGAATACTACGCTCATGATCATCTAATTCCACCTGCAATTGTAGACCAAGTACGTCGGAGGTAGCACCTAAATGGGGTGGATCGTTCATGGCTTGCATTAACGTAAAAAGGTTGTCAATCATCCACGAGCCAAGATCAAGGGACTTGGTATACGCTGTTAAAATTGAAGGAACCAATGTACCCAGCATTTGAAACACAAAAGATTCTTCATGCACTGCATAGAACCGACACCAAGCAAAGATAATAGCAGATCTTACTTCAGGAAAGCAATCTACTTCACAAAAGACCTTGAACAACGCAGGTAAGAATGTCGTATAGCCACGATTTGAGATGAATAAACGCTTGAATCGTGTCACTACACGCGTGTATAAAATCAAGGTTTGACCAATGATACCAAAATCACGATCGTGTTCCGTAATAATGGCATTAATACCTTGTAAAATACGTTCCAGTTCTTCTCGATCGTTGTAGTTTTTGTTGAGACCGTTTAGCAAGTTATCAATGAAACGAAGCCAGATACGCGCACGAAGAGCAGAAAGTATCTCTGTATCCTGTTGTTGCTGACTGGGTTGTCGAGATACCTCCTCAACAATATGCTCACTGTGACTATGGCTTTTAGTGTCAGAGTGTAACTTTCGACGGCTTACATCGGGAAAGTACGTATCTTCCATGGTCCATCTCGATTCAGATTTAGCACCCGGAATTGGCATTGGTTCGTAATCCTGCAAAGTCTTTTTCACAGCGTACACCTCCCGAGGATATCGCACCAAATAATTTGTCAGGAACTGAATATGACTAATACGAAGCATCGCAACTGAGAATATCTCCGGCGGAATGTCCAATATAGTAAAGGTAGTTTTATCATTGGAAAGATATCGAGGAAACATGTCGGCCGGTTGCTCATGTGTGAACCAAAATCGGCCTGTACTTACCAACAAGTGTTCAATCTTGTTTTTTCTCAAATCTCGAATGGTAAGGTCATTGGTAGATAGTGTTAGTTCTGCCAAGATGGGATGGATGATGGTCATCAAGACAAGGCCGTCCCTCTTATTTTCGCGCATCAACCATTTCAACATACCCGCTAAGTAATTAAACAAGATATGAGTAAAACCAGGTGGTAGCTTGTGCTGCATGCTAACCAAGTAACGCAACCGAGTCAGCATATCTTTATGACGGTCTAACTTGAATTTTCCCAGATCACTGATAAACGCACGCAAAAACAAGGATGGGTCATCTCGTAAAAAGTATTCTAACAGTTCTCGCAAAGCGTTGGAGGCGCCTCCATAATCATCATTTAGCAGATCCACCATACTTAGAAAAGCGATTGTCAGTGAATGAATCGTTGTAGCGCGTTTTCTCCTGATAATAATTTTACTGATACTGATTGCATTTGGACGTGGTGCACCTGCCGTTTCATCCTCGTTCATGCGCTCATCCTCTTCTTCCAAAAATAATGATGGGAGTAGGGCTAATGGAGTCAATACCTTCTTTAATGCCTCATGTTCATCACCATTATCTTCGTCGTCCCAACCAAGTTCTTGGATTTGACGTTTGAGTTCGATCGGGAAGTTACTGGCATTTTTAAGCTTAGACATCCATCGTGGCTCGTCCAGCGTGAATTGGTTACTACCAAGGTCTGTAGGAACAAAAGGCGTTGAAAAGGCACCACCGTCACCACGGAAAGGTCTTCGACGCGAGGAGATGGGGATATATTCTTGACCAAGCACGTTAAATCTAAAAGCACTGAGTGAAGAATGCTTTTGGATTACAGCCAAACGACGCAAAGGATCACCGCTATAAAAAAGAACCCGCTCAGTTTAGTTTTACTATCATTTTTTACAAAAAATAAAATAAAAGGGGGGGGGGGGATATTACCTGTAAAAATCATGGGTACACACTTCAATCATTACTTTAGGAATTTTTTCACCACATTCCATCAGTAAAAACACTGCGGGTATAAAAGACTGAGACTTTCGATCATCTACATGACGTTCCCAGAGAGGTCGAACCAGTTTACCAAACTCAAGCGACGACAAAGTTGTAAAGACTGCTGCCAGCAAAGAGAATACAGAACCAAATGGATCTTGATTAATCTTCTCCATATTTTCGAAACGATATTTTGCCAGTTTCGATGCAGGAGCATCCACAATACCAGACCCGTCATCTGTCGAAACAGGTGGATTTAAATCCAATGATAATGCGGCAGATCGGCTGATTGGATACATGCGATAAATAAGTTGTTGTCGTTTGTGACGAGGCACTTCAGAATAACGATCCTCAGTACCAGATTGTGCGGACTTTGGCATTAATCCCCCAAAACTATTTGAATCATTTGTTTCATATTGTAGGATATCAACTACATTTAAGTATACACCGTTAAGTCTCTCAAACATGATTGTAACCTCTTCAAGATGCCCCGTGTGCAAAACGGCCATTTTACTTTGACTAGGTGGATTATTCGGTGTTGGTGACTCGTCAGGGTTGATAATCGGCAGTACGTGGTGAAATACATGATCAGGCGTTGACACCACTGGCTGCGTAGCCCAATCAATCACACGTGTTAACCATCCGGGGCGATGTGTAGTATTACAAAAGAATCGCATATCCATAAAAATGTTGCACAAAATCACACGTAACGGCATGGGCACAAGCGCCATTTTCTCTTTTGCTGTTAAAAACACAGACAACCTTCGCTCTAAATCAATCAAGAACTTTTTGGCAATTTCATCTTCTTCCATGTTTCGATGTGGATCGCGTTGTTTTTCCCGCATCTCTTTGATGGCCCACATAAATTCGGTAGCAATAGCACATTGGCCAAGCGTGGTGCTTCCCCATTCGCTATCACCGACTTTAAGTTGAGGCTTGGACGAGGTATTGGATGATGTGCCCTCTTTGTTCTTTTTGGACTTACCAACATCGCTTAATAATAGGACATTGATCATCTCAGCATCCTGCATCCAAAACTGTACACCAGACATGTATCGACGCAAACACGTGATCAAGTTTAGAAGATTTGATACCTTGTCTTCGTCATCTGAGGCAACGCAGGATACAACGGGCTTAAAAAAAGATGAGCGATACCGCTTGGAAATCTCGTGCAACATTTGACAGATGGAGGGAATGGCAGGTGGATACGTATCCATCAGTCGCTTGAATAAGCTTGGTAAAGTCTTCGTGACAATCTCTTCTCCCATAGTAGGATTTATGTGAAAAATAAGGTTTTGAAAACATCGTGCAGATCTTTCTCCCGAAGTATCTTGATGCATGGATTCGGTGCCTGCCAATATTAAATCTTTGTACCCCGAATTCCAAAATTCTTCAATATAACTCTTGAGAGTCAAGAGCAGTTTTCGCATAGCAGCATCGCTCGCGATATGTATATTAAAGCTGCTAATACTTTGGTAATCGTGAGATACATCAGTAGTAGAGATACTCGTGGCTATGCTTGCAAAATCAGGCATAGAAGGTTGCGGGCTGAGTTTGGGCGAAGAAAAAGTACTACCAGGTTGTTGAAGAGGTTGCTCTTGAAAGCTACATATTGACAACAAAGAAAGAAGCATTACAATCACATTAAAAGCTACCATCTTTTGTATTTCAACCGTATTTCTATCGGCCAAATAGTACTGGAGTTTGGCAGGTGAAAGTTTGTCAACTACCAACGGTATTAACAATGACGCAACGGATGTCTTGACTTTCAAATCTTCCACACTCGACATTAAAAAGGTTTCGCAGGCTAATTCGGTCAACAAAAATATGATTTTGAAATACGCAGGTCTCTCATCTACACCAGGTTCCTTCCAATATCGCGGCAAAAGCTCTTGCAGGATGATGAGGTCTCGAGCTCTTTCTGCCGGATTTGTCGTGGTTGCTACGCCATGATATGGATTTGTTTGGTTACAGTTGCCCATCATTAGAGATTTTAAAAGTGCTTCTACAACGCAAAATCGTGCGACGGCGTTAGGTATCGTGGTGGTTGATCGAGAATGATATGATTTCCACGTAGGTCCCATCACAGGAATCAATGATCCATTCGCCAAATCATCCAAAATAGTTAAAATACTAGAACGTACTTGTTCGTTCGTATCCAGGTCATGATGCCCATTTAATATTTCATCTTTATCATCTTTGTCATCGTTTTTCTGTACATTGAACTGCGCCAACGCATTAGTGAGGGTATAAACAAGCGAATGGTATGCTTCGGGTGTTTGAGGTACATAGCCCGTTGTTTTCGCACACGGTTGGAAAAGTGCATCTAATATGGTCAATGTGCGTTGCTAAGAAGAAAACATTTTCAATTTTTTTATTTTTTTATTTTTTTATCTGTGAAATTACCTTTGTTTTCAGACTGCCTGCACCTAGTAAACGACAGCAAAAAGAAATTTGTTCAAAATGTTCCTGTTAAATAAAAAAATAAAAAAATGAGAAACACATGACACTTCAAAGAGAAAAGCTTTGCTTTAATAACTTACCGATTTGCTCAAAGTTGTAAATCTATTTCTAATATAGTCAAATATGTCTAGAGCCTGCAAACAGTCAGATTCTAGCAAAGAGTAAAAACTATTAAACATCATTTACACGTTTATAGCAAACTAAAGTTTGGTACCTATAAACGGCAATTTATCAAAAGGTACAGCCAAAAGAGCCAAGATCTCAGCTGTCAAAGGTAATCTCGTAGCCGATTTGTGCTTCACAATCAACTCCATAATTGAAGACATGATGGAAGATATTCTTGAAGCGTCATCACGCACAAGTTCATTAATTTCAACGTTGGATGATGTGTTAGTGCTATGAAACATTTCAGCCACAGGTTGCTTATGAAATACTGATCGTTTCCCAACTGAGGAGTTGAAAGTGTTATTAGTATATCTATCAAGCGCTGGTGGCGGTGGTGGCGGCGGCATAATCATATTCTCTGTCAAAGAAGGGTGGGGATCAGAAAAACTAGCATTGGGTGGCAGAGGATTCAGTTGTACCAAAAGTTTATCTAAATCACGCTCAAGCCGAAAAATATCTTGCTGGACCGCTGTTGAGGTGGCATAAATAACGCCGTTCTTTTGTCCTGGTGTACGAAAGTTTTTTGAAAAGTTGCTGAGTCCTGCAGCTTTTGCTGCCACAAGCGTTGTATCTGAAAGGGTTGGTCTACCGTCACCATTAGGTATATCCAAAGTCGACATTGGCTGGTTACGCATAAACGGGTTTAAAGTCTGCTTTTTTACTGGAGCAGTTAATCCGGGCTTCGGCGTAGAAGTGGAACGTGTGGACGACGGCGATGAAGAGGTTGGTGATTCACATAATGCACCATCAATAATATTATCACTGACAGTTTCTCGTATTCTGTCCCAGCCAAGAGTCCTTTTCTTTTTCTCGTTATTGTTCTTGTCCGGTGTTTCATTGGATTGTGGTTTATCATTAGGTGGTGGCTGATCTTGGTTTGACATTGTTATCTTAAAACAAGGATATATATATATGAAATAATAAAAAGCCAGAAAAAACGCCTTTGTTTACGTCAGACTCTTGAAAGAACTCGAGTTTGTTTTGCACCAAAAAGAGAAAATGAACGAATATCTAGAAAGAAACAAAAAGCGGGAAACGAAAGAATCCAAATGAGGCTTACAGTACCTCCGAAAGCCAATTCGTGGCTTTAAAATTGGATCAGTCTGAATTCGTAGTTCGAACTCACTGTATCGATCCTGAGTAGAGATTATGCTTTCAAGTTACGATAACCATATTGTACATGTACGTACGTTTATCAAGATTTGAAAGAAAAAGTAATCAGAATACCCCCCAAAACTTAGGGTTTTCCACAGCCAGCTACACAAGCTAATTTGAAAAATAAAATAAAAGACGAAACGTCCTTAAAAAGTATATGTATAATGATCATAGTGAGCATATGTACGAAGGTCACCTATGTACGTCAATCGAAATATCACCCGTATATCTACACAAATAATGGCTAGCGAGTTCAATAGAATTTCCTTGTCAAAATCGTTTTTTTATTAATTTGGAAGCCTTTACATCGTTCGTTTCCGTTGTCTTAGCATTAGGTATTCAAAGTGATACAAAAATCAAATTCGAGCGATGCCATTTACAAAGGGTCACCAAAAATGAGAATGGTTAAAGTGGCGTTTAGTTATGAGTCAATGTATCTTACCTTATCTGGACTATGCAGTAAATTGATGTACCTGGAATGTATTAAATATACTGTGAACAAGTGAGCTTCCTGATGTTCAAATCAATACACCATGCTGGGGAAAACACACGATACACACAAAGTCTAAATTATTCAACACAATAGCTCCCGGTGAACCTGGCCTCCAACCTTTTATTTTTTATTTTCGACATGTTACACTGGTTAAGGCTGTTGTCTTACGAACAAAGAATGAAACGAAAAATAAAGTTTCTATTGATTTCCAGGAATATCCTGAGCCCGTATAATTTATTATCAATTCATATAAATTTAGCATTTAGACTCCACCTCTCTTTGTACTAAAGAAGCTCTTGATGACAAAAACTTGCAAGCAGGCCATGGAGATAATGGCCAAACTTTCCAAAGAAGCAAACCAAAAGATTCGAGTATATGTTGAATGGACAGTAGCAAAATTACGGTTTTCTCTGGTACGGAAATACTTTTGGGTTCGAGCGATATTTGTAATAGATCCAGAAATTCTCAAAAGGGATTCTTCCATTTCAGTCAGCGTCTCAGGCTGGTCCTTACCATTAGCGTCCTTTGTGAACTGAGGACGAGGATCGTTTTCAATAGAGATCTCAAAATCAACCAACTTATCGGCAAAAGTCGAAATATCGTTAGAGAAACAGAATGAGTACTCTCCAAAATGATTGGCAGTGAATACATAATCGCCTTGTTTTTCTTGCTGGCCACTCAAAATGGACTCGCCGTTAGGTCCAACAACATCAAAATCGATATCGAATGAACCACCTTGTTGAACCTACAAATTAAAATTAGATGCTATCCATAAACGGCCAGATAAATATCAGCAGTACGTACTGCATAGTAAAATCCAACTTTGCTACCGGGTTTGTTATTCATGATGTAAAAACAGGCCTTTTCGTTTGCTGCAATGTTGTAGGTCAAGGCAGTTGCATCGACTACGGATGGAAACATGAAATATGCAAGGAATAAACCCAACACAATAGACAAGAGAGATGTACGATGAGCCATCTTAAATCTATAGATTATGACGCGACAATAATGAAATGAAGAAGAGCCTCCTTTTTTGTGTTTAACACAAAATCTTTAAATTAATTTTTATCGGGCTTCCAATGCAAGCTCATTCAACCTGTTTTCGGTATTGATGTAGAAAAGAAAAGGATCCGCTTAAAAATGTATGATTGAATGCATAGCTTTTTTAATATATATAACAATAGTAGTACAGAGGTAATATTATATATCATGTGCGGGTGTTTAGATTCTCATATGGAATAGGAACCCAGCTTTGGGTGATAGGAGACAAAATGCTGTCTGCAAAAATAATATGCTGCTCCTTCATTATCTTTTCTTTTTTGCTTTTACGCTGACGATAGTACTTAATACCAGCAATAGTACCTGCAGCATAAACACTGATTCCTATGCCAACACAAATTCCAATGATACTATTTCTTGGTAGTCCTCCACTTTCCGTTTTACTGTTCGAGGGAGGCTCCTTACTTATCAGTTGGTTAAAATCTTCTACATCAATCAAAAATAATGGCGCATTAATAGCTATAATAAGGGTTCAAGCAGGTACGTGTTAACTTACTTAGTTCTTTTGCAACGGGATACGTTCGATCAATCATTGTAGGTAGCTGGCCTAGGCCCATAGTATACAATTTACTATTGGGCGTACTTATTAACGTCTGAAGTGGCTCTACAACTTCAGGCGGGACTGCCATTGTAACTATAACCGCCGGATCGTCGGATCGTTTTCGGGCCTGATTATCGTTGATGCTGGAGTTACTTTTACCGATTGAAATAACAATGAAATTGTTTGCACTCATAGCAAGGGCATGGCTAAACACTATTGGTATATCCTGAGCCAGTGCTGTAGACATAATAGAGTTGTCCAGCAAAACATCATAAGGCAGATGAAGGATTCTGAGATACGTAAATCGACTAGAATCTATTTTTTTGAATTAATAAACCCTGCGACTCCGTTTGTCTTTAGATTTAAAAGCATACCTGGAATAATAACGTCATCGTTAGGTGTGATAAATTGTGGACATTCAAAAATGTTCTGAACTTCTTCGGTGGAGGATCTACCTGAAGAAGTATCAGAAGAAGAGCTATCATTTTCCGAGGAATTACTGATTGTTGAAGAATCTGATTCATTTTCTGATTCCAAGTCTTGACTCCAAGATTCTTCTGATGTCATAGATGGCTGGGTACTACCACGCGTTTTTGTATGCGCTAAAAACGTTGTGGTACCTTTTGTATTATAGTAGAACGATTGCGATAACCATGAAAGGGTTTCGTATTTATATGTATATATTGTATTATCCTGCGTAGCTGTTGTCATCTGTGTTTCTGTTGTAGATTTTGTATCTGTAATGGTCGCTGTATCAATAGTAGCTGCTATATCAAAAGTAGTTGCTGTATCAACAGTAGTTACTGTATCGGTTGTAGTAGTTGTATCAATAGTAGTTACTGTATCAGTAGTAGTTGTTGTAGCAGTAGTAGCTAGTGTATCAGTAGTAGTTAATGTACCAATAACATTAGTTGTGGGGTTACTAATCGTTGTATCCGATAATATAGGTCTGTGCGCTAAGGTCGGAAGATGCATATACGCCGTTGAACTATTTTCGGAGTACATTACAGTGCTTGAAGTAGCAGCACGACTGGTATAACTGTGAGAAATAGTGTCATTCGCTGTAGCAGAAGTGACCATTGATACAGCTGGGTAAATATTTGTAAATGAGCGGTTTGTAGTGTACATACCTTCAATTTTAATGATTGATGGGATTGTAACTTTTTCATTGTCTGAGGTATAGTCTTCTTTAGAAGAGACACCAGTGGGAGAAGCAAGCACAACCATAGAGCTGTTTGTCGTAGTAGTGGAGTGAGGCCCATTTCCAGCAGACAAGCTATAGGATAAAACAGTAGGATAAGTTCTGGTTGTTTCATATGGCTCTTTCATACTGTCAGGTTGCATCGTATGTGTAGCGGTGACTGAGAAATCTTTAAAAGTTACGGTATAAAAAGTTGTTTTAGCTGTTATAAAACTGTTTGATGTAGTTGATGGTGATGTAAGAAAATAGTTGTTAATACTAGATGGTATATTTTTAGTAGTAGTTGTTGGAGCAATACCCAAAGAACCAGTTGAAGCAGTGTACAAAGCATCTGATATAGTAGTAAACGAGCAATCGGTTGCATTCATAGAAGGTGCATTTATGATAGAGGCATATGAAATGTCTGACGTAGTTACAATAGGACGGCCAACATGACCTTTACAAAAAGTGCTGCTAGGGGAAGCAGTGTATTTTCTCCTAAAAGTATACGTACTGGAATCACTGATTGTGACAGCAGAGAAATCAGGTACTTTTATAATTTGAGAGGAGCTGTTTGTTATAGCAGACAACAGAATGCTAGTAGGAGAAGGGTAGGTGTCAAATACAACCGTAGAAGAGCCAGGTGTTATAGTCGAAGAATAAATTGGTTTCGTACTAGTATCAGATCCAACGGTTTTTGTGGTCTTAATTATAGAATGTGAAGATACCGGGGTTGCAGAAAAAAAGCCATTTGCAGCAGCAAAAGAAAAACTCGTAGTTTTTGTCGAAAAATAGTTACTTTTTGAAAAAGTGGTTTTTGTTGGAGAGGTCAGACCTGTTGCGATGAACGGGGGAATACTACTTGTTAAAGTATTTGATATACTATTATTTACTGTAGTGAATGCTAAAATGCTAGCCGCGGTTAAATTAGAGTTTTTGGTCAGGGTAGCGTCAGAAGTTTTTATCGCAACAGGTGTTATTTTAAATGACTTCGAGTAAATGTCCTTCGCAGTTAAATGATTTGTAATTGTTGCAATTGGACGATAGACGTGAATTGTAGCTGGGAAATTTCTAGTGTTTTTGGCTGAGGATATTCTAGTACCTGAGTTAGAGGATCTTTTTAAAGTGATTACCGGGAAACTTGTGGGTGTAGCTTTAGTGGTGGTAGCCTCAGAGTTAGTACACAGAGATCTCAATGCGGTAGATATGTTTAACAAACTATGGGTTGCTTCCAAAATTCTGGTATGTTCACAATTATTTGAGCTGGTTACTGTGGGACTTCCAGTTCTTGTGGATTTGGTGACACTGTAAATTATATCTCTCGAAGTAGACGCATTTAAAGAAATAGTGTATACTGGATCAGACGTAACAACGGGCTCATGAATAATGGTAATTGTAGCAATGGCTTTACTATCTTTTGATGATTTAGAAACAGCCAGACTTGTAATTGGTTTTGATCCAGTTCTAGTTGTAGTGGTAAAAGTATCGCCGTTTTTAGTATAGTGCAATGAACCACTTCTCGATAGAGCTGTTAATGTTTTGGAATCGTTAATTGATATGTCTACATTGCTCAAAGCTGTAGATGCGGATGTATTTTTACTTGTTAAAAATTTACCATATTTATGAAATACAGTGGCAAGTTTAGTCGAATTATAAAGCGACGTTGATTTGTATGGCATATGTTTTAAAGACTTGGTTGTAGCGCGTACAGTAGTAACTTTAGGTGGAGTCATAGTGTTGATAGTTTTTGAAACTTGATCATTGTATCTCTCATTGCTTTTGATTCTATTAAACGAAAAAGGTGTCAAATTACTGAGTTTAGATGCAATAGTTGTTGTATAAAAAGCCGAAGGCCTTATAGTGATTGTTTTGCTGATGATTTCGGGCCATGTAAAACTTTTAAAGGAGGTCGAATATGTAGTTTTGGTGGCGGAATTACTCCTGCTTTTTATTGTAGAGCCACTGTGTTTATCTACCCAAAGAATTAAAAACCACATTACTAACTATTATATTTTTGAATAAGAAAAATTTACCTAAGATACTTTTAGTATCTTTTATTAAAGACTTAGTCTTCATCGATTCCGTTGGTGTTATGTGTGTCAAAGTGGCTGTAGGTCTCTCTTGAAGGGCATGTTTTGGTGAAACGCGTGGTATAATATTTTCAGTTCTGGGCACGGTTGTTGAAGTTTTTGTAGTTTTTTCTACACTGGTCACACCTTTAGACATTTTTTCTGTGGTTGTATCTATTACACGGCCATTAGACTTGTTTGTGCCAGCTGTCACTCTCTCCATATAGTCGACTTTCGTAGCAGAAGCATTTTTTACAGTGGTAGTAGTCTGTTTATTTCCCCCTTTCTCCATGTTTATCTTTAGATTGGAAGTGTAATGTTGATGTATATGTTCATTTGGCACAGCATCTAGAGTTTCGGTAGAAATATCGATGCGAGCTCTTTTTCTATAATTTATAGATTGTGTTATGAGTGGAGCTTCAAAAGACGTTATATTCATTGTTGATTCCTTCTGCTTTTGGAAATAAGATTTAATTAAAGAAGGCCCATAATTTATGGAAACAATCTACTTACAGTCAAGATTACGGCCATATTTATTGAAAAGAGCTTTACTGAATTCAGTAAACTGACAAAAATAATAACAATAAAAAATGCTGTTTGTATAATTTTCGACATGTATTGGACATTACTGTTCGTCATTTACTTTGCCCGAAATCTTAAGAGTACGTATTTTTTAAGGAGAAAAAAAGAGGTAAAGAAAGAAAAAGAATACGCTTTTAAGATAAGTAGAGTTGTTAATTATAATGAAATACAATATTGACAGGCAAATGTAACTGCATGATGTTTCACCAAGATAACGTTAAACGAGTTTTTTTTTTTTTTTTTTTTTTTTTTTTTTTTTTTTTTTTTTTTTTGTTGTCAGTCGATGTTAACTCTTCTTATTTGTATTCCGTTGATTCCCTCACTAATCAGGCTGTACGGCGGTTTGATAAAAATTGGTTCATGAAAGAGCTCGTTTTAACTCAGTGCATCATTTTGTTTTTCATCCGGGAGACCGCCTTTAATGTTTTTTATGGCGTAAAATACTTTTTATGTGTAAAATGCGGTTTTGAATAGTATGTATATGTTACTTGAGGCAAATGTTGTTAGTATAAAAAACCCCATTCAATGAAAGTAATATAATACGCTTGAATGATCACATTTGACGTATATAGATTAAATTCAGCTTGCTCTAAACAATTTTTTTGGTTGATTATTTGGGAGGCGGGAATGGCAGTAACTTGAAATTTAGCGTATTCATGCATGTGACGTTCTCACTTTTTTTTTTTTTATCAATTCTTTTTTGGGCCGATTTCCTTTCTCCCACTTTTTTCCCCATATAAGTTTTCACCAAATGGCTACTGTGGAAGATGAAAGCTCTTACGATTACGTTTTTAAGCTTGTTGTAGTTGGTGATTCAGGTGTAGGAAAGACCAATTTGTTAGGCCGCTTTGTTCACGACACATTTGATTTTGCCTCGAAAAGTACGATTGGTTTGGACCTGACAATTAAGAACATGGTTGTTAAAGGTAAACGGGTTCGAGCACAAATATGGGATACAGCTGGACAAGAGCGTTACCGCTCCATTACAAAAAGGTACTGATTTTGTGTTCATGCAGACACTTATAGAAGATTAACATCTAATTAGATATTATCGTGGTTCTGTTGGAGCACTGCTTGTATATGATATAACAAAGCGTGATTCTTTCTCGGGAATATCCCGGTGGTTAAACGAACTGAGAATTAATGAGGCTCATCCAGATAGTATTATCATGTTGATTGGAAATAAGTCTGATTTGGAAAAGGATCGAGCGGTGACTCAAGAGGAAGCAATGGATTATGCAAAAAAGAATGGATTGATGTTTATGGAAACAAGTGCACTGGATAATGTCAACGTTGAAACAGCCTTTGAGACTTTAATTTACAACATTTTTGATAAACTGTCTGGAAAATTAACAACGATGGATGATAAAAGGGCAGAAATTATGCGTGGACAAGCCATCCAATTGAGTACACCTGCTGACAACAATGGAGGCAACAAGTCCAGTAGTTGTGCTTGCTAAAAAAAATGACTCCAACAATAATACCCTTTTCTCGAAATATTCCCACTAATAAACAATCTTTTGTCATGAGCATTTCCCATTTACAAATATTTTTCTTGTGGCCACATTGACATGGCTTTGTGTGACTTATTAAAAAGCGTTTAAGGATGATGGGATTCTGGAGAAACAAGGATATTTCGTGTGCGCAAGACTTAGTTCGGTGACGACGCTTCTTACATCTACTTAGCAAATGAAATAACCAAGTATCTGTTACAAAATTCAACATCAAGGACTACGCTGGATTTTAAAAAGCGTTTATTGTTTTAAATGTCAAAAAGAAAAAGGAGTCGACCATTTTATTTTAAATATCTTTGCTCTTCTGTGTTTGCTTACTGACAGCAACTCCAAATCGTTGGATCTCACCCAATAGATGATCTGTTTCTTCAAGAGCAGGGAAGTGTCCTCCCTGAAAAAACAATAATGAGTTTAACATCAGGGTCAACATATTGTTGTACTTACTGTAGAGAACGTTTTAAACTGTATCAATTTTGTAGCACTGGCTTCGATCCAATCGCGAGGAAACTATTGCTTGTTAATTTTCCATCTTCAGGATGTATTTGTATATAATACCTTAAATGCTTCATTCTTGAAATAACAAACACCAAGCGGAACTCTTATATCCATTTTAGGGGCCTTTCCCATCTCTCTCATTGCCTCGTAATAAATTCGAATGGAAGAAGACATAGAATTGGTCAACCAATAGAGCGTAACTTGGGTCAAAAATTCATCCCGCGTAATGGTATCTGGGATATTTTGCGTTTCTTCTTCAGCTGTATGAAACGTCCATACATGATAAGGTTCCAACATCCAACCAAGCAGTCCCACAGGGCTATCAGTTAGACCATAGGCTAATGTATAAGGTCTCATACCTTGGATTGCACGATACGCAGCGCCTTCATATTTTTCAACATTAGCAAACGAGAAGTTTGCCAAAGGAGCAAAGTCAGCACCGTAAATGTAACCAAATCCAAGCACTATAGATAGCATAAATTTCAGGACCTTAAGTGGGTGCTTGAAAATGTTTTGAAGGGTGGGTAAAGGAGGACCTGCAATCATCATATTGGTAAAATATCCAAGAACATGATCGGGATGGTCTTGCGCCAGTCTAGATCCAATGGCAGATCCCCAATCAGTACCATAAATCACTAAATATATCTGTTTTTAAGTAATAGTTTTTATGATTCAATAGTTTATATAGCCTACTGTATTTGTGGTAACCTAGTTTCTGCATAAGTTGATGAGTAACATCAGCAAACGCAGCTACTCCGCCAGTTCCATATTTTTTCGGGGCCTCAGAAAACCCGTAACCAGGTAAACTTGGTACGACTACGTGAAACGCCTAAATTTCATTTTAGTTATTTTTTTTTGTCTTTTGCATGTTATTTATGTTTACCTGAGTTGGATGATCGCGTAAAGGCTCGATAATTTTATGAAATTCATAAAACGTTGATGGCCAACCGTGTAGCAAGACGAGAGGGATTGATGAGGGCCGAGAAGAAGGTTCATGAATAAAATGAATATTTAAATCATTTATAGGCGTTTGATAGTGATGCCAACGATTAATCTCATCTCTGGATTTCTCCCAACTGAAACCCGACTTCCAATAATCCACCATGTCTTTCACAGCCCACGTAGGCGATCCGAACTTCCAACCCGTGTAATCGTCTTGCAACTCGTTGGGATATCGGGCGTTAGAAAGCCTCTCTTGAAGCTCATTTTGGTCAAGTTCCGGGATAGTAAATTTGGTGATCATGTTCCAAAATTTGAAGAAGAGAAGAGAGATACATAGTTATTTATGCGTTATTTATAGTTTTTTATAAATAAATTTAAATGTCAGTCATGAGTAGTTGTATTTTTGCTGCGCAAACGTAATCTTCCCACAAATCTTAAACCTTGCTACATTACCCTATAGGTATCGATATAAACAACTATAAATACATTCTATACGAGCAGTGTTGAGTACTAAATTTGTGGAATCAGGTCACTCTCTTGATGAAATTAAATCATACGGGTTGGAACTTTTTCAAAGAAACATCACCGCAAACCTTCCTCGCAATCATCCTCTAGTACTACCGTTGATAATCCTATATTGTCAAGTCATGACAAGCATGCCACGTTGGAGCCAACTAGGAACCCATGTTGAAGAAGCGAAGACTGAAAATGTGATACGTATCCGATACTGCTATCGCTCCTTTAGGTAACCGATTCTTTTTTGGGTAGTTTAGCTTGGCTTTAAAGATATGGGGAACCAAGACGAAAACAAGCTTCATAGATATTCTGCATCCGGTTGTTACCGCTTATTTCTGTAAAGTTTTATTTCTAAATAATGAAGCATCTCGTATTAACAAAACTGAATTTGGGTATATTTATATACACATTCTAATAGTATTGTTTTCAATCATGCGTTTGAGTTCATTGTTTTTAATGATGGTTTTGCAAGGATATTCTCGCTAAAATGAATATAGATTTGACGGGAGTGGTATTTTGTCACACCAAGATAATTATGCGGAACATAATCGCAACGTAAGTCAAGATATCTTGGCCGACCATTTAATGAAGATCATTTTAACTAACCGCATAACTATGAATTAGACCTGACACAAGTTCTAAATGTTATCGATCTACAATGGAACCTCATATCCAGCATGCGCAAAAGTAACAATGACTGTCGTAAAGTCCGGCATGTAATTAGTAAGCTTAAACTTGCATCGTTTTCTATAGAACAAGAAAGGACACTGGGGTTTTTGAACCAACTGTACATGGCAGGAAAAAAGAAAAATCGTCGAAGAGATGAATGAGTGCATTATAGCAGTTACAGGAACAAAGTGATCAAAGACAGCATGCGATCATACAGACATGTCTTTGAAGACTCTATCTAAAAACATTAAAAGAATTTAAGGTATACACGGTGCATCTATTTATAATGAGCAACTTTCGGGCGTAATTGCTTGAAAAAACTCGAAGTCTTACTGCAAGGCGAATATACTAGAAGTCTAACATTAATCGATTCAATCTATCATTTGAAATAAGATACTCTTTTAGAATATTCGATAGCAATAAGATCATGATATACAAGTGGCAGTGTATTTCAAAAGGTAAATTCCATATTTAAATTACTGCATTCATTAAAAAGAAATAAGAGGATAATCATTCAATTCTGACAGCATCAACGTAAATAACGTATGTACACTATATAATTACGACCTCGTCTCCTCAGCATGTGTACTATATGACAATACATTATAACTAATACATGCGATGTTTGTTCATATTTAGTTCAGAAGGATATAAGTATCTAAAAGTATAATCTACAAAAGCATCAAATCTTGCTAGGTTAGTGCAAAATAACTACAATGTAGTATTTGTATTTTTTTCTTTTTTTATTAATAATGCTCTCTGGATATGCAATGTATGTATAAAGTTTAGGCGATATAACATTGAGCGAGGAACTAAAGAAATATGTTACGTGCATGCACATACTCTTTTAACAAAGAAACAGCTATCATCAAACTCAGTAAATTTCGTGACAAAGGAAATTGCCATTTTTCCCCAGGAAAAAAACAAGTCTTTCTTATTGGTACTTATTGTTGAAGCGAAAAGTTTACCGCCGTTTCCAACCCAGGTGATACCATACAACAGTTTATCCGAGAAATGACAACCCCCCGCATTTTTTTTAGGTTGATTTTATCATTTCCTTCTCTTTTCTCTCATGTTGCGTTCTCGTTTGTTGAAACTTTCCTCCATTGCAGGTAAAATACACAAGACTCATAGGAGAGGTTTACAGTAATAACGCTTATTTCAGTCGCTCAAAGAGCTGTACTTCAAAGCACTCGTTCCATTCCTGCTCGTTCTGCCAGTTACCGTTGCTTTGCTTCTCAGCATGTACCAGCAACACATAAGCGTTCGTTTGGACAACCTACATCATTCACCCATCCCAACATTATGAAGAAAGGGGAAGGTAAATAATTTTTATGTTATTGTTTGACTGTGCTCCTTTAACACTCCCCTTCTCCACCTTTAGTGACACCTGGAATCGCCTTTGAAGAGTTTGAGACTCGACGACGCAACCTGATGAAATCAATGCCTGCCAATAGTGTAGTAGTCAGTTTGGGATATGGCACCCGATATATGACCAACAATATCTTTTATCCATTTCATCAAAATACGGATTTCTGGTACCTTTGTGGCTTTAATGAGCCCAATGCTGCCATGATTTTAGGTAATGGAAGACAATTGGGAGTGAAGACAGGGAACTGATATATGATAAAAATAGAAAAGGACGATTCTGAGCGTGGTTACAAACAGACTATGTTCGTCGCACCAAAGAGTCCTAGTGCGGAGTTATGGGATGGTCCACGATCTGGCATTGAAGGAGCTAAGGAAATATTTGGAGCGGATCAAGCTTTTGAAAATACGGGCTTTACTCGTTATTTACAAAAGGTGCTTAGTTCAGCAAAAAATATCTTTATGGATAGTCCGGGAGAACAACCTACTCTTTTGAACGAGGCTGGCAAGAAGTTGATTGAAACGGGTACGTTGAATTCTTTTTTTTTTCCTGCTTCGTGGAAGAAAAAACGATTGGCGCTTTCAAATCAGGGTGTGTGTGTGTGTGTGTGTGTGTGTTAGAGAAAAAGAGAGAGAGAGAGAAATACGCTTTTGTATAATTATCGATTATTGAATAATTAGACTAATTTTTGATATTCATATTTTCAATAGGCCTAAAGGTTCAAACTGTGTTACCTCTTAGTAAGCTGGTTCAGGAATTGAGAATGGTCAAGAGTACTACGGAAATTGAAATTATGAAAAAGTCAGGTTTGATCAGCTCTAAAGCATTTGTCGAGGCTATGAAATGGACTGAGCCAGGCACCACAGAAGGTCAACTTTGGGCAAAATTTGATTTCGAGAACAGAGTACGAGGATCCACTATTTTAGCCTATGTACCTGTCATTGCAGGTGGTCCCAATGCCTTGTCAATGCATTACGTACGCAACGATATGGAATTAAAGTAAGTGAACTCACCAATTTATTTTGGAGCGTAAAGCTAAAATAGGATATATAGGGATGGTGACTTAGTGTTGGTGGACTGTGGTGGAGAATACAATGGCTATGCCAGTGATATAACCCGAACCTGGCCTGTCAATGGTAAATTTACCGAAGCCCAAAGAGAACTTTATCAGGTTGTTTTAAATGTCAACAAATCTTGCATTAAACTCTGTACTGAGGCAAACACCATCTCATTACATGGTATCCATAATCATTCTGTCAAGATCATGAAGAAGGAACTTGAAAATATTGGCTTCAATGTGAACAGTTGGGTAAGATTCTTTAATCCAGCGTTAACGAGGGAGAGAAAGACATTAATTGCTTAAAATAGGACCTTGAACGTATCCTCTACCCTCATCACGTTGGGCATTATTTGGGATTGGATGTACACGATTTACATGATTTAGATAGATCTCGTAAATTGAAAAAGAACATGGTTATTACGATTGAACCCGGAATTTACATCCCCTTTGATGATAAGTTCCCTGCCAAATATCAAGGAATTGGAATTCGTATTGAGGACAATGTCGTGATTGGAAAGGACGAACCTTTTGTGTTGACAGCCAATTCACCTAAAGAAGTGGTTGATATTGAATATTGTTGCGAAAATAAGTAGATACTTTTTTTTTTAATTTGTATGATACACTTTTTTTATTTATTTTTTATTTTCAAAATCATATCCCCCTATACTGTATAATAATCCCACTTTATTTTACCCCTATAAAAAATAGATTAGTATCCCTTTCCTTATTGTTTATAATAAAATAATTATATGTTTTACCTCAATCTTGTCAAAAGAATTAGCCTTATGCTTGGGTACGAAAACGAAATCATCAGGAACAGGACCAAGTAAGAGCTCAGAGATCTTGACCCAGTCAGAAGCAAGAGGACTTGCCATCAATGTTTCCAAATCGTTACGACCTTGATAAGGTGGAGGTCTTTCATTCATATGTTGAGGAGGATGTTCCAACACACCAACGGGAATATAGCGATACAAGAATGATTGCCACTCACAAAGGAAACGTCTTGTTGTGTTTAATCCTTGACTATCTGTACCCCAATGCTCTAAACCATAATTACAGAATCGTTTCATCATATCAAGACGTTCATTAGCAGAAATATCCCAATGACGTTGGTTTTCGATCTCGTCGAAAATCCAAGGTTTAATCAAAGCACCGCGACCAATCATAACACCATCTACACCACTGATCTCTTTATCGTGGTTATAATCCTCGAAACTCATAATATCACCGTTACCATAGAGAGGCATGGTATGAGTTAAATGCTTCATCTTACCAACGTATTCCCAATCGGCCTTCTTTGTATATCTTTGTGTACGCGAACGGCCATGAATAGTACTTAAGGCAATACCCATTTCTTCAAGACGAGGCACAATACGATCCGCAAGAGGTTGATTATCCTTGATACCTGTTCTGAATTTGGCGGTGATGGGAATATCTGTGACACTTTGCATACCCTTCAAAATCTTGAACATACGACCTCTTGCATCCAATAAAGCAGAACCAGCACCTTGTTTGAACACAAGATCAATAGGACATCCCATATTTAAATCAATGAAATCAACATCGGCTTCCTGATTTAACACTTCACAAGCTTTCGTGACTTGTTCGACTTTAGAACCACAGATTTGGATACCAAAAATATCCTCTGATTTATGACGCTTGGTTAATGCCCACTCGGATTGTTGACCCTTTAATAAATTGGCAGCTAAAGCCATTTCACCACAAGTAATATCCACACCATATTCCTTACAAATTCTACGGAAAGGTAAATTACCTACAGTTGTAAGAGGAGCAAGGTATGTCTTGTTTCTAAAATCGATGATCTAATCACGAAAACAAATTAATCAGTCATTCTCAATGCCTTTTGTTGTAACATATCTTACCTTTTTATAACCTGTATCAATAGGACCGATAGGCTTTTCGGTTTTAATAGCAGTAGTAGTGGCGGGAGCAGCTGATTCTGTGCTAACATGAGTGAACTCACTAGCAGCATCGAAAAATTCCTCGTTTTCACTATCACTTTCAACTTCGGGTTTTACTTTTTTGGCTGAAGGTTCGGCAGTGGGTGCTGGGGCAGCTTGTAAAGCGGGATCCTCTAAAGCCTTTCTCTTGATAGCATTGTTCTTCATGAATGTTTGCTCGTCAGCAATTTCCTTTTCAACTACTTTCATGTATTCTTGGGTTCTAGGGAAATCGTACTATGAAGGTTATTAATATCGTGTGTGAGAGCGAATGTTGAGTGTATATGTCGAAATGTGTGCGAGGGCGAGCGTGTATGTGAATGTGAATGTGTGTACCTTTTGACGTAAAAGTCTAGTTTGGGTGCCAGTTGAAATACCATTAACGGTATATACAGGGTTTTTAGAAGCTAATTCTTCATTTACGACAAGTTTGTTGTTCTTGTCAAGATGTGCACCGAGGTAACGACACTTGTAACCAAAAGGACACCTAAACCGGCACTAAAATGTCAATACCCACACAAAGCTAAAGAAATACTGCCAAAAAAAAAAAAATCCATACTTTCCAAAGAGGTTGAATTGAATACAACTGTCACCAAGATCTGCGGGCTTAATTTTCAAATAGGCTTCTAAATCATGAGAGAAACGACAACTATTGTATTCCTTTTTTCTTTAATAACCATGCGTGTTTTCTTCCCAGTTCTACTAAAACCCTTACTCTGTACCGAATTCACATTCCTCACCACGAGAAGTTGCTTTACAAAGCTAAAATCGTATAAATATCAATATCAGCTCATATGTTTGTAAAAGGAAGAGGGTCCTCATTACCTTGATGGAATCTTCGATTCTTTTCTTTCCTCTTTGACCCTTATTAGCACCACGTACATTCTACATGTAACATGGTCAGTTACGAATATATAAAAGATAAAACCGCTGTGGTTTACCTTTTGCTTCTTGCCACTGTTTCTTTCTTTGGGCTCGCCCTCAGCAGCATCGTCGTTGGGTGGAAGTTCAGCAACTTGTTCAGCCCTCTCGTCGTCAAACCAACGTTCCTTTCTAAACCTATTTTGAAGGGTCAACATGGGTGCTTGTGAGTGACATTGAACATGGTGGTCTTACTCAGGTTTGATGTGTGCTTCACCAGCTCTATGATCGAATTGTACCATGTTTGTATAAAAAAACAGAGAAGGGTGAAAAGTTAAAACTAAAAAAAAAAAGAAAAAAAAAGGTTTGCGTGACGGCCAAATGTGACGTTTTTAATCCTGTTCCTGACTCTTCACTTGACATGGTTTGACAGACGTTTTCCGTCCAGTGATATTGAAGCATAGCTAACCAAGGCAAAGTTTAACAATTAATGCAATGATAAAGAACATGACTTGATATCAACAAAAAATATGTTACGCGTGACCATAACGCATACTTCAAGATATGCATTCATGGACCTTAGCATGTAGCCAGTATAGGTTTTCGATATAAAACATGATTTATTCGTGATTGAGTATGTAATTCAAATTCATGTCCTCCCATACAGACAGAATCAATAGCATATCTTGCTGCATATTTTAGTTGACAAATCTGGAGCATTTTCTCCTTAACCTAGTTCATAAATGGCCTCATGCTTATGATTGGTTATCTCATCATTTTAACACATCGATTATGTGAATTTAGGTTTAACCATTGAATAAATTGCATAGCCTGAAATATATCGTGATATATTGAGAATTGTAGTGATTGTAGCTGGAACAAAGAAGAGATTCTAGAATCCACCTCCAATTAACAGAATAAACTTCCCCACAAATAAGCAGGTTACATAATAATCTTAAAATTCGCAAACAAATAATAACATAAGTGCTCGCAACAGATCTTAGTTTTGGCTCGCTGTTTTATTTTTAATGTTTTATTCCATTTTCTTAAACCTATTTACAATAGGGATGATCAAAAAGAAATGAAAGTCCACATCGCCCGAACGATATGCTTGTCACCTGCCAATGAGTCTGGTAGATTTGAAAAAAGTCTTCTACTTACCTGCACCTAAACATACCAATCGTAATTATCTTTTGCATTTTCACCATTAGATCAGACGTCAGAAAACCCACAATACAAGCGCCACCTTTCCTTAGTTATTTAATAGACACAACATTATTTGAAAAAAAAACACCATTGGATCTGCTTGAGATAGACCTGTTTTTTACCCAACAAAATCAACCACTTTCCGACATTTTCTACACTTGTAAAGTCACATATGGGGGGTTTTTTTTTCCTAGTATTGACACATGTTACCACTGAGAACAAAGTTCGGGATTATCTGTTCATAAGCCTGGGGTTATTAGCAAATGCTTCTATTTTAGGCAAAGGTTCATTGAACAACCTATTCAATTTGTAATTTCAGCACTACCCCAAATTGAAAGACAGTTATTGTTATGACTGTATCCAAGCAGAATCGAATGAAGGATTCCGTTTTTTTTTTTTTTTTTTTTTTTTTTTTTTTTTTTTTTTTGTAATTGGACAAAATTGACTGCTGTTTCCCATTTAAAATATTGAATCGAGCGTAAATGCTAATCAGAAGTCTTGCAAACTATCATATTATTTCCATCAAAAACCTTTTTTGCCTGCCTTAATTCCAAAATGTCAAACTAATAAAATAGCGGCTTTACAATAGGTGTAGAGATCATAAAAACGAAATCCCAACGGGCGTGCGTTAACGGCTTTACACAATTATTTTATATCTTTTCTTAGCACATCACCGTCGCGCTATGTTTGATTACAATCTCATTTTCATATATGCGTTGTAAATAGATATGAGACCTAAAGTTTAAGTGCCAAAAAGCTATCTATCGTGAATTTGCCGACTGATGTCGCAAACATTGAGACATACATACATCTTGGAATATCGATATTTATCGGTAAATTGTGGCGCTGTTATTTAGGAGGCGTATATAGTAGAATAAGAGAGAGAGAGAGAGAGAAGACTCTAGAGATTTTTGTTTTTAAGTATTCTCGTCTAATTATAGGGTTAGACTCCTATAAGATAAAAATAGAGAGAAAATAAAATAATATACATTCAAGCTACATAATTTTGGGGACCAATCAGGGCTGGGCAATTTAAGAAGTTGAATGTGTGGCTAAAGTAGTAACAAGTAATTTGATTAAAAGGAGGAGTTGAAAGGGATGAATAAGAGCCACTTGGGAATATTAAAACTATGTACGTCATTAAAATAATAGGTTTTTGTTCCAATGACGATAATGTACATATACAGGGTTTGGTTTTCGTTTTTGGTCAAGGCGTTTAATCATTCCTATGTTGACCATGAACTACGTAAAAGACAAGAAACCCTTTTCATTTAATTCGGGATATGAAATAATCCATAATAAAACAATGCATCAATGTTTTCTGATCGTCTTACTTTTTGCCCGCCCTCCTCATTTTTGACAACTATGAAATTTCGGCCGACCGATTACAAGAGTGAGTAAACTTTAGTGATATCATTATAGCAACGCTTTCTTTGTGAGTCTCCCTGTATTTTTTTTTTTTTTTTTTTTTTTTTTTTGCTGCAGTCCATCTTTGCATTGAGTCTTTGACCAATAGATCACCGTACTACATACTTTAAAGACATTTCCAGATGCGGCATTGAGAAATTCCAAGTTTTTCAGAAAAAATAAACAATAAACTTTCTTGAAACGTGTAACTTTTTTGCATCTTAAGGAGGCTTCTTTTTGCTGCATACGGAATGCTTTTTCCTGCTGATAAACACAGTATACGTATAACAGGATAAATTCTTTACGGATCTTGATATTTCCCGATACATGAAAAAAAAAAAAAGTATCCGCGTTATAAAAAAGCACTTTACCTTCTGAGAACAGTCTCTGAGAGAGGGAGGGGGTTCAATGCTTTTTACGTCAATAGATGTAACCGGGTATTTTTACTTAATAAAGCAAAACAATGTGGGTTGGGTTTCACAAAAGATGGCACTTTTTTTATATGTGAGTCACTTTTTTAATTATTAATTTTAGCCTCATGAGCTTTACCGTTACGTTAGTTCGCCATGGGAATACAGATGCCAACAATGAACGTTGGTTACAAGGCCAAATTGGTATGAAGGATTTAATAGTAAAAAAAAAAAAGGAGTTGATGCTTACAACTACTCTGACTTTTATGTAGACACGGACCTGAATAAAAACGGGAGAGAACAAGCAAAACGTTGTGGCAAAAGGTTAAAAGACGACCCTTTTAGTAAAGTATATTGCAGTGACTTGAACCGTTGCAAACAAGTAAGTGAACTACTCTCTACTTTGCCACAATATGTCTTTTCTAAATAATATATAAACAGACAGCTGCAGCCATCATGGCACACCATCCAGGATTAAGCATTGCATACGATGAGCAATTGCGGGAACGAGATTTCGGGAAACTTTCAGGGAAGCCACTCAAATACCTGACGTCTGAGTCAACAAGACAACATTTAAGCGTGGATGAATTTATTACGCAAGAGGGAGGAGAGAGTGTGGAAGTATTTCGGCGACGAATTATTACAGCGTACGAAAAGTTGATTGCAGAAGCACAAGAACAGCAACTATCGTCTATTCTGGTAGTGACGCACGGAGGCCCACTGAAATATTTAACGAGTTATTGGATAGAGAATGAATATAAATTAGACCCATTGATTGTTAAACCTATGGCTCATGGAAACACAGCTATCACCAAGATTCACAATCAAATGATTATCCAATTTAACTCTACTGACCATTTGCTTAATCAAAATCAACCTCCTCCTCCAGCTGTCTAAAAAATACTTACTAATTCGCGCTTTACTACTACTAGTTTATCCACGAGTATAGAATAAAATTCACCTCCCTTTTCCTCACTTCAACCCCTCCTTTTTTTTTTATATAATTATTATTGCTATTATTTGATGGGCAAATGATCACATTAGAAAGCATGAAATAAGCCCTCATGAGTCCAGAGAGATAAATATGGGGCTGGTTGTTGACAGGTATGTGCCTTCATTTGGCATGTTGTTGTTGTTGTCTGTGACTAAGCCATCTGATTGGGCAGAAATCGAAAATCAAATTAAGCGTTTGATCACGAGTATTTTCTAATTAAAGAAAAAAAAGCCAAACCATGATTTTTAAGCTCTTTTTTATATATGTAAAAGGAGGGCAAAAGGGGAGTTTTTAGTCATAAAGAATCTTTTTTCGTAATAAAAAAAAAAGGTGAACCTTTCACCTATAAAGAATCACAAAAAAGAAATGCAAGGGGGCTCGAAAACATACTAAAAGAAGGAACTTGTCGTGCCCCGCTTTTTTTTATTATTGGCCCTATAAATAGTCAAATCAAATTTAAATTTTCCTTGTTTCTCTTTTTTTTTTTCTTCTCTCTCTCTCTCTTTTTTTTTTATTTGCTCTTATAAAAATGACAAGCTTAAATACAGAATATCCACAGCCAACATTCACAAAAGAAAACATTATTCGTTCTACAGCAATTACTTTTTCAGACGACGATAGTGCCTGTTCGTTCGATTCTGAAGAAGAAGAAAAGTTACTGACGCCACCTATTCAATCATCTTCGCCCTCTTTAGATCAAGAGGAGGAAGAACCAGTAATCAACACAATTGCAGAAGAGGAAGAAGAAACTGACATTGATTGGGGTAATAAAAGAAAAGAAAAAAAAAACTCGCTTGCTCTGGATAGATTTATTAAATGTTACATTAGAATTCTGGTCCAAAGTGATTTCAGACTTCAATAATTTCAACCAATCAGAGATAAAGCTACTCTCATTTCAAGTGCAGCGTGGTATTCCCTCTGCACTGAGAGGCACTATCTGGCCATTGCTTGCCAAAAAAGTAGAGAGTGGCTTACAAGACGATTATATTCACTTATTAAAACAAGAGTCTGTCTACGAAAAGGCAATTACGCGTGATTTGCATCGTACATTTCCTCACCACCCTTATTTTCAAAGTGCGATTGGTCAAGAATCGTTATTTAATGTCGTCAAAGCTTATTCCTTGTATGATCCTGAAGTAGGTTATTGTCAGGGCTTATCTTTTGTCGCTGGTCCTTTGCTTTTAAACGTAACGTACACCTTTTTTTTAATATACAAACAAAAATATATTAATTTTTTTTTTTTAATTTTTAATAGATGCCTGAAGAGGAAGCGTTTTGTATCCTAGTGCAATTAATGCAAAACTATAAATTAAGAGGCCATTTTACACCTCAGCTCGATCTTTTACGACAACGTTTATTTCAATTCGATGGATTATTACAAGATTATTTACCTCATGTACATCGTCATTTCTTGGAACAAGGCGTTCGATCTAATATGTATGCCTCTCAATGGTTCTTGACCATGTTTGCTTACAAGTTCCCGCTCAAGGTTGTTTATCGTATCTACGATACCTTGTTCACAGAAGGTGTAGACTGTCTTTTTAGAATTGGTTTGGCCTTACTGTCCAAGAACCAGTCAACCATCTTGTCGCTTGACTTTGAGTCTTTAGTGACGTACCTTAAAGATGGTATGCTTACTATTTACAATGTAAGTACTTACATATATAACATACCACCATAAGAAAAAAACGATCAATAATTGACACATTTATTTAAAGGACAATATCACGGATCTGCTAAGTGAATCCTTTGACATAAAGATTTCTACGAGACGGTTAGAAAAGCTTGCTAAAGACTACCAGATCGAGACAATCAAGGCAGACACTGAAGCGAGTCTGATTGAATCATTGCGAAAGAAGAACCGATTGTTAAGCGAGCAATACCAAAGCCTTGAGACGGAGAACAAGATATGTCAAAAGGAGCATGCGCTGGTCGCAGAAGAACTGATTGAAAAGAAGCTAGAGTTAGCACGCGTGCATGATGAGAATGATGCACTTGTTCAACAGGCAAGTGAATTAAGACGAGTTTTACAAGTGATACCAGGGCAGATCGAGAGCCAGGTGCAGTCTGATATGACAATCCTGTGTGTCAAGAATCAAGATTTGACCCAAAAGAATGCGCAATTACAAGATCAATTAGCTGATATGGAAACATTAGTGATTGAAATGAAGCTCAAGTACGCACAAAGTGAAAGTGATCGATATAGTCTAAATCAGAAATTATTGGACTTGAAGAAATGGATGAAAAATGTTTAAAAAAAAAATAAGACCTCTCTTCCACCGAGTCAACTTTTTTTGTCGTTTTTGAAAAAAAAAAATAGATGTTTATAAATATACCCTGCCCTTACTTTTTTTTCTTTTTGTTTTTCTCTCTCTCTTTTTTCTCATCTCTTAAAGAAAAAAAATAAAAAAAATATGCTCATTACCAACATTACTCGTTCATCTTTGGCCACTTTTCGTCCCCTGACAAAGCGTTCTTATGCCGCCGCTGCCACTACAGCTGAGGTAAGTCTAAAAAAAGCCTGGGAAAAATAAAAAAATAAAAACCAGCCGGGTCTCATAATTTTCAATCTATCAAATTTTTAGCCAATCAAAAAGACAGCTTTATATGATTTCCACGTTAAGCATGGTGGCAAGATGGTCCCTTTTGCTGGTTATGCTATGCCCGTCCAATACTCCAATATGGGTATGTTGGCCTCTCATCATCACACACGTCAAAAGGCTTCTATCTTTGATGTTTCTCACATGCTCCAATCTCGGTAACTTACTCTTTTATTTTTATAAACAAACAAATATTGACCTCCCCCCCCCTTCCTTTAACAAAAATAATAGTCTTACAGGAAAGGACCGTAAAAAGTTCCTGGAAAAATTGATCGTAGCTGACTTGGAAAACTTGCCTATCGGTCAAGGTACTTTGTCTGTCTTTACCAACGAACAAGGTGGTATCATTGACGATACTATTGTGATGCAACACGAAAAGAGCTTGTACGTGGTCTCCAACGCTGGTTGTGCTGATAAGGATTTGGCTCATATTCGTAAACACTTGGCTGACTTTCAAAACAAGGGTGGCGATGTTGACTTTAATGTCATTACCGATCATTCCTTGATCGCCCTCCAAGGTCCCAAAGCTGCTGCTGCACTTGAAGGCTTAGTCGGTAAGAGCTTGCAAGATTTCAGCTTCATGCATGGCAAGTACTTGGATGTGGCTGGTGTTCCCTGTCACGTCGCTCGTTCAGGTTATACTGGTGAAGATGGTTTTGAGGTAAGTGATTTTGTGTATGTGTGTGCAATGGATTTTCCTTTTTGCTAATTGGGTTATCAGCTTTCTGTACCTACCGAGGAGATCTTAAACATCACGGAAAAGTTGTTGGCTCACCCCGATGTCGAGATGGCTGGTTTGGGTGCTCGTGACTCACTTCGTCTTGAAGCTGGTCTTTGTCTCTATGGTAACGATTTGGATGATACTACCACACCCGTTGAAGCTGGCTTAACATGGACCATTCGTAAGTTGTTGATCACTTTCTTTTTTTATGGGATGAAATAGTAAATTAATTTAAATCTATAGCTAAATCTCGTCGTGAGACTGGTGGTTTCTTGGGTGCCGAACACATTTTACCTCAAATCAAGGGCGGTCTTACTCGTCGTCGTGTTGGTCTTTTGGTGGAAGGAGCTCCTGCACGTCATGGTGCTGAGATTTTGAACAAGGAAGGTGAAGTGATTGGTACTGTCACCTCTGGATGTCCCTCCCCCGTTTTGAAGAAGAACATTGCCATGGGTTATGTCAAGAATGGTCAACATAAGCGTGGTACTGAGTTGGATGTCAAGGTCAGAAATAAGATTCAAAAGGCTGTCATCACCAAAATGCCTTTTGTCGAGGCCCAATATCATAAATAGATCATTCTCTTATCCCATTTTCATTTCTTCTTGTTTCTTTGTAATTTTATTTCACATTAAAAAAAAAGTCTTTCTTAAATATCGTTACATGTCCGCACCCCCCCCCCCTGGTATAACTTGTTTTAAGAGTCATTGGAGCCATACATGCGCGCGCAAAACTTTAATCCTTGGTTTTTTTTTTTTTACGGGGTCGGCTAGATACTACAAAAAGAATAAACATAAAAAATATGGACACTGATAATAACGAAGGGGGAGGGGCTATGCAATTATACAATCAAACTATAGCTAAAGGCCTTCCTCACCTTCTGATAAAGAAAGGCGACTGTAAATATCTGATATGACTTATTGAGAGAAACTTTGACAAAATTATTTATAGAGTTGAAATGATCAACCTCAAATTATAAATTAGAGTTGACGATTAGAGTTAGATTATGCTTTGGGTGGTGCATGTATAAAAGGAGAAAATTTACGAACTTTGATTTTTTTTACGATTTTCACCACTGACTTTGTATATCAGTGCCAGGATTTATGAATAAACCATCTAAGCCAGACAGACCTGCCGTTTTCAGTAATATTAAATTATTGTCATTACACATTATGATTTTCACATCTAGACTCGAAAGCTTAGACTGAAAAGATTTGCATTTAAGTATTTTACAGTGAGTTTTTTTTTCCCACGACATCGCAGCTATTTGATGTACCTATTGCAAGAATAAAAATCAATACAAGCTTAAATTTTATATACATGAATGAATAATAAATGAATGCATAATGATGAACTAAAACTCGCTTACATTTTACAAGCGATTATTTAAGCACGCCATGACATAATGTGATTTAATCGTGCATTTAAGTCCTCCCTGTAAAATAGAATACTTGACACTAGTCTTCAAAAATATTAGTTTCGAACCAGGTCTTACAAATGATATTTATTGAAACTTTTATGGGCATATCGAAGTATTAATAAAAGTAGGAATGAAACGAGAGAGTTTCGTAAAAAAGGCATGGAAATTAATATCGAAATGAATGTACGCGAGATTTATATATAATTCTTAATTTCTATTACCTATAGAATACAGGAAATATCAGCAATTCATCCATGATAGCATAGTGTTCATAGGCTCAAGATATACACACACTATATATTTAGTTTATGTTCTACTTGATATATGATAGCAATCTAGCACCGAAATATAGACCATTTACTGATCGATATATTAATGTCTACTTCTAATCCACGCTCCCATCTGATCTTCCAGGATAGCAATCTATTTCAACCCTTTCTTATAAAAAGGACCCCCTTTTCCAATTAGTAAAAATATATCTAGCTCTAGTCTCAAATAATTTTACTAACCGTTTATTTCTTGGAATATTTCAATCCACTTACTTTTTTATGTATTTTGCAGACCGGTTGCCAAAAGTAGAACTGTTTTTATAATCAAGCAGATTTCTCTTTCTTCCTTCAGCGAGACATGTCAACCAATCCATTTTTGTCAAGCCTTTCTCCATTATTGCTTGTTTAAATTGTTCAACAAATTTCATACCCTTTTCGTAAGATAAGGAAGAAGTGGATTGTATTTGTTGTGATGATGTGGCTGTGGCTATGGTTGCTGCTGTTGCTGTTGTTTATTCTGATTCTAATTCTGAACTATCATGATTGTCCTCAACTTCGACGTATTTTCTTTTAAGCTCTCTGTTTCTTGCTTGAGCGTTCTTGATATTTTCAGTCAAAACAGAAGCTGATGTATTGTTATTAATTAATTCAATAAACTTATCCAATTCACAGTTACGATAATCGAACATCTGGCCCATGATGTCAACAAAGTACTCTTGTTTACCAGTGCACTTAGTGCTTACCGGCCAACTCATACAGCATTTTAATGGTATAATCATTGTTGCAAAGAGCACTTATAATTGAGCGGGTTTGATGCGTCATAAATAACCCAAATGCAATAAATGGGTCCAGAGGTATGTCAGAATTACACTTGCTCAGACTTTCTTGAAACACGACTAAGCACTCTGACGACCAACCAATAGATGGTCACCTTACGCAACCCGTCAGACAACGTATCCACACAAACAATCATACGACTTACAGAAATACTGGCCAAGACCAGCAAGCCAGTATGATCACGCCCATTTATAATGTAATCGCAGTCATTTACAGTCTGTCCATCCACTGAGTGTCTGAAAACCAAGGAGCTAACCTAAGAGGTCACCATCCTACCGCAAAGACTAGTCGTAGCCGTAATATTGCAAGAATGGTAAAGTAACTTTTTTAAAAAAAAGAACTAATAATGTAGTGTTTCTTGAAATACTGACCTTTTAACTTTCATCTAAAAAAAAATAGAGAGAAGTATGTTAAAGTAAAAGAAATAAGTATGTGAACGAGTCTTATAAGATTATTTGATCAAAAAAGTGCGTGAACGTGATTTATTTGTTTACTGATAAAGCATCTGCAAAGATTCTCAAGCCAATGCCGTTAAAATTACGAATTGATAAATTTTCTGTGGATTTTTACTTTTGATAAAATTAAAGCTATGAAAAAACCAGTTCCTAAATCGATTTCGCCTACGTTCTCCTTTCCAAATAGTGACTTTAAAAAATGTAAAATTCAATAAATGATAATTATACTTAGATTATCGGTAAAAGCTTTGTTTATAGGCCTTTCTTATTGGCACTTACATATAGAGAATAGTTATTACAAATACTATGTTAATATGAATATAGAAACATATACAAGCACTTTTCTATGACATATTTATACGTTATGATGTTTCCTTTTTAGAGTTTAGCTTTCAGAGTGTAACGGCGAGAAAAATATTCATTATGTACATATCAACCCCTTTCATAACACAAATACTTCATATAAAAAGATGTCGATACTTTAAATAAAAATATATATATAGAGAGAGAGAGAGAGAAAGGGAGAAATATAAGTGCAGGATATATATGCCAATATCAGTTTGCTAGTTTCGACAATTGTTTTTAACCAAAACGTCAAAACCAATTTAAACTCAAGGCGTTTCTCTTATTTTCTGTCATTGATTTTAGGCTTGACTGTAATAGAAAGGTGTATCAAATTAATTATATAAGTTGATAGTCTATTACTGCATAGGCAACATAAGGGCACATGTTGGAGCGATATATTTAAGCAGTGTGACTTGCATATGATCCCCACTATGAATCAATGACAATCCTCATTATTTTTTTGTGGACTACTTTTTGCTTTTTTTTATCAAAACTACACAATGAATCAAGCTTCAAGAGGATCACGCGTTGTATTTGGTAAAAGCTAAAATCAATGCTTGCAGGATTTAACGTGGCTAACGTAATGTCTTAGTTGGAAACATTCCTTTTGAACTTTCAGAAGAACAATTAATCGAAGTGTTCAAGGAGGTTGGACCTGTTGCCTCATTCCGGTATGACACACCTTATAAAACGTTGCTCTTTCGATTCTGTTTCTAATTTCTTTTTTGAATAGTCTTTTGTTTGATCGTGATACAGGTAGACCTAAAGGTTATGGATTCTGCGAATTTCTTGGTAAAAATGACAATGTAAACATGTGCGATTCCAAAGCTAAGACGTTTTTTTTATATGTATATTTATATAGACGCTGAGACTGCCGCAAGTGCTGTTAGAAACTTGAACGATTATGAAATCGGTGGACGTCAGTTAAGAGTTGATTATGCTGCTATGGATGATAATCAAAGAGCGCCTAACCACCAAGGCGGTGGCGGTAATAACAACAACAACAACAATAATAATAATTTCAACAATAACAACAGACATGGAGGAGGAGGTGGAAATATGGGAGGAGGAGGACATCATCCTCCACCTCAAATGGTGCAGGTAAAAAAATGACTTAAGAGGGTTTTGAGAAAGAGATACTAAAGTTTTTGGTACAGCCTGTTCAACAGATTCCAATGCAGCAGCAACAAATACAACACCAACAAATACAACAACAGATTCCCGTCGGTAAACCACCTGTAACAAATATGTCTTCTGTCGATGAGATTTCCAAAGTACTTGCATCGATGAATTCTCAAGATTTATTTACATTGATGAGTCAAATGAAGGTAATCTCTAGTTATTATAGAGAAAAATTGTTTTACTAAAGCACACTTTAGCAAATGTCATTTGAAAGAGCCGATTTTACAAGAGACTTTTTGACTTCTAATCCTCAGGTAGCTTATGCTTTATTCCAAGCCATGGTTATGATGAATATTGTGGATCCCAACATTATTACCGTAAGCGATATTTTATACAATATTAGACATGTAATTAAAAGCCGGTTTCGATGTAGCGTATTATGAATACACAACCTGTAGCACCCATTGTTGCACCAGTGATTCCTGTTATGCAACCTATGCAACCTATGCAATCTATTCGTCAACCTATTCGTCAACCCATCATCAACAGCCCAGCTCCTATTCCCAATCCTGTTGAGGATGAAACAGAGCAACAAAAGGCATTATTAATGAAGGTGTTACAATTGACTGATGATCAAATCAATGCACTTCCACCTCAAACCAGAGATCAAATCAGACAATTGGTACGCTATTATAATCCGAAAGAACGAAAACGAAAGCTTACTTTTTTTATTATTAATTTTTTTGTAGAAAACTCAATTGACCATGCAACAATCATAAACTTTTTTTATCTTCCGTATTTAACTTGTCCCTTATTTGCTCTCTTTTCAAGCTTTGCTTGACGTTTTGATTGTCCTTCAACTTTATCTTCTTGAGCTCCTTCCTTGGCTTTACCAAAATAAGACATGGCCATTGGAACTAGTTTATATGCAGCATAAGCAGGAATCTAATAAAAAAATAAAATAAAAAGAATCAGATTTCGTTCACTTTTTAATTGGAGGGAGTCATATTCATGCATACTGAGAGATAAGCCAACCAGAATTTGTTTGAAATAAATGCGGTAGTAATGTGGACAAACCAAGTAACATAAATGATATCAAACATGTAACTATCATTTAGAATTAGTAACATCATTTGGGATAAGGATTTCATCAATGGATGCTTACGCTGTAAGTCCTTCAGAGTTGAGGTCTTCTCCACTGCTGATCAAACTACCATTGGCAGCAAAAGTAGGTGTGCCAGAAGATTTTAAGACTCTGTAAAATAAGGCGGTTAAACCACCTGTGGTGAGGTAAAGGAAAAATTGAGAGAAGGTGAATGAATCCCAATGATAGACAATACGCCATAAAAAGTAGATGGCCTAATACAAAACAGATGATCTAAATTAAAAGCAATAATCTTACACCTTTTTTTCTTGACATTACATTGACACCTATGAAACCCTTACGAAGGTTTATTAACGTTTGCTGATTAGCAGCAGAGATCTTTTTGGATGAAGCGTTGGCCTTTTTTTGTTTGTTAAAAAAAGGGTTAGAATAGTGTCGTTACAACTGTGTGTCGTTTTCGTACCATTGTTTTGAAAAGAGGTAAAAAAAAGTCCAAAACAAATCACCAGCCCGCGCCCAAATGACACACACGGAGTTACAAACAATATAAAACGTTCATGAAAAAAATAAACTTGCAAGTTTCCCCTTTATGTCGTTACTTGATAAAATTACGGGCCTTGCTATCAAGGCAAAGGACAATGTTGTGTCCAAAACATTTATTTCAAAAGATAGAAGACTGGAGCAGTCTCTTTCTGAAAGTATTAAAGTAAATGACATTTATTTTGAAAAGGTATGCCAGCTTTCAATCGTGAACATTTATTACTTGTCATTCTCATCAAAGTATAGATGTCAACTTATGGATTGCCTTCCGTCATTAACGTTGTTGCATTTGACTGTGTTGCTGGGTTATTGGCAGTTGGTAAAAAAATATATAGAAACTTTTCTTCATATAGTATAGTTAACACATCTATTTTCTATAAAAAGCGGGTGACTCGAATCATGGATATATAAAGGTTTTCGGCAAAGGAATTTCAACCACAATCAAGGTACCAAATCCTGTTGGCATCAAACACCTTCAGTTTAAGACGGGATTCCCGATTCTCGTAGTCATTGATAAAGCAAACAACATTATCACAATCGATCTTCGAACCAAATCAATCCGTCATGTATTGGCTGCACAAGAAATCATCACCAGTCAAGCCTATTGTACTGGAACAGATTGGTTATTTATAGGCTATGCAAATGGATTTATTGATGTATTTGATATCATGCAAGGTATAATTACACCATATCAGATACCTGATTTACTAGAGACCCAACAAGAGAAGTCAGAAGAGGCAAATAGTAGTCATATTGTGGTTGATCTTCAAATGCATCCAACTGAATTAAACACTCTTTTGATTGGTTATGAAACAACAGTTTTCATTTGGAACATTCGCGAAAACACCATCCGGAAATCATTTAGCTTGCATAATTTAGATAAATCAAGTCCTTACAGAAACGCCCGCCTGACTAGTTTAGCATGGAGCCCCAATGGATCAAGATTTATTGCTGGTTATGATGATGGCTGTACTCATTTATGGGAAATAAAAAATGAGCAAAAGCCCATTTCCTCACGTAAACTGTCTCAAAATTTCGTACCCGGTAACAAGGAAGAAAATGTAACTGAACCGATTTACCAGATCGCTTGGTATGCCAATGTTGCAACCCACCGTTCTTATGTCGTTGTCGCTGGAGGAACAAATCCAGCTGATATCAAGGGATTAAACATTTTAGAATACGATTTAGATAGTGATTCGAGAGAACCAAAGAAACAATCCATCATGCCTCTTCCTACCGACTTGTCTCATTTTGTCATTCTAAGTACAGATCCCTACTATTTGGGAATGCATAATCCTTTTGGTATTATGGTTGTTGACCAAAATCACTGTTTAAGAGCCTATAGCTTTGACCATGGATACCCTCCACTGAAACTTCCCCCTGCCCTTGAATTTCTTGGTCCAAATGTCTCGCACGCTTGTCATCTTTCTCAACTTCCTGCTACATCCTACAAGAAGCTGTCTAGTATTGTTTCCTTGGACAGAAAGACAAGATACTTTCCCATCACAGGCGGTGTTGCGGGTCCCAACCATATCTACCATGTCGAATCTAATGATATTTTAATAACTATCCATCAAGGTGAAATTGTCAAATTCTGGGATGCTTCATATACCGCTCTTCGCCCATTATCTCATTTAACCATCTATTGTCTGGACCATGTCGAAACCCCAGACGCCTTTTTATGCTGTCTGGATGTGAACAAGGAAAACGGCGCTTTTACAATTGGTTTCAGTGATGGAACAATCTTGATCTATGAATGTCATACCGAGGAGCCTGAAGAAGAACCTGTGATCGATGCCAGAGCGAAATCTAGACACGAAGAAATTATTACCAGTTGTGATGATACGCTGAAGGAGATCTCGGGTCTTTTGGAAGATATGGGTCCTGACTCCGATACAGAACACCACAATGATGATAACAATAACCCTTTTGTTGTTCCAGTGCCTACACTACAAGAACCTCCTACTGAAGTTCCCGAAACACCTTCACCCATGAAATCAAAAATCTTTAAAAGATTAGACAAATCGGGTGATAAACCTGGGTTCTATGCCTCTGTCAAGGTCGCTTTGAACTCTCCTGTTAAAAGTGTCGTCAGTATTGGTGAATCAATGTAAGTTTATACTTTTAACGAAAAAGGTGTTGTATCTAACTGCTCTATTAAAGTATTGCTGTTGCTACAGATAATGGAAAGATCACAGTGCTCGATATTCATAAACAAATGGTGTTATTTACTCATAACATTGCACGTAAGTCTTGTATACCTGCACATAAAAAAAAATGAGATACTCATATAAATATAATCTAGAATCTGATTACCACAACACCGTTGTTATACCTGCTGCCAATCTCAAATCCGAGATCGCTACCGAGTTACAAGAAGCAGACCCTGCTGCCGAAGAGCAAAAGAAGCCTGCTACAGTTACCACTCTCGGTTTTTTCAATACCTATTCACCTTCCAAAGGTAAACGAAAACAACGAGCATTATTTTACATTGATACTAATTGTTTGTATTTTTATTGTATTTTTTAAAAAAAAGTAATGACACCCACTACACAACTCTTTGTTGGGTTGAGTAACGGTCATGTATACCAATTTAACTTGGCCCTGTTAGTCGAGAGGGGACCTTCTATTGCTGCCACAGATTTAATGAACGATTATTTATTATTACGTGTGACTCCCGAGACCGATTTGTTGGAAATGCATGTCATTGATTTGAAAGGAAAGTCTCAATTGGCCATGTCCGAATTGGAGCTTGTGAAAGAAAACACGCAGCATTCCACGGAATCTCTAGCTGAAGATGAGGCCTCCCCTAAACCATCGAGTGTGGTGAGCTCAAATAGCAGTGTGGTGTCAGCAAACACGTCCAAGCGTATGGCTGCCATTGGCAAAGCAGAATATCGTCAGCAAGAGAATCCTCATTTCATCATTTGTGTCTCGTTAACAGGTATCAATGTTGTCTTATCCGGATTTAATGTGAAGCTGTTTTCAAAGGAGTGTAAGGATATCAAGGTCATTCGAAGCGAAATTATCCATTCTCACAGTAAGTAACTAAATGGAAAGAAACGGTGTAGTTTTTGATATGAAGTATTTTTCTTTTTATTTATAGATGGTGTTTGTCTTTGTTTGGTTTTGGATAATGGAAAGCTTGCTTTTTACTCACTTCCTACGCTTGGTTTGATGCTTGAAATGAACCTGCCCAAGAACTGCTTGTTGGAAAGATTGCATGAATGTTCTCTTAGTCAAGACGGCCGTATTCTCTTCTGGACTGGAAAATACGAAATGGAACAATTTTCATTTATCCCTAAGCCTGATTTGTAAGTAACAAGCGCATAAGAAGAAGAAAAATATTTTTATGTTTTATACTAAATACTTATATAGTCCTGCTGGAGACTCTGTCATTTTGTTTGACTCTCAAAAAGCCATTGCCAGTCATCCCTCCTTGATCAACCAACAGCAACGACCTAAGAAGAGCTGGCTGGATACTGTGGCAGGAGCTTTCACCAGAGAACCATTGACTTTACCTGAACTTGAATTATTAAGTAAGCAAAAAAATCCACATTTTGGGGAAGGCTAAACATTTAATATCTGACTTTTTATTGTAGTGGGTCGAACTCCAATGGAAGATCCTAAAGAAATCAGACAACAAAAGATCGAAGCATACAAGGCCAAACAATACGAGCCTAGTCCCAGTAAAGGCGTGTTTTCTCAGTTAGGGGACAAGATGAATGAACGTGGCGATAAAATCAATGAGTTAGATAAAAAGTTCGAAGATATGAATGCTGCTTCAGGAGATTTCTTAAAATCCGTCAGGGAATACAATGAGCGACAAGAACGTAAAAAGTGGTGGGAATTCTAAAAAAAAAACTGTATATTCATATAAAATATTTATTTTTTTACATCTTTGTATAATGACCAAAAATAAGGTCGTATCCTTCAAATTCGTGAAGAATTTTATCTTTGCGCTTGTAGCCTCCAAATTGATCGACAGAACGAACAAGTTTGTTAATGTTATCAGATTGTTGATCTTCATGAGCATGAGAAGCAAAATAAGTGACGGTGAAAGATCCTGGTTGAAATATGTCAATCACTTGACGGATCAATTTACGGATAGCCTCTTCACGTCCATGACCATTTTTACCAGGTGTCTCGACAGGTTGAGTAGGAATGGTAGTTTCAAAGGAAGCATAAGAGCAAGAGGGCTCGGGGGTGACATGGATTGTATAGTAACCATCATCCTGTAAGCCGTTACATGAATAACCACAAGGTTCAAACAAAAAGGAGTCGACATTGGCCTCGGGATAGAGCATATCAAGTCCAGTGTCCTTGTCGACGCGTTTACCGCCGATCAATCCAGAAGGCTCGTTGCCATCGTGATAAAAGGCGCGCATGGCATCGGGATTCAAACTTGTCATGAGAATTTCAATTGTTTCATCATGAGTACGATATCCCATAACAGAAGAAGCGCAAAAAGTTTCGTGAACAGGTGGCTTGGGAACAACCATCTTTGTGTCCATCTTACTCCAATTATATTTATCTTCATTTCCCATCCAAGACAATCCATCCGTCTCCTTCATCAATTGTTGCATGTTGGTAAGATTTTCGATGTGGTGATGCTGCGTCATATCAGGTGATGTCAAATAAAGGTACCATTCTTCTGCTCTTGTATTACCAATAACATAAGATGCGCCGTGTTCTATATATGTATAAAAAATAGATGAGATGAAATCCTACACAACACTCACACACACAAACACGTACCGAAATGATTATCTAAATAAGCGACCTCTTCTTCCCAACTTCTATGAGGACCTGGTTGTTTATCAGGGAACATGAAGGACTTTCTTGAATAAAATAATCGGTAGACACTTTCGAATCCACAACGCGTTCTTGCGAGTTCCAAAATATAAGGTACGGCCTTTAATAACGTGGTTGTACCGCAAGTCTTGAGAACAATCTTGTGGGGAAAGACAAACATGGAAGATTCACTATGAAAAGAAGGAGGGGACGTTAATTGCATGTAAAATTGGATTACAGCGGCATAATCAATCGATGATCTGACACTGTAATTTTTATGATCCCTACCTTAATAAATAAGCATCCAATTGAGCGTTACTAACAACGCTAAGAACTGTACACTTGACAGTAGCAAGCATGGAATCCCATAAGGCACGATCGACGGTACGAAGATTGTTTGAGTAGCCCAGAGACAAGTTGATTTGAGATTCATTGGGAGTAGCAGGAGTAGATTCGTCGGACATTTCAGAGTCAGAATGATCGTTGGAGCTATTGTTGCTGGCTGTCATGGCAGCGGCAAAGGGAGATGGAGAAAACCAGATTTCGAGGAGTTTTTCGGGGCCTTCAAAGCAGCCGAATTCAGCAGAGTAGTTTGTACCTGAGGGGGGCGGAGCCGAAGGTTGAGGAAGTGGATCGTGGATCATTGTATATAAAAAAGGTTTGCGCTATAAATAAAAAGGCGGGGTAATAAAAATAGAATAAATAAAAATAGAGTAAGGTATGTAGAAGGTGGAGTTTTTTTTTTAAAAGGTGTTTTTTGGGTGTGTAAAAGGAAATATAAGAATATATATATAATTAATTAAGGTTGGAATATGTCAAGACCAAAAGTTGGAGAAATGGAGCCGGAAAGGTAAGCTGATCAAGTAACGTACTAAATTATTTGTGTAATAGTCAAGTTGCATATGAAGCGTTCAGGGTAAAGTTTAAGTGTTTTCTTTAAAAATTCAAAGAATTAAGAGTGTATTTGCTATCAACAGTTGGGTGGAAAGTAATACTCATTCCTAAGCCCAAGAGTGAAAAATGGTTAAATAAAAGGGGGATTGAAAAGAAAAAAAAGTAAAGGGTTACTAGGACTATTCACAAACTTTCCTTTTTATACCATCTAAAAAAAAAAATTAATTTACATTCGTGACGGGTCTTTTAACGTTTTCCAGGGCTGGTTTAGTTTTTATTCTAGCCTTTTGGATAAAGTTTAGGTTACACATACATATGAACGAGCAATTTTAGTGTTGTTTTTCTAGTTTTTCTGGCTCGCACGCTCTTTTTTAGTTGTAAATAAAAAAGTAAAGAATTGAGAAAATTCTATTTGTTATGTATGTATACGAACTAGAACCAAAACTAATATTACTCATCGTTGTGAGTAGTGTAACATCCTTCGTCTTTGGGGCAACTGGGATTTTTTTTCCTTTTTAATCCATTCCATTTTATATTCAAAAACGACATACAATGACGAAAATCACGCAGGCTCAAAATCAAGTCGTTATTTTCTCCTATGCAATGCATTAACCTTACATAGTGACAATCATAACTGAACTATAGCTAATTGTAATATGTCTAAATTTATTATTTTACATACGAAAATAAATCGTTCTTCCTTATTGGTTCTTCCGTAATTTAAGACTGACATATAAAAAAAAAAGAGATCTGTAAAAAAAAGAAAAACAAACATTAAAGTGCTTCATCTTCTTCCATGACAGGCAGATCTGAAGGTTTAATCATACCAGGAATGAGTAACGCCTTCTCTCTTTCCCGCTGTCTTTTTGCTTCCATTTCGGCTTCCTTTTCCTCAAGGAACAATTCAGCATTTTCACCCGCAAATTCCTTGAGTTGAATAAGGAAATCGCGTACCTCCAACTTGAATTTGGGCGGTGTAGTATTGTATTCTAACATGGCCATCACAAAAATTTTAATTTGATTGCTATGCAGTATTTGGTTAAGTTCCAAAAAAAAATGTCGTCGTCATTATTTTACATTATTACCTTTGCAGATGGGGAAATGCATTCTGAAGTAAAGCAGATACGTATTCCTTCAAGAACAGTGCGTTGGTCATATTAGCATCTGAAACCTGGGCAGGATCAAATAAGGGTACTTGGATTTGATTACTTGTAACAAGATTAAATAACCTAGCCAAAACTTCTGTCTGTCCCTTGAAACCTAGATGAAGAATCTGATCAGAAAAAAAAACACGCACTAATTTTACAACCTTACCGCTCTTATGATCACGATCTGTTAACACAAAGAAAATGTCTTGGAGTATACTCAAATAGTAAGCTTGATAAAATGCACCTGCAATATTAGGGTCTGAGCGACTGATATTGTTGATAATCTCTTCACATGTAGCAAGTCCAATATCTGCAATATCACGCATAGTATGCTTAAATCCCCAAACGATACTATCAATAAACAGTTTGAATTGTGCGGGAGCGAGTTCAAGCAAGGCTGTGCGAAAAAAAAAAAGAGAAAAGTGAATATCATGTGCATATCGCTTTTTTGCAAGTCCGTTTTCTCCTACCAGGGAAACACTTTGCGTTAATAGCGCGTAACATGTTGTAAAAACCAGTACGAATCTCGGGAAATTCGGCAAAGTCCTTTGTAATCATATCCAATGTAGGCTCAAATGTAGCTTGGAATACAGTAGCTATACGAGGTGTCATCATGGGCTAAAAAGATAGAAGTAAGAAAACATGTATAGGAAAAAGTTGGAAAACTATTACCCCTAATTTAATAACCATGGTGGCAATTGCATTCAATACTTCATGATCTCTGGCAATATCCACGTTATTCCGATAATCAGTCAGGACCACCTCAAAGAAAGGATCAATCATGTTTCTATTAATTGTATCCAAATCAATAGCGCATTCGACATAAGTATCGATCAATCTAAGTATATCCTTCTTAATCGTTCTTAAACCGCGAACTTTAGGAGTTTTCACCGCAACCGGACCTGATAAAACTTTTTTTTAGGCTACATTTTTCAGAAAAAAATTCCTAATTAGGCGTTACCTTGTTCGGTGACGTTCTGTGACACAATGGCGCCAATGGTTCGATATAAAGTTAAGAGATCCATGTAAATTCGACTCAGTTGGTGAATAAATCCAGGACCTACAGATAGACATGCTGACACATTGGTTTTCAGGACATTGGAGAGTACTTTTATCTGATTTGGGTTATTTAGTTCTTGACTGTTTTGTCTTGCACTTTCCATGATACTATTCCACTAAAAAAAGGAAAAATATTAGTCATATTAATAATAGCTCATCTTGTGTACCCATTTATTTTACCGCAGCGTTCGGCATAGCCATAAAATTTGAAATTAATCTTTCTTGCACCACTTCATTTGTTTGTGCAGAGATCATATAACCAACCGCTTCATAAAATGTGTGTATTTGCTGGGGAGAGAGTTCTGATGTGATTCGATCTGTAGCTTCAATAATTTCTTCTACAAACGGTCGCACTTCACCGTTCTGCTGTACTACAAAATGGCGTTTACAGTTCTGAGAGATTTTAATAAAGGTATCGCAAGCCATATCTTGAACACCTTCATGGGACTCGTGCATAAATTCAAAGAGCTTATTGATGACAGTCTTCAAAAACTTCCAATGTGCTTTCAAGAAACGAGGATATTGACCTACAGTATACATAATATTGGATGCAACTACTGCTTTATTATCCTTTCCGCGCTTCATTTCTACAAGGCTCAATAACTCCTTGATGACAGTGACCAAGAATCTTTTTTCTGTATCTTCATTCATGGCACCAGAAATAGAGCCGATAGCCCAACAAAGCTGATTGATATTTTGCCAGGACCATTCACTACCGTCCATCTGTTTCGCCAATTTTATGGTCATGATGTTTTCTGTGTCTGCTACATCAAAGTTTGTCAGATAGACCAACACTTCCTTCATACTCTTGTAGAGAACAATGGTATCGCTCTCCTTCATTGATTCACGAACAATTTCTCCCTCGTCGTTTTCGACGATCAGGACCTCTTCTGGCTTTACCATTCTCTCAATCATCACTACACGTAAGCTAGATAAGACTTGTTTGTATAAATCTTTTCTTGGTCTGGAATTAGGTGAATCCTGAACATAACCTGAAGATGAAAATTCTTCAAGTTGTTCTCTGAATCTTTCTTCAAATAACTCTTTGACTAATTTAGCCCAATATTCCAAGCAAATCTTGAATATTTCACGATCTTCTACGCGAGATATTTTGATAAGGTAACAATGTGAATTAATCAGTAGTTCGTAGCTATTTGGTGAATCTTCAATTGTCTGCAATTTCCGATACTCTTTTAGTCAAAATGGGGATTTTACAAGAAAAATTCGGGTTACAAACCTTAGCATGGGAACCCAAGAAACTGGTCAAGAATAATGCTAAATTTTGAACAAATTCCTGATCATCGTCGCTACTGTTTTCATAGACAGCGCAAATATCAGTACTAGGAGGTATCATATTATTCACAGTGGTCATGACACTCGTAAAGAGAGAGACGACTTTTTGACCGTAATTACTTCCTACTGATAAACTACCTATTTCGGTCAAACATTTAAGCGTGACATTTCGATATGTTTGAGATTCAAAGAACTGGGATACATTAAAGATTAGAATAAACGAGAGTATCATGGTTGTTATTTTACCCTTTCCAGTAACTGAAGTAGATCTGTCTCAAAGATATAACCTAGAGGGATCCAACTCAGAAATCTCAATAAAGTCTCCAAAGTTGCTTTGATCAAACTGGGTTTTGTTGCCTTTTCCAGAACCTCTTTGCACAAACGAAAGATTTCAGAGAACTCATTACAGATAGATTGGCGAAGATTGGATGTTTTTAATTGTGTCATTTGTTCAGCAGAATAATCGAAAATCTCTTCACTAGCATAAAAATGAATAAGTGTTTCATGCATTATGCAAAAAAAAAAAAAAAAAAAAAATCGTGTACCTTAAAAGCTTCAATATGGCCATGTTATTTTCGCATAATGTCAAATTGGACTTGCTTGAACTGATAATTTCTGGAATAAATGATGGCCAATTACGAGGCCAGTCTTGTTTCAGAATCTGTGATGGTGTTTAGTTTTATAAATAGAACCCCGTTGTTTTTGTTGGGACTTACCTGGACCAAAACCATATTTAGCTTGTTTATATAAGTGTGTTCTTTCTTTAATGTTGCCTCGTCAGAAGAGACCTTGATAATGACATTGACAATAAAGTAACGGATAGCTTTTTTATGTATAGTAAGTAAAGCTGACCGCATATCACTTTGATCCATTCCTACCATTTCGACTATCTTTCGGTAATGTATTCCACCTAGTTTGAACAAACTTTTCTAAAATTGTAAGGGCAATAAACTAAAAAAGAAGTGTGAGGAGATATGTCTTATGCTGAGTTTTTTTTTTCTTTTCTTTTCTTTCTCCTCTGGTACCTTTGTCTGAGTTACTTTGGAGTGTTCGAGAATGCCATCGGCACGAGTCCATGCTTCTTCGTGATCTTGAAACTGGGTTAATAGCTGTTGAGCTCTTTGTTGCTAAATATTCGGTCAAGTAAGTTTTTATTTTTTTTAATTCAGGTTTTTTTTTTTCTTTTTTTTTTTACTTTACATCAGTACCTGACCCAGTATAAAAGGTCATTACTACTTGATCTAAAAGTGCAACGTCCAGCTCTTTACTAAAGTCCAAAATACTTTCTGCCATGTTATAACACTTTAACTTAAAAAAGGGAGAAAGGTGGTACTTTTAAAAGAGGTTGTCTTTTTAAGAATATTTGGCGTCATATATCCACCATTTGTAATCCAAGCTTTCCCGGTTCCCGCGTCACAAAATATATTTCCTTTTACAGACCGAGAAGTGGGGAAACCAGTAGCATGAATTGGTTCTAGAACGAGTTTTACAAATTCGCTAAGCCTATTGATTCATATGTGTGCATATCTTTTATACTATAATAGATATTTAAGAGAGAGAGAGAGCAAGAGATACAACTCTACGTGAAACAAGTTTACAGAAGATATTGACCTCATAAGCTTCAATAATGTAAAAAGACTACTTCATGTAAAAGTTTACAATAACTTTTTTATTAATTAAAAATTATGGATATGAAGAGAATGAATAAATGTGACAAGATAAATGTTATTACTTTTTCTTTGATGTTTTTCGGCTACTGGATAGCGATTTTTTAACAAATGATGAAAACAAGGATTTAGCATCTTGTTTGGGAGGTTCCGTTGAAGAAGTACTGCTTTTATCGGTAACATGCTTACTTGTAGATCGCATTACGGTTGTAAAAGATGCGTCATCAGTTTCGCTGACCACAGCTGTAGATGACGCTGATTTACTAGCAACCAATAACCCTGTAGGTCGGCTTGAACTGGTTTTGGGTGGTGACTTGGCCTGTGGTTTGACCTCACTGATAACCGCCTTATCACCTGTATCATGATGATGTTCTTTAAGAGAAGCATGCGATTTTGTAACAGAAGCGTAACTGTCCTTTTGGGTAACTACTGCAGGTAAATGCTTGCCAGTAGAATCAGCAGTACCTGACTTATGATGAGCACTTCCTTCGCCACTTGTTGCTTCCGGAGTGTGCTTCTTTTCTACTGAGGAAGCAGCACCGCTTTTGATGTTATGCGTGTTACCTTTGGGAGGCAATGTTGTTGACGTAGCGGGATTCTCTGGGATTGTCTTTGGTGTTGATGATGTAACCGGGGTTGATTTCGATTTGGATCTCACAAGAATAGGTGGTAAATCCTTTGTATGATGAGCCTTACTTGAAGCGATCGTCTTGCTATGGCCTTGGTTTTTAGACACTGGTTTTGTGGTATGAGCTGCTGCTTTGGAGGCAAAAGTGGCTTTGGTGATATGACTGTCTTCAATATGAGTCGTAGCTTTCACCGGAGATCCTTCATTACTACCGAGTCTGGGAAGAGAGGGAGATCTAGGAAGTGAAGCCCGTCTAGTCTGAAAAGTTGCTTTGGTAGGTGATGCCTCTCTAGTTTGAGCAGTGGCCCTGGTAGGAGAAGATTCTCTACTGTAAAAATTGGCCCTAGTAGGAGACGCTTCCTTGGTCTTGGTTGGTGAAGCTCCTCTAGCATAAGCATTGGCCCGTGTAGGCGATGCAGATTTCTGGGGAGAAGTTCCTCTAGAATGAGCATTTACCCTGGATGGAGAAGGTTCTCTGGTATGAGTATTAGGCTTGGTAGGAGATGCAGATTTCTGGGGAGAGGATCCTCTAGAATGGACAACTGCCTTAGAAGGAGAGGCAGGCTTGGAAGGTGAAGCAGGTTTGGAGGGAGAAGCAGGCTTGGAAGATAAGTTTTCTCGAGATCGGGGTGTAGTTTTTATGTCGACAGTAGTTTTCGACTTTACTTTCGTATGGCTTTCAGGCTTGCTCGGTGAAGCAGATTTTGGTGGAGATCTTCCTCGGTTGTGAGTTGTAACAACAGAAATCTTGGTACGCACAGTATCTTTGGATGGAGATCTTCTTTGCTTGGGTTCCTCAGCTGTAGTAGGAGCATCAGCCTTAGGAATAGAGGCTTCTCTCGTATGCATGGTGCTCTTACCAGAAGACTTAACATGGGATTGTTCTTTTTTGGGACTGTCCGTTTTGGTAGGAGAGGATGACTTTAGTGAAGCTGCTCCAGTAGTAGTAGCATGTGTCTTGATTGTAGAAACATGTTTTGAACCAGAAATGCTCTTGTTATCTATATCCGTCTTGACGTGAGATGTAGTTTTAGGCAGCAATGCACGTTGAGTATGATCAGATGATTTAGCTTGAGATACGTCTTTAGAAGGTGTAGTAGGCTTATCAGACTTGACAGGTTTGGAATCTAATGTTTCATGACTATGAACTGTTTTTGTAGTAACAGTATGACTTGTCACAACATTAGCCTTGGCAGTCTTGTCTACTGTCTTTTTATGAGCTTCGGTCGAAGTAGCCTGTTTTTTGGGAAGAGTTTTCACGGATGGAGAAGCAGGGCTATGATGTAAAGAAGTCTTGTTTTCAATCTTGGATTCCGAGGCCTTTGTATCCGCATCTGACTTGGGAGTAGTGGCCGCTGAAACAGCCGACATAGGCTTACTCGAAGTAACAGCTTTACTTGTATGGGAAGTCTTTGCTGGGGATTTATGAGAGGACTTAGCAGTATGTTCGATATGACTTGATTTAACTTCTGAATAGGCTGGAGCTGCTTGACCCTTTGCAGAAGATAACTTTCGCGTACTTGTCTTTGTTTCAAATGTTTTCCAAGGGCTAGTTTTTATAGCTTCTGGCAATTCTTTTGTATCCACTGGAATATTCTTGACAGCTGCAGTAGTCTCAAAAGTCTCTGTTGCAAGAGTGTCTTTCATTGTCTCTAAGATTTTTTCTTTGGAAACGGCTATTGATACCTTTGCTGAGGATTCAATAGATGTAGAACCGATTTTACTGTCGCTTGAGGTTATATCTCTATCTTTATTGATAACATCAACTGTGTATTCTTTTTTGTTCGAAGCAACAGAAGGTAGAGTGTTTTTTGCATTGACGATAACAATATCCGATACATTAGCAGGCAAAGTGTTTTCGTTGGAGATACACACATCTTCTGAAATAATGTTTGTTGAAGCTGGATTATTTTCAGGAAGCGAGACGATATCTTCGTCAGTGTTAATGTCTCTCACACGAACAGTTATCTCTTCAGTCGTTTCGGATGTTTTCTTTTCATGATCGGTGCTCTTGTTTGACACCTCAATAGGGGAGTTCTTGTTGACATCACTTTCGCCTGTAGCAGAGTTTTTTGTAGCTGATCTAGTGTTTTTCGGAGGATGGATGTCTTTAGAGGCATCAGTCTTTTCTGCAAACATCGTATCTACACTACAAGGCACTTTCTTGTTGGGGGTAATATCATCTGTAGAGATTTTCTTTGCAACAGGAAGAGTTTTCTTCGCGTCATTATCGATTTCAGAAACGGTAATTTTTTCAATGGAAGCCAAATTTTCGGAGGAAATGACATCAGAATTTGCAATGAAAAGAGCCTTTTCTTTTGTAGCAGAAGCATCTATTTTAGCTGAGTTAATTTCCGAAACTACACTAGAACTGACTGTCTCTTTGTTGACAATATTGTTCTCCGTATCATGTACTAATGTAGAATCAGGTACAACTTTGCCCATAAGAATTTCTTCCGTTACACCGATTTCTTTATCAGCGGTAGTTATATCAACCACAGAGTCGTCAGAAATAGATATGTGTTTATCAGCGGCATCATCGGTTACAGATTTGTCACATGCTTTCACGAAAGAGCTCTTGATTTGCTCATTCTTGGATTGAGTAGCAATACTTCGGGGCAAAACATCATTTTCAGGTTCAATATTGGACGCCTTTGAAGCGGAAGAGACGTGTTTAACAGAAACCGCCACAGAATCTTTTTCGGGGGTAGCCAGTGTTTTCGACTCTTTCTCGATTTGTGTCTTATTCAAAATTGGCTTTTCTTTTATGTCGATATCCTTATTCGAGTGTGTAATTTCCTCGATGGTATCTGGTAAAAGCAGATCGGACTGGTATATATGAAGCTTGTGATTTTGGTCAAAACCAAAATTATTAGGAAGATACGTTCTAGTATTAAACATCCTGCCAAAAGGCTGGGCTTCTTCAGTACGTTTTTGGGCAGATACAGAAGTATCTTGCGCAGATACACTTTTATCCCCCTTCGCAGACGGAAAATGGGTGTTAGTTGATACTTCCACATCTTTGTCGCCGGTCACAAGGGATTTCAGTTTTCGTTGGGCTTCCTTTATGACTTCATAGTCAAAATAGGCGACATATGGTTGTTGAACTGGTTCTTCACTGGTAGATATGTCCGCAGAATCGTTTGTTGATATGATTGACTCGGTGCCATTTTCAGAGTCCTCGTAAAATCTTCTTTTAAATAAATTTCCTTGTGATAAATCTAATTCGGCTTCCAGTACCGAAGCTTCCGCAGCTTGAGGCTTTACAAGCATTAGAGAATCACGTTGTTGTTTATGCCTTTCTTTTTCTAACTGAATTTCTTTGGAAAGATTAGAAGACATGGAGCGAGCTACTGGTGTACGTGGTGTGGATTGACCCGAAATCATGGCACTTGGTAAATCATATTCCTCATCATCCCAGGATGATTTGAATGATGTCCTAGCCTGTGTGATTACAGGTTCCGTGGCAAGCTCATAGTATTCACCTTCTTTTTCTTGTTGCTCGGCCGTTCTCAATAATGCTTCGTGCAAAGATCGTCTTAGTACCATACTTTCGCTGTGCTCCTTTAATTTATCCAAGGCCATATTTGGATTCCAATCATCCGGCTCTTCTGCTTCACGCTCAATTTCCAAAGATTCGCTTAATGAGTATTGTGTCGGTTCCAAGAAATCGGATGTATATGCTTCATCATCATCTTCGACGGGCTTATCAGCGAAATAATTTTCCCGTTCATAGTCTTCATCGTATTCTACAGCGGCAGGGGTAGCAGCGGCAGACGTATATGGCGTCTTACGACTATATGTAGAAGATTCGCCTGCAAACAACTTGGATGATTGTTGAATATCTTCCAGCACGGTAAACGTTTTATCAATAGATCCAACCAGAGTAGGCTTTTTCGCGACGGCGATTGATCCACGTCGACTTGATGAAACGCTGGCTCTTCGGCTATTGCTACGACTGTTGCTTCGACTATTACTTCTACTGTTTCTGCGACTCGGGTTGGCACTTATCACAGGAGAAGGAGTGTACATGCCACTTTGAAGTCTACTTGATGACTTGAATTTGATCGGGATCAAATCGCGATCACTGACATCATTTCCGTCCTTATCATCCGCAGCTAACGCGGCAATAAATTCATCGATTTTGTTTTGTGCAGATGGGGTTAACACTTCATCAATAGCAAATAAAGGTGCTTTTTCAACTGGTTCAGGCTCATCCATTAGATAATGACTACATGTTTTTTAAAACTTTGTTAATAAACAAAATTTCCCCTTCATTCTCGGCTCAAATGCGATTCAATATTACCTTTCTTGTTCATTTATCACAATATGTAAATTTGGCTGATCACGAGTATGTAATTCTTGAGACTTATCATTATTTTCAGAGGCCTCGGATCGATGGTGCGATTCTATCTTTTCAGGCTCAACATGAGTAGGCGTCTCTTGAGGTGGCACTTCATGAAGTTGTTCTTCTTGATGGTGCTCTTTATGTTGAATTTCGTGTTGAATTTCTTCATGATGATGATGTTCTTCAGGATAATGTTCTTCGTGATGATGATGTTCTTCGTGATGATGATGTTCTTCGTGATGATGTTCTTCATGATGATGTTCTTCATGATGATGTTCTTCATGATGATGTTCTTCATGATGATGCTCTTTATGATGATGCTCTTCATAATGAGATTCATTGTCGTGATGCTGTTCACTAGGTTTTTCCTCTTGTTGACGTTCCTGGTTACTTTGGGGCTTTTGATCATCCGAATCTATTACCAGAAAATAACAATAAGAACTTTGTGACACACAAACAAACCCACAAAAAAAAACTTACATCTCTTCTCTTCCGGCCATTGTTGTTGTTGATGAGCAGGTTGCCATACACGCGTGGGAGCAGGAAAATGATTGGGGATAGAGTCCCATGGGAAACTAGGAGGGTATACCATCCCAGGTCTATGCTCGTTATATTCCTCTTCGTGATGGTGCTTTTCTTCCTGGTGATGTTGTTGTTCATGATGATAGTGTTCTTCATGATGTTGTTCCTTATAATGGTGCTGCTCTTCGTGGTGGTGTTCCTCATGATGGTGTTCCTCATGACGGTGATGCTCTTCAGGCTGATGCTCAATCTCACTGTATTTCTCTCTGGGATATAAATGCTCAGAATCGTAATCATCCGTATTATAATTAGAATATTCCGGTTTTGTCATGATTTGGGGCTCTGGTTGATGTACAGGTGCGACCCAAATGTTGTTTTGCTGTTCAAGATGAGATTGGTCCCACACGTTTTTAAAACTGGATAAATCGGGAATATCAGCTCCAAGACTTCCCGTATTTGGCGGATCCTGGTAAGCGGGATCCCATTCAATCATGGAGTACGACTTTACTTCCCTTTGCTGATGATGGTGTTCTTTGTGATTCCCTTCATTATGTTCTTCATGTTCTTCATGATTACCTTCGTGGTTCACTTCATGGCTCCCTTCATGGTTCACTTCATGGTTCACTTCATGGCTCCCTTCGTGGTTTATATAGCTACTGTCAATGTACACCTCTTCGTGGTGAGGCTCTTCATGGCAAACTTCTTCGGGGGAAAACTCCTCGTTCTGCTGCTGCTGTTGTTGCTGCTCGACATGATGATGATTATGATGATGATGTTGGTATCCTGACTGAGTTTCATAATATGGTTCGTGCTTTTCCTGTAACAATAAATAATATATTAGGTAACCTTCAGAAATTTTTAGTTAATCCGATCTTTACCTCGTTCTGAGCAGGTGGTATGTCTTTTATCCATTCAGGATGACTGATAGTAATGTTTGAAATCGGGGGCATGGGGTTTACAATTCGACGGTGATCATCAAGGTTGATCGGTTGATTATCCCATGCATTTTTAATCTCTTCATCAAATGGTACAATAGGTCGTGTTTGGAAACCACTGTCAAACTCCATTTGATAATCAAAATCGCCCGAAAGTACATGATAAGGTGGCGTCTAAAAAGAGAAATGTTTAAAAAACAAAAATCTGATCAAGATAGTAATAACTTACCCGGCCGTAGTGTTTGTCCCATGTATTCCACCATTCTTGCACCATTTCTCTTAACCCTTCCCAGGCACTACCGCCTAAAGGGAGTACTTTACCATCCGTAAATCTTTGATATTTCCATGGTTTGTTTTGTCCAATGAAATGAAGAATAGAAATATTGTGACCATATTGATTATGAGCTGGCGCATAACTATAAAAAAAAATGTTGTCATACAATGAGTTTAAAGTTTGAACAGGAAAAAACCGCCATCCCCCAAATATTTGATTACTTTACCCGTATTGGGATGTTGGTGTAGTATTGAAAGTGAAAGGCAATCTGTGATTTGGAGAACTAGACCATGAACTGAAGTAGGTATTTAAAAGTCCTTGATCTCCGCCTATAAAATACAAGAAGATAGTTAGGGATTAATGCTATTTGGGACGTCTGAGATCATTATACCATCAAAAGATCCTTTTTCTGTAGATAGCTCCAATAAATCATTGAAGGTTGCCTCGGAAGGCTCTGTCACAAACACTCCTGAATTAAAGCAATCTGGCCAGCCAGCATCTGGTGCAGCAGAAAAGGAAGGTCTATCAAACAGTTCATCTATATTCCTCAAGGGATAAGTGTCTGCATCCAAATATACAATTTTACTATATTGAGTTAAGCGCCATAAGTGAATTTTGGTAAAGGTAATGTCTAACTCGGGACGGCCTAGCAATTCCAAGTTGTCGAAATCTCTTGATCTTATGGTGTCAACCGGAATGACCGTACAAACTTGTGACAAAAGTTCCTGAACACGACTTGTTATGTTAGGTGTAACAAGGCAGACAATTTCCTTGTTTGAGCCCAAGTCTCGTAGTCTATGGCTTAGGGTTAATGCCCCTGCCGCATAAGAGTCTGTTGCAACTAAAGTTACATAAGCCTCCATTATATATCTGTCTTTTTCTATTTAAATTTTGGAAAAAAAAGTGTAAGAAATAGAAAGAAAGAGGAAAAAATAATAACAAAACAATGGAAAGAATGTTAAGGCTGGTAAAATATCTACTTGTGTCACAATGTAAAACACAAAACCCTATCTTTTATTCAAATAAAAAGTGGTACAAAATTTAAAGAAGTTTCAAATGCCCAGTAACTTGGTCAATAAGTTCGGCAGGTCCTATTTAAACAATTGATTAGCTGCATGTCTATAAATATATGGTTAATTTTACCTGGCCCGACACCGAGAACCGTGCGAGATCCAGGTGCAATTTGTGTGCGACCAGCATCTTGGATAGTTTGAGCGGGCAAACCAAGGCTAAGGGCAATGGCTTGTAATTCCAAGCTGGTATGATTTGACAATCATTAGTCATCTCCTTTGTGGTCATATATATTTACGTATCGTTTTAATCCTTACAGCTTATCCTCACTATCGACCTTTAAAGCGACCTTTGCTTGTCCGGAATGTTCCCATGCTCTTAATAACTGAAACATACTACAATCAGTATAAGGATCAAAACTTCGTGGATCCGTCAACTTACCAAGGGGTTCACTTTTTTGGCGGCTTTATAACATGCTAAAGTAGCATGACCACACTGATGCATTTATATTTTCAGTTTATACGTTACCCCATTCTCATTCATATTATCGTACCTGTGCGGCAATTTTTCCTTTGGTCATTCCAAGATCTGAACGAACAACAAGTGTCTAAATAAGGTATTTGTTAAAAAATTATGCATGTTACAAAAGTTTGTCATTTTACCAATTTGAAGTTGTCATATTTTTTGACATCAATAGACTCTTCAGGAAGAACGTCTAATTCTTCTTCGCTGTCTTCTTCCTCTTCAGCTCTTAATTCTGTAACCTCTACGACATTCTAAATTAAGGACATGAGTAAATCCAGATCGTTTTGAAACAAGCCTCAATTACCTTTTGCCCGAAATGATTTCCAATATAGTAACCCGTGATTAAAGAAACAAGAGCAGTTACTGCAACTGTAGTTGGTGTCATTTTATCCATGATATAAAAAAAGGTTAGCAATTAAACAACTGAAAGAAAATTGTTTAAATGGGACCAGTCCGCACAAACCACCCCAAACAAACGTGACGTTCTTAAACGCGTTCCGGCTTTATCTCTTTTTTACTTCCTGAATTTGAAGTTTATAGATCTCTTTTTCTATGGTTTAATATGCTAAAAATAGTTTATATTTCACCAAAAATCAAGACAACAAGGGATATTCGATAGACACAATTATAAAAACTGTAACGATCAATGAGCTTTATTCTATCACACTAAAAGAACATATGTTCTGATTCCTTCATAATTACGTACAGGAACGGTACACACAGACATGAAGTGCTCTTCCAGTGCGTTTGATAGGTACTTTCAATATCCCTTTAACAATTCTTTTATTTTCTATAAATTGTCTTTTTACAAGATGAAAAAATGGGGAAACTAGAAAAAAAATGCTAAGAAGGAGGGTGATTTCAAAAAAAGTGTTGCTGTTTATTGAGTGGCAAAAATTTGGACATAAAGCCAATAGCCTTTAGTACCAAAAACATTATATTTGTAGTATAAATATGATAATAAAATCGTCAATACTTTTTAATAGAGACATTTAAAAAGTGAATATGTTTTGATAGTTATTCGTCTGTTAAAACCAGCGAAAAAGTGAAGTTTATTGCTTTTGAAAAAAAAAAAAAAAAGGCATTAGTCAATTAAAATCACGATACAAAAAAAGCCTAATCGTGTAACACTAGACGCGTTATGAATAAGATACACTTTTTGACCCACTGTTACGTTCACCGTATTAACTTAATAAATTTTCTTTTAATCGTATAAGTTATATAGGTATCGTAATATATGTTTATTAAACTACAAAACTCGATTTTGCAGTGGTTTTCATTTTTTTTTTAAAAATCGGCATCGGTCGAAAATATATTTAGACTGGTAAAAAGTTGCAGGGTGTGTCGTTGGCTATCCTGTTAAAGGCGGCTGAATGTGTATATTAATGTTAGGTTTACCTTATAAATTTTTATTTTAAATCATCACTGTCTTCAGAAAGAATAGTGGTAAAAAAATCATGCGAATTGATGCGGTATATTAAGATCTTTTATGCATTATGAGACAATGACGGATAAGAGTTGCTTATGCATTTGCATCCAGGATACCAGACATTTACTAACAGCAGTTTGTTGATATTTTAGATTGCATGAGTAGGATAAGTGGGGGTACATGTTACATACCTCGCCTTTCGTTTTTGGTAAAGTTGATTACATGATATATTCAGATACGTTTTTCCTAATTGTGTATAAATAACCCCTGTTTTTTTTCAAATTAAAGTACAACATATTTCATCAACATGCAACTTTCATATATCATCGCTTCTTTAGTAATTGCCGTTTCTGTATCTGCTACTGAGCCTACTCGATTCTCATGCGTATATCAAAGTTGTATTTTACCGAATATTGAATTCGGTCCATGCCTTTCATTGGGAGGTCGGTTGGAAAATTGTGACAAACCAGCAAATAATATGATTTGTGCAACATGTACATTTGATGATAGAATACCACCTGCAAATGTTGAAACTGCTAAATATTTTCTTATGGATACGTGTGTAAGCCAAGGTGGCGTGCTTATTAGTAATCCTTCAGGACTGAGAAACTGTTATTGAGGATAGATAAGACCGCTTATTTGATTTTTAAACTTCACAAATAAAACTTTATTCATTTTGTCACTAGTAGTTACGGCACATCAAATATAAATTTTACTATTACAGTATATATTTTTTTTTATACATTTATGGTAATAAACATCATCAGTCGTCAGTTATTGGAATTCAAATATTTTATTGGCATATGTTTTGATAATCGCTCATTTTCTTTTTCCTATATAAAATTCTCATCAACTCCTTTGATAAAAGTCTTTTTCAAGAATGGTTATGTCTAAGAAAATCTAATGGTGACCAAAACCGAGTTCTTCAGGCGACATATCGAAAAAGTCTTTAATTTGTCCAATATCATCTAGCAAAATGTAACTCGGAGAATCAAACAAGAAAAATCTTCGTAGGCTTGACTAAGTAACCCCACACACAAGCTGATGCATTGCTTAATGTATTTTTGTATTTGATGGCAGCTTTTTTATTGATACTAACCCATATTTATATATATTATTATTTCAACATACAAGATCGGCACACTGTGTGTGGTTACCTTTTATTTTTTATTTCCGGTTTCTTGATCCCCTTTATGTACCAACATGTAGCCTTTGCAGGGTTTCAATTGTCGAGGGCTGTGCCTACTGAGCTTGTAAGACTTTCACACTGTAGTACATTGTCTATTAGAAAACGAGTTTTTAGGTGATGAACATAGAGAATAACTTACCGTTTGAAACGATCATCATTTGGAATAGTTGAATAACAAGTTTTCGCCCTTGATAGTTGCTACTTTCACCAGGCTTATGATTTAGCAAAAATTGTCTGGGAACCCTAGGTGCTCTCTCTCTTAATTACATGTTTTCGGATACTTGTCGCTTTATAATTGATGTTTAAATCATATAAACTAATTTATCGGAGGTGTACTTAATGCTTTCAATGATATGATTTTATTTTTTAAAAAAAGATGTGATTTTGCAGGTCACGTTCGCGTTGGTTCGCGGACCCCAATATATTCTGTTCGCGTTTTTAGGTATTTCGTATTTTTTTTTTTTTTTTTTTTTTTTGTTTCTTTTTCTAATTGTGGTCATGTCAGAGCTAGCAGCGTAAATTTGACTCTTTTATTCAGTTAGAAATATTCACTGACAGGTTTGATAGATCCGAGTTTTGCAGTGCACCTACCAGCGAACATGAACTTTTAGAACGACAAGCCTCAAGCTATGATGAGCTTGAAGAACTAAAACAATCTTTACTCATTAAGAAACATACTTACAAACAACAATATGCTAGTATATACTATATTCGGCTTTTAAAGATTCGCCAAGCTGTATTTCAGTCTGCTCAACAACGATGGGGATCTTTACCAGGTTGGTGCCCTGATTAATTCGACAATATGTCAATGGCTGATTTTTTTCAATAGAAAAGCCTCATTACGTTGAAAAAATTCTGGACATTCAGGCAGGACAGCTATGTTACATGCTCGGTACAGTCTACCTCGAAATGTCTGCTAAACCCAATGTTATGAACAATTTACAAGACGAGGTAAGTTGGCAAAATTTCTATTTTTATTATGCAAATAATATGATACCAATACGCAGACAATTAGGAATCCATTATTAGACCCAATACACCTGCTAAATATAAAAGTGATCATGATGTTATATCTTTGGAGGATGAATCAGGTCGTGTGGAAATTTCTGGCTCATGTTTAGGAAGAGAATTTTTAGTGACGGGAATGGTTGTTGGTATTTTAGGCAAAGAAGTAGCTTCAGGCGCCTTTGAAGCTTTGGATATTTGTTTGCCTGGTATGCCCGAGCAAGATCCTTTGCCCGAAAACAACGAACATAAATATGTTGCTATATTATCAGGATTAAATATTGGAGGAGATAATCAGTTAGACATGAGAAATGAGTTATTATCTGAATTTTTGACAGGTCAATTGGGCAGCTCTGCTGATCAAGCGTCCAGTTCAACCATTTCAAGAGTGATCTTGGCGGGAAATTCTGTCTTTAAATCGGATAAGGCTGTTGACGCAAAGAAACCTGTAGGTTAAACTTTTATTTTGCAAACAAACCACTCATTTTTTTATTCTTAGAAAAAATATGGCTATGATTCGACTACATTTAACGCTTCACCCATGTTACAATTAGACGATCTATTAGAAGAAATTTGTAGCACAGTAGATGTAGACATCATGCCCGGTCCCACCGATCCTTCACCTTTACATTTACCACAACAACCTATGCACCCTTCTATGTTTAAAAAGTCACATAATCTATCCACATTTCATAGTGTAACAAATCCATACTGGTGTAAAATAGACGATATCACGTAAGGTGGAATGTTATCATAATCAAGCGTTGTTTAAAACTCTTTGTGTAGATTCTTAGGAACTTCTGGACAAAATATTGACGATTTATACAAGTACTTGGATAGTGTGGATCGTATGAAGATGGCCGAAAGTTGCATGTATTGGAGACATATGGCACCTTCAGCACCTGATACCTTGTGGGCATACCCGTTTACCGATAGAGACCCTTTTGTGCTTGATAAGAGCCCCCACGTTTATTTCATTGGTAATCAGCCTCAATTCGAAGAAACTCTTTTAGAAGGTAATTTATAACAAAGTATCATCGGTATTGTTCACTTACCCCACACACACTTAGGTCCTCATGGTCAAAAAGTTAGAATTATCCTTGTGCCTTCCTTTGCAGAGACCGGTATTATGGTTCTTGTAAATCTCTCGACTTTAGAATGTAGTACTGTCCATATTAGTGAACATGGCATGCAAATGCAGGATTCTATGGATGAGTCATAAATAAATAAAAGTTATTCATGCAACTTACGATGAAACAGGTCCCGTGCGTCCGTGAAAGAATGGCAACATCCTGTGATATTATGTCATTCTCTCTATAGGAGCAGAACGGACCAAAACGTGAGAAATTGCCACTTGATCTAGCTCTAAATGCACTCTCAGAATAAAATAACGCATGTAAGGCCAGATCTATCGGGGAGGTATTTTTGATACCTATATGCAAACGGTGATGCTGAATAACGAAAATATGGTCATTATGGCATGCGGCTTTAAAGTATTAAGGTTTCTGTTCTCACAAATACGATGATGTACGGTCAATAAAACTAATCGAGTGCGCTCTCATCCAATGGTTGACATAAAGAGTTTCTATTTGGTGACTTGATTTTCAATTGAAAATATTCTATCAGTGGTTGAACAATATTTACAACCTCCCGTGCCATTACCCCGTGCGAAACCATAAGAACTTGAAAGAAGTTTAAGGTGACACACAATGCCCCGTCTCCGGGATATATGTAGTTTTTACAATAGATGTGAAAATTGAATGTTTAATATATATAAAAAAGATGTACATGAGCTTGAAAACGAAATTTATACAAGAAAAAAAAGAAGAAACTACTTGTTTTGAGAGACCAGAGTAACAATACATGTGATATCATCAACCTTTCCGCCTCTGTAATTACTACCATGTGCCTGAGCGGCCTTTGCCCAAGGACTGAGACGTTTTGGATTAAGACTTAAACGACGAGCTTTGTCTGTTAATGTTTTTGCTAATCCTCTAATAGTGGCGGTGACTAATTCGCCTGTTTGGTTGTGATCGATAGGTTCCATACCAGCATTAATCAGGTCTAAAGTTTCATGTGAATACATATTATCAAAATATCCATCCGTAGCTAATAAGATTAAATCGCCGTCTTTTAAGAAGAAACGTTTTGTGTCTGCATCTTTTGGTAAGTCAGTTACCATGTCATCCCTATTAGGGTAGGTATCCGGTACAACACTCAGCTGATAACTAATGTTATATTAGTAAGGGTATAAAGAAAGAGAAAAAAGGTACAAATATTTACGGGCAATTGAAGTAATGTTGTTGACTAGGGCTTTCATACACAATCTTCTTATCACGCACTAACAAAAATGCAGAATCCCCCAAATTACATGTTGTCATTTCACCGGTTGTCTTTGATAAGTTCAAAATACAAGCAGTGCTACTTCCAGCTGATACTTTGCCGCTCTTTCTCAATTCATGAAACGCAGAGTCTAAAATTTGGTGAGCATCAATGGATTTTTCATTTTTGGCGACAATGGCAGCGTTATCCATTAGGGTCCAAGAAAACAAGGCAGGATCAACGCCTACAAGGGACCATCCTCCAACACCATCCGCTACACCGATAGCAAGACCTTCCGGTGTATTTGTTTGAAAAAATGCGTCTTCTCCTGCATCCACTTTACCAGGCTTCTGATCCTCTTTCCAATACGGAACTTTCTTAGTGGGTGCCTTTTGTCGGGTCTTTGGGTGCCAGGCAGCGTAAGCAATAAATTGAAAACTTTCGGATGCAATATGTTCCTCTTCTATAACTGCAGAAGCTGTATTTATAAGTTGTATGCTTCGACTAGTGCTAAAACTACGTGGTGATTCGGATACATGAGGTTGAGGTTGTAAATAATAGGTTTGAGTTAATGCAGGTCTATAATTAATCGCATTAGCCCATACGGGTCTAGAAGCTCTAAGAAGAATAGACGCCCTTGCTATTCTTTGTATATAAGGTCTCATTGTTATTTTTTGTTAAAAAAATGAAAGAAAAAAAAAAGGTGAAGGGGGGAGGAGAATTCAGATAAAATACAAGGTAAGAATAAAATAAAATGCTGAATATGGCATCCACCCAAAAAAAAGACGTTCTACGTCACATTAAATCAAGCTTGAGGTCGGTGCTTAAATATCCAGTCAGCAAAAGGGTTATGGTCTACATTGACTTATGCGATAAACTTCTTAGAGGTTATTTATGTGTTTACAAATATCAATCGTAGTCAATTGTATTGGTTATTAATATAATAATATACGCTTGTTGCGGTCAGATGTGTGTATAAAGTTACAATAATGGACTGACGACAAAACATGAGATGTTACCTTCAAAATCGATAAATTGTCTGGTGCCACCTTCCCCCATTGAATATACAAGAACACAGAAACACAAGTTTATAGATTTCCTTGCGTTTAAGGCATCCAGTTGATTTATTTATGTTAACGTGGAAAAATGACGTTTCGCCCAACGCTTTTCTAAGGGAAGGGACAGCCAAAGTGCACGTAGTTACATCGTAAGATTGGGCATCTTAGCTGCCCTTGAGACTTGGAAACAAGAATACAATTAAAAAACAATACAATAGTTATGAATAAATGTATAATTAACAATTCATGCTACTTCTGACAATTCAATCGTTGCACCTTCCCTCTTGCCCTCGATTGATCTTAACCAACCTTGGGTAGAATATTAGGTTAAAGTCCAAACGAGACATTGAAAGTAAGTTAGAAATCACGCGAAATAATGACTATATGTTTGTTTTAATGAAAACGCATATGGTTTAAAGCAATAAGGTAAATTGAACTTTTGATATCATTTAAAGGTATCAGATCCTACATTACAATTACGCGCACTCCGGTTGTCCCCAATAAAATTTGTTGTCCATAAGGGAAATTGGCTGTTCCTAAAAGACCTCTGTTTGATATAAGCCATTAGAAATAAAATTATATGAGCACTTTATATATTATGGAATGATGGTAGAATATTTGGTTGTGCTACAATAATTTTTATTGATTTCTATTGCTTCTTTATTCTCATTGGATTATAGGCAAAGAAACCACAGACGTATGGTTGACCCTATTTACCAAGCTTTTCTTCCTAACATGGCTGAGGACTTTATTTACCGCCTTTTGGAAATACATTTAGTAAAAAAAAAAAACTCTGTATTACCATAATAAAATTTCATGCTACATTTGGTTGTACGGTTATATTCCAATGGTCTTAAATTAAATTTGTTGAAGTACACAACCGGCTTTCAAAAAGTAGTAAGATAAGTTAATTCCGTGAAAATGGCTTTAAACTGTTTCCTTTTTGTTACAATACTTTATGAGTGTAACTTAAAAAAAAAATAAAGACAGGCTTGAGTTCCAAAACGTCTTGTTTTAGGCATGGGCTTGTTACAAGTGTCACACAACACCACATGGGATTTTTTTTAGAAAACTGAGTCCGTAAGCTTTTGTTTAAAACGTTGTTTTGTCATAAAATGTAACTCATGTGTTGATCGTGTACACAAGTACTTCTTATGTAATGCTTGTTAATATGCATCATCACTAAAGCATGCATTTGTACGAGTGTTTTCAACTTATATAAAAATGTAGGCTTGCAACAAACTACTGCCAGAGTGGCTAGATGTATGCATTAATATCCAAGTATCTTTTTAATCTATCAGATTAAGATAATGATGATCATGTTTCAAGTCCGTAGTAAATTCAGGTCTGGAGTTCATACTAAGGGACGTGCGAATTTTTGAAACTAAACACATACGTTGCACCTTTCAAAAAACACATGCTAACCTGTCGGATGTCATTTTCACTCTCATCCCCAACTCCCAGTATTTATAATTTATCTCAAAGCGAATTTAAACAATTGTTGAAGATAAACTCGTTTCCTTTCCCTTTTGAAATTCCTATTTTTTTTTTAAAAAAAAAAATTTAAAAATGGCATCAAATGGTAGCAGCCTCAACCATGTGAACAATAACTTTAATTCATTTCATCAACTACCTGACACAAGAAAAGCGATGTTAGAATTGAATACAATCAGAACAACAGACTCGCACCAGGACACAAAGTGGCAATACACCGGCAATCGAGATGATTTTTATAATTCTTCTGCCTCAGATGTCACTCACGACCAAGAATATACTGAAGAAGAAAAACTTTTGGTTAAAAAAATTGATTGGTTTATAATGCCAATCATTTGCACACTAGATTTTTTACAGGTAAACAAAGCAACAAACACGATATCACATCACAATTGACTTAAATTACATAGTTTCTCGATAAATCCACAATCAACTACGCTGCCTTAATGACGTTTAAAACAGATGTTCATTTAGAAGGAAACCAGTTCAGTCTATTGGGTTCTGTATTCTATTTAGGCTACTTTCTGTTTCAGGTAACCAAAAAAATGGCCTGATGTCTAAAATAGATTTTAACCTTAAGTTCAGTTACCCAATAATTTCTTGCTACAACGCATTTCTGTTGGCAAATACATTGGTATCATTGTTGTTTTATGGGGTACAGTATTACTCTGTACCGCCTTTGGCACAAACTTTTCTCAAATTGCAGCTATGCGATTCTTATTAGGTTTCTTTGAAGCCGGTATTTATCCTTCTCTCACCCTATTGGTGAGTACATTTTATAGACGTTCGGAACAAGTCGCTAGACTTGGTGCCTTTTGGATCTGTAACGGATTTGCCTTATTTGCTGGCGGCTTAGTTTCATTTGGTATTAGTCATATGGTAAATGTGGGTGGACTGAAATCATGGCAATGGTATGTGGAGTTTACGTTTGACAAGAAATTTCTAGAAATTAATTATTTTGTGTATCCCGATAGGATTATGATTATTCTTGGTAGTATAACAATTTTAATGGGCGTCGTATCATTTTTCTTCTTAATCGATTCACCAAAGTCTTCTGCATTGAAGCTTAATGCCGAACAAGAAATGTTGGTGGAGGAAAGGACAAGAGACAACGCAACCGTCCGTACCACAGAAGTCAAAACAGAACACATTTGGGAGGCGATTAAAGAAATTCGATTTTGGTGCTTCAGTTTTGCCTGCCTGTTAATCAATCTTCAAAATGGTGCCATGACCATTTATAATGGTCAGATTACAGCAAGTTTTGGTTTTGATGTAAAGTATATAAGTCTAGTTGCAATATAATATTGTATTTTACCACCAGAAAAAAAAAGAACTAAATTTTTTTAAATACAGCAAGTGGAATCCATGTTGCTTAGTGCAGGTAGCGGCGCAGCTACGATACTGTTCATTGCCGTAGCAATTGTCAGTGTTCAAAGAACACATCAAACAATCTATACAGCTTGTGCTCTTATGGTTGTCAATGTTCTGGGTCTCATCCTACTACTTGTCATTCCTGTGACCCATCTTAAATTGATCGGGTTCTACATGAGCTGGTCGTACTGTTCTGTTTATGTCCTTCTGGTTACATCCATTTCAAATAACGTTACAGGTTACACTAAAAAAATCTTCTATAACGGTGTTTTAATGATCTTTTATACCGTTGGAAACTTCGTCGGACCGCTCATGATGGTTTCCCCTCCCTATATCGAAGGTATGATTGGCTATTTAATCGCAAATAGTCTAGTCCTCATACTCTTATTAATTGCGAGAAGCCGAATGGCTCTAGTCAACAAGAGACGCATACTTTTGTTAGCACATACGTCCGCTTCGAGCGCGGCACATTCTTATTGTCAGGATGACATTAGTGACGAGCAAGATCAAACTTTCATTTACTTGTTATAACTTTATACCTTCATTAGTTCTGGATACCTTTCATTTTTTTTTTACCATTATCATTACAACTTACAATAAACTAATTATATTACGGCTTATTAATCAAGGGCCTTTTTCCAAAAAATTTGTTTCCCATTCCGCAAAATTTTTGACAGATTATGACTACATAATTTGCAAATCCTTTGTACTATTCGACAGAATAAGATCATACTCTCGTAAAAATCAAGAGATGACTTTTGAGCATAAAAACCGAAGTCTATGTTTGAGTAAATAGCAGAATAGAGTATATATTTATTCGGTTTAATTTGTTGTACTCAATAACTGACGATTAAGCAACATGATGTGCCCACTAGCCATAATAATAAAAAAAGGGATCCTCCTTAATATATACCAAAAATAGAAGTGACCCGAATTTTAATATTTAAATGGATTCCTTTATTAAGGTGAATGTCAATCGAAGTGGTTAAAAAAACAGCATCAGCCACTGAATCCGATTTAAGTTTATTGTATATCAACGTTTATATTTCATAGTAGGCAGCTATGGATTCCGACTTTTCATTTTTTGAATATTGCTATCCAGTTGGATTTTCACTGAATTAAGTATAGCTATTTTCAGTGTATGCAGGTCTATGCAGGTTGAAATAAGCTCTAATTTTTTAACTCTTTTTTTTTTGGGCTGTCTAACCCGAAAAACCCGCTAATCTATAAAGTGATAGTTTTGTATACATTGGTCCTCTTACTCCTTTTACTGGAGTTTTGTCTTTTCAGACTCTTTGTCAATGCTTAAATCTCGCTTTGAGTACTTCTTGTCATAGTAAACGACTGTTTTTTATTCATAAAAATCAGACGATAGTGAGGAGCAATAAAAATTGACCATCTGTAGTTTGTTAATACTGTCGGTACCAACAAAGTTTTATCTTTACCGATAAAGTTTCATCTGTACCAATAAAACTTCATCGGTCAAGGAAAATAATTGATTACAGACTTTTATCATCGCTGCTGCTTTTGCGGGTAACGAAATTTGACAGACATACAATTGAACTTGGGAGGTTGTCTGATTGCTCTTATTATCATGTTGACCGATTTAGGGAACCATTGGCTCTGTGGTGAGCGGTCATAGAAAGATATTTAGTAAACAAAATGATACAAGCGGTCACAAGCTGTAGTGGGGTGTGAGAAGGGTATGATCCTATCTTTCTCTAATGGTCGAGGAACTACTGTAGTACTTGGTACTACAGATCCTTATTCATAAATTCACATTTTTATTATTAAATAAAGTTTTCTTTGGTTCGTTTTCTATATATAAATTCGAGACTATATCTTTTTACATATCATTGCAATTTGGTGTAGTTAAAAACAACGTTTAATTAGAAACAGTTAGCTAGTCACAAGGTAGATATAAACCCCTCGCAACATTTGGTGGAGTAGCTGGGCGTGCTGCTATTTTGGAATATAATTAAACTAAAGGTTCACAAGGTTATAGAACAATACAAAAAAATGGCTACGGAAGGAAATTCAGTTTTGGTGTTGGGCGAAACTAGCGCAAAGAGTGCGCCTACATTTGCTAGTGGTGATAGACAGGATCCTGTTCAGTTTTTGGAGGACTTTAATGAAGCGGCTTCTTGGAATAACTGGGTGTCCACGGACAGAAGAAAGGAATTATTCTTCAGGTGTCTTACCCACTATGCCAGAGAATGGTTCTTGAACACTTTCGAAAGGGGATCGGAAGAATACAAGAAGATGAAATTCGACGATGGTACTAGTGCTTGTCTGGTCAAGCAATTTTCGGCAAAGTTCATTACTGCAGAATGGTTCGAGAAATACGAAGAAGCGTACGAAGACCGTGTTCAACTTAAGTCCGAATCTCCTTGGGAATTCATGAATATCAAGCGTGCGTTACTCAGAAAGTTGGATCCAGTGGAACTCGCTAGTCGTACTGAAAAGCAAACGGTGAAGGAGATCAGAAAGGGTCTATTGCCTGAAGTTAAGAAGTTCTGTGACTATATGGAGAAGAATCCCTACAACAATCTGGACAAGACCAAGGTTAATACCTTCGAAGGGTTGGAATCTCTATTGCGTTGGGCAGAACAATGTCACAACAACACGGGCATGGTTACAGGTCTCACCAAGGAGGTTAATAAGGTACAAGAGCCTCAACAGGTGAATGCTATTTTGAAACGTAACAATGGTGATTATGGTGGGTCAAGAGCTCCTCGTGGTTACACGGAAAAGGTGGATAACTCTAATCAATGGGAAATCATACTCAAGAAATTAGAGAAGCTTGACAAGTTGGACGTGATTGAAAACAATCTTGCATTAACCATGGACCGAGTGGACAACATGGAAAGGAGATTGGATGGTGGATCCAACAACCAAGCTGATGGAAGAAAGGTAGAAGAACGACCCTCGGACAAGTGTTACAATTGCAAAGGACCTGGTCACATCTCAAAAGAGTGTAAGGAACCCTGCAGGGTGTGTCACTCACCTGATCACACAAGTGTTACTTGCAAGGACAAGGGCAATCAGGATTTTCGCTCAAACTCCCCACGAGATTAGGTGTGGTGGAGTTAAAGAAAATTCCTAATTCAAATCCAAAAGGAGAAGGGTCCTTACCGGTGGCGGTTATCACGTTGGAAGAACCTAGGTCGATCAAGGAGGTCAATGCGTTAGGCGAGTCGGGGTCCAAAGGCAAGAAATCTCAGGCGGAAATTAAGGCCGCGCTGCTGGAGAATCTGAAGAAGGCAAGGGAGGCTAAGGCAAGGTACAAACAAGAGGATCAGGAAGCAATTCGTCGAGGTGAGGTTCCGCCTTCAGTGTTGAGGAAGGTAACAACTGGTATGCCTATTATGATGGAGGAGGGCGGTAAGCAGGTCAATCAGTTTGATATTCGAGAAGGGTTATGGAAAAGCCAGGTCAGTATTTCACTACCCCAACTCTTATACCATTCCCCAGAACTGTACCATCAAGCTTTAGGTCTCTTAGGTGCACAACCTATTACCATGAAGAAGTCTCATGCGTCCCATGTGGAAGATAAAATGGATATTGACTCAAAACGGGAAAATTTGGTGATGGTGAACAATGTGGTGTCAATCGACACAACCACCATGGATCTCGAGCCAACATTACAAGCATTGCTGTGTATAGTAGGGAATCAACAATTGGAGTTTCTGATTGATGGTGGTGCGGTAGTGTCAGTGATCAACATGGAGGTGGTTGAGAAGCTAGGTCTGAAGTCACAGGTGAAACCGACCAACAGGACATTGCGCTTTGGTGATGGTGAGGTGGAGGCTGCTGTGGGTATGGTCGCACTGACTCTCATTCTGTCGGAGGAGGTGGAGGTTACTCATGCTTTTTGTGTTACTAAGAATGTGAAGACACCTCTCTTGGTGGGCAATGATTTTATCCAAGGTACCAACGGGTTGGCTGACTCCAACAACAACATGTTCTCGGTGAGGGTTGGTGAGAAAGTATATAAGGTGCCAACACATGAAGGGAGTGGTGAATCAAGTGGAATCCTATTTCCTACTGGTGGTGGGGTAGAGGAGGATGAGCGATTAATTATTCCAGTGACGGTTACGAATAGTGATCATAAGAGGTTGAAAAATGTCAAGATCCAGTACGACTATACAATGCAGCCTGGTGAGGCCCATTTGTTGTGGTTATCAATGGGGGAGGAAAGTAACAATTGGGCAACTGACATGGTATTACAACCTGAAGAGACGCTTTACACTCAATTGAAATTATACATGGTTCCAAGTCTAATGGAAAAGGGAGGTAAAGGTCCGTATTGTATGGTGGTTATGAATTACGGTCTGAGGAAAACGGTGTTGAAGAAAGGTACCCTTATTGGTAAACTTTACAGTAAAGAGTCAATTCCAAAGGAAGTAGAGGTGGTATCAGATGTGGAAGAGGTAACTTCAATGATCCAAGATTTTTACATTAATCAGGAAGAAGGAGTGCAGGTGTTGGCTCCGTCATTGATTGTTGGACCCATCTTCAAGCCGGATTACCGAAAGTTGGAGGAAGCAGGCGTGAAAATTTCTAGGACTAGGGGGTACAGCAAGAAGGATACGGGAAGGGTATACTCTGTATACATGGTGACTGAGGTGGTGGAAGGTGCGAATTATGATATCAATCCAGAACTGTCGGCTTCACAACAACAATCAATTCTGACAATTCTCAAGAAGCATGAAAAAGTATTTGCTACGTCTTTGAAGGAAGTGGAGGAGTTGAAAGCAGATCCTTACGTGATTAAACTGAAGGATGGAGCTGTACCGGTCAGGGTAACACCAAGGATGGTACCATATGAAGCTAATCAGTGGTTTAAAGAGTATGTGGACCAGTTGTTGGATCTGGGGCTTCTGGAGAGGTGTGATGGTCCTTGGGCTGCCGGGGTAGTTCTGGTACCAGCAGATGCTGAGAAAAGGGTGCCAAGGAAGAGAAAGGTGATGAAGTTGAGAAAAAAACCAAAGGTGCAGCTTAACAAGAAAGCAACATGGACCACTTATCAAGTATGTGTGATCGAAGAAGAGGAGGAGGAGGTAAGCCAACCAGAGGTGGTAGAAGAGTTGAGCACGTACGAGGACATGGAGCAAGCCTTCGGTGTTCCCACTGGGGAAATCACTAGTTTAATACCGAAGTCAGCCGCAGGAAAGAAGGACCCGTATAGGCTCACCATTAACTATAAAGGGATCAATAAGCTCATGGTGGATACTGGGTACCCAATACCTAACATCAATTTTCTTTTTACCTTGCTGGCTAAGGCCAAGTATTTCTCAGTTTTTGACTGCCTCAAGGGTTTCTGGCAATTGAAGTTGGCGGAAGAATCCAAGGATTTGACAGGGTTTGCGACCACGTTTGGTCAATTTAGGTGGACTAGGCTACCAATGGGGTTAAAGGGTTCTCCCTCTGCATGGCAATCAACTATGGATTCAATATTTTTTTCTGAAATAAATCAATTTTTGCTCATTTATATTGATGATGGGTTGGTCTTTTCTGAGAGTTTTGAT